AAAATATTTTTTAAAGATCCCTACGAAAATTCTATTTTTATCAAAAATACAGGAATTTAAAGGAAATTAAAAAAAATTTTCAAACCCTAAAAAATAGACGGAAATAAATCGGAATTACAAAAATAGTCAAAATTACAAGGGAAATACTAAATTTATTAAAAATTATTTGAGAAAATAATGTAAAAAAAAAATTTTTTATAAATTATTTTGGAAATTTCAAGAAAAAAAAATTTGAAAAAATAATTTTGATAAAATATATTTTGTAACCCAAAGAGTTATTTATTTCTATCAAAAATTAGGGAAAATTCCGAAAGAAAAATTTTGGTATAAATTTAATTAAAAAATGTTTTTTTTATTATTTTCCCGTGAACTTTTCTCAAATTTTGCATGCAAAAATCTCCATCTAAAAATGTTATTTACCAATTTTTTAGTTGTTTTTAAGGGGAAAAAGTTGTTTTTGGTGCAAAAATTAAAAAAAACTTTATTTTTATTTTTCAAAGGAAAAGCGTGGGAGAAAATTTAAAAAGGACTAATAAATTTATTATTTTTTGGCATTAAAAAATAATTTTTTGCCATCATTTTTAAAAGAAAAATAATTTTAAATAAATGTATTTTAATGCCTCAACATTTTTAAAAATTAAAAAAAAAATTTTTTTCTAGTTGATTTAATAAATTTATAAAATTAATTTTTGTTTATTTAATTTTAGCTTAATTTAAAATTTAATTTAATGCTAGTTAATTAACCGGAAATAAATTTTTACAAGATAATAAATTGATTAAGCCACGAATTATTTACGTTAGAAATTATTTGAGAACGCGCTCAGCTCATGAGTTATTTGATTAAAGCCAAACCTGCGCAGTTGCTTTAAATTCGGATACTTTTTTAAATTTTATTAAATTAATTTTCCATATTAAATTCAGTTCCTTTTCATTTTTTACACAATCTTTAAAATTTAATTAATATACAATCTTTTTATTTAATGAAGCTGCAGTCTAAAAAAGTTGGAATAATCAAAGAAAAAATTTTCCTTGCAAAAAAATTTCTCAAAAATTTTTAAGAAAAATCAAAAAAATTTTTTTGCAAAGCTAGACCCTTATTAAGCATAAAAATAACTTTTTTAAAGTGCATCGGATTAAATTTCCAGACTATCTAAATGCCAAAGGAATTAACCAAAAAAAATTCAGTGAGGATAAAAAAAATATTAAATTCACCTTCAAAAAAAATAAAAATTTTTTAAAGCTGAAAATGACAGCTAGACATTAAAAATTGTCAAAAGCATTATTTTAAAAAAATAAAAAAAATAAAAAAATAAAAAAATATAATAGTACACATATTAGCACTTTTGTAGTATTTAAAAATGAGAGGAGAAAATAAGGACAAACAAAAAAAATATTTAGGCATCCCCCTCTTAAAAATAATATTATTTTTTAAAAATGAACTGACGTATTCAGGTGTAAAAATTAGCATATTGTTTTCTAATAAAAATATTTTTCAAATAAAAATATTTGTCAGAAAAAATAATTAATGTTAGAATTTGGCATTTTATTTCAAAAATTAAAAATAAAAAAAAATTAAAATAATGCCTAGACTTAACTCAAATTAGGAGAAGGAATAACTAAGGAGAAGGAATAACATTATTTTAATTTTTTTTATTTTTACCTTCTGACTTTGATAATTTTTTTTAATTCCCAGACAATGAGAATACAAATAATTTAAAAATTATATACCAATTAGTTTAAGATGCCTAATTTAAGGAAATTTCAAAAAGCATGGAAACACTTCCTTTGCAATTTTACAAAAACAGAGAAGTTATTAGAGCAGGAATCAAATTTTTAATCTTGTCCTAGAGGTTGGTTCACCCCTGCAACAGAAATGCTGGTATGTAAAACATCAAATTTTTAATCCTGCCCTCAAGGCCCATGAAACGCATTTTTTAAAGTGTCCACCTCAAAAAGTGGGAGAGAACTTTATAAGTTTTATGAAATTTCTTTAGTTTAAAAATAATTATCCAGTGATTTTCAATTTAATTTAACACTAAAATCCCAAAATCTCATTTTTCTTTGACCAAAAAATTAACTTTAAAAAAATAACAGTAATAAAAAATAAAAATTTAATTTAAAAAAATGATGCAAATAAAAATATATATGCACTTTACGCTCTAGTAAGTATATTAAAGAAAAAACTGTAATTTGATGCCAAGTCAATAGCATCAGAAAAAATTTTATATTATTATGTTATAATATAAAAACTAATACATATTTAATAGTATGTTTTGCATAATTAAATAAAAAGTGGTAAAAAAATTGTTTTTAAAAGCATAAATTATACATAGGGGGGGGGGGGTTGTTTTGCGTTATAAAAGCTTGAATTATTAAAACTTTAATTTTACAAACCCAAAAGTTTATAATTTAATTTTACAAACTCTAAATTAACAAACTTAACATTCTAAATAAACTTTAATTACTAGAACTTGAAATTCACAAACCTGAAATACAAACAAACTTAAATAAACCTGAATTAATAAAACTTGAATTTTTCAAAATTAAGAAGTTTACAAACAAAGTTTCTAAATGAACGAATTATTTTAAATTATTTGAGCCTAAATTTTGCAAACTTAATAAAAGTTTACAAACTTGATTTGTTTAACTAATAGATTAAGTTTTTATAATCTTAATTAGATTATAGTTTTATTTAAACACGATTTACTCTAATCATGTTTTTATTTAATCTAAACACATATAAATACTACAACCGAGACAAAAACAACGGAAACATTTGAAGACAAAACAAAAATAAAGAATATGAGTCAAGTTGAGGATTTATTCGAGTTTAGGACTTTTATCGTTTTAATAACCTATTTTCGAAAAAAATTGAAAAAATTTTTTCAACGTTCAAACAAATCCAATCATTTTAAAAATAAATTAGATATTAAATACTACATCATTTTCTCTCGATTAATTAATTTCCCTAGAATATTGCCCCTCTCAATTGGTAAGCAATACTTAACAATTGTAATTACTCGAGAAAATAAGGTATAGGTGGTACATTAAAAATAAAGACAACAAACAATGAACAACAAAAAAAAGTTAGAGCACAACAAGGAGACAAAATAAGATATGAATGATAAAAGTGGGAATTTTGTAGAAAAAATTTTTTTCAAAATTTTTAAAAATTTTTTGAATCTGAAATTTTAATGAAAAAATAACCAATTTATATACAGAAAAAATTTAAATTAATTAATTACCCATTCCCGTGGTAAGCTTAAATAGGAAATAATAACGTAAATAACAACGTAACATTAGAAAATCCCAAAAAATAATTTTTTAAAATTCCCACAAATTTATTTTTATTTTCAAAAAAAATTTTATATACGCACCACCCTCTATTTTTCTAATTTTAAACTAAATTTGAATAAAATATTTTTATAGCATTTTTTCAAAAATGTCATTAATTCCCAAACTAATTTTAATTTTTTAAAAATAAAATTTTTTTTAAATAAAATTTTAAATAAAAATAGAAAAATTCCCACTTGATTTAAATTAGACAATAAACGAAAGAACTGGAAAAACCGAGAATAGAAACCGTGTTTTTTGAATTTTATAGAGTAACACGAAACAATAAATAAACATATAAATATAGGTATATTTTACATGAGATAAATTTTAAAATTGTGATGTAACTGAACAAGTGAAAATTTTATAAATAATTGCCTCTTAATTTTTAGAAATTTTTTTGACGTAACATTTAAAAAAAATTGGGCCAAAATAACAATTATAGAATCAGGGCCAAAAATATTAATTATTTCTTATAACCGCCATTTTATTTTTAAAAATAGTTTGTAAAAAAATCCATACTTAAGGGAAATCCCACTCAAAAAATTCCCAAAAATTCCTAAAATTTTATTAAAAAATTTTTTTACAATTTGTAAGGAATGGAAATTTTTTCCTTCTAATACCAATAATTGTCAAAAAATATTTTAGTAAATATCTAAAGGTATAAGGCTATATATTCCCCCAAAGAAAAGGATTATTTTTCCAAAAACTATTAAAATTAAAAAATATTAAATTTTAGTGGCATCACAATTTTCACAAAACAAAACGAAAAAAGTTTTTTTGGAACAGACAACGTGAAGGGATGGATTTAATTTCAGAAAAAAAGTAAAAAAAGTTTATATCGCCAAAAACGGATATTAAGTTAAAAAATAAGAGAGGAAATTAAAAGACAAAAAAATATAAATTTCTGGCCTTATCTAGAAATTATTTTAAAAAAATGCGCCTTAATTTTAAGAAGAAAAACAGTAGCATGTGTGGTGGGGTTTAATTAGAAAAATATTTAAAAATGGAAGAATGCCAAAAATTAAAAGTCGAGTTCTAATGCTTATAATTAGAAGAAGAGAAAAAACAACGCGGAGTGGGTGAATTTAATTTTGGGGGAAAAAAATCCAAAAATACGTAGGTAATTAAAAATAGGTAGCTAATTACCTAAGTAATTAATTATTCAAAAGACTTAAGCAATTAATTGTTCAAGAGATCATAATTTAAACAATTAAAAATTAATTTTGTCCTAAACTTTTTTTAAAAATATTTCTTTAATTATTCAAGTTTACTTATATGCATCTAATTATTAATTTAAAAATATTAATTGTTTTTTATATCAAATTTTTATCTTAATTGTTTTCTTTTGTTAAATTTCATAAACATTTAATTAAAATAATTTAATTGAATATAGTTTGTATTTTGTTTTTTAAAAAAATATAAAAATTAAAAATAGGTAAAACCTTGTATTTTAGCTTATTATTAAAAATTATAATTCTCTTTCCCTATATGTATTTTTTAAAAATTCAAAATAAACATAAAAACAAATTTCCGGTCTAACTTTAGTTCTTTTGTTTTAAGAAAACGATAAAAATGGCAAAAATGGGCTCTCGTTTTAAACTTTAAAAAAATAATATCTACTTTTGGAGGTATTTTTCCGCGTTGCTTTTTTTAAGAATTGAATTTCATAAGTTAGCTGAAGATGATACATATATAATGATAAAAAAGATAATAAAAGATAAAAGACAAAACTAAAATGTTTGAAATATAATTGGACCTCAATAATGGCTAAAAATTTAATTTTAGAAGCTGGTTGCCACTGGGTGGGGGAAAGGTTCTAACACAATAATGATCGAAATAATATCCTATATAAGGATAATAGCCGTAAGGTACACAATACTTTTCTCAGTCTCAAAGGGTGTACTGAGGTCCGACTATATATTAGAGTTGATATACATGACAGTTTATTAGAGAGCCCGGAAGCATAAAAAGATACCATCCCCGAGATTTTTTACAACTCCAGTCTCTATTTAATCTAAACAAAGATCTCTAAACAGCTACCAAAAAATCATAAAAACCTAGAGAATTAACAACATAAAAATGTTTGATTTATATTAATTGTAAGCTTAATACATTAAAGTATTTAAAAAATTAAGGTTACAAAAATTTTAAAATCTCTCCTATCATTAATAGTTTAGTAAAAAACCCTTATCGTCACAATAGTTTAAAAATAAATTCAAAAAATTCTGATTTATCAAGTCAAATAATATATTTATAGTATAAAACGAAGAACAAAAACAACGGACGGAAGATATGAAGAAATGAACACAAAACAGAAAAAAAATAACACAAAAATAAACGAGGACATAAACAAAAAAATCAAATTTAAATATTAAAAAAATTTTTATTTTATTTTTATTCGGAGCCAAAAAACCCGCGCAAAAAACTTTAAAATATTCCAAAAGCATCAAAGCTGATACTGGGTCCCAAGCTTTTGTTTTAATGCTGGCGGGAATTGGGCCACAAAATTATTCCAATTTTCAAGGCCAACTTGTTGTTTAAATGCTGAGAGGATCTGACATATGAGAGAGATATTTTTTTTGAAAAATTTTTTTGAATTTAAAAAAATTTGCCCAATTTTTTTTTGAAAAATTTTTAGAAATTTTTTTTGAGAATTTTTGAAATCTTTTTGAAATTTTTTTTTTGAAATTTTGTTAAAAAATTTTTAAAAATTTTTTTGAAAAATTATTTTATTTGCCAAAATTTGGTAAATAGTAGGTTAGTAATTTTTTTTGTAAAATTTTAAAAAATTATAAAAAATGGAAGTCAATGTAGGATTAAAAAACCCGACTTATGTATTGTTAGTAAAATTATTTTTAAAAAATTATAACCAACCCGACCAAACATAAAACGCAATTCATCACTAGGTGTCTGCCAAGACGCTATAGCATCACACAAAAATATAAAACAATTTGCAACTCCTTGAGGATTACAATTTATCATTAAGCAAAGTCCACGAAAAGCACTCTCCTTTTCATCATTGTCACGAACATTTCTTAAAGCCAAACACCATGGACGGATGAAGTCAAACAAGAAAGGAGATACGTCTGAACTACAAGAAAGTCCAAATCGGCCAAGTGTGATAGCTTAAAAAATTAATTTTTAAAAATGTTATTAAATAGTCGGGCCTCACTATAAGATAAACCCCTTGAGTTTGAAAAAAGGATCCTATAAGAGGCACCTTAAATTGGAGAAATCGCTCAAGTTAGATCGTCATCCTGTAGCCAACCTAATTTAAAAAATGTATCCTATATTGAAGCTGAAATATGAAATAAATTGGAGGTGTCGTCGCTTAGGCAAAACCACCATACAGAGGCCAAATTAATTAAAAAAATCCTAAACTGAAGTCTACTAATATTGGGTTTATATTAGAGTGAGGTACGACTATCAAAGGCAAAGCAAATATACTTTTTAATATGTAAAAAATAAAAAAATTTTAATTAAAAAATATTTAAAAATTCTCACCCGTATTTTCAAGCAGCGTTTTTGGTCCTTTATCCCGATTCATCACAATAATAAGTTGTGGCAAAATTATTGGAACATATTGTCTCATTTGTTCACCAATATTTAAAGAAATTTCTCCAAGTGCCCAGATTGCATCTAAAAACGAATAATTTTAAAAATTTAAGGTTAAGATGCCCCTCTACAATTCCATGTCTTATTCTATTTTACCATTAGGCTAGGGTTATTCACGACCAGTTTTAATCCGTAAATTTACAAAAATGAGTGATTTCTAAAAACGGATTTAACTAAAACTCGAAACCGAAAACCAGGTTTATAAAACATGGATTAATCGAAACCCGGAGGGAACTGATTTATTCCCGATTAAACAACCCCAAGTTAAAGCAAACAATTTACAAAAAAAACAAAAAAAACTAACTATTACAAACAGAAACATGCTCAGGATTTAAATTTTGGGCAAGAATTGGTATAAATTGGTGTACATTTGGTTGTAGATAAGAATAACATGCTTTAGATAAATCTCCTAATAATGCAAAAGAACTTTGGCGAACTTCATTTGTTGAATCCTTTTTAAAAAATTTTTATAAAAAATTCAAAAATTCAAAAAAACCTGTGAACAAATATAAATAAGTTGATTTAAATTGCTTTGATCAACTAATGGCTCAATATAATCACGTAAAGCTTCAGTTAATTCTGAAAGAAGGTCCAATGCAACAATTAGAAAGTCTTTATCTGTTTGGTCATTTAGAGCTTGCTGTGTTGCTAAAATAATAATGAAGAAAATAAATACGAGTAAGATAGAGGTAAAGTTTAGCCCCGAGCATCGACCGTCGAGCTCCTAGCGCCTATTGCTAGCAGCCCTCGCTGACCTTGTAAAAGTTGTTCTACTTACTGACTGACACGAGCTACCGGAATGCAGCTTTCAGCTTCTCTTTTAATGCTGAATCTCCCTTGTCCCTTACAATAGTAAGGGAAAAATTTCTATTCTAAAATCGGAAAATAAAATTTTAAAATGACCCAGGTTTATTGGTCTACCTTGCGTTAAAAAATTTTTCTTAACCATATAATACGAGCCACAACCCATCACCCAATTCTTAAGAATAAAAAAATTCTTTTTATAATTTACAACCTGAAGAAGTTGCAGCAGCTGCCGCCTGACTTTGTTGTAACGTGTTAGAAATAATATGAACACAACGTTGAAACACAGGTTCAGCATATGGAAGAAATGAGCAATGTAAAGCTGTTGCTACAGATGAAATACATTCAAGTAGAGGAAATAATTCTTTATCATCATCTTTAAGTATTGCCCATTTAGCCATTAAAGGTTGCATTAACATATCTACAAATGGCGGATCTGCCAAATTGGAACCAACACTATCTGCTAGAGTTCCAACTGCATCATAGAGGATTAATAGGTTTTTGGCCTTGAAAAAAAATTTTTTTAAAAATTTAAATTAATTTTTAAAAGTAAAAACCTGGTATCGTTTGAAGGCTTCAACCAAAGTGCCAAGTATCTCCGCTAGGTAAGGAACAAGTTCGTGACCTAAAAATTATTTTTATAGACCTAAATAAGAAGAAAAATGGAAATTTTTTCTTGCATTAGTCCGAAAATGCTCCAATTTCGGATTAGGGCTCGAAATAAGGAAAAGACGCCGAAATCGTGATAAGTAGAGTTGTCGGTTCTGGACCGAACCGAAAAACCAACGATTTTTCAGCAACCGACAACTCTAGTGATCAACATGTAAAATTAAGTCAAATTTTTTCGCAAAAGAAAATAGAAATGATTTCCAAAAAAACTATACTCACTAGCTTCTTCCTCAAAGGTAGCAAAAGCAGAACAAGCAGCTTCCTACAATAGAAGCACAAATTAAAATTAAAAACAAAAAAAACAGACCTGTACACGTTTGTTTCTATCCAAAATACGTGCTAACAACTGAAAAGTTTTCATTTTCTTAATTTTTAATTTAAAAAATTAAAAAAACCTCTTTGAGCAATTGGTTAAACATAGGGCCCTGTGGTTGTTGAACGACATAATGACAATAACGAGAAAGTGTCCAGCATGTAATTGAGCGAACTAGAGCGCGTGTATGTTGAAGCGAGTTGATCAAATAAGGTATTAAATTTGGTAAATGGGGGGTCTGAAAGAAAAAAGCTTTTGGTAAAATTAAAAAAAATTTAAATACCATTCCATTCATACAACCTTCAGCAACTGCACCCAATGCTAAAATTCCACTTTCTTTAATCTGAAATATAAAAGAAAATTTAATAAAAAAATTTTTTTAATAACCTCCCAATGCTCAGAAAATAAAGTATCTTTTAAAATTGGTAATAAATATACAAGAAAATCATCGCTAAATACACCAGAAAGAACATCTAATGAGGCAGCAGCACATTTTCCTAAAAAATAAAAATCATCTCAAATTAATTTAAGACCCATGACAATCCCAGAGGAGGTTCAAAAACGCGATAAGTTCTTCTTTAGAGTCACATCCACGTGGATAGAATTTAACTTATCACCCATCCTCGTGTCGACATTCCCAGGGGAAACAAGTAAAAGTACAATACGGTGACTAAATTTTACTAGAGAAAGCCCAATATGTCCCTCAATATGTCTTCGTTCCTATGAAGAATGGAGAAAACCCATAATATGTTGACTAAAAAATCTAACTGCGATCGAAGATTTCAAATTATTGCTTAACCTCGAAAATTCCGAGTTGACTAATTAAACTCGTCTTACTTAAATTCCATTCTGTACTAGAATCATCATCACTTTCATCACCAAAATCTTCTTCATCATCACTTTCATTATTATTATTATTTCCAGCCTGTTGATTTGTATTATTATTTTCACCGTCTTGATGTGAAGATGCTCCTAAGCCTTGAGTCCTAGCTCTGTGAAAACGAGGTTTAATGTCTTCAATTCTATCAGGAACATTTGCATCGTCCTCTACGTCTCCCTAAAAAAATAAATTAAAAAAAAAATCAAGTAAAAAATCGAAACATATTCATGGTTAGGGTTATAGGAGACTGATTCTAAACCAAAAATTTTTGAAAATGAGTGATTTTGTAAAATATTCTCATAAAGACAATATTTAATGAAACACAAACCCAAAAACCGGGGGTCCCAGTTAATAACCATCCATCAAGAACAATATACTTCAAAAACCCCTATAGTTTTTGTTATATAGATAGACCTCAATTTACATAAAAACCTTTGGAGCTAAAAAATTGTAAGTAAAAAATGAAGTCGAAAGTTGAGAATTTAAAAAGTTGGGTGCATGTAAAATTGATATTCTATTAGTATTTCATTTTATATTTATAGTTAGTTTTTAACTCTAAATTTGGGAAAGAGCAAAAAAATTTCCAAAAATATTCCGAAAAATCACCTCCAAAGGAAAAACTTAAAATTAAAGCAAAAAAATTAAAAAAAAACCTTCAATAAAATAATATCCGTTTCAGAATATCTCATGCATTTAATTAAAACAGGAAGCAATTTTCCAAGAATTGGTGCCAAAACTTCTTTACAAATTTGTGGACTTTCAGCAAATGCTAACCAAAATTCACAGGCTTCTAAAGCAGTTTCTTCATTATTTGTATCATCTGTGCGTAAAAGCATAAATTCGGCAATATTTGGAAGTTGTGGAGCAATTTTTTCGATAAAACTTTCTAACAAGAGAGTAAGTGCACGGCAAAGTTGTTTTTGAACTTCCTTAAATAAAAAACCATAAGTGAAGACTTATTAAAGAATTGAGCTCTTTCTTTCAAAAAAACTCCTTGTAAGGGTATTATTAAAGATGGGTTTCTTTTAAATAGTCTCAAAGAGTGAGTGTGATATTCCAGGCATAAAATCTTCCAAAAGATCTTAATAGGAACCATATGTTACTGTCACTCGAATTTGATATTTTTTGGTACCATTCGATAGAGGACCCCCGACTTTCTATTGGATAGTGTTATCCGTTTTGTTGAAAAATGACTTTGGGCCTAGTTATGGCCGTTCAAAGTTTCAGTCCTTGGGATAATTTCTAATAAGATGGGTCGTCTGCTAAACATTCTCAGAAATGAGTGAGAGTCTGAGTGAGCATAAAACCTAACCAAGACACTCCCAAAAATGATGTAAATTAAGAAATTAACCTGATCATCATCATTAGCCAATCTAAACAAACATTGCAAAAAAGGGTCAATCACTCCAGAAATTGATTCATTATGCACCAAAAGAATACAATTTACTGCATTTACTGAAAGAGCGCGTAGTTTGCCAATTGGAGAGTTGAAAAAAGGAAGAACTTTTTCAATTAATAAATTAACATCTTCCGGTCGAAAACAAGCAGCGGAATCTTCACATATTTTTTGTAATGCTCCAAGGGTGCCCTAAAAAATTTATAAAAAATCATCAAAAAATAGCAATAATATTCCCTTAATCATATGTGGATTTAGTTATTAGGCCAACTAAATATGTATCGAATAACTACACCAATATGTATTAGAAAATTAGGAGCCCGGCAATTTTAGAGGTAGGCATCAAAAATCATAGGGAAAAATCTTAACACGGAAATTCCTCTAATTTCACAAATTTTCTAATACAATAGAACTACGTGTGCTTCGATAGCTTCTCATAAGGTGCTTTGTTAGAGTGTGGCTCTATTATAGGATTTAAAACTCCATTTTTAAAATAGCCTAAAAAAATGGATTTCCATCAAAACTTACTGACATTTTGTAATTTACCGAAAGGGTTTTCTCCAAGTCCAAATATTAATTTATAGAACCCCAACACAAACCTCATTAAAATTGTTGTCATGAGTCTCCAAAAAATGGCATAATGTAGGCAATAACTCCGGCCACTTTTCAACATTTTCATGTAAAAATATTGTTGTTATAATTATTCCAACAGTTGCCCTAACAAGTGCAGAAGCGTCTCCAATAGCTCCAAAACAATTTCTCTTAACATACAATTTTATAGGTTCCGGCAAATTTGGCCAATTATTTTTTATTGTGTTCTTTAAAAGTAAACCACTCATTGCTCGAATCTGAACCTTTAAAAGATAGAAAGTCAAGAAAATTACTTTAAAAATAACCTGCTCATTCATAAGCTTGCTGAGAATAAAGAGAAGATAACAACAAAATTGTGGATGCGTATTTAGTTGATCTAATTGCTAAAAAATTAATTTTTTTTTAAGGTTTTTAAGAAATTTTAGAAAAAATTCAGGAATTTTTGACTTGGTGCTTCATCATCAGAGCTGCACGAAAATTTCGTTTCGTAATTTCCCTGAGGAAAGGAGGAGATGAGGAAAAAGTAAGCCTTTCCTTGCCTTACTTTAAGTAAAAAAAAGGAAAATTTCTGAACATCATGAAACAAGTTTTTGTTCGGCTATGATCACTATGCTCTTGTGCTTCAGAATTCCTTTTATATATTTTTTGCATATAATCAAAAGGTGTGAGTTGTGAGATAAAAAAAAGAAACAATCTCCAAAAATTCATAATTTTTCAAAAATACGTTTCAAAAAAACCTGTTGAATCTGCTGCTGCATCTGTTTATCAGACGACTGTGAATGTTGCAATAAAGCAATAATCTTTAAAAAGTGGATTAAAAAGTGAAATTTAACTAAAAAATTAAACTTGTTGCAATTCTGATTGAGAAGGTTGCCAATTTTGCTCATCAATTTGCTGCTGCTTTTGTTGTTCCATTTTTAATTTAAACTGATTTTGTAAAAGAAAATTGAACAGATTTGAATAAAACTATCAAATTATGGTCTGAAATTAAAAATTTTAATTAAATTGAGCTGAAATCATGAACAAAATAATGCATAAAGTTACAGCATAATTTTACTAACAAAGGAGCCTCGCTAACTGTAACCAAAAATTTTTAAACAAAATCTCGCTTCCGCCTTGAAATTTAATGGGAAGAATGAGGAAAACAAAGCCGCTTACCAAACTTTGAAGCCCTATAACTTGTTAATTGTGGGGCAGGGCCGGAACCCTCAAAAATTAGCAATAGGAGACCATGCCCCGCACGATAATATACGCGATTATTTTTTAAATTTTTGGTCAGCTCGCGAGTTGTAAGAATGAAAGGGAATAAAGATAAAATAAAAAAAGGTATTAATATTGAAAATAACAAATGATAAAGTGCATTTAATAATTATTTAAATATTTATTAATTCAATTATGTCCATAAAACAAAATATAATTTTTTTCCAAAAAAACCTAAAAATAAACAAATACTATATTTCTCTAAATTTATTCCTTAATTTGTTCTTCACAATCTTCTTTATCACATTTACTTATATACCAAACACCAACGCCAAATGCAGCAAAAGTGAATCCTTGGGCTGCAATACGGCCTCTCATATAAAATTGTAACCGTCTCATATCCTTGCGATAAGATGCAAAAAGCATTGAAACAAGAAATCCTGAAGTGGCCATAACGCCAAGAGGAATAAATGGATTGATGGAGATTTTATCCACAAATTTTTGGACCTTGGTGGGGACTTCATCAGAGAATCCAATCCTTTGCTCACTGGAACGACCCTGGAATTACTGACAAGAATTATACCGTATTACCTCTAACTGAATGGCCGGGTTCTAATTTTCAATCATCATCCAAAGGGGCATTCTATTAGAGAGGAGATATCCAAATAGAGGGGCAGTCTATTAGAGGAGGGTATCCAATGGAGGGACATTAGTGGGGGTATTCAAATTGGGTAGGAGGGGCAGTCTATTAGAGAGGGGTATCCAAATGGAGGGGGCAGTCTATTAGAGAGGAGATATCCAAATAGAGGGGCAGTCTATTAGAGAGGGGTATCCAAATGGAGGGGGTGTCTATTAGAGAGGGGTATCCAAATGGAGGGGGCAGTCTATTAGAGAGGGGTATCCAAATGGAGGGGGCAGTCTATTAGAGAGGGGTATCCAAATGGAGGGGGCAGTCTATTAGAGAGGGGTATCAGAATAAAGGGGACAGTCTATTAATGGGAGGGGTATCAGAATAAAGGGGACAGTCTATTAATGGGAGGGGGGTATCCAAACGGAAAGGACATTTATTAGAGGCAATACGGTAACTTTAAGAAAATAAGAAACCTGTAACAGATCGGCAGGCATCATAGGAACAGCAGATTTCTTGTGTTTTACAGTGCTTTCATTATTTTGGGAATTATGTGCGGCTGAGGTTGAGGGCTTCTTTGGAGTTAATTGCTTCCACGTCATAAACTGCTTCCAATCACTTTCTGTTGAATTTTCGGTGGTGGACATCTTGTTAACCAGAATACTATGTACGATTTCTAAATTAAGTAACAAAATTAACAAAACTTAAGGGAAACAAGAAGAATCAACGAAAAAAACAAAATCGGGAAAATTTTACTTTTTCTCCAGCTTCTCTTTCCGTTTGTATTTTCTTTTCTCTCTATCTTTCACCTTCTCTCTCCTCTTCTACAAATTAAATAAACATAACGCCAAACATTAAATTATTGTATTTCTTTTAAATCCCTTATTTTTTCGGATTTCTTTGTGTTTTTTCTTCGGGGTTTTCTTGGTTTTTTTCATTTTTTTTTGTTTTAGCCCTTATTATTTTTTCATCTTCGAATATACAAGATGACTAGAATTGTACTTCCTGGCGATTTTATTACCGACAATTTTCTTGTTGTTTCAACTCAAGCGCCAAGACTTGTTGGATATGGATTGCAAAAACGTGAGGATGGTATTTATGCTGTAAATGCTGGAATACTTCATGAACATGATAATAAACTTTGGTTAAATACTTCAATGAAAAGGTTTTTATTTTCGTATTTATGGGGCTTAGGGCTTCTCTTTTGAATAGTTCATTGAAAGAGACAGGTCAAAATCCTTGCTAGAAAGGGTACATTCTCTATCGAATGAGCCCGGTCTCGATGTCGGAAACCTCGTTACCTCTCCTAGTTAACCTTGGATGAATCTTTCGATTTTATATATTTTTATTGTCATGATAACATAAGTTGAATGGGACTATTTTCTAAGGTAGGAAATACCTCTGGACAGAGATACATCCTCTGAATATCGTAAATCCATAGGAGGACCAAGTTTTGACCAGCTAGAGTACAGCCAAATTTTATTTACTATTTTTTGAAATTGTTTTTGATAGCTCTTATTCTTAATTTCTACCTTATACCTTTTTAAATTTATTTTTCAGGTACATTCCACACTCTGGCGATCGAGTCTTAGGCACAGTCACAGCTAAAGTTGGTGACATTTTTAGAGTTGACATTGGAGGGCCTGATTTAGCTCTACTCAATTATACGTCTTTTGAAGGGGCTACAAAGAGGAATAGACCAAATGTCAAAGTCGGAGATCTTATTTATGGACAAATAATTTTAACTTCGAAACATTTTGAACCTGAGGTTTTTTAAGGTTTTTTGAATTTCATTAAATTATTTTAAGCTTTCCTGTGTCGATTCTGAATCCCGTGCTAGAGGAATGGGCGTTATTTCAACTCCAGGACTTGTCTTCTCAGTCACTCTATGTCATGCAAGAAATCTGCTTAAAGAGAATGATCAAATAATTCCTGCTTTAGGAAAAGAACTTAAATTTGAAATTACAATTGGAGTGAATGGAAGGATTTGGTAATTTAATAATTATATGAGATGGTAAATTTTATAAAACCTTGATTTTTATTTTTGATTTTGGTTGAGGCCAGATGGTTGGACACGGTTTCGTGCCAATCGGAAGCCAGATTCTTGACCCTGAGTCAATAAAAATCAAGGAACGCTGAAAAATGATGATTGATTTCAACTCTGGATCTAGGAACGGCCAATCTTTAATAATCATTTTATTTTTTATCTTCATTTCAAACCTATTCAAAATTTAAATTTTACACTTTCCAAAAATTATTTTTCATTGAAAAATATTTTTTTTATTTTTTAAGGGTCGGAGGTGAACATTCAGCTGTAATTACTGTCCAACGCGTAATTATTGATTCAGAAACTACATTTAGTTCAAATATCCCTTTACTCATCAAAAATGCTTTACATGGGGTTTTTACATATTCTGACGAGACAAACAAAAATTACAAAAAAGAAAACATTTCTATGGATATCTCTTGACTACGGTTTTATTATATTTTGTTTTTTATTTTTAATTTATGAAGGAGATAAATAATTTATAAAAATCAAACAGGAATTTAGTTTAAAAATTTTTTGAACATGCTTAGCGTACTTGGGGTTTTTAAGATTATTTGAACTTAAATTTTGTAGGTTAGATGTTTTCTAATTTATTACTAAAATTCTATATTAGACACATTTTGGACACATTTTTACTCCTATTTTTTATTTAATTACATCAAAAGTCCAAACAGATTACCAAAAATAAATTCATTTTTCAATCCCTTCTACTTTTCTCGCATTTTTCTAATTTTTCTCTCAAAATTTTTTTAGCTTTTCCATTTTAAAGGGACCGGTTTTCACCTAATTTCTGTCAATTTTTATATCGGCTGGTCAAAGCTTTAACGACCGGTCTTTGACCTAAATTTGAGAGATCTCCTTCTCCCTATTGATGCATGAGGATTTTCGATCGCTCTCCCGTCAAAATAAAAAAAGAACGTTCTCTTAGCGAGAAACAATTCCTTTACGTATTTTTAAATTTAAAATAAAATTTAAAAAAAAATGAAAAATAAAAAGGACGATGTCCATAAAGAAAAAGGAAAAAATTCTTCAAATTTTCGTGAAAAGGAATTCGTGGAAAGGCCATCATTGCTTGAGTAAGAAAATTTTAAAAATTTATTTTTAATTAATTTTTTTTTATTTTTCAGAAAACATTTTAATGAAGAAAATGGACAATATCTTGAATTATACAATTTTTTCTTGGCAGTTTTTATTTTGGCTGTAATGGGAACTTGGTTGCATGATTTTTATATTTATGGAAAGTATGTTTGGTTAAATTTAATTTAACTTTTTTTACAAATCAGAAATTGTAAAAAATTAAATTATAGGGTAAATAAGGCTTAAATTAGAAATCAGAATAATATTTACAAGTTCATTATACTTTAATTTACAAATTCTGATTTATAAATTACAAATTCTTTTAAGTCGGTTAAAAATAAATAAAACCTTTTTTACAAATCAGAATTTGTAAAATAAATTATAGAGGTGTTTTGGTTAATAAACCTTACAAATTACATATCAGAATTTGTAATCTTAATTTACAAATTCTGATTTGTAAAAAATTAAAATTCTGGTATTTTATTTAAAAATAAAACTTTTTTACAAATCAGAAATTGTAAAAATTAAATTATAATTAAACTTATTCTGATTTGTAGAAAAATTAAAATTCTGATATTCTAGTTAAAGACAAAACCTTTTTTACAAATCAGAATTTGTAAAAATCAAATTATAATTAAACTTATTCTGATTTGTAAAATTAAAATTCTGATTCGCAACCTGGAATTATTCAATAATTTCTGGTTTAATTTCTGGTTCGTAAAAATTAAAGAAATTCTGAAATTGAATATTGATTTAAATAATTACTGTTCTGATTTGTAAAAAAATTAAATTCTGATTTTTTAAAGCTCATTCTCTCATTTCTATTAAATTAAAATTCTGATTTATTTAATTTTATTCCCTTTCAGCCCTCTTCATCATTTATGGCTTTTCCGCTGGAATTTTACCCAATTCCCTCAAACAATGCTTATATGGTTAATTATGTTTTTGTCTACTTTGATTTTTCCTTTTTATTTATTCAATTTTAAAACTACATCTATTTTTAATTTTTGGCTATTTATTTTTATTTATTGTCTATATCAAGTTGGCCTATTTTATTTTTCTTTGAAAGCTTTGTTTTGGTTGGAACTTCGAGGAGCATGTAAAATTTTAAATTTTGAATTTTTTAAAAATTAATTTTTATTTTTTCCTCTAAAAATTTTTATTTTTGTCAATTTTTTATATTTAAGGTTGCTTTATTATTACATGTGAAAACGTTTGTTTTGGATACTTTAAAAATTTTTTAATTCTTAAAAAAAATTTTTTTGCTCTATTTTAGACCCGTATTGCAATGAAAGTCCATTCTTTTGTGAGAGAGAATTTTTTTACTAATCCGACAAAAATGTCTTCAAAAACAACTGAACAGAACTGTGATAATTTGAAAAATTCGGACGTTTCTGAAAGTGTTGCAGATCCACAAAATTCAACAAAACCGTCATTGACACATTTTGTCTATTTTATGTTCTGTCCAGCTTTGCTTTACAGACATTCTTATCCAATGTATTTTTATTTTAATTTTTTTAATTTGAGGGGTAAATCTCCAATCTACCGCTTGTCCATTTCCACTGCGGGGCTTATAACCAGGCTTATTAAAATTTGAAAATTTTTTTGGCATTGTTGAGCTCCGTCGGATAGTATCAATCAACGATGGTTGGATTATCCGAAACCTGATCCGAATAAAATCTCTAAACTCTGAGACATGACCTTTTTTATTACTTAACCTGACCCATCCCTAGTACCAATCAACTTTCTCTGACAATTTTACATTTTGAACCATTACGGCTCTTTGGTAGATTGGACTCCCGCGGTAGTCTGGCCATGTCCTATTTTTATTTTCTAAATTTTATTTTCAGGTCTCAAACCCGAAGTTGGCTGAAAGTTTTCAACCACTTTATTCATTGCCTAGCTTCCATTTATGCTGTTAATATTTCTTTTACACAAGTAGTTATTCCTCTGTTTAGTCGGATTCATTATGGTGAAGATGGTCTTTATTTGGTGTTATTAACAGCTATTTTTCCTTCAATTATTCCTGGTTCTGTTTGTCTATTTATTGGAATTTTTTATGGATTGCTTCATTCATGTATGATTTTTCCATATATTTTTTAAAAATTAAAATTTAATTTTAAGGGCTTTCTATGTTTGCTGAAGCAATGTATTTTGCTGACCGACATTTTTATTCGGTGAATATTCCTGGTTTTTTTTTTTAATTTATTATTAAACTTCTGGAAGGTGAAAATTTTTTGTTTGTTTTCCCTTCAGGAATTTTAATATTTTTTTTTATCAACCGCCCAATATTTTTTTTTAATTTTTGGAGTGGTTAGTTACCCTCTTGAAGAATTTTCTTGAAATTCTCCCTTTGAAAAATTTTTAGATTTTCTTGTGAAAATTTTAGATTTTTTTGAAAAATTTTCAACAACAAATTTTACCAAAATTCTAATTTAATAAAAATATTCTTTTATAGAATTGGTGGAGCTCAAGAAACATGGCTTATTATTACCGTTCTTGGAATTTGGTGGTTCATGAATGGTTATATACTTATATTTATAGAGATATTAGTAATCTGGTTGGTATTTTAATTTTTGAAATTATTCAAAAAAAAATTTTTTAAAGCGTGGCTCCACCACTTTTGGCAATGCTTTGGCCCAAATGTCCGTATTTTTCATTTCTGCCGTATTTCATGAATATTGGTTCACTGTTGGCTTGAGAATGTTTTACCCTATTATTTTCTTCCTATATTTTGTAATTGGAGGTTTTTTTTTAATTTTTAGAAAATTTTTTAAAATTTTATTTTTATTTTGGGTATTATCTTCCTACTTTCTAATTTAATCAAAAAACCGTCTTCAACTTGGAATGTTGTTTTATGGTGGAATTTAACGCTAGGTAACAGAAAAATTTTTTTGAGAAAAAATTTTAGTTAAATTATTTTTATTTTATAGGGACAGGAATATTCTTTGCATGTTATGCTTCAGGTAATCCAATTTAAACAGGGCGTCCCTTCTAAAACACTAAAATAGGCCACTCAAAAATGTGGCAAAAATAGGGCGAAATTGGTCAAAAATGGGGCAAATGCCCCAGTAAATAAGGCAAAAGGGACACCTTGAATTTAACCTAATAAAAATTTAAAGAAAAAATAAAATTTTTCAGAATGGTATGCAAGACAAAAATGTTCAAAAATTTACGAGAACGATTTTTTGGATTTGTTAATTCCAAGGGTTTGGAATTGCCAACATCGCTTAAAATAATTTTTGGAAGAGAGGTTTAAAATGGAATTAAAAAAATTTTTTTCTGAGCGCGTTGTAATGCCAAAGCGTTCAAATGCCAAACCCTCAAAAGCCGTTGAAATACCACACAGAGGAAATGACATCGTCACATCTTTTGGGAGGTTTTTGGGGGTACCTTTTGGCATTATAACAGCATATGTGTTATTTCGTCTAATTTATTTTTAATTAGTTCACAATTTATTATTTTACTTTAAAAATTGAAAAAAAATTTTTTCTTCATCAGAAATAAATTTTGCAAAATTTTGAGAATATTTTTTATTTTATCTAAAATTTTTTTTTTATTTTTTATGTGCCTCTTAATTTAATTAAGAAATGTCAAATACCCCTCTTAAATTTGCCTTAATTACTGGTGCTAATTCTGGTATTGGTTTACATTTGGCCAAGTCTCTTTTTGCTTCTGGCAACTTTTCTTCGATTGTATTGGCCTGTAGAGATGAGAAAAAGGCGAATTTGGCTATTGAAGAAATTAAAAAATCTGTCAAGGATGTGAAAGAATTGACTACTAATTTGAATTTTTTGCAGGTTTTTTTTAAATTATTTTTGAAAATTAAGGGTAGAGTAGGGGAAGTGATTTTTGTAAGAGGGAATTTTTTGGAAAAGTAGGGAAAAAATTTCAGAATTTTTTGTTGCCTCCTTTGGCCTTCTCTTTGGCTTATTCCCTCCTGCCGCCATCCTCCCCCAAATCACTGCCTTTAGCGATTTTTTTCTGGAATTGGATTTTATTGATTTTTTTGGAAAAATAGGCAAAATATTTGGAAAAATAAAGGCAGTGATTTGGGGAGTCTGGTCTTGTGTTTATTTTTTGAAAATAATTTTATATGATAACACAATTTCTTCGTGGCCTTTTCCAGTTTAACACGTTCTCTGTTCATTAATTTAAAAATTTTTTTTATAAAATTCATTTTTATTTTCTAGTTAGATTTGTCTAGTAAAACTTCAGTTGAACAATTTGTCAAAAATTTTTGTCAAGTTTGTCCCAGAAATTGTCTCAATTTGCTGGTTAACAATGCTGGAATTATGGGACATCCTTACCAGGTATTTGAAATCTAATAATTCAAAAAAAAATTTCTTGAGATTTTTTTGGACCCAATTTTGAGGTATTAGTCATCAAAAATATTAGTCAAAATTCTCAAAAATTTCTAAAAAATTTTTTTAGTTATCACCCGACGGCGTCGAACTTCATTATGCTACCAACCATTTGGGCCATTTTCTACTCACCAATTTATTGCTTAAAAATCAAATGTTTGAACGATTTGCTCGTATTTTAATTTTGACCTCTTCTCTATATGAAAGGGTATTTTACTTTTATTTTTTTGCTCTATTTCGTCCACAAAATTAAAGTCCGCAATTTATTTTAGTCCGCAAATTTAATTATCCGCAAAAATTTTTAATAAAAAAATTATTTTCTTTTTCAGTTTCCTTATCTTTTAAACGTGGAAGATTTAAAATCTCCAACTCCATTATATTCATTAAATGATTATTATTCTCTTAGTAAATATGCCAATTTTTTGCATGCAGTTGGTTTAGCTAAACAATTTAAAGAAGACAGCGTAGAAATTAAAGTTGTAAGGTTTTAAATTTATTAAAATTATTTTTCGGATCTTTTTTCGATCAAATAATTCTATTTTTAGAATTATTTGGTATTTAAATTAAATTTAAAAATATTTACCCCTGAGCGGGTTCGAACTCACAACCCCCTATTTTCAGTATTTCCACTTAACCAAAAAGTTGGGATTTTAGATTTTTAATATTAAAAAGGGTAAAAAATAAAAAAATCATTTTAAGATAACCTCTATATTAGACATCCTCAATTTAAGATATCCTCTATTTTAAATACCCTCATTATAAGCGACCGATTTTTTAGCTTCAGGAGGTTTAATAATAATGTTAGACTATTTCCAATTTATTCAAAATTTTTAAACTCAATTTAAAATCAAAATTAAGGTATCGATCAGCCCCGGTTTTGTCCGTGGAACACAACTTGGAAGACATACAAATTATTTTTTGAGAACTTTGGCAACACCTTTAATTTGGTGGTTTTCAAAAAATTTGGACCAGGTTTTTTAATTTTGAATTTTTTAAGAAAGTTTAAAGGGTATTTCAACACTCCTTTATTGCATTAATTCTCCATATTCTGAACTTGAATCAGGCAAATTATATAAAAATTGTATGGTCAAAGAATTACCAGGTTTGGAAGTTACTATGCATGAACTTGTATCTAATGAATTGTTTGATATGGCTGAAAAATTGTTAAAAATTAATTAAAAAATTTTATTTTTTGATTTTTTGTCCAAATTAGTCCATTTTTAACGTTTAACTTAAATTTAAAAATATTTGCCCCTGAGCGGGTTCGAACCCACAACCCCTATTTTTAATTATTCCACTTAACCAAAAGGTTGAGATTTTCATTTTTAAAATTTAAAATTGATTTTTTCGTCTAAATGATGCTATTTATAATCATTTTTGATATTTGATTTAAGTTTAAAATTATTTGCCGCTGAGCGGGTTCGAACCCACGACCCCCCCCCCTTTATTTAATATTTATTTATTTATTGTACTTATAAATATTTAAAAAAATTTTTTCTATTTTCTATAATTTTTTTTTAATTTTTAATATACTTTTTTATGTTTTCCATTTAATTAACAAAAATTTTTCTTTCAAATGGCCGACTTTTTAATTAGCAATTATGAAAAGAATTATATTATTGATGGAGTACAAGCAGGCATTAGATGTGATGGAAGACAGTAAATTTTAATTTTTTTTATTTTTAAATATTTTTTTTAAATTTAAAAATGCTTTTTTCATTCAAATAATTCTATTTTTAGACATTTCTAGTATTTAAATTAAATTTAAAAAATATTTGCCCCTGAGCGGGTTCGAACCCACGACCCCCAATTTTTATTATTTCCACTTAACCAAAGGACTGAAATTTTAATTTTTTAAATAATTTTTAAAATTTAACATCCAGAAATTAATTGTTGTGGTGTGGTGGCTACTATAAAAGCCTCACACAATTGTCAGTCCGTGTCTCCTAATTGTCTCCTAAATATTACCCCAACCTTATTCTCTACTTCAATATTATTGTATTTCTATTGTGTGATAAACACATTATTGTATTGCTTATTTCTTGTTGTGCAGAGCACAACAAATTGGCGCGGTCGACTACGGTTCTAACCGTAAATTGTATTGGTCAAACAAATTGTTATTGAAGTATACAAATGATTAAATTGTTAGAACCAATCTTCAAATTGTGGAAAAATCCAGGATATTGCAAAGACGATGAAATTGAAAAGCCAATACGGCAAATTTTGAGAATTGAAACAGATCAGAATATTGAATGGCTTAAAACAAAAGCAATATTGGATGGGACCGAAGTAGAATTTATTTTAGATTCGGGAGCACAATTGAGTTGTATAAATGTAAAAACTTGGAGAAAAATGGGATCTCCAAAATTGTCTGAACCGAATTATTGTGGAAAAACCTTTACAGGAAGTGAATTTAAAATTGTTGGGAAATTCTATTGTATTGTTGAATTGGAAGGAACAAAAGAAAATTTATTGGTTACAGAAGAAAAATTGAATTTATTCGGTCTGCCATGGATTGTTAAATTGGAAAAAAAATTGGGTAGACCAATTGTGACAACAATCAAACCAGAGCAAAAAAGTAAAGAAATTTTAGCTATTGAATGCATTGAGGATATACGAGCTAAAATTGAAATTGAATTGCAAAATAAGTTTAAGAATGTATTTAGTGAAGGATTGGGTCATTGTAGAATGAGCAAAGCTCATCTTGAATTGAAAGCAAATGCAAAACCAGTATTTGTTAAGGCTAGACCTGTACCAATCGGGGTAAAAGATGCAATTGAAAAAGAATTGAATAGATTGGAAAAAATGGGTGCAATTAAACCTATTGAATTCTCCGATTGGGCAGCTCCTATTCTTGCTGTGAAAAAGGCAAACGGAAAAATCCGTGTTTGTATGGATTATTCTACTGGATTGAATGGAGTATTAGAATTGAATAGACATCCATTGCCAAGTCCTACGGACATTTGGACAAAGATCCATGGGAGCAAAGTCTTCTCACAATTGGATTTAAGAGATGCCTATTTACAAATTGAATTGGACAATTCGACAAAAAAATTGACGTGTATTAATACACATAAAGGATTATTTGAAGTACAACGATTGCCTTTCGGAGTTAAATCAGCACCAGCTATATTTCAAAAATTGATGGATAAATTGATTATTGGCATTCCTGGTGTGTATGCATATTTAGACGATGTGATCATTTGTTCTAAAACATTTGAAGATCACAAATTGAGTTTAATTAGAATTTTTGAAAGAATTGAAGATTGGGGATTGAAAATCCAATTGGATAAATGTAAATTTTTTCAAAAGAGATTGAAATTTCTTGGACACATTGTCTCTGATATTGGTATTGAACCAGATCCGGCTAAAAAAGAAATTATTAAAAAATTGAATTGCCCAAAAAATATAAAAGAATTGCAATCAGTCATGGGTACGATAAATTATTATGGGAAATTTGTGAAAGAAATGCATAAATTGCGAGGTCCTTTGGACAAATTGTTACAAAAAAATATTGATTGGAAGTGGGAAAAAGAACAGGAGTTCGCATTTGAGGAACTCAAGAGAATCTTGAGTTCAGAATTATTGTTAACCCACTTCGACCCAGATTTAGAAATTATTGTGACGGCAGATGCCTCAAATTATGGTATTGGTGCAGTAATATCCCATAAATTTCCGGATGGAACGGAAAGGGCAATTGAATATGCTAGTAAATCATTGAATTCAGCAGAAAAAAATTATAGTCAAATTGAGAAAGAAGGACTAGCATTGATTTTTGCAGTTGAAAAATTTCACAAATTGATTTACGGTCGTAAATTTAAATTGAGAACGGATCATAAACCGTTATTGGCCATATTCGGCAATAAAAAAGGCATAAAGGCATACACGGCCTCGAGATTGCAAAGATGGGCATTGACATTGTCGAATTACGATTTTGAAATTGAGTTTAGTAAAACACATGAAATGGGCATGGCTGATACATTGTCTCGATTGATAAATAATCAGGAGGAAAATGAAGACAAAATTATTGCATTGGCTGTAAAAAATAAAATTGATTGTGAGTCAGACAATGATTGGAGTCAAGCCGAAGAATCAGTTAAATACATTTTTAATGTATTATTGGAAGAGAAAAGATTGGATATTAAATTGTTAAAAGAAGAAACAGAGAAAGATATTGAATTGAAATTGTTGAAAAATTACATTACAGATCATTGGCCTAAGGAGGTTAAAAAAGAAATGAGATATTGGTCGAATATACGACAGAATTTACAAGTAATTGATGATTGTATTGTTTTTTCAGATAAGATAATAATTCCAAAAATATTGAGGGAAAAAATTTTGCATTTATTGCATGAATTTCACCCTGGAATTTCAAAAATGAAAGGTATTGCTAGAGAATATCTTTATTGGCCTAATATGGGAAAAGATATTGAAAATTGGGTTAATAATTGTGCTGAGTGCCAAGGGGCCGCAAAAATGCCAGTAAAAGAAGAATTGTGTCCATGGCCTGTTACTTCAAGAAATTGGCAACGATTGCATATTGATTTTGCTGGTCCATGTAAGGATGGAAAATTGTATTTGATTGTTATTGATTCTTTTTCTAAATGGCCTGAAGTTTTTGGTAATATGACAAATTCAGCTAAAGACACAATTAAAAGTCTTAATTGGTTATTTACCCATTATGGGTATCCAGAAACATTAGTTTCGGATAATGGAAGTCCATTTCAGTCGATTGAATTCAAAAATTATTGTATTGAAAAAGGAATTAAACAATTGTTTAGTCCACCTTATCATCCTCAGTCCAATGGCCAAGCTGAACGTTTTGTTGATTATTTTAAGAGAATGATGATAAAAAATTGTAAAAACAAAGATTGGCTTCAAGAAGTATTATTAAATTATAGAGCATCGCCTAATGAATCATTGGGAGGGAAAACTCCAGCAGAAGAATTTTTGAATAGAAAATTGAGATTGAAATGGGATGCTCTAAGACCTACAAATATTGAATTGAATAAAAAAATCTTATTGTCACCTAAAAGGGAAATTGTTAGAAATAAAATGAAAAATTGGTTCGATAAACATCATGGAACCAAAGTACATAATTATGAAATTGGTGACCAAGTTTGGTTCACAAATTATAGACAAAACAAAATTGTTTGGTTAGAAGGTGAAATTGTAAGTAAAAAAGGTGTGCTTTACACCATATTTGCTCCTAAATTGAAAACAGTAATTACTCGCCATTCTAACCAATTGAGGAAACGATTGCACATGGAAACAAAATTTTATAACAATGGTGAAATCAACAACCAAAAAATTGAACGTAAATACGAATTGAGAAACAGAACAGTGTATGTTAGTAATCAATTGAATTGTGTCAAACGCTCCAATGCGAGGCTGTATAATGAAGGTGCAACACCAAAAAAGAAGACAAAGATCTGGTCCGAAAATTTTGAAGATAAGATGCAGAGCTGTTCTGAGGGATCGTTAAATTCTGAGGGCTTGATAAATTCTGAGGGTTCAAATATTGCTGAGGGATAGATGAAAGTAAATAAAATAAATAAAATATAAATACAGTAGTCGACAAAAAGATAGGGACAAACGCAAGTGAAATGGAAATCACCTATTTTCTCACCTAAAAATCGATTTCAGGAAAAATTTTTTGTTTGATTAAATACGCCATTCAATCCTCTATTTAATAAGTAGAAAATTTGCCTGATTAATATTTTATGAAATCCAACCCATATTGAAAAACAAAAGGTATGCTATTTTAAGCGCGACAAAAAGATAGGGACAAGTCTTGTAACTAAGTTTTCATAAAAGCAAAAAATCTGAAAAAATTTGTATAAGCATATTGATTGATACTAAGTTGAAATAAAAAAGAACTAGGTCCATATCTCATTTGGTTGTCAAGATCCCGATACCCCAAAAATCAACGTAAAACAGGGGTAAGCAACTTCAAAATTTTTTTCAACGCCTTATTGATTGTTTTATTTTTTTCATTTTAGGCTCAATCGATAGCCCATGAAATTTGCTATAAACTAGCCAAATTTCATTTTTCAAAAAAATTTCACTCCAGAGTTAAAGGACGACGATTCTCCAAAACGCTGTTTATGAAGGAATTTATGGGGCGCTTGTTGTTTTTTGTGACATTAGCCTCTACAGCTAACGAAATATTTTTTTCTGAGAAATGAAATTCGGCTTGTTTATAGCAAATTTCAAGAGCTATCGAATAGGCTCAAAATAAAAATTCCAAAAAATCCATAAGGGGTCGAAAATATTTTCTGAAGATGCTTACCCCTGTTTTACGTTGATTTTTGGGGTATCGAGATCTCGACATTGAAATGAGATATTGGCCTAGTTCTTTTTTATTTTATCTTAGTATCGATAAGTATGTTTGCACGAATTTTTGTAGATTTATTGGTTGGGTGACTAATAAGTTACAAGACTTGTCCCTATCTTTTTGTCGGGCTAAAATTTGCAGTACTTTTTTATTTCAATTATTTCAGTATATCAAAAAATAATAATACGCCAGATCTTATACTCATTAAATAGAGGATTGAATGGCGTATTTAATCAAACAAAAAATTTTTCCTGAAATCGATTTTTAGGTGAGAAAATAGGTGATTTCCATTTCACTTGCGTTTGTCCCTATCTTTTTGTCGACTACTGTATGTTCTTTTGTTTGTAAAATTGTATTTTTGTCCCTTATTCCCTCAAAATTTTTTTGTATGTATTTGTTGACCGGACTTTTGTTATTGTTTGTATGTTTTGTATTGCGGTGTTGTAACCCCAGCCTTGCAAAGGGGGAGGTGTTGTGGTGTGGTGGCTACTATAAAAGCCTCACACAATTGTCAGTCCGTGTCTCCTAATTGTCTCCTAAATATTACCCCAACCTTATTCTCTACTTCAATATGTATTATTGTATTTCTATTGTGTGATAAACACATTATTGTATTGCTTATTTCTTGTTGTGCAGAGCACAACATTAATAAAACATAAAATATTCAGATTAACAGACTATCGCCCAATTTCCATCGAAACAGGCATTCTAGCTGGAGCTAATGGTTCAGCACGTATACAAATTGGTTCTACTGATGTCCTTTTATCTGTCAAGGTTTTCTTTTATTAAAAATTATTTTTTAAAATTTATTTTAAAGGCAGAATTAAACACAACAACAGACCCGATTCTCTCAAATCGATTAAAATTTTTTGTTGATTTGTCCGCCAATGCATCCCCCAAATTTGCTGGAAGAGGAGGTCAAGAACAGGCAGAGGAATGGGCAAAAACTTTGTATGCTGCTTATGATAATGATTATATTATGGGTGTGTAGAGGTTTTTTAACGTTAAAAAATTTTGAAATTAGGAAAAAATTGAATTTAAAAATTATCTGGTCCCGAGCGGGTTCGAACCCACGGCCCCCTCTGCTTGTCTATAAAAATTATTTCCTTGACTTAAAAAATTCTTTCCGTCTTTTCTTTTATAATTTTTCAGTTAATTTTAACTTAAAAAATGTTTTAAATTAGGAAAAAATTCAGTAAAAAATTATTTGACCCCGAGCGGGTTCGAACCCACGACTCTCTCTGCTTGACCTTTCAAATTAAATTTTTTTCGCTTGAAAAATTTTTTCCCACTCTATTTTATAATTTTTTAGTTGAAAGTATGAAACGCCTATTGTTAGCTCCACCTTTACATTATTGGACATTATACGTTGATGCTATAGTACTTCAACATGATGGGAATATTATGGACGCACTTTCTTTGGGGGTAAAAATTTTTTTTAATTTTTTTAGAAATTTTTTAAAAATATTTTTGAGAAACTTTTAATAAAAATAAATTTCAAAAAATTCTTAAGTTTACAAAAAAAAAATTCCAAAAAAAAATTAAAGGTAAAAGCAGCTCTTTTCGATACACAAATATGCAATGTAATTGTACGCCCAGCTGATGAAGGAAAATTTCTTATTGATTTACCCGATGAAATTAGTACTTGGAAATTGGATGTTACAAGGTTTTGTTAAGAATATATTTGCTTTTTAAAAATCTCCAAAAAGAAAAAGAATTTATTTTTTTAAATTTAAGTAGATGGTTGTGGGGGGGGGGGGGGGGGGTCGCAGGTTCGAACCCGCTCAGGGTCAAATATTTTTAAATGATTTTTAGAGTCAAGTAGAACGTAGAGGAGGGACGTTGGTTCGAACCTGTTTGGGATTAAATATTTTTAAATGATTTTTAGGGTAAATTAGAAGGTAGGGAAGAGACGCAGGTTCGAACCCGCTCAGGGTCAGATATTTTTAGATGATTTTCAGAGTAAAGTAGAATGTAGGGGAGGGATGTAAATTCAAAATTTGTTCAGTAAAAATTATTTTTAAGTTCAAATTTCTAAAAAAATCCATTTAAAGCGCCCCTTTAATTGTTGCTGTAACTCGTATTGGAAATCAAACAGTTTTCGATTTGGACCTCTCCGAAGAGTTGTGTTCTAATAATACTTTGTATGTTGGTATAAAACAAGGAGAAAATGAAGAGGATAATTCTGAGGTTTTTTAAAATTGTTTTAAGTTTGAATTAAAAATTGATTCAAAAAATTTTTGATGAGGGGAATAATTGGAATATGAGACATTTGTAGTGTAGTGGTTAAGGTGGTTACTTTTTGGGGAGTGGAGGGTAAAGGTTCGATACCTCTTCATGCCCAAATATTTTTGGTGTTTGGAAAAAGCAAAAAGATTAAATTTTTAAAGATTTAAAATATGTATTTTTTAAATTTTGGAATTTTTTGAGGATTTAAGGTACTTGTAGTGTAGTGGTTAAGGTGGTCGTTTTTAGGGTGTGGGTTCATACCTTTTCAGTGCTCAAAGGTTTTTGGGGTTAAAAAAAGCAAATATTTTATTTTTTAAAATTTTATCAGGTTTAAAAATTAAAAAAAATTTTTCAGAGTTTAATAACTTGTATTAAAAAAGTTGGTGGTGGGGCAGTAGAAATTGATTCAATGATGGAAATGTTAGAAAAAGCAACTCATATAGCAAGGAATTTAAACTTTGGATTGATGAACAAGTTAAAAAAAGATGAAGGTTTGAAAGAAAAAAGGACCAATTTTCCAAGTATTTTTTGAATTTTTTGAAAAAAATTTTTTTTTTTGAATTTTTGAAAAATTTTGAAAATCATTTTTAATTTTAGCTATTATTAACCAGAAAAAAAGGAAAAAAATTATAATTTTAACAGAAGGGTCGGAATATTTTAAATTATATTCCACATTTTTACGACAAAATTTAAATATATTTAAACAAATTTAATTTTTAATAGATTCGCCAGCAACCTGTTAATGTTGTTCTGTGGTCTACTTTTATTCTTCTCAAATTTCCTAGTATTTTTTGAAAATTAAAAAAAAACAGAAAAATCGCCACAGGAAAAAATTAACAGGTCGCCAATAACCCCAAATATTAATTAATTATATCATTTTAATTATCTCAAGTGAACCATTGCCATTTTCTTTATTCATCCTCTTAAAATTTTCTCCATATTTTAGCACCTCTTTATTGAAGTCTCAAAGAGAAAACCATCAACAAAAAGTCCTCATAATGAATTTTAACGTAGCCATCCTGGTCAGTATCCTTCTCACGAAAAGCAGCCGTCAACGTCTGAAGGACAACACAAAGTTGAATAAAGTCGTCGAATTTGATGTTTCCCGAGTGGCTACGGTCAAACTTTTGGATTGCCATGTTGTAGAAACGGTCAGAAAGACGATAACCTTTGTAAGAAAAAAATTTTTTAGAGGGGGTGGGGACGGAAAAAATTTTTTAATTTAAAATTCGGGGGCTTTTTGAAATTAGACGTTGTGAGGAAAATTTTTATTAGAAAATTTTTTAACGAAATTTGATATTTCCCGAATGGCTCGAACTTCGGGAAAATTCAATACTGGGCCAGTCCGACTGAGAATTTGCAGCAGAAGCAGCAGCAAATTTTTAAAAATTTTATTAGAAAATTTTTTCCTCGCAACGTCCAATTTCAAGATGCCCAAATTTTAAATTAAAAATTGAAATTTCCGTCCCTCTCTTTTTTCCTCCTAAAAAATTTTTTAGAAAAAGGAAGGGAGTGGAAGTTTTCAAGTTTTTAATTTTAAAATTGGATGGTTTGAAATAGAGATAGGAAATTTTGAAAAGCCTGGGCCTGTTCCTGTGTTCCGGGTTTGATTTATTGACCTGGGTCAGATCCTGGGCCTGTAGTCCAGGGAAAACCCAGGCCCAGGAAAAACCCAGGAAGGTCAAAAAATGCCTGGGCCTCGACTCAGGGTACAGGAAAACCCCAGGCCTTGGTCCAAACCCAGGCACATCTCTAGTTTGAAATAGGCATTTTTTAAATTTAAATTTTCTTAAAAATTATTTAAAAAATTATACCAAATTGAGTAAGCGCATTCTTCAACTCGCCCTTATCAATGCTTCCCGAATTATCACGGTCATAACTACGAAAAGTGTTGCTCCAATCGTTGATGTACTGAAAACGAAAATTAATTTTTAATTTTCTTAAATTTTATTTTAATAACCCTTCCCCTTCCAATTAACCTCCCAAAAAACTTTTTTCTTGCCCGCAAACGCCCTCTTCTTCTTACCTCGCAGTCCCTCTATCTCTTCTTAGCAAACTAAAAAATGGAACTTATTTACTTTGCATACCCCATTACCCCAAGCAACCGTTGACGAGATGCATGCCAGCACCTCGCCGACTCCCATAGGGTTGATTGACCATTTTAAGCCTCTTTTGAGCTTGCGAATGAAAAACCCCCTTACTCTTAACCCCTCCCATGCAAAAAATTTTTTAAACCCCCTCGAAAATATCCTTTATCTCCCCCATACCCTTTTCCCCTTCTTTTCCTAACCCCTCAAAAAACCTAAAAATAAACTAACCGCCCAAAGAGACTGAAATTCATTAAATCCAATCCCTCCATCATTGTCCTTGTCAAACATCGAAATCATCATTCGGCACGTTTCCTGATTAAATGGTCGCCAACTTCCATTAGACAAAGCACGTTGCAATTCATTTGTGCTAATCTTTCCAGATTTGTCTTGGTCGACAGCTTGGAAATAGCCGTAAAGGAGGGGGTTTTGAGCCATTTTTTAGAAATTTTTCTTTAAGCGTTTTCTAGAAAAAATAGGGAAAATTAATTAACGAGAAGCACATGAAACGAGCAAAAATTAAAATTAAAGAGAAATGCAAGGCCGACTAAACAAACAAACAATGACGCACTTCTTTAAATAACACGATGATTTTTGGGGTACAAAACGGCGCGCGGCCATAACGGCGCAGAGCCATAACTTGCTTCAAGATTTCCTAATCTTACCAAAATTAGTTTTAGAAGATTCCTCTCATCGAGCTAAGGAGATTGGTATCAAAATTGATAAAGGTAAGACATTTTCAACCAAGTTATGGCTCTGCGCCGTTATGGCCGCGCGCCGTTTTGGGCTGTACCGCTTTAAATAACACGATGATTTTTTGTTTTTATAGGGGAGGGATCAAATGTCATTTTTATAATTAATTGAACACATCGCCAAGTTAGGGTTCGGAAACCAAGTTAAGGGGTCCGGAAATAATTTAAAGGGTTCAGGAAAAATTTCCGGATCCGGAAATCGGATTCTGGCCTTCTTTCCTCTTACAGGAAGACCCGGACCTGGCCGGGGTTTCTTGCTCAATCCGGCCCGTAAATCGGAAATCGCGAAAGAAAATGCAAAAGAAAGATGCAGATTTAGGACCTGAACTCCGAAAATTCCCCACGGCTTTGTCCAGCGTCGAATACTCTAATTTTTAATCTAATTAACTGATATTGAGAAAACCAGCCCGCTTTATAAAATGGGTAAATTTTAAAGGGTGAGTCATCATTTAAAAACAAATTTTTCTCTCAAAGATATAGAGTTTTAAAAATAAACCACTAAAATATAAAAGGAATGACAACGAGAATAAAATAAAAATTTTTATTCGTTAAAAAAATTTTTTTTTGAAGTGAGAAATAAAAATGTAAATAAATATGTGTGAGTAAGGCAATAAATAAATAAAATATAAAAATGAGCATGGTTGGTTGATTCACATGAAATAAAAATAAAATTCTTTTTTTTTCTATTTTTCGTTGTTAAATTGAGAAGGGAGGGGCGAGGGGGAAAGAGAAGAAGAGGAAAATAATAAAATTTAAGAAAAATAAAAAATATACACAAGTTAACATTTAAATGGTTGTTCCTTGTTAGACACGTTGTTGTTGTTATGTAGTTGATTTGAATATTTTAAATTGTTATACCTTACCTAGAAAATTTAAAAAAAATTTTTTGAAAAAATTTTAGAAATTGTGGAAATTTTGAAAAAAATTTTTTTTTTAATTAAAAAAATTTTTTAGAAATTTTCTAAAAAATTTTTAAAAATTCAAAAAAAAATTTTATTGAAAAATCTCAAAAAATTAAAATTTTTTTTTAAATTTCAAAAAAATTTTAAAAAAATTCCGAAAAATTTCAAAATTTTTTTAAAAACTTTAAAAAAAAATTTCAGAAAATTTCAAAAAAAATCTCAAAAAAATTTCACAATTTTCTTGAAAAATTTCGAAAATTTTAAAAGAAAAAATTTTCAAAAAAACAAACATGAGGCAATTGCTGATAATATTTTTCATTGATATTAATCTCCCGAGAGAGCCTACGAGCTGCCAAGGTGCTTAACCAACAAAATATTGCACCATAATCGAAGGAAGGCATCTAAAAATTAATTAAACTAATTTTCCAAAAGATGACATTTTATCCCAAAAAAATTTTTAACCGAAAGTTATAGGAAAAAGGGGGAAATCGACGAGTATTTATTTATTCTTAACCTCCAAATAAATTAAAAAAAATAAAAACTCAGAAAACCGACCAATTTATTAAAAACGACATTTTATCCCACAGATGACATTTTGTCCCAAAAAATTTTTTTACCGAAAATTGAAGGAAAAAGGGGTAAATCGACTAGTATTTATTCATTCTCAACCTCCAAATAAATTTTTAAAAAATAAAAGCCCGGAGAATCGACCAAAAAACCAAAAATTATTAAAAACGACAGTTTGTCCCAAAAAATTTTTTAAGCGAAAATAGTAGGGAAAAGGGGGAAATCGACGAGTATTTATTTATTTTTAACCTCAATAAATCTAAAAACTCAGAAAATCGACCAAAAAAGCAAAAATTATTAAAAATGACATTTTGTCCCACAAATGACATTTTGTCCCACAAATGACATTTTGTCCCAAAAAAATTTTCTAACCGAAAACAACCATTAAGAGGGTCAATAAACCTAATTTATTTCTAACCTCAAAATAAATTTTAAAAAATTAAAAAAAAACCATTTTATTCAAGTAAAAGTGTAGTATAGCCCTTCCAATGTGAGGCAAATCCTCTACTCCATAAACACAAACATCGTGTCTCAAGTAATCGCTCATACAACGATTGGTTTGTTTTCCATAAGTTCGCCATATTACATACCTTTTTTGAAATAAAAAAAATTTTTTGGAAAAATTTTTTTAAAAATTTTCAAAAAAAATTTTTCAAAATTTTCAAAAAAAAATTTTTGAAAATTTTTTGAAATTTCTGAAAATTTTTTGAAAATTTTTCAAAAAATTCAAAAATAAATTTCAATTACCTTCCCATACTGTTGGCAACTTTATTCTGATATTTTAGACAGTCCAAGGTAAATCCTCCTGGAAAATCGGGCAAATTGCTGTTTAGGGTGGAATAGAGGACCTTAAAATTTTATTAATTAAATGAAGGCGGTTGAAAAAAATTTTTTTGATTTTTAAAAAAATCATTGGATTTTGGGTCCTTGGAAAAATTTTAAATTTTTTTAAAAATTTCAAAATCCTTGGATTTTGTCTCCTATAGAATTTTTCTAGATTAAAAAACTAATCGCTTCCTTCCAACACGCTGACACGAGTTCAAATTAGAGACAGGCGCGGGACGGGATCCCGACGGGATTTTCCGGGATCCTGAAATACCGAATATTTTTGATTTTCGGGATCATTCGAGACCCGGAATTTTTTCGGGATTTATCTTGAAAAAACCCGTCCCGGCATCGGTTAAGAAAAAAATCCCGACTCGGGATCCCGGAAGTTCGATCTTGCCGGTCTCTAGTTCAAATATAATTTTTTGAAATATAAATTTTTCTAGAAGTTGAGCTTGGCCCCCTTATGATTTTTTTAATTTTTGGGATTGTATTTTCCGTTTCCTATAAAAAATTCTCATTCTAAATTAATCCCCATTTCTAATTTAAAAATTAAAAAAAAAATAAAAAAAAAACCTCGTCCATTCCATATCTACTCTTTTCCAACTGGTCAATAAACGGGTAAACATTCAACTGTTTAAGAGTAAAATTAACAGCAGCTCTAGACAGGACAATTAAATTTAAAGATTTTGTGTGGTTTAATTGTTTAATGTTTGGAGGGTAGGCATTTTCTAAAATTTTGGAAAAATTATTTAATTTGATTTTTTCCGATTTTTGGGATATTATGTCACCCTCATATAAATCTGAATTTTTTCCACTATATAGAGACAACTAACGGACTTGTACTTAACTGCTAGGCTTGGGCCCTATGCCTGATGTCAATTGCGGAAATTGCCTTACAATTAGAATAGTCCATGTTTGTGGGGAAATCTGCCTTACAGTTAGAGTAGTCCATGTTTTTGGGGAAATCTGCCTTACAATTAGAGAGTCCGGCATCAGTTAGGGAAATTCGCCTTACAATTAGAGAGTCTGGCATCAGTTGGGGAAGGTTGCCTTACAATTAGAGTAGTCCCAAAAAATTTTTTTTCGGCAAACTCCAGGTGCAGACAATCAAGCCGAGGGAGTCATTCGGGTCCAGCTTTGCCTGTAACCCTCAAGGGACAAGGTATTGCCTACCTACTACTTACAAGTATACCTTTTCCCCTCCATAAGTCCCCCCCCCCCCCACCAAGATTTAATTAAAAAAAACCCAAACCGTCTCTGTAAAGCCGCAATCCTTTCAATGACCAATCCAGCGATTTAACAACCGTGTTTTTTACAATATTTTTTGTGGCGATATCGTTTGTTCCGTTGTATGCTTTAAATATGCGGACAAGTTCAGCGTTGGTACGTAGAGGTAAATCGTGATTCTGAAAAAATTTTTTTTTAATTTTTTGAAAATTTTTTTGAAAATTTCCTTAAAAATTTCAGAAAATTTCTTTGAAAAATTTTTTAAAAATTTTTTCCCAAAAATTTTTCCTTCTAAAAATTTTTTCTAGAAGGCGACCGTCTCTTTAAGACTAAAAAATCGCCAAAAAAATTCATTTAAAAATTCATAACAAATTTCAACCCAAACTTAACCACTTTAAACCTATTCTATCTTAAAGCCCTGATTTTTCTCTATCGTTTGATACTAAAATTAAATTTGTATCTCTATTCAAACCCAAATTATGAATTTTTAAAAGTAGGCAACTTGAAGGGAATTAAAAATTTAATAAAATGTAACTCGTCATTGACGCCCAATAATTAATTTTTAAATACTGGGCAACGCCTCTAGACGATTCTAATATTTTTTATCATCAAACAGGTAGTCATTAAACTTATTTAGAAGAAGCAAATGACTGTTTTTTGATGTGGGGAGGGTGGGGGAATCGAACCTTAAAGGGGGTGGTGAAGTGGAGGGAAAGGGACTAACACACTAACCACTCGGCCATAAGTTGGTTGGGGGAAGAAAATTAATTTAAAAGCTTTGGGTTGGGTTTAAGTGGCTAAAATAATTAGAAAAAATCCAAAAAAATTTTTTAAAATTCCAAAAAAATTTTTAAATTTTTCAAAAAATTTTCAAGTAAATTTTTAAAAATTTCAAAAATTTTTGAAATTTTTTTGAAGAAAAATTTTTTTTAGTTCTTAAAAAATTCCGAAAATTTAAAAAAAAAACCCTAAAAAATCCCTAAAAATTTTCAAAAAAAATTTCAAGAAAATCTTCAAAAATCCCCAAAAATTTAAAAAATTCCCTTAAAAATTTTTCAAATCAAACCTGCAGTAAAACAACATATTTCCAGTCTTCTTTCCTTTTATTCAATTTTTCAAGACACGATAAATGTGAGCGACTGACATTTTTACCGCTGCTGTAGACATTGTATTCTTCATCAGAAACAAACACATTTTTAGAGAAGCAACGGGAGAGGGCTCGGATGCGTTCCTTGAATCTGTTAAAAAATTGAGGGATATTTAAGGGAAATTTTTTGGCGTTTTGAGATTTTGGCATTATGAAAATTTTGGCAAAATGAAAGTTGACATTTCGAAATTCGACATTTCGACATTTTGCTTTCGACATTCCGATTTTCGACATTTTGAAAATTTGACCTTTCGAAATTCGACATTATGAAATTTGACATTTTGACATTCGACATTTTGAAACTATGACATTTAAATTTTCGACATTTTGACATAATTTGTTAAAAATTAAAATTTTAAAAATACTTTTTGTCAGCCTTTCTGTCCAAAGAATAACAATAAACATTATGGGGTGCATATTCAACAGATAACATTTGTTCAAGCATTAAATAATCCTTTAAAAAATAAATTTAATTAAAAATAAATTAAAATTTACCCTATAAACAGTCCTAGCAAAAGCTATAGGAAACCGTTTTTCTTCATCAGAAATTTCCCCAAAATTCTGAAAAAATTTCCACCGATTTTTAATCGAATTACAATCAATTTTCAAGTCGTTTAAATCCCTCTGGACAATTCTTTTGAGTTTTATTGAATTTATATATGATTTATCTTCATTCAAAATTAGGGAACAATTTAAGGAGTTTATTTGGTTAAAAATTTTTGGGCCTAAGGCTGATTGTAAATAATTGTTTGTTTTGGTGTTGGTAGTTGATGGTGTTGTTAATCTTTAATTTAAACGAGAAATTTAGTTTATTTTTTATTTTTAACTTGCAAGTTTTAATTGAAAAAGGATAGATGGAGAGATGGTTTCGAGTACGATTGCGCCTGCGCGGATGGCTATAAATTGGCCTAGAAAGTACCTAGAGACGTGAAATTTTGCATAAATATTTTCAATACTGTTAACTAATGATTCTGAAAATTTCAGAATTTTTGATTTGGTATAAACCGAGTTATAGACAAAAATGTAAGGGACAGTTGAACTGGAGGTTTTGGGTACGATTGCGCCTGCGCGGATGGCTATAAAACAGTCTATAAAATACTTAGAGACGTGAAATTTTGGCAGGATATCCTTGATACTGTTAGCTAATAATTCTAAAAATTTCAGAATTTTTGATTAGGTATAAACCGAGTTATGAACAAAATGTCTAAAATGTCGAAAAAAGAGTTACTTTAGTTTTTTGACCATAACTTTTCTGTTTTTGCACCTAAAATTTTGAAATTTGGAGGGATGATAGACAACACTATTGAGAATATCTGTGAGAAATTTTAAGGCTCTAGGTTCTCTTTAGGCGATTTTATAAGGTTTTATAAGGTCAAAAGTAGGCGTTAGTAGGCAAAAGAGGCTTCCTGGATGTCCCTTTTCTACCTTAATTTTTTTCTAAAATTTTTTTAAATTTACCTTAAATTCTTTTTCCATCTAAAATTAAAATTCGAACAATATAAATAAAAATAAATAAAAATAAAGATCAATAATATTGAGACTAGAAAATTTCTTTTCTTTGGGGTGAACATGCGCAACATAAAAAAATAATATATTAATAGAAAATAAAATAAATAAAAATAAAAATGAAAGGGAGAGAGAAAATATTTTTATTTTAAAAATATATGATGAAGTATTACTTACTTTTACGTTGCTGATATTACTCTCGCGCAGTAAAAAAAAAATATTTTTTTTATTTTTGAAAAAGGAGGGAGTAAATTGATTTAAAGTGAAATTTTTTTGAATTTAAAGAGCATTTAAAAAATAATTTTTTTTTGTTGACTAAAATAAATATTTTTTTGTGTGTTTAACTAGGTAAACAAATTAAAAATTCTTGAAAAAAAAAATTTTTTATGCAAATAAAAAAGAATAAAAATTCATTTAAAGTTGCGAAATATGTAAAGAAAGAGGGAGAGAGAGACACACTAACGCAGTTCACGTTTAATACACAAACTGATTAAATGGCTATTTTAAATGAATTTTTAAAAATTTTAACTGTGTAAACTATCTACTAACTTAAAAAAAAATTTTTTTTAATTTTTATATTTACTTAAAAAAGACGAAAATCAGTTGTGCGTTGTCCATGAAACTCCCCTTCATTTTAAAATATAGGTGAACAAATATGCTTACGAAATCGTGGAAAAATTCCATAGATCCAGAAAGAGGTCCCAATTTACCTTTAAAGCAATTCAGTTTACTTCTGAGATCTGAAAAATGCTTTGGGACCCGACCGGGTTCGAACCTTCCACCTATAATTGAAAGCAAACCCACTTAACCACAAAAATTAAATTTCAATTTTTATTTTTTTTGTTTCTTTGGCATTCTGATTTTTGTTAAGGATGCTTGAGTCTCTCGCGATTTTCCCTCCTTTGCCAGTCCTTCCCTTTTCCTTAAAAAATTTAATGCTATAAAGAGGGAAAGAGATAGAGAAAGAGAAAGTTCTCGATAAACTACATTAATTTTTGTGTCTCTATGTATGTATTTTGCTTTCCATCTAATAAATTAAATAAATTATTCCTTCCTTAATTTATAAAATTTTATTTTTGGTCATACCAGGCGAGTCTGCTGGCCGCCGTTTCCCGTTTGATGAGCGGTTAAACGACGAATTGCCTGTGGAAGGGTATGCTCTAGTTAGAGATTAAATTCGTTGTCTAGCTAATTGATCTCGTGGTTGCCCCATGAGTTGCGGTTAGTTTAGTTGAATACCGGCCATGGTAGCTTACAGTGGAGGATTCTCTTAGAGAACTACACGTTCGTTTACCTGGTGCACTAGAAGCAGACTTAGTCTATTTCGAGTAGTGCCTCTAAAGACGGTTGTATTCGGATGGAGGGCTTCAGCTTGAACGACTCGCTAATTTTTTTAGATTTCAGACAAGAGAAAAATATTTTTTACAAGAGAAGAATATTTGGGGACTCGACCGTGTTCGAACCCTAGACCTAAAATCAAGAGCGAACCCGCTTAACCACAAAACAAATTTTATGGTTTTTGGTAAAAATTTTTACAAAATGACATTTAAAATTAAAATACAATTAAATATAAAAATAAATCAGCCAACCGGGTTCGAACCCTGGACCTATGTATTATTAAAAATAATCCCACTTAACCACAAAAAATAAATTTTTATTTTTAGGAAAATTTTGAAAAATGATTTTTAAAATTTAGAATACAATTAAAAATAAATAAAAAATTTTCTAAATAAATCCAAATTTACTATCTCTTTCGTCATCAATAATCCTTCCTTTTTTAGAAAATATTTTTTCCAATAAAAAAACCAAAAACCACAAAATACCCAAAAATAGTAAAAATCCAAAAATACTTCCAAAGCTAAAAGCAATCAATTTAAATTGAAAATTAGTCAAAGAATTATTAAAACTTCCAATAATTTTATCAACATTATTTCCAATCTCACCAAAAGATGAGTCAAAATGTGTTACTGTTTGTTCCCCTCGAAGACCGACTTTTTGAACTCTTGAACCGACCTTTTAATTAATTTGTTTAAAAAATATTTTTGCTCAGAAAAATTCTTAAGAGGCATAAAAACCCCTAATTTCAACTTAAAATAATTTATTTTAGTCTTTAGAGCAGTAAAAAATATTCCGGGCCCCGAGCGGATTCGAACCCGCGTCCTCAATTTTCGTGTACCGACCTTTTATTTAATTTATTTTAGAAATATTTTTACTCAGAAAAATTCTAAGGGGCATAAAAACCCTCAATTTAACCTTAAAATAATTTATTTTTACCATAAGAAAATAAAAAAATATTCCGGGCATCGAACGGGTTCGAACCTTGGTCATTAGTTTTTCGCCTATAAAAAAGTCAAAAGGCTACCTAGAGCCATGAAATTTTGCAAGGATTTATTTATTAGTGTCATCTAACCTTCCTATAATTTTCAAAATTTTTGGTTAGGTTTGGCCTAAGTTGTGGGCAAAAAACTTTTTGGAGGCTTTTGCGTTTTTTGCGCACACTTGATTTTTAAAAATTATTTAAAGATTTTTATAAATGCAAATTTTCTAAAAAATATTTTTAGGATATTTTTTAGTGTATTTTTTTTTACCTCCTTGCCTAATTGGTGTATCTCACCAGCCAAACTTTGAATTTGTTCAATGACCGCATCAACCGAGGCAGGGGGTTTTTCAGAAGAAAAATTCATTGAAAAAATTTTTTTTATTTTTAAAAATTTTTTCAATTTTTAAAATTAAACAAAAATCGATTTTTGAGCAAAATTTGTTGTAAAATAATTTTGGAAAGGAGAGAATAAATTTTTTTTCGATTTTATTTTGCTCTTTAAACGAGAAAATATTTTTATTTTCTTTTATTTGCGAGCTGTTAAGTCAACAATGGGAGGAAGGCAAATAAAAATAAGATAAGAGAGGAAAGTATTTTGTTTGAACAATGAAATGACCAGAAAAGACAATTAATTGGTCAAATAATTGATTTAATTAATTATAAATTTGTACTCATCCGGCCCTTTTTAGAAGCTTTTCTCTTTGATTGTGAAACAGTAGAGTCTCAGAAAAGTCTCAAAGTAGGGGTCGTTTAAAATTAATTTTCTAACCAACCGATTGTTCTAAAAATTCAATTTTTATGTCAAAAGATAGAGCAGACTCAGAGCTACAAAATGAGCTAAAGAACATGAAAATTGGATAAGGATTTCTAAAGTTATGAATTTTTAAAAATTACAGGGTTTTGGGTGGAATTTGAATTAATATAAAAAATTAAAATTTTGGCGTTCTGTTTATTTTTTGTTTAATGTCCGCGTTGTAAAAATTTTTTTATTTTAACCAATTTTGCTTGTTTTGGAAATTTTCTTTTTTACAATGGGTTTGTTCGTTGACTTTTTTGGTTGTTTAAATTGATTTTTAGGAGACCATGATGGTTACTACAATTATTTTGAAAAACTTCAAAGTTCAAAGCAAAGAGGGCGGGAAGAAGACAATATTGTTTATGAACAACTTTTGTATGGGGAAATTGTGATAAGAGAAAATGGACAAATTTGTGTGCAAGTACAAGGAGATGTGAAGGATTTGAGTTGGTTTTTTTTTAATTTTTTTGGTCTGTAAATAGGTTTAAAGAGGGGAAAGATTCTAGGTAGTTGACTAAAGCATTGGAAACGCTTAGAAGGGGATTTGTTCTAAGTTGATTTTGTTCTAAGCATTTTTTAACCTTCTGTGCCTGGGTTTTTCCTGGCTACAGGTCCAGGCTTTTTTAAGGTTTTTTTCCAGGCTTCTCTAGCTCTCATTCGATAGAGCATTGTAGCTTCGGGTAGTCAAAGGCCTTCAAAAGTTGGTATTATTGAGGCGGCTGGTGTTAGCGGTAGCTGGCATGAGGTCGCAGCCTCTTTTACCCGCCTCTGTTCTGTTTTTTATAACTCTTAAGGGACAGATATACTTGTTTTTGTGTCCCTCTAGTCTTTAAAGGACCTTTAAAAAATTTTTCTAAAATTTCTATTCATCCTTTTCAAGGTTTTTCTGAATCCGATTCTATCAGACTTATTGAAAAGAACGGTCAACAAACCCTTTTAATTGAAAAGAGGACAGAACATGACTATTGTAAACAACGTTTTGCTGAAAGGGAAGGGAGGAAAGCAACGAAAGGTTTGAAATTTTAAGAGTAAGGGGTAATGGGGGAATCGGGCCAACATCACGTCCCTTCCTTACCTCATTGTCCGCGGATTTTTACCGAAAATTTAACTGAAAACCAAAAATTTTAAAACCTTTAAGATCAGCCACAACAACATCAACTCTCTGCTATTCAAAATCCAGATGGTCATGAAGAAGTAGTAGTGAATGATGAGGAGGAGGTTGTTGGTTCAGATGGTTTTGATTTTACTGAATGTGGAGAGGAAATAGGTTTTTTTTATTTTTTTAGCATTAGATTTCAAGGGCGTATTCAGAGTCGAATTTCACTAGGCTATATGCGGGTATGCGCCAATGGCGTAACCGTTTGGTCGGTTTCCGGGGTCTAGCCCCTTTGGTAATGCCCTTGGTGTGCGCCAAATATTTGGCGTTCCGAACAAATTTTTTCCCTTCCCCGTGATCAGGGGTGTTACGTGTCGTGGAAAAGGTCGGGTTTGGTGTTTCGGATCGAAAAATGGGCGGGTTTTGTGTATAAGTTTTCGGATAACCCGTTACATCCCTGCAATGGATACGTGCTTGTGAGATCTTATTTTCCTAATTTTAAGTAGTCAGTACAACCCCAACAACAGAAAGTATCAATTTAACCTCTACTAATCGTAAACAACTCAAAAGAGTTTTTGGTTCAAACAAATGTCAAGAGTGTGATCAAACATTTACTAACATGGCCCGTCTGGAAAGGCATTTAGCTGTTCATCAATGTTTTGGCGCTTATGTATGCCCTCTATGTGGAAAAACGTTTAAATACGAATATAATCTATTTTATCATTGGAGAAGAACTTGTAGAGATTTGAATGAAATGATGACTGTTGAAGAAAGAAAGGTTTGGGGAATTATTTTTGCGAATTTTTTTTAATTTTTACGGACCAAGTGTTGCGGACAAAAATTTGTTTTGCGGACATGTATTATTTTTGTTATTTTTTTTCTCCTGGGGATAGTTCAGCTTATTTAATCTATAGGACTAAAACGTTAATTTTATTGTTTTTATGCTTATTTTGATGGAAATTGGTTTTGCGGACAAAAATTTATTTTTGCGGATTTTATTCTTTGAAGGTGTCACGGTTTATTTAATCAATCGGACCCTAGGTTTTTGTTGCATAATCAAGTCTGGCATTTTGTTTCAGTTGTTTGTGTTCAATTTAGTCCGCAAAACTTGTCCGCAAATTTCAGACGAGCGACTGGAAATATTAAAAAATTATCAAAAATTTAGGCTATCGAGATTAACGCTCTTCGTCATTTAATTGAAGATATTTCCACAAAACACCCTCATAACCCTTTGAATTATTCCAAACAACAACAATCAACCAGTAATAACGTGGAAATGGATCAACAAAATTATGTGGTTGTTCAAGATGGGCATGATTATAATACTCTAAATTTACAATCCTTTGCTTCTAATTTGCCTCAAACACAATTTTCTGGAGAGAATTTGGAAGAAGTTTATAGGTTTTTTATTTTAATTGAGATAGGACTATGAGGTCGGACGGGAAAAATCAGTGTCTCGATTGATTGTCTCGGAGCTGGGAGAGATCGATATCTCTAAACAATATCAATCTTGATAGACAGGATTTTTGTTGAAGATCTCGTCTCGCTCCGATCTTTAGTTTTTTTGAATTTTAAAATTTTTTTTTAGTAGGGAAAGAATAACCAATAATGAGGACACTTCCTTAACAGACCCATACAATTTTAACAACCAATTTAGTGATATAACTCAACCTAATCAAATTAACAAATCTACAAGAGCTTTACAATGCACTGAATGTCTTCGGTTTTTAATCAAAATTAAATTTTTTTTCGATTAAAAAAATTTTTCTAGATCATTCTCCTCCCTTCAACGTTTACAAAAACACTTGATAGGTTCGCACTATTCTTCAGGCAGGCATCCATGTCTATTCTGTGGAAACCGTTTCAAATACGAATATAATTTATTTTTTCATTATCGAAATGTTTGTCCTTATTCTTTGGATTTGTTAAAAGAAGAAACTAGGAGACGGGTATTTTTTTTTAGAAATTTTTTTGAAATTTTAGAAAAATATTTTTTCTCAAGTTGGATGCCTCAAACCTCAAAAAATTAATTCGACAAATTGCTACAGATAAAGACTTTTATTTAAAATCTCCACCTTCTAGTAAACTTCAAAATGAAGAGAGTGATAGACCATGTAGTTCAACTTCGTTGTTAACCCCGTTGATTGAAAATCCTGCGGAAAATGGGGATTCTGCAATGAGACGGCAAATGATGAAAAATGTATTTTTTTATTTTAGGGAGTGAGTGGTCTTTTTGCGGATTTAATGTGTCATTTTCTGTTGATTTTTAGAGATTACTTATTCGATAAATATTTAAAAAATAATGAAACGTGGAAAGAAAACACCAAAATAATTTATTTTTATATTTTTGCGAGTCCGCAAAAGGAGAAAAATGTCCGTAGAAATCGTGCATGTCCGCAAGAACGGAACAAGTCCGCAAAAAAATGTCCGCAAAAGAGTTAAAATCCGCAAAAGATCACTCTACTCTGTTTATTGTTTTTTATTTTCAATTAAATTTACTTTAGAACATTTTTAATTTTTTTTTAAGATAATTCGCAAATATGTGCCTAAAAGTCGGCAAAAATTGAATTCAATAAAAAATGCTAATAAAAATGGTGGAGAAATAGATGAGACAAATAATTCACAGAAAATTGGATTACCTCGTGTGCTTCTTCAACCTACATATCGACCAGATTTGCCAGATGGAATTCATTGCCCGATATGTTGTTGGTTTTTTTTAATTTTTTTATAATTTAAAAAAAAATCCGCAAAAATGGTGAAAATCCGCAAAAAGACAAAAGTCCGCAAAAATTAAAAATTGTCCGCAAAAATTAAAAATTGTCCGCAAAAATTTAAAAAGTGTCCGCAAAAATTAAAAAGTGTCCGCAAAAATTTAAAAAATGTCCGCAAAATTAAAAAATGTCCGCAAAAGTGGAAAATATTTATTTAATTTTAGCTGTCGTCTTTTACGGCCTGAAAATACTTGTTCGTCATTTAAAAGCAGCACATCCAAAAGAATCTTCAGTTTGGGAAAAAACAATAAGAGGACTTGATAATGCTTCAAATAAAAATTCCAAATTAATTTCTAAAGCAAAAATTAATCCAAAACGTTTTTTGGCGTCTAAAAAGAGTGGGAGGGAGGAAAGAAGTGTTAGAGGAGGTTTGGATTTTTTTAAAAAATTCTTGTGATTTTTTTATTTTTAGAACATTACAATTTTAACGAGGATACCCCTCCTTTACTTGAAATCGAGCAATAATGATGAAAAAAACTTTGTGAAAATGCTACATATTTGCGGAAAATTTTTGCGGACACCTATTATTTACCTTCTTAATCCTTTAAATCCCTTGATATTTCTCTTGAAAATGGGGTAGGTTTTCAGAGCGTATGCCTTCAGATCAATAGGTTTAGTTTTTGGGTTAGTTCTTCAGTATGACTCCTTAAAACTCCAAAGAAAACACCGAAATACCAAACCCTCAACTGCCGTCGAAATGCCAAAGTGTGGAAATGACGCCGAAATACCAATACCCAATCAATCAATAAGCTTCGTATTGTCCGGGATTAATTTTTAGCAAAATTGTTCATAAAAATTTCTGATATTTTTTTTTATTTTTAATTATTTTTGGTGTAAATAAAGTATTTTTTAAAGATTACATTTTTTCGACTTGTTTCTTTTCTTATTAATATTTTTTAATTTTTATTTTAGTTTAATTTTTCTTTCTTTTTGTATAATGCATGCTACACCTTCCCCAATTAAAAAGAATGGAAGTTTTACAAAATCTCCATCAAGGAAAAGCGATCATAAAAATGTTGGAGGACAACACAAAGCGAAAGTTGAGGTTTGTAATTTATTATTTTTTAAATTAACTTAAGTTGGCGTTTTTTCGTGTTTCTGTCCATTTCTGGGCGTTTTTTTGGAACTAGTTAAAGGTCTTGGCCTTGTTCCGTGATATTTAGTCTAGATATTTTTGTTCCGTGATATTTAGTCGAGACAGACTTTTTGGTTCAAGGTTTTTTGGACTTCCCAATCGTTTTCATCCAGAAGGGTCATATTCAGAGAATACCTCATCCGATTTTTTTGACTCCCAGCTCATATCAGAGCAATTAATCAAACACCGAGTTTCGGCCAGACCATGGTTATTTAAAATTTATTGGCTACGCTTAAATAAATTTAGAAGATTTTAAAAAATTCATATTTATAGCTTTCCTCATCCAAAAATGATTCAAGATCACCTCCACATCTAAGGTGTTTGCCTCAAGCTCGTGTTCGGCATATAATGGAATGTTCACCTGGAGGAGAAGATTTAAAAATGTCGGAGGATGGAGTGATAGCAATGGCTAAGGCTGCGGTTTTTTAAATTTTTTAGCTTAAAAAAAATTTTCTTAAGGAAGGCTTTATTGAATTATTGGCACGAGGAGCATATGCGGAAACAACTGGAGTATCTGTCAATTACAATCATTTGTCAAACTATGTCCATTCTAGCGAGGAATTTGATTTTATACAAGGTTGGCGTGAATTTTAATTTTTTGAAATTTATTTTTCCGAAGGGCAGAGTGGGACTGACTTGTTTATTCGGGTAGAAATCTTATGGGCTTTTGATTTTTTGGGTAGAAATCTGACACTGGTGATTTTTCTAAAGATATTTTCTATGAGGGATTTTTACTCGATTATTTTTTTCTTTAAAAATATAACCGAAATTTATGAAAAATTATCCCTGTAGATATCTTGTCAAACGACAAAATACCAAAACCTCCAAAATCTGCCGAAATACCAAACTATGGAAAGTAAAGAAACATATAATTGTAAGGTTGTTTAAACAAAAGTGAATATTGCTCCATCAACTTGGAAGAGTCAATCCACGTTTTGTTATTTCAGTGTGTCTTTTGGGGGGTTTTTGGTATTTCGGGTTTGTAGTATTACGTGCCTCAAAAATATAATCAAAATTTATTCAAAAAATATTTCCCTTAAAGATATCCTTCCTCGAAAAGAACGTTTTTCCGAAATTATGAAATTAATGAAGAAACATAAAAATGCACAAATATAAAATTTATTTTTGAATTTTGTTCTCATATATTTTTCTCTTTTTTTAAATTTATTCTCTATTCATAGTTGGTTAATATATTTTTGCTAGTTTTTCATTTTTCTCTCTTATCATTTTTACATTTATGTTCGTTCGATAAATTTATGTATTTACATAATGGCATGATTTGTTTATATTTTTTGGGTTTTCTTTCCCATTTTTAACGATTATTTTTTTAATTTTTATTTTTTAGATTTTTTTAATATAAATTTATAGTTTTTAGCAATTTGGCGTTATTCTTTATTCTATACTAGAAAAGTTTCTACGTCTTTTAAACGCTGTCTTTTGTAAGTTTTTTTTAAATTTTTTAAAGTTATTGAGTGGGGAAGGGTAAGGGTGGTTCGTTTACCTTTTCTAGGGCCCATCCTTTTTGGAGAATCAAACAATTTTGGTTAAAATACCGGGAAGCTAGTGTAAAAGATTAAAAAATTTGGCCACGATGCCTGTCGCTAACTTATCCGCGAATCATAAAATTGCGGACATTCTGCAAATTAAGTGATTGTGGATGGGTCAGTAACTTAAGAAAATTTACGGATTGATCCGCAAAATAGGGAATTGTGGACAATCCACAAATCATAAAAGTGCATAAAACTTGTGAAAATATGCTGACCAAAATTGCAGAATTTCTTGTTCAATAATTTATTTTTTAGAAGAAGTAATTTTTGTGACATAAAATACTATCTCAACAAAAACATCATGGAAGACCAAATTTCAAAAATTTCTGATGCTGCTAATCGAATGCGTATTTCTTCAATTGAACAAACTGCTAAAGCAAATTCTGGCCATCCAACAAGTAGTTGTAGTGCTGCTGAAATTATTGCGACACTGTTTTTTTCTGAAATGCGTTATTCGGTTAAGGAACCTAAACATGCTTCTGCTGATCGTTTTGTTTTGTCTAAGGTTTATTTTTCGTATGTTTGGGTGGGTTTTGGGGTTTTATAAATTTTGGGGCAATTTACTTGTGAGAAGCATTTGTTTAAGCTGCTTAAATTGATTTTTTATATTTTTGCGGATTTATCGATTTCTTGGGCAATTTTCCCCAAATATTGTTTCCCTTGCTCGTAATTTTCTCTATATTTTATTTCCAGTCTTAATTTTTTCTAATAAATTTTTTCCTTATAAAGGGTCATGCCTGTCCGATTCTCTATGCTGCTTGGGAAGAAGCAGGCTTGTTAACTCGAGAGCAAGTTTTGACTCTTCGCAAATTAACTTCTGATATTGAGGGACATCCAACTCCGAGGCTTTCATTTATTGATGTTGCTACAGGTTTGTTTTCAATTTTAAAAAATTCAAAAAAATTTAACTCTAATTGTAAGGCTCTCTTGGACAAGGACTTTCTTGTGCTGCTGGAATGGCTTATACTGGCAAATATATTGACAACGCTTCATATCGTGTCTATTGTCTTTTGGGGGATAGTGAGAGTGCAGAAGGATCTGTTTGGGAGGCTGCAGGTTTCTTTAGTTTCTAGATTTCTTCAAATTTTTCGCTTGAAAAAATTTTGTTAGAAAATTATTGGGTGGTTTTCTATTAATTTGTGTATATTTATTCTGATTAACCTTGATGGGTTGCTGGTGTAGTTATAAAATTACAGTTTGGGGAAATGAAAGATTTGGGGTTCGAGTCCATTTGCTAGGAAACGGTGTCCTCTATCATTTCTATTTATTTTTTATTTTTCTATAAAATTTTATTTCTTTTGTTAAATTTTTTTAAGCATTCGCAAGCTATTATAAATTGGATAACCTCGTTACAATTGTTGATGTTAATCGACTTGGACAATCTCGTGAAACTATGCTTGGCCATGATTTGTTTACTTATGCTAAACGTTTTGAAGCTTTTGGTTTTAATAGTATTATTGTTGATGGACACGATGTGGCTGATTTATTGAAAGGTTTTGATGAAGCAAGGTTTGTGTTTTTGTTTTATTTCAAAAAATTGATTTTTGCAAGTCTTGAGGGCAAATTGAATGACTTTCTCCCATTAGATTACCTCCATTGGTTATTTGCCCTCTTGTTTTCCTTGTTATTTTTTGGTTATGTTTTCTAGTTATTCTTCCGAATTAGGACCAATCCCACACCTCACTTTTAATTTTTGCTGCCATTTTATTTTTTTCTTACTTGGTTTTTGATATGTTCACCTAACAATATGAGGAGATATTGATTCTTTTGCCCTCCTAGTAAAGAGTAAGTAGATGGTCTTACCTCTGGTTGCCTCTGGAAATTGGAGGTGTATGAAAATAAAAGGATTAATATTAAAAAATATTTTTCCCTCCTGCAGAAAAGTAACAGGCCAACCAACAGCAATTATTGCACGTACATTAAAAGGAAAAGGAATTGAAGGAGTTGAAGATAAAGATAATTGTCACGGAAAGCCAGTAACTTTGGATAAAGCAGAAATTATTGCTTCAAAATTGGGAAATAAAACAACAAGAAATTCGTGGGAATTGGAAAATTTAATTGATGATGCTCCTCAAGTTGATTTTGAGATTGGAAAAATTAAAATGAGTTCGCCGCCAAATTATCAAATTGGAGAGAAAGTAGCTACTCGTTTAGCTTATGGAAATGCTCTTGTTAAATTGGCTGATACAAGCAAAAGGATTATTGCTTTGGATGGGTATATTTTTTGAAGATTTTTTTCCAAAAATTTTCTAGAAATTTTTTAAAAAATTTGAAAAATTTTTCCAAAAATTTTTGATTTTTTTTGAAATGCTTTAATAATTTTTGAAATTTTTAAAATTTTCAAAAATTTTTTAAAATTTTTTTGAAAAATTTTTTTTTAAAAATTTTTCAGTGACGTGTCAAACTCCACATTTTCTGATAAAGTTCTCAATAAATATCCTCAGCAATTTGTTCAATGCTTTATTGCTGAACAAAACATGGTTGGCGTTGCTGTAGGGATGTCTTGTCGTGGACGGACTATCCCACATGCTAGGTTTATTTTTTCAGTCTTCTCATTCCAATTTCATTTTAAAGCACCTTTGCTGTTTTCTTTACTCGTGCTGCTGACCAAATTCGAATGGGGGCAATATCTTTTGCTAATGTTAAATTTGCTGGTTCACATGCTGGTGTTTCTATTGGAGAGGATGGGTAAGAGGGTTTTTTTTGAAATTTTTTAAATTTTCAAAAAAATTTTTTAGGCCAAGTCAAATGGGACTTGAAGACCTCGCACTTTTCCGATCAGTTCCAAATAGCATCGTTCTTTATCCGACTGATGCGGTTTCTACAGAATATGCAACTGAATTGGCTGCAAATTATAAGGGAATTACTTTTACTCGTACTGGACGTCCTAACACTCCTGTTATTTATCCAAATGATGAGAAATTTGAGATTGGAAAATGCAAGGTTTGATAAAGAAAAATTTTATAAGATATTTAAAAGGAGGATACTAAAAGGGAGTTCCTCCTGAAGTACCCCTATTTTTAGGGGTACTTTAGGAGAACTTTTGGGCCTTTTGGAACCCCTCCTATCTTCCGGAGTCTGCTCTTATGTCTATATACATATGTCCCCGGACATTTTGCCTGAAAACTATTAGTTTGGGCCAGAAACATTTTCAAATCCTGAGGTTTTCTGATTACCCTTCTCTTATCTCCGTTCTGAAAGATATTTAATAAAAGTTTTTTAAGGGCAAGGAGGAACTTCTCGAGCTTAAAAAATTTTTTTTTCTATAGGTTATCCGCCAAACAAATGAAGACAAATATTTATTAATAGGCGCGGGTGTAACACTCTACGAGTGTATTAAAGCTCATGATATTTTGAGTTCTGAAGGTATTCAAGTTGCTGTTATTGACCTTTTCTCTGTCAAGGTTTTCTTTTTAATGAAAAATTTTTTTTTGATTTTTCAAAAATTTTAAAGCCTTTGGACAATCAAACACTTATTGAGCAAGCTAAACGTGTTGGAGGGAAAGTTTTGACAGTAGAGGATCATTATCAGACTGGAGGTATTGGTGAAGCTGTAGCTTTGGCGTTAGGTGATGTTCCTAATGTTCGTGTTCGCAGTTTGTGTGTTAAAGGTTTAATTTTTTTTAATTTAATGTTAGTATAGGAGAAGAATAGTGGTTCTATAGAGGAAAATGGGGACTTGTTAGAGATAGGGAAAAATAGTGATTTTTTTCGAAGCCTTGAAAACTTTATTGACCAAAATCTGGACATGTCAGTGGACTTTTAGACTTTTATCCGACTTTTAAAATTCTTTTAAAAATCGACGAAAACACGGGGGATAAATTTAGTAGGATTTTATTTATCTTGCAGAGGGAAAAAAGAACTAGATAATTATTTCTAGGGCTCTGGCAGGATTTTTCTAAGGGTCCCCTATTTCTCTCTATTTTAACAAGACCTGTCAGGATTAACTCAAGCTTTTATAAAATTTTTTATTTTCTTTAGAAATTCCACGTTCTGGTACACCTGACGAACTTATGGATTTGTATGGAATTTCTGCAAAGAAAATTATAGCGGCAGTGAAGAATTATTAATTAGAGAGAGACATAAAAAATAAGGAGAGCTATTTATAGAGTATAATTTTTACTAATTTAATTATATATTTTTTCAAAATTGTTAATTTGGTCAGATTTCTTTTTTGCATATTTATAGACGTGCACTTATTTTAAAAATTTAATAAGGATAAATGGTTGTTGGGTTTTTTGATTTTTATTTTGGAAATTGTGGTTATTGCAGGACCGAAAATATTTAATTTGTTCGTACTCTAGTGTCATAGTTCTTGTATTGAATTGTTAAGAGACTGTGAGGAAATGAGAGACAATTAGAGAAATAAATTAAGTAAAACGAGCTTTGCACATTTTGCCAATACATATTTTGCCAAGGAAGCTAAATAGCTACATTTTGACAAACTGTTTGCTGGCAAAATGTAGAATTATAGCCTTATTGGCAAAATGTGTATTGGCAAATTGTGACACGGAGAGAATGTTAAATTAGAGATTATAACAAAAAAGCGGTATTTTTGTCTTTCAATTTTGTTTGATTTTTATAAATTTTATAGCGTTTCTTTTAAATTTTCCATCAATTTTAGACTAGCTAAAAATAAAATTAATTATTAAAAAATGGATCAATGGTGGGCGATAAATAATAAAGGAGATGCTGTTCGTCGTTTAAAGCGTGAGAAAGAGAAATTGCTCAAAAGTCCTTTTCCTGGTTTTATTGCGGAACCGACATTGAACGCTAATGGGGTGGATTGGTAAATTAAATGTTGTTATTGATTCACAAGTTTTTTTAGGTTCAATTGGAAATGCGCTATTCCTGGACCAAAGGACACAATTTGGGAGGGAGGTTTGTACAAACTTCGAATGAGTTTCGAGGACGATTTTCCTTTCAAACCACCAAAATGTCGTTTTGATCCGCCAATCTTCCATCCAAACGTCTATTCGTCTGGGATTGTTTCTCTGAGTCTTTTTGAGAAAAACAGAGCTGACTGGTTTATTTTTATATATTTTAATTTTTAAATTTCCGTTCAAAATTCAAGGACACCAGCATTCAGTATCGGACAAATATTGATTGTACTGCAAGAATTATTAGCAAATCCAAATATGGCAGATCTTACACAAGATGAGGCTTGTCGTGTTTATTTTGAAGATCGTCAGGAATATGAACGTCGTGTGCTCGAACAAGCTCAACGTTTTTCGCATGAAGTGGTTCAAATGGAAATGTTAAATAATTAATATTTTATTCTTTTTTTGAAAATGCAGAGCGAAACTTTTGGGAACTATTTTTTATTCATAGGATCAAATCGATTCTATTTACCCTAAACATTTTTCTAAACTTAGTAGGCGGCTCTCCGGGATGACTCGAAAAAATTTTCGACAGAATTTTTTCCCCTTCGGTAATCATTTAGGGTTATATCGTATCGAAGTTTCGTCTCAAATTTTCGATTTACATGCTGAGATTCGAACGTTTTTAATGATCATTTTTGATCTCTATTTTTCAAAATTGTAAGCCTCAAAAAATAAATTTATTAATTTTTTAAATTGAATTTTATTTGTTTTGTTCAGCGAATATTTTGTTTTAAATACAAAAATTTAAATTTTTATTGAATATAGGATGACTGCAATCGCTTATGAACGTTTGTCGGGGGAGAGATGGGATTTGCTCAAACATCCTCTTCCTGGTTTTATTGTGCAGCCGAATTTGAACGTTGACGGAGTGGATTGGTAAATCAAATGACTTATTAATTTACAAGTTTATTTAGGTTCAATTGGGGATGTGCTATTCCTGGACCAAAACACACAATTTGGGAAGGAGGATTGTTCAAACTTCGAATAAGTTTCGCGTACAATTACCCTCTTACTCCTCCAAAATGTCGTTTTGATCCGCCAATCTTCCATCCAAACGTATTTCCATCTGGGACTGTTGGTGTGAGCCTTTACGATAAAAAGAAAGACTGGTTTATTTTTTGAATCTTTATTAAAAAGTTTTAAAAATTCCAGGCCCAATATCAGGCGATTGTTGCTTGCAATTCAGGATTTGTTGGTAAATCCAAAGCTGGAAGATCCTCTTCAAACTGATGCTTGTCAAATTTATATTCAAAATCGTCAGGAGTACAATCGTCGTGTGCGCGAGCAAGCTCAACGTTTTCCTCGAGAGATGGTTCAATTGGAAATGTTAAATTATTAATAAGTATTTTTTTACAATTAAGTATTTTTCTTTTTTTGTTGAGGGAAAAGAGCGAAACTTTCCGAACCCATTTTGTTTTGTGAATAGGATCTCTCCTACAGTTTACCCCCAGACATATTTTCGAACATTTATTGGGCTTTTACAGCATCATAGCTCATTCGATCAGGCTCGTTGGGCTAATTGTGTCTCGGAAAAAATTTAGGTTAGTTCATGCCGATTTGAGGAATTTTTAAAAACTCATGACCGACGGCTGAAGAACCTTTCCCGTTTAGGAATCATTTTAGGGTTATATTGTCCAAAAGTTTCGTTCCCAAATTTTCAATATACACATTAAAAGTCAATTATATTTTACTTACAATTAACATTTTTGATCTCAATTTGTCAAACTTTTTCAGTCACAAAAAAAATAAATATTTTTAGTTAATTTTTTTCAAATTTAATTTTAACTGTTATATTCAATTATTTTATTTTAAAAATTGGAAAAGAACGTTAAATTAGAGATAAAAACAAAAAAAGAGCGGCGTTCTTTTCTTTCATTTTTTTTTTGATTTTCTTAAATTTTTTAAAATAATTTTAGATTGGATAAATTTTATTCATTTAAAAATGGCTGTAATCGCTGCTTATCGTTTAGCGAACGATAGAAAGGAGTGGCTCAATAATCCTCTTCCTGGATTTACTGCAAAGCCGATTAAGGATGTTAATGGATTGAATTTGTAAGACTATCAAATGATTCATACTAATTTCGACTTTTTCAGATTCAAGTGGGAATGTGCCATTCCTGGACGAAGAGAGACTATTTGGGAAGGAGGATTGTTCAAACTTCGGATGATTTTCAAAGATGATTATCCGTTCATTCCTCCAAAGTGCCAGTTTGCACCTCCATTGTTCCATCCAAACGTTTATCCGTCTGGGACGGTTTGTCTGGGGTTGTTGGACGAAGACAAAGACTGGTTTATTTTTAAATAATTTTTTTATTTAATTTTCCCCATTAAATCCAAGGAGGCCGTCAATGTCTGTTAAAGAAATTTTGATTGCAATTGAAGAATTATTGGTTAATCCGAATGTGGCAGATCCTGCTCAAGCTGTGGCTTATCAAATTTATGTTCAAGATCGTCAAGAATATGATCGGCGTGTGCGAGAGTTCATTCAACTTTTTTGTTCTGAAGTGGTTCAAATGGAAATGTTAAATCATTATTAAATATTTTTTCGATATAAGCAAGCATTTTTCTTTTGGTTTGAAGGGCAGAGCGAAACTTCAGGTCCCATTTTGTTTTAATTCTATAAATAAAGTCCCCATTTATCCATGGACATCTTTTCGAGTTGAAGTTTTGTTCGCCAAATATTTTTGTCAGCATTTTAAGTCAATTTATTTAAATGAATTTTTCTGGTCTCACAATCAGTTTATCAAAATTGTTCTCAATTTATCATAGCAACAATAAATATATTTTTTTAATTTTTTTGAATTTTATTTTTGTTTTATTCAATTAATATTTTATTTAAAATATTCAAATTTAAATTTCTATTTAGAAACCTTTTTAAATTTACTTCGAATAAAATGGCTGGAATCGCTGCTGGTCGTTTGCTATACGAAAGAAGGGATTGGCTCAGAAATCCTCTTCCTGATTTTATTGCAAGACCGATTTTGGACGTTAACGGACTGAATTTGTAAGATTATCAAGTATTTATTGTTGATTTAATTTTTTAGATTCAATTGGGAATGTGCCATTCCTGGACCTAAGGGCACAATTTGGGAAGGAGGATTGTTCAAACTTCGAATGATTTTCAAAGATAATTTTCCTCTAATTCCTCCAAAATGTCGTTTTGAGCCGACAATCTTCCATCCAAACGTCTTTCCGAATGCTATTGCTTGTCTGAGACTTTTGTACGAAGACTGGTTTTTTTTTAAATTTTTTTTTAAATTAAAATCTCAAAATTTAAGGCGTCCAACAGTCACCATCAAACAAGTTTTGCTGGCAATTCAAGATTTGTTGGTTAATCCAAACCTGGAGGAACCTGTTCAGGCTGAGGCCTATTTAATTTGTACCAAAAACCGGCAGGAATATGAACGTCGTGTGCGCGAACAAGCTCAACGTTTTTCTTGGGAAGTGGTGGAAATGGAAATGTTTGGTTAAATTATAAAGTATTTTTTGTGTAGTCAAACATTTTTTGAGAGAGCGAAACTTTCCGGACCCCCTTCTCCATTTACTCTTGGGTGGAAAGGAATGTGGGCATGGTTTTGACATTGGGTGGGCGAACAACAGATAGCTTACGTGACGTGGTTCCCTGGAAAGATTCCCCGTTCAAGAATCATTCAGGATTTTTATATCGTTCCGAAACCAAATGTTTTTGGCATTGGGAGGGCTAACAATAAATTATAGCTCATTCGACATGGCTCGCTGTGAAGCAGGGATGTCACGGGTTACCCGAAACCCGAAACCCGGCCTTTTTTTCGACCCGATACCCGAAACCCGATCCGAGAAATTTTCTAAAACCCGACCCGAAACCCGACCCGAGAATTTTTATTTTTCAAAACCCGACCCGAAACCCGACCCGAGTTTTTTCAAAATTTTCGCCCGCGTCGCAGAAAAGGGAAGATTTTTAGCTTAATGATCCTCCAAAATTCTGAAAATTTTCGCCTGCGGCGCTGAAAAAGGGAAGATTTTTAGCTTAATGATACTCCAAAATTCTGAAAATTTTCGCCTGCGGCGCTGAAAAAGGGACTTTTTTTTGACCCGAAACCCGAAACCCGATCCGAAGAAAATTTTGGAAACCCGATCCGAAACCCGACCCGACTTTTTGCTCAACCCGAAACCCGAAACCCGATCCGAGAAAAATTTTGGAAACCCGATCCGAAACCCGACCCGACATTTTTCTCAACCCGTGACATCCCTGCTGTGAAGAGAATCATTTTAGGGTTCAAGAATTATCTATGGTTATCGTCCTGAAGTTTCGTTCTCAATTTTTGTTCAGGCTATTTTATTGAATATTTCCTATCTCAATTTGTCAAATTCAGTCACAAAAAATAAAAATATTTAATTTCTTTTAAATTTTAGATTTTATTTGTTTTTTCAATTAATATTTTATTCTATTATTTAAAATTTACATTTTTATTCAGAGTTTTTTAAAAATTTTTATTTGAATACATAAAATGGCTGGAATCGCTGCAGGTCGTTTAGCTGAAGAAAGGAAGGCTTGGCGCAAGGATCATCCTTTTGGTTTTATTGCACGACCTTCAAAAAAGGACGACGGGACGTTGGATCTGTTAGTTTTTTTTATTGGGGTTTAGGGTTTATTTTTAAAAATTGAGAGCAGCGCCCCGATAGCTGTAGTTATACGTGGCGAGGGGAAATGTATGCGATAACTTCTAGTAGGTCTCATTGTCAGTGGAAGTTGCGAATCACGAATATCCGAATTAGAAAAAAAAATCGAATCTTCTGAAATTTTCGGTTCGGATCCTCACGGATATCCGGAAGGATTTCTCAGGATTCGCCAACCTTAGGACTTAGGATTGATGCCCGTCCGGGAAGCTAAACCTCATTAATTCAAGTTTTTTTAGGTACACTTGGGAATGTGCCATCCCTGGACCAAAAGGAACAATTTGGGAAGGAGGATTGTACAAGCTTCGTATGCTCTTTAAAGACGACTTTCCTTCAATCCCGCCAAAATGTCAATTTGCACCGCCACTTTTCCATCCAAATGTTTATCCGTCTGGGACGGTTTGTCTGAGCCTTTTGGATGAAAACAAAGATTGGTTTATTTTTAAATAATTTTTTTAAATTTTCTTTCTTTAAATTCAAGGAGGCCATCAATCACTGTCAAACAATTGTTGATTGGAATTCAAGAATTGTTGGTCAACCCAAACCCAGAGGATCCTGCACAAGCTGATGCCTATCACATTTTTGTTCAAAATCGTCAGGAATATGAACGCCGTGTTCGCAGACAAGCGCAACAATTTGCGGAAGAATTGGTTCAAAAAGAGATGTTAATGGGCGATTAATTGAATTTTTTTGGTATTTTTGGTTGTTGAAGAATCTCTTGCGGTATTTATTTTTGCTTTCATTTTCAACAAGTATCTCAATATCGAGGGATGTTACGGGGGATGTAATAAAAAGTCGGGCTAGGGTTTTCAAAATATTTCTGGGGATCTGCGTTCGGGTCGAAAAAAGTCTCCGGTTCTCTGATCGGGTCAGTTTAGGGATTAATAGGGGAAAAATCGGATAAGTTTCGTTTAACACGTGACATCCCCCACGTCATTTTTGCCTTTATTTTTGGTTGTTAAATTTGTTTTGAGCTCTTGTCCAGTTTATGAGTCCTTTAAATACTTATTTGTTCTATAAGGTTGTTTGTTAGATTTTCTTTTGATTTATGGCTACATAAACTGGACAAGAGTCAATTGTTGAATAAAAAAAATTTTTTTGTTTGAATCCAAAAAAGTTTTTTACAAAAAATATATTTTTTATTTTTTTCAAGTTTTTTTCTTTTAATTTTTCATCCAAACTCAATCTTCTGCTATGAAAATTAATCCTCATATAATCCTACGAAAATCCTCATATTAATCCTACGATTGAGTTAAAAATGATTCGGAAAGGTCAGAAATTACTAGAGATGTTCCCCTAGACTCTTGCCTTGGGTTCTTGACTCAAGACTTTGTTTTTTTCAAGATTGGTCCTTGGGTCGTCTTTGCGCTTGATCTCGACTCTTTTTGAGATTTTTAGAAAAGGCACCAGAGTTGGGGTCAAAGTTTAGATAAATCGGCCTTATTACAGAAAGGTAGGAATTTTCCTTGTCTTTTGCCCTCCTTTAAAGGAAGGGGCGACAAGACTTGGGTGTCCAGACTCGAGTGTCTTACAGTGTCTCTTATACCTACAGTAATCCATTTTTGTTTTTGAACCTACGCAAATTTGCTTTACTTTGGCGAAGTGTTTGTTAATTTTTTTTCTCTAATTCCCTCACTCCTATAGTCTATAAATCTTGGTGATTATCGATTTTTGACTTGGCGAGGTACACTTCTGCTTCCTCTTTGTTCATTTTCTTCTCTTTTTTCTTTTTAAATTTGTTGGCTTTCGTGCTTCTTTTTTTTTGTAATTTTTAGTGGCGCTTTTTGAAATTTAAAAAGAATAATTTAAAAAATGGCTGGAATCGCTGCAGGTCGTTTAGCCGAAGAAAGGAAGGCTTGGCGCAAGGACCACCCCTTTGGATTTATTGCTAGACCATCAAAAAACGAAGACGGGACGATGAATTTGTAGGTTATTTGGTTAACTAACTAATGTGTTTTTTAGGTACAATTGGGAATGTGCCATTCCTGGACCTAAAACAACAATTTGGGAAGGAGGATTGTTCAAACTTCGAATGATCTTCAAGGATGATTTTCCTTCTACTCCTCCAAAATGTCGTTTTGAGCCGCCACTGTTCCATCCAAACGTCTACCCGTCTGGGACGGTTTGTCTGAGTTTGCTGGATGAAAACAAAGACTGGTTTTGACTTGCTCACTCAGTGTGAGTTACTAATTCCCACATAACTTTCAGGAGGCCATCAATTTCTGTCAAACAATTGTTGGTTGGGATTCAAGAATTGTTGGTCTCGCCAAACCCAGAGGATCCAGCGCAAGCTGAAGCCTATCAAATTTTTGTTCAAAATCGTCAGGAATATGAGCGTCGTGTTCGTAAACAGGCGCAGCAATTTGCGGAAGAATTGGTTCAGAAACAAATGTTGATGGAATCTTGAATGATTTTTTGAGAGAAGAGAGGACCTACAAAACTATATCGAAGATTAAATGGGGAAGAATATTTTCTGGTTTTTTAAATTTAATTTTTTTGGTAACTGGTGGGGGGATAAGATCTCTCTTTGATGTATAGCCTTTTAATGTTTGCTAGAAGAGGGATGGGTCTGGGGTTACTCGAAGTTTGGGGATATTTTCTGCTTGAAATACGGTTTGGATTATAATATGGAGCTCAAAATAGGAACCGGCCTTTTCATCCCTGTTAGATGGTGGCAGGATTAGGGCAAGTCGACTTAAAACCCTGATAGATGGTGGCAGGGTTGGGGCAAGTCGACTTAAAACTCCAAAACCCTCCGAATATATTTTCGAAAATCTGACACAGGACCGACTTCATTTTCAACCCCTGACCCATCCCTTGATTGGTAGTACTTGATTTATCAACTTTTCTGGACTTTCGAACTCAGAAAATGACCGAAATTTGAAAGCAAGTACTACCTCAACGACTCCATTCCCTCTTAAAAATATTTTAAAAATGTTGATTAAATCTCTCGGTTGTTTTGTTTCATTTAACAAATACACAAATGTATGGCTATTTATCGTCCTAATTATATGTAATACAACCACTCTTGACCTTATAAATATTTTTTTGATTTTATGTTGATTGGTACTGAACCAAATTTTCATATTTTTGATTGAAGTTGAGAATAATTAACTTGATTTTTTAGATTTTAATTTTATTTAATTCTATAATTATGTCAAAAGCAACGTATGGACCAAAACCCGAGTCTTTTGTGTTGGACGATGGACAGCGCTATTATGTTGGTATGTTTTAGAGTTTGTTATAATTGGTGGGATTTTTAAGTCCTTTTTCTGATCGGGTAATTATGGATGGTTTTTGGTGTATTGGTATCGTCCTCGCCTTGCCTCTTTAGGGTTCAGGGTTCGGCTCCGTTTGGCGAAATCTTTTTTTGGTGCTTTCTGATCGACCTTTTTTAGCATAATATCATTAAATATTATGCTCTTTACCTTTCGTTTTTATTTTTTAATTTAGGTGCTGATGTTGGAATGTATCTTAAATATCATCGCGGAACCCTTTACAAACGCTATCCTCAGCTTTGGAAAAGAATGGCCTCAGTAGATGAAAAGAAGAAAATTCAAGAATTGGGATGCGCAACTTCCTACATTAATTCTAATATTATGCTGGTTAAAGCCAGTGAAGTTGAAGAAATATTTGAAGGCCAAGAAGAGAAATATCGCTCTGGAGGTGTTGGATCTGGAAATTATAGTCGTTCAGATGCCGCAAATATTAAAAATCGTGGGGGTCCGGCTCCGTGGCTTACACAACAGGTTTTTATTTATTTTTCGGTTTTTATCATCTTTACAAACTTTTTAGGTCACCAGCGGCTCTCATCATCTTGAATCTGTCCCTTGCTCTACTCCATCGGCTCATAGACGTGGACATTTTCGAAATCGCGATTATGCTTATGCTGCCGATGATTTGGAAAATTATAAACGTGTTTTGCAAAACGCAGAGACTGCTGAATCCTTGGTTCCGATTAGGCTTGATATGGAGTTGGACAATAGTTAGTTTTAAGATTATAATGGTATCGTCTAGGGTGGGACCTTTTCCGTCCCATGTTTTTTGGCCCTTCTGCCCTAATTTTGTTTCCGTCCATCTTCCTCTTAAAAATGTCGAAGGGCCTGTCCCGCTGTGACCCGTTATTTTTGTTGTTGGGGTTCCATTCCTCTTGAAGAATTTTAATATTATTCTGCTTCCCCTTGGAACTCCAAAATTTTGAGTTGGATTCCATTTCGTCTTATCTCCTTTTAACTGTATTTTTACCTCTGTTGTGTTAATCTTGCCCAGTTTTCATAATCCTTTTTTTAAGTTAAACTTCGCGATTATTTTTGCTACAACAAAAACGACAAATTAATGACCCCTGAAATGATTGCTGAAGTTCTTTGTGAAGGTTTTTTGCTGATTTAATGAAAATTTTAAGAAACTTTTTTAGACCTTGATTTGCCCTTAAACACATTTTTGCCTGCAATAGCCCAATCAATACATCAACAAATTGAAGCACATTCTGAAGCTGTACCTGTAGATGAACAAACTACTGATCAACGAGCTCTTCTAAAATTGAATATACATGTTGGGAATCAATCACTGGTAGATCAATTTGAATGGGATATGAGTGATCCAAAAAATAGTCCTGAAGAATTTGGGCAAAAATTGTCTTCAGAATTGGGTTTGGGTGGAGAATTTGTTGCTGCTATTGCTTATTCTATTAGAGGTTTATTTTTAATTTTTTTGTAGTTTTTTGGTCTCCTTGGGACTGTGTCGTGATACCTAGGGATATAGTACGGAAAAATCGAAAACGAAACTTAAGGGTGAAATCGAAGCCCGTGCTACATTGGGGCCCTAGTTCGGCGCTATCTAACTTGTTCGGGAAAAATCGCATTCCCGTGCTCCCGTAATTGGAGGGTTTTTTTTAATGGTCGAACAGGGCAATACGGGGAGCTCTATTCCTTAGAAGGCCTACCTAAAAAACACGAGATTTTATGACATCCTGTCGGAAAACTGAGCCCTTCCGTACTTTAGTTTCAACTTATCGTAGGATTTTTTTCCTTGTGGCTGTGTTTTTTTTTAATTTTCTGAAAAATTTTTCCATTTTAAGGTCAATTATCCTGGAATCAACGTACTTATGCATTCAGTGAATCTCCATTACCAACAGTAGAATGTCCATTTCGTAACCCTAGCGATGCTGAACAATGGGGGCCATTTTTGGAAACATTAACTAGCGCAGAAATTGAAAAGAAAATGCGTGATCAGGACAGAAATACTCGAAGAATGCGTCGTTTAGTTAATGCAATTCCTTATATTCCTTGAGGGAAAGTGAAAAAATTTTTTGAATTTTTTTAAAATTTGGATAAAAGGTTTAATTAATTTATTTTTGATTTTAAAAATGGATTTTTATATCCAATTAATTTATTTTTTATGTGAAGGTTGAGAAAAGGGTTATTTTTTTATTTTTTAATATTTTTTAGATTTTATTTATTTTGTTAAAGCATTTAAATTGGTTTTAAAAAGGAAAGGAAGGATGAAGATTACTGATGAAAATGTGGTTAGTTTATATTTTAATTTTTGTTTTTTGGGGAATTTTTTTCGATATTAGGAAGGTGTTAGGCTTTTTGTGGGTGAAGGGAGGTCTGCTTTTTTAAAGTTGGATTGTTAACAAGACAAATTTTTTCGATATCTAAGGGAAGGTGTTAGGCTTTTTGTGAGTCAGAACTCCCCCGCGGTGAAGTTGGGAAGTTCTGTTTCCTTTAAGAGTTGGGTTGTTAGCCCGGGGATCCTTGGATTTTTTGTCATGTTATAGAGAGTTTGGAGGGACTTTTGCTGTTTTTCTTTTCCTAAGTTATTTTTGAAGTAGTCCTTTGTTTGTAACAAATAGGGGCCAGGTTGATAAATATACTCAGGGTTTTCAAGCTGGGAAAGTTTTGAGTAACCCTTTCTGGTTTGTAGCAGTATTTTTGGTTAGTAGGGTAAACTCAAATCTAATTCCTTTAAAAATTTCTAAATAATTTCCTAAAAAGTTTTCTAAAAATAATTTTTTTTAATTTTAAACAGAAGTCGATGGTCTGTGCCAAAAATTTTACGGAAAATCAGGATGTTATAAATCATATTAATTTTACTCCGGATGGGTATTTTTTAATAATTTATTGAGAAAAAAATTTTAATTTAAAAAGAACACTTCTCGTAACTTCCTCAAATGACGATTCAATTACTGTTTATGATTGTGCTAATGGAACAAAACAGCGTTCAGTTAATTCTAAGAAATATGGAGTTGATTTGATTCATTTTGCACATACTCATAATGATGCTATTCATGCGTCTACTAAAGTTGATAGTTTGTTTTTATTCATTTTTTTGGGGGGAATTTGTGAAATTGGTTCCTTTGAATAAACAGAAATTTTTTAATTTTTTGGTTAGGGATTTTTTAGGATTTTTTTAAAAAAAAATTTTCGGCATTGGGTTTCCTTGCGTTCCAAAAGGACCCCTTACCAAAAAATTAAAAAAACTGAAAAAAATTTTTTCTTGACAAGGTTTTGAGTAAATTTTTTTTAATTTTTGCTAAGGGATCCTTTAGGATTATTTTTAAAAAAATTTTGGCAATTAAAAATTTTTAAAAAAATTTTTTAGAAATTTTTTAATTTTTTGGTTAGGGAAAATTATTTCCTTGTGATAGCTGAAAAAAATTTTTTTTTCTTTGACAATGCGTGCTTTTTTGTTATCAGGAAATTTTTTCTGGGAATGGGCCTTTGGATTTTATAAGGTTTTTATTTTTTGGCAGTGGGTCCCTTTTTGATTTACATGAAAATTTTTGGAGAGTTAATATAATAGGAAATTCCCTATAAAAAAGTAGGGAAGGCTTCCTTTGAGGACTAGAAAAATTTTTTAAATTATTTTGCGATGGATACCTTGAGATTATCAGAAATTTTTAATTATTTAATACAATTAACATTTTTATTTCATTTTAAGATACCATTCGCTATCTTTCACTTTATGACAACAAATATTTGCGTTACTTTCAAGGACATACTAAAAAGTTTTTTTTAATTTTTTTTTACCTTAAAAAATTTTTTTCAGAGTTGTAACTCTTTGTATGTCCCCTGTAGATGATATGTTTCTTTCTGGTTCTCTGGATAAAACTATTCGTCTTTGGGATTTGAAAAGTTCGAATTGTCAGGTTTTTTCTTTCCTTTTCAATTTTATAAAATTATTTTTTTAAGGGTTTAATGCAACTTTCGTCTCGTCCAATTGCTGCGTTTGGTATTTTTTTAATTTATATTTTTTTAAAAAGCTCTTGGGTGCGTACCGATTTCTAGGCCTCCAAAAGAAGGCCTAGAAAATTTTAAAAATTCTCTAAAAATTTTTAGAAACTTAGAAATTTTCCTCCAAAATTTCTAGGCCTTCAAAAGGTCTAATTTACCATTTTTTCGAAAACCTTTAGAACATGTAGCTATCTGTGATGGGACGTGTTGCCCGAAAATCGACCAAAAAATCCGAAATGAATCCCGGCACGACCTTTTTTCTTAATCCAACCCATTTCTTCATGCTTAACCAGAGACTTAGAAATTAAAAGTTGAGCTCGGTTATGTTTATCCTCTCCCGGAATCATACCTATGACTTGCAAGGACGTAGCCAGGAGGTCGATTTCAGGAAGGGCTCAGAATTGAGTGTCTCTGGCTCCTGGGCTATCTTCCCTTGAATCATACTCACTCACATCAGTATGACTTGTAAACTTTTTTTTTTCAGATCCAGAAGGTCTTATTTTTGGTGCTGGAATTGGTAACGAAGTTATTAAACTTTATGACCTGCGTTCTTTTGATAAGGTTTTCCTTTTAAAATTTTTTTAGAAAATTTCAAAAAAATTTTTTGTAGGGTCCTTTCAACACCTTCAATATTGGATGTAAAGATACTGGTTATGAATGGACTGGAATGAAATTTTCCCCGGATGGAAAGTCCATTCTTATAATGACAAATGGTCCAATTATGCGAATGGTTGATGCTTATAATGGTTTTTTTTTGAAATTTTTTTTTGGAAAATTTTCTTAAATTTTTTATAGGAAATCTAACTCATACTCTTAGTAGGGAGAATGAACAGGTTTTTTTTCGAATTTTATTTTTAATTTTTTTTAAATTTTTTAAAGAAGGCCAATTTTGTTGCTACATTTTCGCCGGATGCTAAATATGTGTTTTGTGGAACTTCTAAAGGAGAAATTAATTGTTGGTCTGCTGTGGGTTTTTAAAATATTATAAATAGTTGGGAGATTTGGGAAGTTTTTAGGAAGTTGGGGAATAATTTTTGAATTCAATAACTCGGGACTGACTTTTTTCAGGAAAATCCAGGAAGAAACTAATGCTTAGGAAAATCATGAAACAGAAAAAAATACTTAAGCTCAAGCTTGGGCATGTAATTCAAAAAAACCCATGTCCAGGCAAACCAGACAAAATTGAAAAAAAGCCTAGGCCTGGTATTTAGGTTTATGAAAAAACCCACTACATGAAGTGGCCCAGTCCCAGCTCAATGTCTTCGGGGATTTTGCTGATTTCTGGAGGGTCTTGTCTTTGGATTCTTAGAAATCTTGGGGATGTCGATTCGTAAATTTTTATTTGAATTTTTTCAGGAATCTGGTCGTCTTGTTCATACTCTCCAAACAGACCATCCTAATACAATTGAACAAGTGACATTTAATCCCAAATATTTTATGTTGGCATCGGCTTGCAAACAATTGGTAAAAATTGAAATTTTTTTGAAAATAATTTATTTTTTTTAATTTTTAGAAATTCTGGATTCCATCGGCGGATGAGTAAATTAATTTTGGACAATATTTTAAAAAGAATTTAAATTGAATTTTAATATTATTTGTTAATTTTTAGATCTCAATTCGATGCATTGTTTGAAATTATTGATTATAATTTAGTTCAAAGACTTGAAAAATTTTTTTGAGTTTAAATAAAATTTTAAAATAAAATGCTTAATTATCAAAGTGATTATTTAATATCAAAATACATATCTATTTAATAAAATGATTTATCATTATTTTATCAATTTTCAGTTCATCTGCCATAGACTTTAATATTATTTGTTAATTTGTGGATCTTCAAATAATTCTACCCAATATTTCCTGGGGCCTATAGCCCAATAGTTTTAACATCCTTTATTATCCAAAAATCCCCTTTTCCCCCTCAAATTCTTTCCCTACCTTACCTATTCTTCCCTTTCCTTCCTAAATTTTTTATTCAAATAATTCTACCCAATATTTCCTGGGGCCTATAGCCCAATAGTTTTAACATCCTTTATTATCCAAAAATCCCCTTTTCCCCCTCAAATTCTTTCCCTACCTTACCTATTCTTCCCTTTCCTTCCTAAATTTTTTATTCAAATAATTCTACCCAATATTTCCTGGGGCCTATAGCCCAATAGTTTTAACATCCTTTATTATCCAAAAATCCCCTTTTCCCCCTCAAATTCTTTCCCTACCTTACCTATTCTTCCCTTTCCTTCCTAAACTTTTTATTCAAATAATTCTACCCAATATTTCCTGGGGCCTATAGCCCAATAGTTTTAACATCCTTTATTATCCAAAAATCCCCTTTTCCCCCTCAAATTCTTTCCCTACCTTACCTATTCTTCCCTTTCCTTCCTAAATTTTTTATTCAAATAATTCTACCCAATATTTCCTGGGGCCTATAGCCCAATAGTTTTAACATCCTTTATTATCCAAAAATCCCCTTTTCCCCCTCAAATTCTTTCCCTACCTTACCTATTCTTCCCTTTCCTTCCTAAACTTTTTATTCAAATAATTCTACCCAATATTTCCTGGGGCCTATAGCCCAATAGTTTTAACATCCTTTATTATCCAAAAATCCCCTTTTCCCCCTCAAATTCTTTCCCTACCTTACCTATTCTTCCCTTTCCTTCCTAAACTTTTTATTCAAATAATTCTACCCAATATTTCCTGGGGCCTATAGCCCAATAGTTTTAACATCCTTTATTATCCAAAAATCCCCTTTTCCCCCTCAAATTCTTTCCCTACCTTACCTATTCTTCCCTTTCCTTCCTAAACTTTTTATTCAAATAATTCTACCCAATATTTCCTGGGGCCTATAGCCCAATAGTTTTAACATCCTTTATTATCCAAAAATCCCCTTTTCCCCCTCAAATCCTTTCCCTACCTTACCTATTCTTCCCTTTCCTTCCTAAACTTTTTATTCAAATAATTCTACCCAATATTTCCTGGGGCCTATAGCCCAATTATTTTAACATCCTTTATTATCCAAAAATCCCCTTTTCCCCCTCAAATTCTTTCCCTACCTTACCTATTCTTCCCTTTCCTTCCTAAACTTTTTATTCAAATAATTCTACCCAATATTTCCTGGGGCCTATAGCCCAATTATTTTAACATCCTTTATTATCCAAAAATCCCCTTTTCCCCCTCAAATTCTTTCCCTACCTTACCTATTCTTCCCTTTCCTTCCTAAATTTTTTATTCAAATAATTCTACCCAATATTTCCTGGGGCCTATAGCCCAATAGTTTTAACATCCTTTATTATCCAAAAATCCCCTTTTCCCCCTCAAATTCTTTCCCTACCTTACCTATTCTTCCCTTTCCTTCCTAAATTTTTTATTCAAATAATTCTACCCAATATTTCCTGGGGCCTATCGCCCAATAGTTTTAACATCCTTTATTATCCAAAAATCCCCTTTTCCCCCTCAAATTCTTTCCCTACCTTACCTATTCTTCCCTTTCCTTCCTAAATTTTTTATTCAAATAATTCTACCCAATATTTCCTGAGGCCTATAGCCCAATAGTTTTAACATCCTTTATTATCCAAAAATCCCCTTTTCCCCCTCAAATTCTTTCCCTACCTTACCTATTCTTCCCTTTCCTTCCTAAACTTTTTATTCAAATAATTCTACCCAATATTTCCTGGGGCCTATAGCCCAATAGTTTTAACATCCTTTATTATCCAAAAATCCCCTTTTCCCCCTCAAATTCTTTCCCTACCTTACCTATTCTTCCCTTTCCTTCCTAAATTTTTTATTCAAATAATTCTACCCAATATTTCCTGGGGCCTATAGCCCAATAGTTTTAACATCCTTTATTATCCAAAAATCCCCTTTTCCCCCTCAAATTCTTTCCCTACCTTACCTATTCTTCGCTTTCCTTCCTAAACTTTTTATTCAAATAATTCTACCCAATATTTCCTGGGGCCTATAGCCCAATAGTTTTAACATCCTTTATTATCCAAAAATCCCCTTTTCCCCCTCAAATTCTTTCCCTACCTTACCTATTCTTCCCTTTCCTTCCTAAACTTTTTATTCAAATAATTCTACCCAATATTTCCTGGGGCCTATAGCCCAATAGTTTTAACATCCTTTATTATCCAAAAATCCCCTTTTCCCCCTCAAATTCTTTCCCTACCTTACCTATTCTTCCCTTTCCTTTATAAATTTTTTATTCAAATAATTCTACCCAATATTTCCTGGGGCCTATCGCCCAATAGTTTTAACATCCTTTATTATCCAAAAATCCCCTTTTCCCCCTCAAATTCTTTCCCTACCTTACCTATTCTTCCCTTTCCTTCCTAAATTTTTTATTCAAATAATTCTACCCAATATTTCCTGGGGCCTATAGCCCAATAGTTTTAACATGCTTTATTATCCAAAAATCCCCTTTTCCCCCTCAAATTCTTTCCCTACCTTACCTATTCTTCCCTTTCCTTCCTAAACTTTTTATTCAAATAATTCTACCCAATATTTCCTGGGGCCTATAGCCCAATAGTTTTAACATCCTTTATTATCCAAAAATCCCCTTTTCCCCCTCAAATTCTTTCCCTACCTTACCTATTCTTCCCTTTCCTTCCTAAACTTTTTATTCAAATAATTCTACCCAATATTTCCTGGGGCCTATAGCCCAATAGTTTTAACATCCTTTATTATCCAAAAATCCCCTTTTCCCCCTCAAATTCTTTCCCTACCTTACCTATTCTTCCCTTTCCTTCCTAAACTTTTTATTCAAATAATTCTACCCAATATTTCCTGGGGCCTATAGCCCAATAGTTTTAACATCCTTTATTATCCAAAAATCCCCTTTTCCCCCTCAAATTCTTTCCCTACCTTACCTATTCTTCCCTTTCCTTCCTAAACTTTTTATTCAAATAATTCTACCCAATATTTCCTGGGGCCTATAGCCCAATAGTTTTAACATCCTTTATTATCCAAAAATCCCCTTTTCCCCCTCAAATTCTTTCCCTACCTTACCTATTCTTCCCTTTCCTTCCTAAACTTTTTATTCAAATAATTCTACCCAATATTTCCTGGGGCCTATAGCCCAATAGTTTTAACATCCTTTATTATCCAAAAATCCCCTTTTCCCCCTCAAATTCTTTCCCTACCTTACCTATTCTTCCCTTTCCTTCCTAAATTTTTTATTCAAATAATTCTACCCAATATTTCCTGGGGCCTATAGCCCAATAGTTTTAACATCCTTTATTATCCAAAAATCCCCTTTTCCCCCTCAAATTCTTTCCCTACCTTACCTATTCTTCCCTTTCCTTCCTAAATTTTTTATTCAAATAATTCTACCCAATATTTCCTGGGGCCTATCGCCCAATAGTTTTAACATCCTTTATTATCCAAAAATCCCCTTTTCCCCCTCAAATTCTTTCCCTACCTTACCTATTCTTCCCTTTCCTTCCTAAACTTTTTATTCAAATAATTCTACCCAATATTTCCTGGGGCCTATAGCCCAATAGTTTTAACATCCTTTATTATCCAAAAATCCCCTTTTCCCCCTCAAATTCTTTCCCTACCTTACCTATTCTTCCCTTTCCTTCCTAAACTTTTTATTCAAATAATTCTACCCAATATTTCCTGGGGCCTATAGCCCAATAGTTTTAACATCCTTTATTATCCAAAAATCCCCTTTTCCCCCTCAAATTCTTTCCCTACCTTACCTATTCTTCCCTTTCCTTCCTAAATTTTTTATTCAAATAATTCTACCCAATATTTCCTGGGGCCTATAGCCCAATAGTTTTAACATCCTTTATTATCCAAAAATCCCCTTTTCCCCCTCAAATTCTTTCCCTACCTTACCTATTCTTCCCTTTCCTTCCTAAATTTTTTATTCAAATAATTCTACCCAATATTTCCTGGGGCCTATCGCCCAATAGTTTTAACATCCTTTATTATCCAAAAATCCCCTTTTCCCCCTCAAATTCTTTCCCTACCTTACCTATTCTTCCCTTTCCTTCCTAAACTTTTTATTCAAATAATTCTACCCAATATTTCCTGGGGCCTATAGCCCAATAGTTTTAACATCCTTTATTATCCAAAAATCCCCTTTTCCCCCTCAAATTCTTTCCCTACCTTACCTATTCTTCCCTTTCCTTCCTAAACTTTTTATTCAAATAATTCTACCCAATATTTCCTGGGGCCTATAGCCCAATAGTTTTAACATCCTTTATTATCCAAAAATCCCCTTTTCCCCCTCAAATTCTTTCCCTACCTTACCTATTCTTCCCTTTCCTTCCTAAATTTTTTATTCAAATAATTCTACCCAATATTTCCTGGGGCCTATAGCCCAATAGTTTTAACATCCTTTATTATCCAAAAATCCCCTTTTCCCCCTCAAATTCTTTCCCTACCTTACCTATTCTTCCCTTTCCTTCCTAAATTTTTTATTCAAATAATTCTACCCAATATTTCCTGGGGCCTATCGCCCAATAGTTTTAACATCCTTTATTATCCAAAAATCCCCTTTTCCCCCTCAAATTCTTTCCCTACCTTACCTATTCTTCCCTTTCCTTCCTAAATTTTTTATTCAAATAATTCTACCCAATATTTCCTGGGGCCTATAGCCCAATAGTTTTAACATCCTTTATTATCCAAAAATCCCCTTTTCCCCCTCAAATTCTTTCCCTACCTTACCTATTCTTCCCTTTCCTTCCTAAACTTTTTATTCAAATAATTCTACCCAATATTTCCTGGGGTCTATAGCCCAATAGTTTTAACATCCTTTATTATCCAAAAATCCCCTTTTCCCCCTCAAATTCTTTCCCTACCTTACCTATTCTTCCCTTTCCTTCCTAAATTTTTTATTCAAATAATTCTACCCAATATTTCCTGGGGTCTATAGCCCAATAGTTTTAACATCCTTTATTATCCAAAAATCCCCTTTTCCCCCTCAAATTCTTTCCCTACCTTACCTATTCTTCCCTTTCCTTCCTAAACTTTTTATTCAAATAATTCTACCCAATATTTCCTGGGGCCTATAGCCCAATAGTTTTAACATCCTTTATTATCCAAAAATCCCCTTTTCCCCCTCAAATTCTTTCCCTACCTTACCTATTCTTCCCTTTCCTTCCTAAACTTTTTATTCAAATAATTCTACCCAATATTTCCTGGGGCCTATAGCCCAATAGTTTTAACATCCTTTATTATCCAAAAATCCCCTTTTCCCCCTCAAATTCTTTCCCTACCTTACCTATTCTTCCCTTTCCTTCCTAAACTTTTTATTCAAATAATTCTACCCAATATTTCCTGGGGCCTATAGCCCAATAGTTTTAACATCCTTTATTATCCAAAAATCCCCTTTTCCCCCTCAAATTCTTTCCCTACCTTACCTATTCTTCCCTTTCCTTCCTAAACTTTTTATTCAAATAATTCTACCCAATATTTCCTGGGGCCTATAGCCCAATAGTTTTAACATCCTTTATTATCCAAAAATCCCCTTTTCCCCCTCAAATTCTTTCCCTACCTTACCTATTCTTCCCTTTCCTTCCTAAATTTTTTATTCAAATAATTCTACCCAATATTTCCTGGGGCCTATAGCCCAATAGTTTTAACATCCTTTATTATCCAAAAATCCCCTTTTCCCCCTCAAATTCTTTCCCTACCTTACCTATTCTTCCCTTTCCTTCCTAAATTTTTTATTCAAATAATTCTACCCAATATTTCCTGGGGCCTATCGCCCAATAGTTTTAACATCCTTTATTATCCAAAAATCCCCTTTTCCCCCTCAAATTCTTTCCCTACCTTACCTATTCTTCCCTTTCCTTCCTAAACTTTTTATTCAAATAATTCTACCCAATATTTCCTGGGGCCTATAGCCCAATAGTTTTAACATCCTTTATTATCCAAAAATCCCCTTTTCCCCCTCAAATTCTTTCCCTACCTTACCTATTCTTCCCTTTCCTTCCTAAACTTTTTATTCAAATAATTCTACCCAATATTTCCTGGGGCCTATAGCCCAATAGTTTTAACATCCTTTATTATCCAAAAATCCCCTTTTCCCCCTCAAATTCTTTCCCTACCTTACCTATTCTTCCCTTTCCTTCCTAAATTTTTTATTCAAATAATTCTACCCAATATTTCCTGGGGCCTATAGCCCAATAGTTTTAACATCCTTTATTATCCAAAAATCCCCTTTTCCCCCTCAAATTCTTTCCCTACCTTACCTATTCTTCCCTTTCCTTCCTAAACTTTTTATTCAAATAATTCTACCCAATATTTCCTGGGGCCTATAGCCCAATAGTTTTAACATCCTTTATTATCCAAAAATCCCCTTTTCCCCCTCAAATTCTTTCCCTACCTTACCTATTCTTCCCTTTCCTTCCTAAATTTTTTATTCAAATAATTCTACCCAATATTTCCTGGGGCCTATAGCCCAATAGTTTTAACATCCTTTATTATCCAAAAATCCCCTTTTCCCCCTCAAATTCTTTCCCTACCTTACCTATTCTTCCCTTTCCTTCCTAAACTTTTTATTCAAATAATTCTACCCAATATTTCCTGGGGCCTATAGCCCAATAGTTTTAACATCCTTTATTATCCAAAAATCCCCTTTTCCCCCTCAAATTCTTTCCCTACCTTACCTATTCTTCCCTTTCCTTCCTAAACTTTTTATTCAAATAATTCTACCCAATATTTCCTGGGGCCTATAGCCCAATAGTTTTAACATCCTTTATTATCCAAAAATCCCCTTTTCCCCCTCAAATTCTTTCCCTACCTTACCTATTCTTCCCTTTCCTTCCTAAATTTTTTATTCAAATAATTCTACCCAATATTTCCTGGGGCCTATAGCCCAATAGTTTTAACATCCTTTATTATCCAAAAATCCCCTTTTCCCCCTCAAATTCTTTCCCTACCTTACCTATTCTTCCCTTTCCTTCCTAAACTTTTTATTCAAATAATTCTACCCAATATTTCCTGGGGCCTATAGCCCAATAGTTTTAACATCCTTTATTATCCAAAAATCCCCTTTTCCCCCTCAAATTCTTTCCCTACCTTACCTATTCTTCCCTTTCCTTCCTAAACTTTTTATTCAAATAATTCTACCCAATATTTCCTGGGGCCTATAGCCCAATAGTTTTAACATCCTTTATTATCCAAAAATCCCCTTTTCCCCCTCAAATTCTTTCCCTACCTTACCTATTCTTCCCTTTCCTTCCTAAATTTTTTATTCAAATAATTCTACCCAATATTTCCTGGGGCCTATAGCCCAATAGTTTTAACATCCTTTATTATCCAAAAATCCCCTTTTCCCCCTCAAATTCTTTCCCTACCTTACCTATTCTTCCCTTTCCTTCCTAAACTTTTTATTCAAATAATTCTACCCAATATTTCCTGGGGCCTATAGCCCAATAGTTTTAACATCCTTTATTATCCAAAAATCCCCTTTTCCCCCTCAAATTCTTTCCCTACCTTACCTATTCTTCCCTTTCCTTCCTAAACTTTTTATTCAAATAATTCTACCCAATATTTCCTGGGGCCTATAGCCCAATAGTTTTAACATCCTTTATTATCCAAAAATCCCCTTTTCCCCCTCAAATTCTTTCCCTACCTTACCTATTCTTCCCTTTCCTTCCTAAACTTTTTATTCAAATAATTCTACCCAATATTTCCTGGGGCCTATCGCCCAATAGTTTTAACATCCTTTATTATCCAAAAATCCCCTTTTCCCCCTCAAATTCTTTCCCTACCTTACCTATTCTTCCCTTTCCTTCCTAAATTTTTTATTCAAATAATTCTACCCAATATTTCCTGGGGCCTATAGCCCAATAGTTTTAACATCCTTTATTATCCAAAAATCCCCTTTTCCCCCTCAAATTCTTTCCCTACCTTACCTATTCTTCCCTTTCCATCCTAAACTTTTTATTCAAATAATTCTACCCAATATTTCCTGGGGCCTATCGCCCAATAGTTTTAACATCCTTTATTATCCAAAAATCCCCTTTTCCCCCTCAAATTCTTTCCCTACCTTACCTATTCTTCCCTTTCCTTCCTAAATTTTTTATTCAAATAATTCTACCCAATATTTCCTGGGGCCTATAGCCCAATAGTTTTAACATCCTTTATTATCCAAAAATCCTCTTTTCCCCCTCAAATTCTTTCCCTACCTTACCTATTCTTCCCTTTCCTTCCTAAATTTTTTATTCAAATAATTCTACCCAATATTTCCTGGGGCCTATCGCCCAATAGTTTTAACATCCTTTATTATCCAAAAATCCCCTTTTCCCCCTCAAATTCTTTCCCTACCTTACCTATTCTTCCCTTTCCTTCCTAAATTTTTTATTCAAATAATTCTACCCAATATTTCCTGGGGCCTATCGCCCAATAGTTTTAACATCCTTTATTATTCAAAAATCCCCTTTTCCCCCTCAAATTCTATCCCTACCTTACCTATTCTTCCCTTTCCTTCCTAAATTTTTTATTCAAATAATTCTACCCAATATTTCCTGGGGCCTATAGCCCAATAGTTTTAACATCCTTTATTATCCAAAAATCCCCTTTTCCCCCTCAAATTCTTTCCCTACCTTACCTATTCTTCCCTTTCCTTCCTAAACTTTTTATTCAAATAATTCTACCCAATATTTCCTGGGGCCTATAGCCCAATAGTTTTAACATCCTTTATTATCCAAAAATCCCCTTTTCCCCCTCAAATTCTTTCCCTACCTTACCTATTCTTCCCTTTCCTTCCTAAATTTTTTATTCAAATAATTCTACCCAATATTTCCTGGGGCCTATAGCCCAATAGTTTTAACATCCTTTATTATCCAAAAATCCCCTTTTCCCCCTCAAATTCTTTCCCTACCTTACCTATTCTTCCCTTTCCTTCCTAAACTTTTTATTCAAATAATTCTACCCAATATTTCCTGGGGCCTATAGCCCAATAGTTTTAACATCCTTTATTATCCAAAAATCCCCTTTTCCCCCTCAAATTCTTTCCCTACCTTACCTATTCTTCCCTTTCCTTCCTAAACTTTTTATTCAAATAATTCTACCCAATATTTCCTGGGGCCTATAGCCCAATAGTTTTAACATCCTTTATTATCCAAAAATCCCCTTTTCCCCCTCAAATTCTTTCCCTACCTTACCTATTCTTCCCTTTCCTTCCTAAATTTTTTATTCAAATAATTCTACCCAATATTTCCTGGGGCCTATAGCCCAATAGTTTTAACATCCTTTATTATCCAAAAATCCCCTTTTCCCCCTCAAATTCTTTCCCTACCTTACCTATTCTTCCCTTTTCTTTAAAAATTCTTAATTTTTAAAAGATTTATAAATCGATATATTAAGTTTTTTGTTTATTAATCATTTTCAAAATAGATCAGTTTATATACAAATACATGCGAAAATATTTTCAAAATTTTATTGAAGGCATCGAGTAACATGTTCAATCACATATTCCAAATTCTCCAATTTATGTTTAATCGCTACACGTTTCACCATCTCAAGATTGCGAATCAGCTCCTCTGTCTTTAATGTGTATTCGAATTTGTTACTGCATTCACAATGACGATGCAAAAAATTCGCTCCAATCTTTAAAAAATGATTAAAATTATTTGGAATTTTAAAAACATGTTATTGGACATTTTGAAAAAATCTTCCCGTTGGACCTTTTGAAAAATTTTGTTCTTATGGACGTTTAAAAAAAACTGCGCTTATGGGCCTTTTTAAAAATTTTTTCTCCTATCGACATTTTTAAAAAATTTTCTCTATCGGGTATCTCGAATATTTCTCCCATTTAGATCTTCATTCAAAATTTTTCTATTGAACAAAACAAATTTAGATTAGCAATAAATCAAATTACCAACCTTTTTACACGAAACACACTGCCAATCTTGAAGTGCAAAAGAAGTCTGCATTCTTGAAACTCGTTCAACCAACATTTCCTCAATTAAACTTAAAGGATATTCACTTCCACAATGAAGACAAAGGAATGGCAAATTATTGGTGTTGGCTGAAAAAAAAAAGATAAAATTGATCAAAATCAGTTCAAAAATAAATTAAAAAACGAGTTTTTGAATTTTTTGTGTGGTAAAAAACTTCAAAAAAAATATGAAATTTAAAAAATATAAAAAATTTTTTATTAAGTGCCAAAAATAAAACAACTACAACCAAAGGGATTCGAACCTTCATCAAAAATGAATTAACTCAACTGCCTTAACCACTACACCACACCGTCACATATAGGATATGTGTTTAAAATTACTTATGTATTCAAGGGAATACTTAATAAAAATTCCTTAGGAGGGGGAAATCGAATACTAACCCAAAAAAAATTTAAAAAATTGTTTATTGTCACAAAAATATTAAAATTTAGTAAACCTTCTTTTCCTTGTTTTTCTCCTCCTTTAACAAAATCATTGCTAACATCCAAATCACCATTTTGTGAACATTTTTGACAAAAAATATTTTCCAAAATGACACAAGTTGGGGGAATCCAATTGTTTTTGTTTGTTGATATTATGCCATCCTTAAGAGGTTAAAATGTAAATAAATTTATGGGCATTTCACCGAATGACAATTCGGTTATTAAAATTTAAAAATAGAAAACAACCAAAAAAATTTTTGGGGAAAATTTTCCCCTGGGGAATTTCTTTCCAATAGTAGCCAAGACCTATGACCCTCTGACCATTTGTTTTCATTTCAAGATTTTTTAAAGAATATTTCGGTAAATTGTCCATTTGGTAAAATACACCAAATTTTTTTCGGTGAATAGTCTATATGCTAAAACGCCCCCCAAAAATTTTTCGGTAAATTGTCTATTTGGTAAAATACATCCAACATTTTTCCGGTGAATTGTCTATTTGGTAAAATGCTCCCCAAAAATTTTTTTAAAAAATTAATCAAAAAAACCTTGTATATAATTAGCAATAATTGACTCTTTAAATTATCCACAACTTCTTCCAAAGCTAAATTAACACTCAAAACTCGACATATACAATTAACAAATTCCAAAGGAATATCTAAACAAAAATTTTCTTTAGCCATTTCTTCCAATTTTGGTCTCAATAAAATTAATTTTGTTGTTAAACGAAATAAACTATCAACAATTTCTTCTTTTAAAATTTTTAGTGAAATTTGTGAAATTAGTTGAGGGTTATTATTTAAATCCTGAAAAATAAAAAAATATTTTTAAAATTTAAAATGTGTGAGCAAAAGAGTGTTCTCGCCTAATTCTTAAAATTTTTTTAGAAATTAATGAAAACACTAAAAACTCTAAAAATTTAAAAAATTTTAACTAGTATAGAAAGAAAATAAGAGTATAAAGCTGGTTTAAAATCTCAGGAATAAAAAGGCAAAAATAGCAAGGCAAATTAAAAATATATAAAATAAGATATTCAGGATCTTAAATAACTATTATGCCGTCATTAAGAGAATCTTCCTGAACCCTTATAAAAATTTAAGAAAAAAAATTTACAAGGGTTCTAGGAAAAACATTCAATACCCCCTATTTTCAGAAAAAATTTTTTTAAATCAAACCTCATCATTTAATTCCTTCCTTTTATTCCACAACATTCCAACAAAACCAGCAATCATTATAATAAATTTATTTTTAATTTCTCCTTGTATTTTATTTGCTAAACCAAATTTTGCTTCGACACGTCCATTCTTTTAGAAAAAAATTATTTTTAATTTTTTAAATTAAAAAAAACCTTTTTCTCATCTTCACTAGCATAAACATAAGCATAATTAGACTTTGAAAAAAAATTTTTTTGAATTTAAATTAATTTTAAAAAATCCTTACAGAATCTATCCACAACAAAACACTTGAAAAATGAATTAATCCTAATTGTAAAGAAGCAAAAATTGGTTTTTGATTAATTTCAATTAATAAAGAATTTACAAAAGATTTGGCAAAAGGTAGGGAATGTCTTTAAAAAATTATTTAAAAAATATTTTTTAAAAAAACCTTTGAGTAGAAAAAACAATTTTTCTAAAGGAGCAATAAATTACTTTAGCCCCCAACCGTTGCATTTCTGCAACTAAAAGTAAACACAATTTTTTCATTAAAATGGTTAAAGCATTTTTAATTGCTGGATTAAATAATAAAGAATTTGGATCACATATCCATCTAAATATTGAATTAAAATAAATTAAAAATTATTTTTAAAAATACCTATGCATATTAATAACCAATTGATCAGCAATTAAATTTTTTCGATAATGAATGTCTCTAACTAAACGATGGAACATCTAAAGAAAAAAATTTTTTTGAATTAAAAGAATTTCAAGTATTTAAATAATACTTGAATTTTGGGTAACCCGGACCCAATATATGTAATGACTACTGGGAGCGCTGCTTCTATTTTTAAAAATTTTAAACACCAACGCCTAGTAAGCGCGGATCTTTCCATTCTTTCATTAATTATAATAAATCCCCAAAAAAATCCACAGTTTTTCAAAAAAATTAAAATAAACCTCTCTTAAACAAGCCAATTCCCCATTTACAGCAATACAATCATTAATATATTTCCCTCCAATTCGACTATTAATTAATTCTTCAATAGACAAAGTAGATAATTTATTACAAGTAAATCCAATATATTCTGATGTTCCTTCTGCTTCAGAAATTTTAACAGATTGTAATAAGGCGGTTACTGCTAATGCTCCAATTGATATTTCTGCTGTTATATAATGAGCCTGAAAAGAGAAATTTTTTTAAATTTATTATGGGTTTTCTGAAGCTGATCCGAGGTATTTTATTTACCTTGTCCAAAACAAACTAACTCAATTAATTGAATATTTAAAAAGTCCCTAAAAATTAAAAAAATTCGAAAAGGACCCCCTTCTATTAAAAAAAATTTTTTAAATTAATTTTCAAAAAAAACCTCAAATATTTCTTTATTAATCAAATAATTTTCTCCTCCTCCACCAAAACATTTTCCAGTAAAAGAACAATTTTCCCATTCATTACTTAGGCGTAAATCATCCAAATCTTTTCCACCAAAATCTGGAATTAATGATGGTGATGCCCACAATAAATAATTTTTTGTTTTTAATTGACGAGCAAATAAAATATCCAAGCCAAATGAAGAGACATCTTCAGGTAAATTACCTATTGGAATTTCCAAATAAGAAGAAAATGACCAGTATTCCTTTAAAAATAAATTTTTTAATTTTGTAAAAAAATTAATTTAATTTTATAAAAAAAATTTTTAGAGGCCTTGAGAAATTTAAAAAAAATTTTAAAGGCCTTGAAAAATTCCAAAAAAATTTTTTAATCATTTAACAGCCCAAAAACACCAAAAATAAAAATAATGACCCCGATGTGATTTGAACACACAACCTTCTGATCTGGAGTCAGACGCGCTACCATTGCGCCACGGAGTCCGTTAGTAAAAAATAATTTATTTCTACCCTATATATAAGGTAAAAATATTAATAAATTTATTTTATGCCCTAAAAGGGGTTTTTCAAAAAATTCTCACAAAAATTCCAAAAAATTTTAAAAAAAAACCTTCAAATAAGTAAAACAAATAAAAAAGTGTTGAACAGATCGTTTAACAATAGTATTAGCCCAATCCAATATATTCATTAAATTAGACGGTTCAGTAACCTTTAAAGTAACGTTAGGGAAGGCAACAAGTGAAGGGAAATCCTTTAAAAAAATTTCAAAAAATTTTTAAAAATTTTAAAAAATTCCAAACCTTTAACAATTGCTTTGTTAATCTATTAGACTGAATTAAAAGTAAAAAAGGTTCAACATTTGTTAATTTTAAGCTCGTAATTAATTTTGAAAGTTGACGAGAACAATCTTTAATTGATGTATTTTGGTAGGTTTCTATTGAACAAATTTTTTTGCATTGTTCTAAACCAATAAATTCATCTTCGTTAATTAATTTTTGATTTATACTAAAATTTGTAAGTTTAACAAAAAAAAATTTTCCTCAAACTTACAATCGATTCAATTCATTCAAATAAAAATTATTTAAATTTAACAAATCAACAGGTTCTCTATTTACAACAAAAATAAAAGCTTTTCCAAATTTTGGCATAAATACAGATAAAATTAACCGTCCCAAATGTAAATATTCATATAAATAAATTATTGGTAAAGTTGAAAAATTGAAATCAGAAAATTGAAAAATTGAAGGGTTATCAATCTGAAAATTTTGAAAAAATTTTTAAAAATTTTTGAAAATTTTCAAGAGAAATTTTGAATCAATTTCTCTTACCAAATATAAAAATAAATTAAATATAAACCTTATTAATTTGTTCCAAACTCAATTCATTATTAATATTTTTCCCATCAACATTACAATTTACACCACTATGAAATATTGTTTTAAACATTAAAGGTATTTTAGTTTCATAAATTCCGTTAATTCTCATTAAACACATTTGCACATTTAAATCGCTAAAAATAAATTAATTATTATAATTTAAAAATCCCAGAAAAATTATTCAAAAAATCAAAGCTATGTACTTGGGATCAAATGTCGCTCCCTTCCAAAAATTAATTTATAACATTCCACCAAAGAGCAATACTTTTTTAATTTGGAAAAATTACTCGATTCGAGAAAAATTTTAAGAAATTTGAAAAAAATTTCGTAAAATTCCCCCAAACTCCAAGAATTAAATAGTGGGATCAAATGTCACCTCTCCACCCTCAAAATAAAAAAATAAAAATAAAACAAACAAACATCATCTTAGTAGAAAAAACAGCTTCATCAATACAAAATTCATATAAATTAGCTGAAGGCCTTTGACGTGGTAACAATTTTTGTACTAATTGGCCTATTGAATTTTGTCTAATTTCAATATCGTCGACATAAACTGTTCGAGGAACTATTAAATTAATTCGTCTAATTATATCATCTACTAAAGCAAATAGTGTAAATTGACCAGGAAATTTGGTTTCTAAAATCTAAAGAAAAATTTTTCAAAGGAATTTTGAAATTTCAACTGGAATTATAAGATGGGATCAAATGTCACCCCTTCAAAAATTAATTTAAATTAAAAAAATTTCGAAAACACGGCTTTTAAAATACGGAGAATTTTATAAAAAAAATCTTTAAAATTAGGAAAAAATTTAAAAAAAAAACCTGAATAATTTGCCAACAATGTTTTCGTTTAACTACAGGTCCTCCTCCCAATATTGCTGTACTTGTTGAAGGGATATTTGCAAGTGAATTGTCTGCTTCCAAAGTTTCTTCCTCTCTTTTTCTTGCCAAATATTGAAAACGCCACAAGTCTTTGAGATAATTTAACTAGCAAAATAAAAAAGATCTTAAAGGATTTGCGGACAATTTTGCGGACTTTTTTAAAATTATTCCTGAGCTTTTACAAACTAACCACATAGTATGTATGATTTATTTATTTAAAAAATTATCTAAAAAAAGTCCGTAAAAAAGTCGCAAAATTTTGTCTATTTCTAACAAAAAAATTTCGTTAAAAAACAAACCCATTGACTAAACCCATTTTCTTTCCAAGTCTTTCTAACCAAACTTTGTTTATTCAAATCATAATCAGCTCTATTTAAACGTCTAAAAAAATGTTGTGAAATTGCTAAACGTTTAGCTTCCCGTTGTTTTGCAATTTTTGATTTTTCTGGTTTTTTAATATTTTTCTTATTTTTTGGTTGACTTGGTTGTTGCTGTTGTGTTATTTCCACTATATTAATCTCTTGTTCATCAATTTCAATAATTTCTTCTTCATTTTGTTGAATTATTGTAGTAGTAGATATTTGTTGTTTTTCAATTAAAGAAGTACTAGTAGATGGCTGATTTTCTTAAAAAAATTTAAAAAACATCCAGGAAAAACTCCTCAAACCAACCAAAATCATCAACATCGTTCAAAATTTGTAACAATTTATCATCTTCCTTATTTTCCCTTTCTTTTCCAAAAAGTGATTTTCTACTTTGTTCAATATTTGTTGTTGTTGATTTTTTACTTTTAAGAGACCATGGCGTTGACTGAAGATTTTTTGTTTTATTACTTTTTGGTGTATTTGTAGGAATTGACTAAAACAAAAATGAATTATTAGGTTTAGAAAATTAAAAAAAAATTAAGTCAAACAGGCTCTATTTCGAAAAATTTCTCGGATCTGATATCGGAGGCTCTATCTCACAATCAGTGTTGGAAATTTCAGATTTGCTCGTACTTCGTACCTAAGTGCAAGTACGAATTATGGTACGAACTTCCAAGCACTGGTCTTACTCTAAGGGTAATCTTTCTGATCTTCCACAATTCATTAGTGAAAATTTCAACCCCTACTTGTTAAAACCATTAAAAATCCCATTTTATATTTTAAATTACAAATAAAACCTTAAATAAATCAGTTATTCTTGGTTGTATATGCATTTCAACACGTTCTTTCCTTTTATTTTCTAACCACTGTGGATGTGGAACTTTAGGTACTGGATTAGGCAATCCTTGTAGAGCTGCTGGAATTGTTACAATTTTTTGAATACAACTGTTGAGGCGTTCAATATAATATTGCCAATCTATTAACTTTAAGAAAAATTTTTTAACACTGTTGGGAGATAAAAATTTTTGTAGTCGAAAAAAGTCCAGTTTCGGTAAACCCAAACCCTTCCTGGGAGGGAAGGCCTAAATTCAAGTACTAGAACAGTAGACTCAAAACAAGGAAAATAAAAAAACGAATGGAAGATAATATTAAGATTGCCAAAAAGCATAAATAAAACCTCTCTAAAAACATTTTCATCAGCAAAATCCAAATGTGAACATTTTGTCCAACGCCTCAAAAATCTACTTCTAATGTTTGGTTCTGAATCGAAAATAGCCTGAGGGATAGTTCTTTCCGTCACGGGTTCGTCAATTGGAAATCGAGAAACAATAAATTTACAAGCCAATCCACGATTTTTGACCATTCCTTCACCGAGAAACTAAAAAATAAAAAGATTTACCGATTTACCAATGTGACATTTTTGATGTTTTGAAAAGAATTTAATAAATTTTTAGAGAAAATTCTTTTAAAGTAAATCCAAAGGCTTTGCAAAATCCAAAAGTGCATTTTTTATCACCGATACCCGGACTTAACGACTAATTCCACCATCCTCCAACCAATGACGGAGACGATTGTTAGCGTCAGGCAGAATTTTTTAAAATTGTGGAGGTCAAGAAGCCAACTAAAAGCCTCCCCTCTTTAACCACGACCTAGCCTACAATAGATAAACAAAAATCACACCCATCCATCCCCCTTCCATCCTACAAAAAAAATTTTTTTATAAAAACCTCAGCCAATCTTTTAGCAGTTGTAATAGATGTTGATTTTTGACTTCCATAATCTTCCAAAGCTCTACTCATATTTTTACTTTCCCCAATTAATTCAAATAATTCACTCAAAGATAAAGCTCTTCCTTGATCATAAAGTATAGAAAGCCAATAATTTGCTTCTAAAGCTACATTTGAATAAATTTCCTCTAAAGTAGAGCCTTTCAAAAAACACTTAAAAACTTCTGTTTGAAAATATCTTTAAAAATAAAAAAAATTTAAATTAGTTAAATCCCAAATTTTCGGAATCGAAAAGTTCGGGTCGTGGTTAAAAAGGGTCAGGGAGCCCAATGCCAACTTAAATGAAACCAACCCTTAATATAAGATATCTCCTTAAGTTCGACAGAAAATTATGTCCTTTAATGAGGAGTATCTTAAATTGACCCACCTAATCTAGCTAATCAAACTAGAATAATCAACCCTTAAAAAATGCTAAATTAAAGTGTATCAGTTAATTGATGTATCATACAATGAGGTTCGACTGTAATAAAAAAATACAAACTTTATTATTGCTAATTCTCCACGTCTTTTAACTTCAAATCCTTTTAATTCAGCCAAGGTTTTGTCAAAATTAAAGACGGCATAACTAAATATTTAAAAGACTAAACTTTCATAAATAAAAAATAAAAAACCGTTTTTTAAGCTTTTTTCCTTCCTCCTTGGAAGCTGGCAATATCATTGCATAATAAGGACCGTCAACCTTAAGAAAAAAAATTTTTGTCCGCAAATATAAAAAAATTATGCGGATTGCCCGCAAATGTCTACAGAATTCAATCTAAAAACAAAAAAACTAATTTACCTCAAAGAAAATAGAATTTTCACTAGATATTATACATTCCCCATCATCAATAATTGTATGATATTGTTCATTAGTAAATCGATCTTTAACCAAAGCATTCAAGACAGCAGCAGGGTAGGAAATTTTAATTTTTTTGCCATTCAAAGTTTCAAAAACAAAATTTTGTGGAAAAGAGGAAGGAAGTAAACACCAAATTCCATCTGTATCTAACTCTAATGGTCTACCAATACGTTCAATTAATTGACGTGCTTCGCGGATTATATTAGCGCCTGTATGGCATACAATTCCAGCCTTAAAAATAATTATATCGATAAAATTTAATTTTTTAGATAACAAAAAAGCTTCAATAAGTAAAGATTAAATGTAAATATAAATAACCCCAATTTTTGCGAGCAAAATTTTTTTATTTGCTTAAAAAAGGGATCTATATAATCGGCGAAAATAGTGTAGACGGAAGTACTTATATTATTTGAGTTGTCCCAGATTTTTATCTCAAAGAATAGAGCCTATAAAAATTTTTTACTTACCATTTCCATAGAAAACCATCTAGAACCTTTTCTCATAACATAACCATAAAAAGAATTTAAAATACATTTGTGTGCCATTTGAAGAGAATCATAAAGTATAACTCTAGATTGTGCAGATTTACGATCAGCCAAATGACTTGAAGGTATTGCTTCTACTGATGCTTTTGCTTTCTAAAATTTTTTAAATTTAAAGAAGTATTAGATTAAAATAAAATTAAAGATTGGAGAATTTTTGGCATTTTTAGCTACATTAAAAATTGCGGACAATTTTCTGACCCATAATCTGACTAGCCAAAACCAGGCTCTATCTTAGACCCGAAACTCGATCCGAAACCCAACCCAAGTTTTTTTTATCAAGCCGGCCTATCCCTTCCGCATGCCTTTAAAAAATTATGATAAAATTAGATTTAAAAAACCTTATGCATTTCTTTATATTCATAACGTCGATCTCTAAAAGCTCTAACAGTATCTACATAAAAAGAGTGTTCCCGTTGACATATTGTTGTATTTCTTTGCTCTATTTTTGTATCATGCAATCTTTTATAGGCAGTTTTGCAATATTCTTTACAAAAAAATTTTTTTAAGAAAAATCTTCTAAATTAAAAAAAAACCTGTAATTCTCTTTTTAGAAATTTTTAATCTTTCCTCTTTAGGTAAAGCATTGAATGGCTTTGGTGGCTTTCCAAATCTTTCTTGTTCTAATTGCATCATAAGCCTGTCATATTCTCCTTTTGAGGCAGGAACTTGAAAAAGAAAAAAATTTTAATGAAAAAAATTTTCAAAAATTAAATTCTAAAATACTCACTACATTCCCCTCTCCAAACCCAATCCATTTTTCTTTTGCATTTAGCATCAGGTGCATTATGAATACAGGCCATACATTGTTCTTCGTTTACAACTGCTGGAGGCTGAAAAAAATTAAAAAAATGATTTTTCTGAAAAAGATGAGACAAGGAAGGTTTAAACAATAATAAGGATACATAATAATTCTTGAAAATGACAAAAAAATTTTGTAACATTTCTCGCAATGTTTATGTGAAAAAATTCAATTTAACAAACGGAGTCAAAACACCAATCATATCCTAAAGCCCTAACCAGCACAAAAGACATCTGATAAGCTCATCAAATTATAAACCTATGTATAATTTTTTAAATTTTTCAGCAAACCTGAAGTCTATTAGTCAAAATAATATTTGGATACATTGCCCCAACGTCTAAATGGTAGAGTTCTGGATGTTCTGTTCTTAAAGGTTTTTCAATTAATGCATCCAAGGATTGTTCAATTTGTTCACAAATTGATTCAAAATTTGAAACTTCTGGTAATAATATTTTTGCATCATTACAAAGTGAATGTTCTAATGTTGGACGAACTTCTTCCTTTAAATTAGAAAAATAAAAAAAATTTAAAGAAAATTGACTCTGGTCTAGTTTAGAAAGAAAGACTGGAAAGTTTTCATCTTCCAAATCCGTATGTAATCTCCCTAAATTAGCGACTTAAACTGACAATTGGGTAACCTAAAATACACAAATTTTTTCAATGAAATCCCCAATGATTAAAAAAATCGTTACAATAATGTTCATTTTACAAAACAAAAAGCGGGAAGAATGAATAAGTCCACTAATGAAGGATCGGTCCCCCAAGACCTAGGCTATTTTCTCCACGAAGATCAGATCCAAAACAATTTTGAAATGCCGAAACTCAAATTTTTCCCCAACTCTACCACCACAAAAAATCGAATTAATAAACCTTTAATTGTTCCAATGCTTCAACATCCAATTTAAACCTACAAGCTATATCAGCTCTAAAAACTCCAGATTCAATAGCCTCAACATGCCCACCAACATAAGTTTCACTATCAATTAAATGTCCATCCAAAGTCATTTTATTTTCTTTAATTATTTGTTTATTTGGAAATATTATATTGCTGTGGAATGCTTGAACCATTAACAAAGCTTCACATAATGTTCCTGAACCTTTACGCAAAACCTGAAAATTAAAAAAAATTTTTTAGAGATTTTAAAATCGATTTCAAGGCTCTAATTTAATTAATGGATGTATGCCGAAAATTAGACTTGATCTAACATAAGGTTGGTTTAAGATTTTTTTATTAGTACACGTTAAAGAGGAAATCTAACCACATTAACTAAAAAAAATCCTCTAATAATTTTTAATGAATTTGTTATCGAAAAATTTTTTTGATTAAAAATCCAACAACTAACATCATCTGGAGACAAAGGAATAATTGTACATAAAGCAAAAATAAAAGGATGAACATATTTTGTATATAAATAATAAGTTGAAACAGCATCAGAAACTGAATAATTAGCCAAAACTTTTGGTTGATTTTTTGCCATTGGGACCTTAAAAAAATTAATATTTATTTCTAAAAATTCTCTACATGAATGTTTTCTCCAAAAATTTTTTTCTAAAATTTCTAGAAAAAATAAAAAAAAATTTTAAATTCCAAAAAATTTATAAAAAACTAAAAAAAATTTTTTCAAACCATTTCTTCTGGATCCAATTCAATAGGATCATAACGCAATTTTTCTCTTGTTGCAGCTTTTAACGATTGTGAACCCATTGGAAGATAACTGTCACGTTGAACCCAACTAAAAAAAATTTAATTTAAAATCTTTTTTTAAAAATTAAAAAAAACCTAAAAGCATCCATATGTACACAATTAAAATGTTTATATTCATCTTGTGAATCTTTATAAAAACCCAAATATTTGTTAATATTTATTCCGTGAAAGTTTGCACGAGCATCAACAAAGGGCCTTTAAAAATTATAAAAAAATTAATTTAATAAAACAAAATTTTAAACAAAGTGAATTCTGGACATTTTTAAAAATAGATAAAATGTTCAACTTAAAAATTCCTGTAATTTTCCTTTCATAATTCATCATAGATTTGGAATCAAATCCTTCGGGGTCGGAGTTTATCAGAGTAGATATTGGGGTCGGATTCGTCAAAATAGTCAGGGGTTTTTTACAGTCTTAACCACATTTAAAATCAGAGTCAACGGAAAATTGTCGCGGTCTAATTAAAAGTCTCGGTGCTCAACCCTACTTAATCAAAAATTAAAAAAAACAAACCAATCAAAAAAATCCCCATTATAAGTAACCATAATTGAAGGTTTAATTTTTAGTAAATGATCAAAAAATCGTAACAACAATTTTTGTTCATTTTCTTCATTAAAAACAACAAATTCCCCAACAAATTCAGGTTTAGGTGTATATTCAAAATTGTCAATATCTTCAGAAATTATTTGTCTATTTACAATTAAAAAACCAGAACCATCAATCATATACGAAATCATCTTTAAAAAATTTTTTAATTTTTTTCACACAGTCGGTCGTCAATTTTAGATACATTCTTGTGGTTAAAAATTATATATTATAATAAAGTGTATTCTATATTGAGAGCAGCAGCTCCACAGCCCTATGGCAATCAAAAATTTAAAAACACCACTCCAAATTGTGCGTATTTAATAAAGAACATAATGGGAAATTCGCACAATAATCCAAATCATGTCAAAAAATCACAATTCTCCCTATAACCTAGATTTTTGTTCAAGATCGCGTCTCGGTCCGGTCTCTAGTATTTAAAAGTGAGATCAGACTAAAAAATAATTTATTTAAAATACCATAATTTGATCTTCTGAAGCATCTGGGAATTTAAGCGGAGCTTTAGTTGTTTCAATATCAAAGGCACAAATCTAAAAAATTTTAAATTTTTAAGAAAAATAGAAAATCAAAAATTCAAATTCCCAACCAGTGCTTCGAAGCTCGTACCAAAATTCGTACTCGTACCTCGTACTCGTACTCGTACCTGGTACGAAGTACGAGTACGAGCAAAAAAATGGGGCAGGTACGAAGTACGAGTACGAGGCCAAAAAAAGTGAAAAGTACGAGGTACGAGGCCTAAGTACGAGCTCGTACTTCTCGTACTTGGTGTTAATAGTAAAATTGAAAGAAATATATTTAATTCCTTTCATTCGCCATTATATGAACGTGTGGCCGATTGGTTAAGGTGCTTGGCTGCACACAAGACGTTATTGATTTAGAGGTAGGTTCGCTTCCTGGTCAGAGGACAATGAATTTTCATATTTTTCCTTCCTCAAATAACATATTTTATATGTTTAATTTTGTTTAAAGAATTATTCTATTTTTACATGGAGAAATTATGGGTTTTGGTCCTCTAAAATTCTTAAAATTTTTCATTGTACCACTAAAAAGTGAGTTTTTTTTGCCTACGGCCTTCCGAAATTTTCAAAATTTTCGCCTGCGGCGCTGAAGAAATAAAAAAATAGGATTATAGGCTTCCAAATTCTAAAATTTTTGCCTCCGGCGGTGAAAAATGGAAGAAATTTGGCTTCAAAATTTTTCAAAATTTTCGCCTGCGGCGCAAAAAATAGAAGAAATCTGACTTAAGGACATCCAAAATTCTCAAAATTTTTGAAAAAAGGGATTTGAGATTAAGAGGGATTAATATCAGGAGATTAAAGTGTGAAAAGTTCGGTGGAGAAGATAAAAAGTTCCATGTAAGAAGATGAAAAATGGATGCAAAAATGTCAGATTTTGGGTAGCCTGACCCATCTTGGTGACAATATTTCTCCTCGCACTCCAGAATGCTCAAAAATTTTGCCTGCGGCGCAGAAAATGGATTATATTGGAGGATTTACGGCTTCAAAGCCTTCAAAGATTCAAAAATTACCACATACAACGCTTAAAATTTAAAAATAGATGCCCTAGGCTCCAAAAAATCATAAAAATTTCCGATTTTTTGCTTTTTCTCAAGTACGAGTAAGTACGAGGTACGAGTACGAGGTACGAGGCCAAAAATAGGGGTGGTACGAGGTACGAGTACGACGCCTAAAATAAGGGTGGTACGAGGTACGAGTACGAGTACGAGGCCAAAAAAAGAGGTGGTACGAAGTACGAGTACGAGCAAATTTGAAATTTCGAAGCACTGTTCCCAACAACGTAAAAATACCAAAAATCAAAAGAAATTTTAATCAAAATTTCAATCCAACCCCCAATACAAAAAAATCAAAAATTACAATAGGCTCTGGCGGTTCCAATAAAGAAGGGTTTAATTCAATTAACGGCTTTTGAGTAGACAAATCAAGACCCACAACTGTATACCAATGTCCAACAAAGAAGCGTCCATCAATACAAACACGCATATCAAAAGGCAAATCATATTCACTTGAAAAAATTTGTAAAAAAATAAAAAATTTAAAAAACCGAATATCCATAATCTGCTCTAAAGGGCTAACATCCGCATATTTATCGCCCTTTCCTTCTTCCATATATCTAAATTTCAACATTTTAATCAAAAAATTAAAAAAATACTCGGCCAATAGTGTTGTATATTCCGTTGATTTTTCCTTTGCTTTTTGATTTTTACGGATTTGTGGAAATAGATCTCGACGAAATTGAACATGTTCAATTGTACTGGGAAATGAGACACGAAGATATTTGCTTTTGAGACCAGAGAGGTGATTTTTCTAAAAAAATTTTAAATCAGAATTGTTGCTGGATTTACTCTGTTAATTTTAAACAACAGTAAAGGGGATAAAGTTGAATAGCTAAAAGAAGTTTTCAATGATGCCACAAGTGATGAGTTTTACCTTGATTATACATAAGGATCATGCCCATATAAAAGATGAATCCTCGATTTCAAGAGTCGGGATTCTCTAGAAAGTTTCAATCGTCGATCTCGTGTATCCAATTCTTGATTCAAAATATCCAAATCCACGATTTTCAAGGAACTCAATCTTCAGTAATTCAATATTTTCGGATATCGGGACGGAAAGAACCCTAGTTTATACCCAGTTAATTTGCTTAATTAATACTAGAGATTTCATACCAAATCAAGATTTTCCTTCTCAACATGTTCAACTTGAACAAAATGATATTTTTTGGAAATAAATTCAGCTACAGCAAATTCACTTCCTGGAACAGTTTCCAAGTAGAGATAAGGACGGAAGAGATAGGAAATCTAAAATATAAATTTAAAAAAATTTTCCAAAAATTTTAAAAATAAACCTTAAAACGACCTCCACAAGACTCCAAAAAATAAAAATTTACAACAGACTGGATTACTTTTGTTTTTTCATCAACAACTTCCGACTTGAAAAAAAAAGAAATAAAAACTAAAAAAAATTTTAAAAGAGAAACCTGTTGAACATTAACAAGCCATCCATTTTTTGGGCAACATTCAGTATATAATTCATATCCAAATTTAGAATCAATAATGTTTCGTTGTCTAATAGCGTCAATTCTCTGGTCAAAATTGTTGCTGTTGTTGGTGTGTCTAAAAAGGAATTTTAAAAAATTTAGAAGGCCTAGATTCCTATAAAATTTATTTAAAAACGAGTGGGAATAAAAGAATCCCAGTCCCAAAACTTCTCCAAAATCCTTAAGTTAACAATAAATCCCAGTCATTAAATTTAATTAATTAAACTAACGTTTCCTTTGGAGCAAACTCGCTTTGTTTTGGTATTTTAGAAAAGCTCATCTCTTTTGTTGTTAATTAAACTTGTTGACAAGTTGTTTTGCAAGATAAATCAATAATCTTTTTCAATCTAAATAAAAAATAATTAGAAAAATTATTTTTTTAAGCCAGCGTTAGTCTAGCTCGTTCCAGACGCTGGCTTTTATACTATTATAACTAGAGACCGGCAAAATCGAACTTCCGGGATCCCGAGTCGGGATTTTTTTACTAACCGATGCCGGTATCCTGAGGGATAAATCCCGGATCCCAAAAGATCCCGAAAATAAAAAAAAATCCAGGATTCTGGAAAATCCTGTCGGGATCCTGTACCGCGCTAATTAATTCACTAATTATAACACCACTACACAACAAAAACAAAACATTGTATGTTAAAAGAAAATTTTTGTCCTAAAAATATTTTCCGACGCCTAAATAATTTTTGAATTTAAATTTATACGTAAACATTATGCCAAAAATTGAAAATGTAAACTTTAAATCACCTACATTTAAAAACGTCGAAAATTCAAAACGTCCAACAGGCAAAATTAAGTCAAAACGTCAAGTAAACAAGACTAAAATTGAAAACAAATAAGAATTAATTTATTTAGTTAATTAAGTAACGATCTTGTATAAATTACTAATCATAAAAAATATATAAAAATTAAAAAAAAACTTTTAAAAATTATTTTTCTTCTTCTCCGACATAAGCTTTCCAAGCAATTTCTCGATACTTTTTAATTTCTTCTTCAATATTTTCTGCTTCAGTAATTCCTCTACCAACAATAATAATATCACAACCGTCATTTAAAATTGCCTGTTCAGGTCCACGCCATTGTTGGCCTTTTCCATCTGTTGATTTATTTAGACTAACACCTAGTAAATTTAAAATTTACTTGACTCGTTAATCCTCTGGACATAAAAATATTTCTCTTAAATTATCCCATTCGATAGAGGATCCCGACTTCCTTATAAAACGAATTTGAGCCGAGTTATGGTTGGTTAAGTTTGGTTCGCTAAAGTCTGGACTTAAAGGCAAACGAAAAATTTCTCTCTTAAAATTTTCATATTTGCGAGTTTTTCCCCTAAATTTTCTCCTAACGAGTTTTTCCCATAATCCTATCTTTACTTAAAAAATTCTTATGAGGATAGCTAATTTTAATTACCCAAAAAAATTAAAAACTTATTTTAATTAAAAAAAACCTGGTGTCCAATACATAAAACCCATATTTTCACTACATCTTTTTTGACATATAAAGCCACTAATTAAATTATTTCCAAGTTTTTCTGCCATTTCTATACTTAAATTTGCATCCAATTTAGATCCTTCTGTGCTTAATTCTGCCAGTAAAAGAATTCCAGAAAGTTTGTAATTGGGTGATTCGATGATCTAAAAATTAACAAAAAAATTAATTTTTAATGAAGAGAAGGTCTAGTTGGAGAGCAGAGATAGTCGGGTTATCCGAAATCCAAAACCTGAACTTTTCAGACTCGGAACCCAATCGAGAAATTTTCGAAACCCGACCCAACTTCCCTTTCAAAAAAGAATCCGACCCGACTTATTTCTCGGGTAAACCAGACTTATTCCTCGATTCGACCCATTCCTGATCAGTTGAGCACTTGTACACGATCAACAACGCGCCTGCCAATAAAATCTCATAAGGTCATGGGTTCGTTCCCTACCCGGGGTAGCTTCTACCTTTCTCTTACTATATTTTAAAAGATTAAAAAACCTCTTTCCTCAACGATTCAAATGTTTTAGCACCAGGAAATGGATAAGCAGTAACTACATCTGCGCATTTTGCAATTTTTAAACCTTTTTCAAGTTGTAGAATCATTGTATTTCCTGTGTCCGCAAGTTTACTTAAAATTTAATTTTGTATTTTTTATAACAAAAAAAAATTTCAAACCGATCTTCAAATATTAAAAAATTATTTTCATTTGAAATCTTTTGAAGTTGAGCAGAAAATTCGTCATCCCAACCATCTATTGTGTCGCAATGTAGTTTTAAGGCACATATAAAGTTTTTTGCACTTTCGAGAATCTTTAAAAATTAAAAGGACAATATTATTTTCTAAAGGAAAAACTAGAAAAAAATTAAAAAATCGCCCCAAATAATAAAATTAACTTGAGTATTCGAACTTTATCACCTAATAAACTGATACACCTTATAACCTGGAGAAACCCACTACACCTTAACGACATACTTATTGGTGACTCATTTCTGGGTTTGTAACTTATTGGAAAAACTTGGAAATTTGAGTGTGAATAGGAATGATTTTACAGTCAGATTTCGTTACTATAAAGGCATAGGCGTTAAAATTTTGAAAATTTTAGAAGGCCCAGAAGCGTTAATTCCGTCATTCCTAAATTTTCGGATATTCAGAAGTTAACCGAAGAAATTAAGCAACCATCGTCAGTCAAGGCCGACACCCCTATATAATTCATTAAAAAATTAAAAATCAAAAACCTTCAATATCTGCTCTTTATTAAAATTATCCACAGCTAAACATAAATTAGTCTTCTTTTTCATCATTAAATTAATTAATTTGTAATTAAATGAATTTTCTGGGAAATATTTTTGTCTCTCTAATAAATTTAAGTGTTGGAAAGTTTTTGTTTGGTTAATATTTGGAATTGATTCTGTTGAAGGATTTAGTAATTGTCGTTGTATTTCTTCCCTTCGATTTTGTCCGATTATTCCTTTTGAAACGAGAAAGTCCAAAATTGATGTCATTTGGATAAGACTAGAAAGAAAAAATTTTTTAAATCTTTTCTAAAATTTTCTAGAAATTCCATAAGAATTTTACAAAATTCGATCACACTTTGTCAAAAAAATCAAAAGATGGGTTATTCAGGGGTCAGACATTATAACGTTTATTTTGGTTTCCGAGCGCAAATTCTCAGGAAAAAATTTCCTGCTAAAAACCCCCAAAATTCTTCCTTTTATTTTTAAACACCCAGACTGATAATTCAAAATAAACCTATGAAGTCGAAGTCCTTTTCCTTCAAGTTTTTCAGGACCACCCTGTTCACGATCTACAATACAAAAAACGTGTTCTGTGCAAAGTCCTGCCTAAAAAATTTTTTAAAGTAAATTTATTTCTACCCAAAACCTTATTAATTTCCGCCACAGTCTCAAGAATAGAAGAACCAGTAGTTACAACATCTTCAATAACCAAAACTTTTTTGCCTTTTTCAAATTGTCCAATAATCATTTCTTTATTTCCATAAGATTTGGCTTCTTTTCGAATTAATAAGACTGGTTTTTTGAATAAACATGCAATTTGCTTAAAAATAAAATGAAAAAAATTTTTGAATAAAAATAATTTTAAAAAATACTTCTGACAATAAAATAGCTCCATAAGGCACTCCAATAACATAATCAAATTCAATATTTGCTTCCAAAATTATTTTGTAAAGTGCGTTGGCTGTATCATTCTTAAATTAAAATTGTAGAAATTAATTTTTGCGGACAAAACTTGCGGACTTTTATACTTCAAAATTTATTAAGCTTCATCTGTTAAAGAGAGAGGCCCCGGACAGGCAACGATCCTGCGACCTCCTAGGGTTAGGCTCTCCAGCTTATCAAATACAAATGTTCTACCAACTTAATCTGCCGAGGCGTTGCTTTTACTTCTCATTTAATACACCTTTAACTTCTCCCCCTATTAAATTTTTCAGGTGTTAATCGTCTGGATCTCCCTTCTTCCCTACACCATTACTTTATAAATATCAATTAAAATCCAATTTATCCCCCAAAATTCTTTATCAAATAAAAAATACCCTAGCATCACGCAATGAGACAAGATTGCGCAAATCAATATAAATTGGTGAAGTCTTTCCGCTTTTTAGAACAAATTCTCCAAATTGAATAATTTTGTTTTCATATAAATGTTGCAAAACAACGTCCATATTGATTTAAAAATATTGGAAAATTAAAAAAATATTTTTAAAAATAAATTATATTAATCTAAAAAAAGAATTAAAAAAAGGCCAAAGAATAATCAAAAAAAAATAAATTTGATAAAAATAACAAATAAAAAGCAAGTATATTTTCAATAATATTTATAAAATGAAATCAATAAAATGAAAGGATTAAATTAGGAATTTATAAAAAATGTCCGCAAGTTTTATCCGCAAATTTTGTTGACTGGAAAAATATAAAAATTGGAGGTATCTTGTATGTCCAAAAATTTCAAAATTCAAGGAATAACTTTGGGTTCGAATTTCGGTAAGGGGAAGGGTTATTACAAGGTGTGCGACAAACCTTTGACGTTTATATTTTTATTTTTAAGCGTCTCAGGTAAAAATTCTGGGAATTTTGGAAACCCAAGAAGCCAGATTTCTTCCAATTTTAGCGCCGCAGCGAAAGCAATAGACCAACAAAGTAATAGAATCCTTCAAAAAATTCTAGATTTTTAAATCCAGTCAAATAGTAAAAGGGTGGCATTTAACCAAAAGAAATTCCATTTCTAAAAAAAATAATTTAAAATTCAAAAATAATAAAAATAAAAACCTCTTTAAAAATTTAAACAAATCTTGGCCATCATAGTCTTCATTCATTTCCTTATCCAAACAAATAAAATTTCCAATTAATTGTCCTGCTTTATAAATTTGAAGTACTGGAAGTGCTTCTTTTGTCTTGAAAAAATATTTTTGAAATTTTTTAAATTAAAATTCCCTTACAAATTTATTAGTTGTCCCCAAAACAATACTTTCAATTTTGTAAAATTTCATTTTTTCCTGATTATTCAAAATACCAGATAATTCGAGCAGGGCAAAATTTAAATGTTCACAACGTTCATTTCTTTCAAGATGAATTAAAATAAAAAGAAAAGCATCAGGAGATTGTTGTTCTATTAAATTGAGAAATTCAAAACGATCAGAGATTTTTACAACTTGACCCTAATAATTTAAATTAATAAATATCCTGTGCCTAGAAGTTGTGAATAGGCAAAGATCAGTAAAAAAAGATTTAGTAAAATGAATAGGCAAAGATCAGTAAAAAAAGAATAGGCAAAGATCAGTAAAAAAAAATGAATAGGCAAAGATCAGTAAAAAAGATTTAGTAAAATTCCATGTTAATCAACCTTTAGCCTATGTCTTCTAAGCCCGACTTGACCGAAAGCTAGAACAAACACAGGTCATAAATCTGGACAAAAGAGCTAGACTTAGGACTGGATCCAGCCCTTGATTTTCCTGAAACTAAAGTCAAGATCAGGCCATTTTAATTTTTCCTCAGATCACGGTTATAGTCCCAACCAAAATCAAGGTTTTTTTTTTAAATTTCCGAACTCTACTAGAAAATTAAAAGGCAAATTTCGGACTACATATGTTTTTTCCCTTTTAGTCAAGTAATTGAGTAATAGGGTAATTAATTTCAATTTACTTCCAATTCTCGATTTGACTATACGGAAATTTAAGATGAGAATGAAAAATGGAGTCATTATGCCGAAAATTACTCAAAATTTAAAAAATCCAGACCTTTGCTCTACTTTTCAATTGTTCTACTCTTCGTTCTCTAATTCTTTTCAATTCAATTTCTTCTTCTTCATCATCCTCCTCTTGTCTATTTGGTGGATTTTCTAATGTAAAACGAGTCGCTTCTTTGAGTAACTATAAATAAAAAAATGATATGAAAATTTGCGGACAAATTTTGCGGACAATTCTTCAGAAACGGAAGATCACCCAAAAGACATCCAAGACTACTACTTTGGATCCCAAGATAGTCGTAAATCATAAGGACTATATTTACACATCCCAATAAGAATCCAATTAAGAAATGTTTGTTCACCCAACTTAAACATAGTCCCAAAAATGAAATAAAATTTAAAAATAACCGCTGCCTCCTTTGCTCTTTGTTCAATAAATTTTTCTTGTTCAGAAAGTTGATAATCAGCCAAAACACCTTTTGGTCCAGTTCTTCCTGTTTTTTGATATTTTGAAGAGTTTTTGGATGAATTTTGTTCTTTTTTAGGTAAAGTTTGTTCATCATCCGAAGAAGAGCAATAACCAACATTTGGACCATCAAGAAATTTTTCTTCAAAATTGGTCATTTTATTGACTTTAAAGAGTTTTAAAATTAATTCTAAAAAATAAAAAATATTTTAATGTAATAAAACATTAAGTCAAAAAATAAAACAAAAAGAAATAAAATAAATTTTCTTGGAATGTAGCCAATAAAAATTGCGAATATTTTTATTTTAAATTTAAGTGAATTTTAAATAGAATTTTTAGTGTTGGCAAATTAGTAAATAGAAAACAGATGAAAGAACTTTTAAAAACTTTTTTTCCCAACCGAAAATCAAAATATTAATTTACATTTAGAAAATATTTTTGAATATTTTTACTAATCTGTCAGTGTTCTTATACCTTATTTCTAGGATTGAGGGCCCGATCCAGCCCGGTCCGAAAGATCGATTTTTTTTGCCCGAAAAAGGAACGGTGGGTTGGCCAGATAAAAATAAAGCCCGAAAAAAATGACTCGAACGTCGGCTCGACTCGAAATCCCCAACCCTACTTATTTCATATTTATAAACTATCTCAACAATGTAGGAGGTAATTAATCAGTGTCGTTCGAACCCCTCATTTCCTAGGTTTAGTGGCTTGGGCCTATGTTTACCCCCCCCCCCCCCCCCCCATCTCACATCGAAAAAATCCTCGAATTAAACAAACCTAAAGGCGATTCACTTGCAAAAATCCAGGCATAGTCATAAGCCAATTAACCAAATCCAAAAGCATTATCGTTCATTTTTAAATGAACAACTAAATAATTAAAATCCAAATTATTAAAGTATTAAGTAAAAACAACAAATATAAACACAAAAAACAACAAAAAATCAAATTTATTTAAAAATATTTTATCAAATTTAAAAAAGGCTATTGACAACACTAAAGAAAGAGTTTGCAAAAGTTTAGCCACCGGGCAGGATTCGAACCTGCGACCACCTGCCAGTTATTGCTAGGCGCTTTCGCTCACTATATGCAGGAGCTCTACTCTGAGCTACCGGGACATCGACTAATGCTTTCTTCTTCCTTTTTAGATCGTTTAACCCCCGCCTAAGCGTTTCAAATGCTGCTAGGTGAATCATCCTTACACTAACAAGTATATAAATCCTTAACCTCCCCCTCCAAATTTAAGTGCATAAATAGCCTTTGTGGTTGATTTAATTGAAAGGCAAAAAAATTTTAAAAATAATCAAAAATTTTTGTTTCGTCTCCCTCTAACCAAATAATACACTCCAGCAAATAAAAATACGGAAACAAGGCCTCCACCAATAAAATATGCATACTGTGAAAAAGATGGGAATAATAATAATTAAAAAGAAACTAAACCTTCGGAATATTTTTATTTTCTTCTTCTTTTTGAATTTTATTTTCTTCATTTTCTTCATTTTTTATTTTTAAATTTTTTGTTCGAAGGTTATCGAGTAGGTCGAGTTGATCAGAGGAATTTGAAGAAGAGAATGATGAAGAAGACATGAATAAATTAAATAAAATTTTAAATAAATTCTATAAAATTAAATACTGTTAAAAATTAGCGTAAGGCGAATTAAAGGCCTATATTCATTGAAAATTTTAGATTACTGATCGGGAAGATTGATTTTTCCGTATTAAAATTTGGGGATTTAATCTAAAGCTGGATCCGGTGAGAAAAACCCGGTCCGGAATCCAGATATCGTGAAAAAGAGTAAATTTCTTAAAATCTTTAGATGAAAAGTTTTTGATGAATTCGTGGCGAAACATCGCGAGAATACGGTAGCTAAACGCCCGGTTGAGCGCCAGCCCTACTATCACTTAACACGTTGTATCTTTTTAAGGAATGATGGGACTTTATCTTTCCAGTTGGAAAAAAGATTCCCCTTATCGAGGGCTTTCGAATGATATAAGATTTAATAAGGTTGGATGAGAGCAAACTAAAGTTAAAGCCGATTTAAGCTTATTCGCGATGAACTGCCTCGTGTTCAACTGGCCAATTCATCGAATCTTTTTTACTCAGTGTCTCATTGTTCTAGCATTATCTCTCATTTCTTATTGTGTCTTCATCTCTCTTCTCACTATGGATGAAGAGTTGAAATTTGAAACTGGAATTTTTAAAAATCAAACTTAATTTTATCCTTATCATTATTTTTTGTTTGATAAAGAATGACGTTAATATAAATCCCAAAACACTTGGCTATAGGTCCTAAATTTAGGTTATTGCTTAAAAGAGGGTCTCACATTAAAGTTGCACTCGACTGTAATGAGCAAAAGTCGCAAGAAAAATGTATTTCAAAATATTTTACGCGAATATAGTTTACTATAAAAAGCGACTTTCCGATATCATTTATTTTTTCATTCCTTTAATTATTTTTTTCCGGTTGCGAAAGCATTTAATTTTTTCTTTTTTAAATTAAAATTTGAAATTTAAAAATTTTATAGAAATTATTTTAAAATTCCTTCAAAACCCTTCAAAACAAAAATTTTTCTGGAATGCCTTCTGACCAAACAAACAAAGTTAAACCTGATCCCGGCTATAAATTTCGTCGTCAATTTACTACTCTCGTTGAAGATTGGCAAAAGCATGACAGCGACAGTCAAGAAGATAAACAGTTCCGAGAAGAAACAATTTTGCCAAAAATCAAAGAACTTGTGATTCATAATTTAAACAATAATGGAGAAAACGAGGCTTGCGATTTACTCATGGAAATTGAAAGAATTGATCTTCTTAGTGAAATGGCAGAAGAATCGGAATTTTTTGATTGTGACCGGATTTGCAATTATATCTTGAGGTTTTTTTTTCTTAAAATTTTGATTATTCTCCCTCTTTTTTAAAGTGCGTCTTATTACATTCCTGATCCAGAGAACATTACAATGATTGATATGGCACGGGATTTGTATATGCACTTTGGAAAGAATATTGAAGCTTTACGATGTGCAATGAGAACCAACAATATTAGACAAATTTCATCAATTGTCAAAGCTACGGAAGAAGGGTTGGTTTTTTTTATTATACTTTGATTCGGTGTTCCTTACTTTTACTGGTCCCCAAAAAATCTGGAAAAAAGTGCTTTGATAATTTTGAGGTCTGCCAGTAGGTAATCGAGTGCTGAGTCCGAATCTGGGCTTAGAATTGGTTTATTTCGAACCCCGGACCCAAATTTGACAAGGTCGTTTTCGGTGGAAAATTTTAAATTAAAAATTCAGGGCTAATCTGTCACGACTATTCGATCTGAGTCTATTTTATTACTTTAAAATTTTTTTCACCTTTTAATCTTCCAAAAATGTTTTTTCGATTTTATTTATGATTCAAATTAGACTTATTGTTTTATTTTTTAGACCTTTAAAAATTCAAATGGCTTTGATGCTTGGACGACAACAAATCTTTCTTACTTTCCGCAACAAGTTATACACAAAAATCAACGGAAACTGTTATCTGCATCAACTCTTCTTCAATTTTGTGAAAGAAAATGGGTATGGAGCAATTAAATCTGTTGAAGATGTCTACAAAACTTCTTTGGAACCGGATTATCCTCTTTCAACAAAAGACTTCAACCACTTGCAATTAAAACAACAAACGTTGTCAGCCAGCTTTGTTAATGGTTTTGTTCATGTGGGATTTGGGGCTGATGCGTTTTTCAAAGATGAGAAGAGCACTAGTGATTGGTTAGCAAAACACAAAGAATGGGGTTAATTTTTTTTTTAATTTCAAAAACAAAAATTTTTATTTTAGACGCTTTTTCTGCCGCTGCAACGTTTGGTTTGATTCATCATTGGAACGTGGATTCACTCAACAACTTTGAAATTCTTACACAATCAAAGGATATTTATGTTAAGGTTTAATTACACATTTTATGATCTTTTACATTTTTTATTTTTAAAGGGAGGTGCACTTTTGGCGGTTGGTGTTGTTTTTGCTGGAGTTCAACATCCGGACAACCAGCCCTTGAAGCACCTACAACCCTTTCTGTCAAGTGAACACTTACCTTTACGCGTTGCGTCAATATTTGGTCTAGGATTAGCCTATGGTGGGAGCAGACGTCAATCAACAATCTACACCAAAAAAAAAAGCGTTCTGGAATTGCTAAAAAAGGTTTTTATTTATAGCAAAAATTTCATGTTTTCAATTAATTTAAAATTTCAGTCATTTTCTGATGAATCAATTCATCAAACTGAAGTTAAAGGCTTGGCAGCATTGTCTCTCGGTTTCATTCTTATTGGATTAGGAAAGGGGAATGGTGGTGTCGTCGACCTTTTTATGGACTATTTTGTGAGCGGTGTCGACTTGAGTGACAAAAATTTACGCCTAGTTGCTCTTGGAATTGGGCTTATATTTTTGGGTATAAACATTAATCCTTAATAATTATCATTTTTCAAATTTTTAGGAAGACAAAATGAATGCGATGAGACAATACTTGAACCGCTTCGTGCTCTTTCTGACCCATTTGGAAAAATTGCTTCAACATTGGTAGATGTTTGTGCTTATGCTGGAACTGGAAATGTATTGAAAGTACAAGAGATGTTGCATATTTGTTCTGATCCAAATTTGAATGAGGTTGTTTTTTAATTTGAATTTAGTCGACTAATAATTTTGAGGGGGGTCGTTTCGAAATTTTTCTTTTCAAACATTTTCCTAAACGCCAAAAAACCATTTTTAAGCTTCAAAATGCTAAAATCACAAAATCTAATTAAAAAATTTTTTTCAGACTTTTGTTGCTGCAGTTGCTGTTATTGGGATTTCTCTTATTGCAATGGGTGAAGATATTGGTTCACAGATGTGCCTTCGACATTTTACTCACTTGGTTATTTACTAAATTGTAATTTAACTATGAATTTATTTTTATAGCGTAATTATGGATCTTCAATAATTAAACGTGCACTCCCTTTTGCTCTTGCTCTTTTGAGTCCATCAAATCCCGTTGGTGTTATTGTTCCAACACTTGGCATTCTTGGCAGCGATAACGACATGGAAACAGCAATAAACGCAATCTTTGCCTTAGGATTGGTTGGAGCAGGAACAAACAACTCACACATAATGGACAGATTGAGAAGATTAGCTAGTCGGCATGCATCGAATAAGGTTTTATTTTAGATTTTTTATGACGATTTCCATGAGTTTGCATTTCCTCGTGGTTCGCTCCTATAAAACATTTTTTGGGGCCGTAGCCAGAAGGAATTTTCAGGGAGGGGGTGGGCCCTTGAATATGACCCGTTTTTGAGAAATTTTAAGGAATTTATTTCTAATAAATTTTTCTGGAAGCTTAAAAATTTTTTTTTAGTACACTATGTTCATTTTGCGTATTGCTCAAGGATTAATTCATTTGGGGAAAGGAACAATGACTTTGAATCCATTCCATTCTGATGGCCAAATACTTTGTCTCCCTTCTCTTGGAGCGTTGCTTTGCACTTGTTTGGCTTTTATTGATTCAAAACAAAGTTTGTTTTAATTTTACTTTTTTCTTGACTTTAAAAAAACTTTTTTTTTGTCAAAAGTCCGCTTTTTGGGTTAAACAAAGCCTTCCAAAACCTTTTAAACATTAAAAAAGATCTAACAAATAATTTTTAGCCGTACTTGGTGATCGACAACACTATTTACTCTTCTCATTAGTTGCAGCAATCCATCCAAAAATGTTAATAACTGCTATTATTGAAAAAAGTTCGGATATTCCTGTCACAAAAAATGTGAGTTTTCATTTAAATTTCAATTTATTTTCAATCTGTTAGATGTTAGGTGTTTTTGTTTGTGGTTTTGAAATCTTAGGGCTAATAATTTTTTAAATTTTAAATTTATTTTTATATTTCAGCTCTTCATTGACGTTGGCGATCCTGTCGATGTTGCTGGTCTTCCAGGGGAGCAGAGGCCGATCAAACATTTTGCCAAAGTTTTAACCCCAATTTTACTAGGACATGGGGAGAGGGCTCAATTAGAAGATGAAGTAGCGGAGGAATGTAAATTTTATTTTTAAAACTTTAATTTATTTTTTTTTTATAGATGAGACGTACACACCAGTTTTAGAAGGCATTGTTATTTGTAAGCGTAAACAAGCAGATATATAAAGATTAGTTTTATTTTAATTTTTTTTGTTAAAATTTTTGTCTCCAACCGACTTTTTGGGTTTCGGATTGGGTTTTCAAAATTTTCTTCGGATCGGGTTTCGGGTCGAAAAAAGACTGGATTTCGGGTAACTCGTCCCATTTTTCTGGCTAATTTTTCGAGTTGACATCCAATTTAGCAGGAAATTTTAATTTTTTTTGGAGACAAATATTAATTACAAATATATCCAATTATAATGTTTTTTATTCTAGTGTTTTTATAAATGAAGAATATGCCATTGGACCGTAAGGATGAGGTAAAGTTGGTAAAAAGTAAAGTTTGAAAAGGTATAGTCACTATCCCCAGAGGAGAAGGTCGAAGATTTCGGCCATTTCCGCAAGGGGGAAGGGATCTTCCACTTTCTCCTCTGGGGAAGTGGTGTTCCCGAAAAATGATAAAGTTCTCTTTACCAATTTGTCTTTATTACGGTCAAATGGCACTCGCCTAAACTTTTTGAACAATTTTTTGAACCCTTGCCTACGAACTTTTTGATAAGAAAAGGGAAAAGAATGCTCTGTAGAGACTAAAATTCACAAAAACAATGGGAACTTCCATAAAAAAGAGACAAAAACTATATAATGAGCATAGTAGAAACGCTCATTGCGGATGGACAATTGCGGATGAGAGGACACCTGCGGACGACGATTACGGATACAAAATTGCGGATAGGACGATTACGGATGAAACAATTGGGGACAACTACGGATATAACAATTCCGGACAAATACTATATTTTTCATTTTCTCCCCAAATTTCTTTCTAGATAATCAAAAAAAAAAAAATAAAATTAAAAAATATTTAAAAAAAAATTTTTAAAAAAATAACTAATTATCATCATCTACAATAGGTTCTTGACATTGAAAAGGGCAAATAATTTCAGAAAAAGTATCCAATATACGCATTACTGTTGACCGGTCCATAGAAAGTTGATAAATTATTTCTTTAAAAATTTTTTAAAAATTATACAAAAAATTAAAAAAAAACCTTCCATATGATCCTTTCCATTTAAAAAAGGAATAATTCTTAAAAAATCAATCACAAATAAAAATAATTCTGATTCTTCAATATTTGATGTTTTGTAAAATTTTAAACAAATTGATAAAATATTTGATTTTATGAGATCATTCAAATCTTTTGATGAATTTAAATAATTTTGTATCTGTTAAAAAATATTTTAAAGAAAAATAAATTTTAGAAATGCGGACACAACTTGCGGACTAATCTCAAAGTAGTTTCTGAAGAGTAAAAACCGAAAACTCCCTTCCTCGGTAGCGAGGACGGGAGTTGCTGAAAGTTTTTTTAGGAAAGCAGCGCCACAAAAGGTAAATTTAATAATGTCACCAATATGGAGGGGGATTGGGAATTTCAAAAATTCAAGTTTCATATACTTTCAGGAAAGAGCCCCATTTCCTACAGACTTAACTAAGGTTGCGCTCCGTCAGTTTGAGGGCGAGTTTGTCTGGGTGCGTTGGAGCATGATTGACAATAACTTTTGTGTTATTCTAACTTGTAAGTTATACACACAGTTATACGCACCTCGCCAAACCCGCTCTCAAGCAGTCGGGGTGCAACCCTAGACCTAACTTATCCTTAACTTTATTCGGATTAACAAAATTAAAACCTTGGGACTTAATATCCTTTGGGGTTTTTGTCTATCAATTTCATTTTGTTGTTGTTGAAGAGGATTTGAAGCAAATGGAAGTAAATAAATATAAGTATGTAATTGAATAAGCAATTGATTTCTGAGAAGAAAAACAAACAATCCTTTAGAAAATAAATTAAAAAGGATTATTACTCAACAAAAAAACCTATTGGAACGTTAGGTTTTCCTCCATAAATTGCAGTATCTTGAAGATATGAACCAAGTGAACATGGAGGAGAGAACTGGAAAATTAACAATATTGTTAAAAAAAACCTTCAAATTACTGCTTCAAAAATGTCATTTAATTTAAATTCTGGGAATTGTTGACTAAAAGCAGTTTCCAATTGTTTATATCCCGGGGGTAATTTTTCAGCATTTGCATAAACATTAGAAGCACAAATTGGATAAATAATAATTGCTCTAGACCAAAGAAGGTAATGACGAACGATTTGAAGTGCTTGAGCCAATACGAGGTTTGATAATGAAGCCATTTCTTCAATACTTCTTGTTGGTTCATAATTGTCAAGAAAACGAAGAACAAAAGGGTTTGAGCCAGGATTTGGAACAGAATCTTCAAGAAAAAGAATTCCATGATAAGGGCGAATTTTGGACATTAAAGATTCTATTTGAGTAGAAGAACGAGGAGTTAGGCCAGCATGAAACATTGCTTTGGGTTCTAAAAATAAAAAGAAAATCTGAAGAAAATATAGTTTGGAAAGAAGGAGTGAAGAATTTGCGGAAGTAAATCCAGTTTGGACCTGGAAATGGACCTAGTTAAGCGAAACTTCCATACAAAACGACTTGCGGACCCGAACAAAACAACAAAATAGCAAAGATCGAAACTCAACAATATCTCCTTATTAACTTTGTAAAACTTCTAAGATAGTTTTAACTTGTAAAACTTCTAAGATAGCTACCCTCAAAAAAGATTAACAAACCTACACAAAATCCAACTTCACTGCTGTCATTAACAAAAACATCAACCATTCCATATTCACAAACATCATTATAAATATCCCGTAAATGTTGAGCTAATCCACTTTTGGACAAAATTGTTTCATAAGGAGAACGTCCTCTGCGTTGTTCATCTCCCATTGCTTCAAATTCATCGTGAGATGGCTGCATTAAACTTTAAAATGAATTTTATTAAAGGATGAATAATAATTCTGGAAGGAGGAAGGAAACAAAAAGCAAATGAAATCTGGAAAAAAATTCCCTTCAATAATTAAAAAAAGAAGGCTTTTCCCTCAATCCTTTCTAATTCCGCAAGTCTTAATATTATTAAAAAGATGTGTAAAGGAAAGGAGAAAGAGGATTGTTACCTTTTTTAAAAGATAATCCTTTCATTATAAAAAGCCAGGAAGACTTGCGGAATCCTTAGATCCTTGAAAGTAAAAAGAACCTCAAAATAGAAGACTAAAAATAAAATAAAACTTAAAAAATACCATATTTGCTCGCTCAAGTAATTACAACGTTGCTGTTCAGCCTTAAACAAAAAAAAACTTAAAACCAAAAAATTTAAAAAACCAACACTAATCGCAACAGCAATCTTCTTGCTCAATCTTTGAAAAGCTTCAACAATATGGCAACCACAAGAGCTGGAAAGAATAAAAACAACAGCCAAGCAAACACCTTCACAAGCATCTACACACCATGGAACACCAGCAAAACGAATATTATTTACTTTAATTTCAAAAGGTTCTCCTTCTTTGTTGCCCGTATTTGTTTGTAAAAGTGTAGCCAACATTTTTACTGGCAAACTAAAAATTTTTAAAAATATTTTAATAAAAAATTTAAAAAAACCCAAATGTTCTAGTCTCCAATTCTTCATTATCAACACTTTTTTGTTGTTCAGACAAAAGATCCTCCTTTTCCTTCCAGCATTCAAGTCCGATACATTCATCTTTTGTGTCAACGTCGTCTTGAAAAATAAAAATTGTTAATTTTTTAATTCTTTTTTATTAATATTTTTGCGACTTTCAAAAAAGGTGTCCTGATAACAGATTAGCAAGAATATTTCAATTACGATTTTTGTTTGATTCAAAAATTGTTAGATATTCCGGATTCTGGTGACAGATTAGCAGGAGCTCCAATTCGACGAAGAAAATACTTTTTCGCCAGAATGCATCCAACGAACACTATCGCACAAATAAAAAATTAAAAAAAACCTTCAAAATTAAGATCAGGGTTGAAAGGGTACATAAATAGAACATGTTCAGCTGCCTCATCTTTTGATAAAAGAAAAATTCCAAGTGGAGAATATTGACTAGAACAAGTGTTTTGAACAACAGGATCATTTTTTGTTGGCATTATTGGGGATGAGAATTAGATAATTTTTTTAAATTACTCAAATATTAAAAATAATACAAAATTAGAAGAACTTGTTAATAAAAATAAACAACGTATAAAAATATTTTTTTTTGCAAATTACACTAACAATCAAAAAAAAACAAAATATATAATTGAAATATAATATTTTTTAACGAAATTTTTGTGTGTGTGGTATAATTAAAAAATGAGTGCGAAAAGGAAGACATGAATGGCTATGTATGGATGTGACATTTTTTGATGAAATAATATATAATATAAATTTTTTTATAATTTCAAAAAAAAGCCAAATCGGATTCAACAATAATATTTTTATATATATAATACAGTCAAGAATAACAACAAAAGCATTCCCAATTTTTATACATATTCTGGAAAAATCTCTCCAAAGTTAAAGGAAACTATAAAAGGAATATCCAGCTTTATAAGGGAGAAAGCAAAGTCATAACGATCAGAAGGGGTCGCAGTTTCACTACAAGCGGTTATACCTTTACTAAATCTCATACTATTCAATAGAGTTAGAGGTCCATTTCCCGGCTTTTTTTAAGATACCGGGATGAATCTGATGTTCCTCCAGTTTTTTTTCAAAATTTCTAACTAATTAAAAGAAAACTTAGGCCTGCACAAAATATTTAAACAACTTTCCCCCAAAAAAATCAAGCAAAAAGGTGTTCAATTCTTGACCGATTTCTCTCTACATAAATTTGTAAATTATATATAATTGTCTTAAAATGACAGGGAAGAAGGGGCAGCAAAAAAACAATTTTATATATTTTGTTGTAGAGAGGAAAATAAAAAGGATAGGAACACAAAAAAGAGAAGGGAATTTACACCTTTTTTAAATAAAAAAAATAAAATTAAAAAAAATACTCTTACACAAACAGGGTACACGTTTGCGTTTAAGTATTTTTAAAATTTTTCTTTTAATTTTTTAAAATCAGTCTCTTTGGGTGGAAAAATAGAGAAAAACGGTCTTTTATTTTTTTGCTTTTTTTCTGTTTGTGTAATTTATTTATCTGAAATTATTATTATTATTGTTGTTGCCGGTGCCGTTTCCAGGAGCCAAGTTGTTTGTCTTGTCTGAAGTCAGAGTGATATAACCATCAAATTCAAATGTTGGAATAGAAACTCTCAATTGAAGTCCTCCACCTCCTCCTTTATCGCCTCCTCGCTTCTCTCCAGTCTAAAATTACAGAAAAATTAAATTCTGACCAATTTAAAAAAAATTTAAACCTTTTTAGCAGCATCATAAACATTCTGAACATCATTGCCAGTAGTAAAGTCGATAAAGCCAAAAGCGGTTTTGTACTCCTTGCGAAGCGAAAGTGGTTTTATGCCAACAAATTCAACTCCTGGGGTGATCGCTACAAAAAAATATTTCTAAAATTTTACTAAAAAACCAATAAAACAAACTCATAATTTCCTTCATCAGTTCTTTCTGTCCAGTTTTAAAGTCCAGAAAATGTCCAGGTTTTACAAGGTTGTTGAAGTAAATTCGATGGGGCCAATCTCTACGTGGCGCCACAAATTTAGTAGATTGCGACATTTGTTGTTGTTTTTGATTGTTGTTTTTACCAGTATTGTCGTCACCGAGGGAAGAGGAGCGCTTTTGCTGTGGCTGTCCACCAACGTTGTTATTTTCTTTAAAAAAATTTTTATAGGACAAAAAATACAAAAAATTTACCAGCAAGATGTTGTTTTTGTGGAGGAGATTGACGCTGCTTTTGTGTATTGTTAACTGAACCAATATCTTGAGATTGCATAGTCTTCTTAACATCAATCGAAGATTTTATTGGAACAGTTGTTGTAGTTGTAACATTTGGTTGAATATTTGGCATTTTATTTTGTCCACCACTAACAACTTTATTCCACGACTTTGGCTCAGATTTGACATTCGAATGTTGTTGTTGCTGCTGTTGTTTCATTGGAGAAGGGCGCTTCATCTTTTGATCGTCAGTAATATTGTTGTTGTTGTTGAGAGTTGGCGAAGGAGTGGTGACAATCTTGTTGGTGGAATCCGAAGTTGGAATCTTCATTTTAAAAAATTATTTGAATAAAAAAAACGAAGAAAAATAACCGTCAATTGTCCTTTGTCAACTTCAACAACTTCGTTTTGATGCGGACTAGGCGTTCCACTCACCGAATGAATCGGAATCGGAGACTTGTTTGTTTGAAGAGGCAAGACATTCTCGTTCACCTTTTCCAATCCAGGAGGAGGAGCAATTATCGCCTCTGGAAATGAAATTTAAAAAAATATTTGAATACAAAAAAACCCGTAGTCGTAGAGACAATAGCCAAATTAGCAGCCGGCTTTGGTGATTGATGAGTACTTCCTCCATTGGTCAGAATAACACCTCCATTAAGAATTGGCTCTATACTTGTGGTAACAACAACATCCTTCTCAATAGATTTGTTGATGTTGCAAGTCCCATTTTCGACAGGAGTTATCGACGCAGGTGCCGGAATAGTTGCCGGAGCAGAGATGAAATAAACCTTTTCGCTGCTATTCATAGGGAAAGCAATGTCCAACCACTATAAAAATGAAGAATATTAAAGGTGGAAATTCACCAGGAGAGAGGTGGGTAAAATTTTGTCCGCAAACATTTGCGGACACTTAGGTAAGACTGAATAATTTTAAGAATTAGCCTGAAAGATGTTGCTCTTAACATAAAGTACGTTAGGTGGCACACAAGAAAGGACGATCGTTTGACAGAAGCGACGTGGAGCCGGTTGTCCTTTAAGAGTCAGCTCACCACAAACTTGGAAGACCTTGCAGTTGTCACCCATCTCCGGCGCAGCTTTGACCGAATAAAAGCGCGACTTACAAGCTCCAAAATTCATCTTCTCAATGGCGCGTTGGATGTTCTGTTAAATAAAAAGTTAAAAAAATAAGAAAATTTAAGTTAAACCTCACGGCCCGTCTCCTCAACATCACCCAAAACAAAGCTAGAATCATCTCCATAGAAAGTACCAATGTCATCCGGATGGTCACTCAGCTTGGTGTAATAAGCTTCGAAGAATTGGAAAGCCAAAACTAGAAGGATATCAAATTAAAAATAAAAAACATAAGTTTATAAAACCTTTAAGCAAGTCAGACTTGTTAGGCGAGTTCTTGTTCGACGGCGAATTGGCAGCAACGGCCTCAGAAACGTTATTATTATTATCCGACGATTTGGCCGAAACAACTTGGGTAACTACGTCATTGACTTTCTCAACCATCTTTATAAATTCTCAAAAAACAAAGAAGCAAAGCAAATGATTTGAATAAAACTCTGAAATTTTTGTTATTTTTAAAGGCGTAAACTTAAAAATCAGAATGATAATTAAAGATTTTAAAGATTTAAGAGCCGTTTCAGCATTTATAACCTTCAAATCATCTAAAAGTTAGCACTTCTACGTTCAATTTCAATGTACTAACGGAAACGAGAAAGGAGAAAAATGGTTACACAAAGAAACTACATAACTCTCAAAAATTCATCAATAAACGTAAATAAAAAAAGAGATCACATTCCAAATTAATCTTGTAAGAATGAAATCTCTTCTTAAAACTCTCTCCTCGCTTTTATAATAAAAAAAATTGGAATAATTACAAAGTGTTAATTTATGAAACGTCTACCAGTCTAAATTATTAAAAAATGTCAACAAAATATTTTTTAACATTTCAAAATGTCAACTTTATAATGCACAATTTAAAAATGTCCCGTTGTGACCATATTAATATTTTAAGGATTTGATATTAAAAAGTTTACATTTTGAAATTTCTTTATTTCTCTATTTTACTTTTTCTGTTATCTTTTCTTTATTTAGAATGTTCTAGTTTCTATTTTAATTGACCTTCAGGGTTTTTAAAAATGAATCGTTTTGCTTGTATTCTGTTTAAAATTCCGTTGAATCGCTGTTTTGCTGATATTCCCCGTACAAGCAGCCAGTTGCTGTCTAGAAGACGAGTATTTACTGACAGTTTGAGGTAAGAAGATTTTCTTTAAATCAAAATTCTTTCAATTTAGGTTCTCTTCACCTGTTTATCTCCCATCTTTTTCACGTTTCTGTAGCGACCTTTCTCCCTTACAGTCCCAAAGGATTCTATGTTGGAAATGTGGTGCTCAATTTGATTCAAATGCTGAAAGGGTCAACTGTTCTGAATGTGGAATTATTCAACCGTTAGACAAGGAAGCCAATTTTTTCACTTATTTGGGTGTTCCATTAGCTTTCAATTTGGATAATGATGAATTGGGAAAGAAATTTAGAGGAAGACAGGCAATTGTACATCCTGACAAGTTTGCAATGAAAAGTGAAGATGAGGTTTATTTTTGAAATTTTTTAGAAAATTATTTTAAATTTATTAGTTACAACATTCACAACAACACTCAACATTTTTGAACGACGCCTACAGGACATTGCGCGATCCTTTTAAGAGGGCAAATTATCTTCTTCGACTTATTAAGGAATTAGGTAAACATTTTTTATTTTAACATTAATATGTCGTGTGGAGTGGGTGAGGTTTTAGGTGTTCCATTAGATTTTAGTTTTATTCTTCGGAAGTGAGTGAGATCTTGGTGGAATCATGGTGAATGTTACTGGTCTTGGGGATTGTTCGGGTCGTCGGCGCCAATGAGTTTCTTGCTGATTTTCCTGGACTTTTTAACGTCGCCAAAAATCATTTTAAAATACATAAAACTCAAAACTTCATAAAAATTTTTTATTTTTCAATTTTAAGACGAAGACCTTAACGACCCCAAATCCATCGAGTTTGAAAAAGCTGACGATGACCTAGTTTTGGAAATAATGGAGTTGAACGAAGAAATTGAAATGTTGGAAAATCCTGACCAAATTAAGCAAAAAATTGAAGAAATCGATTTGAAAATTGACAAATTTTTGGCATCAATGAACTCACTTTTGCATAAAAAAGAAATTGAGGAGGCTAGAAAAAATCTTCAATGGATAAAGTTTTTGAGACAAAGTAGACGTCTTTTGGAAAGGAAAAGTGATGAGGAGAAACAATTTGAATAAAAAGTTTATTTATTTTTAAAAATATTTTTGGAGGGTTTTAATTAGGTTTGGAAAATTTTTTAGTCGTTTCGTTTTTTCGAGAGAATTCTAAAATTTTAATTTTTTGCCTGTAAGCTCAACTTTGAATTAAATTTTTTGCCATTTAAACCTTCAATTTAGACCTATTTATGTCACTTTTGTCAAATTTATTCGCAAATAAATTTTTAATATTTAATTTTTATTTATCTTGTTTCGTTGATCAAGACGATCAAATATTTTTTGCGAAATTTTTTTAATTTCTATATGCTTTTAGTCAGGACGAAAAATGTCGATAGGTGCTTCAGCATCTGATTCTTGTTCAGAAATTGGATGTGAAGATTTTGGTTAGTTTTAAAATTTTATTTAATTTTGGTGGTTTCTTATAAATTTTTTCGAATTTTACAAAGTGTGCTACGCTTTAGAACTTCGGTAGTCCTTGACCGAGTGAAGCTTCTAGGCAGGCCATCTATATAAAATACACCTTAGCCTCTATTTAAGCTTATTATTATGATGCACATTTTTCCAGCCCCATTTGTGTGTCTTATAAGGGGGATTTAACTCTGTTTTACTTCACAGATTACTATTACGATGCTGATGGAGGAGATCATTTTGACCAAAGTCCAGCGCCCGGTTCAATTCTCTGTGATCCCGAATATGTTGAATATTCTTGTTTAGACCGACAACAAGTTGAAGATTTGTTTGATAAAATTGTAAAAGAATTAATTGAATCAATTCCCCAAAATAATTTGAAACCTGAATTGGCTAAACTTTTGTTACATTTAAACAAATGGGATGTTGAACAAGTTAGGATATCCTTGTTGAATGATAGCAAACGTTTTTTGATTGAGGTTTGGAGATTTTTATTTTTTTTTATTTTTTGGGGCGTTTTTTAGAAACGTGAGAATTATTTTAAGGAGTACCGGCTTCGATTAAAAGTCGATTTTTAAGTTTATGCCTTCCAAATCTCGATTCGGAACTCCATCAGATTCTCGAAAATTCAATTCTGAGAACCTTATCAAGATTATCTTTTAAAATATTGCTTCTTTCTGATTTATTAAGAAATCTTTGGGAGTTTTCCGATTTTTTAAAAGATTTTCAAAAAAAAATATTTTATTTGAGAATTTTATTCAGAATCACATTATCAACGATCATTCTAATCACCCACAATTTCGCAAACCAAAAATTACCAACAATAATTATTTACCCAAAAATCAAATTCCTGGCACTTCTTCAATAGAATGCACAGTTTGCTTTGAATTGTCAAATTCTTCCCCATTGCTTCATTTAGACTGTGGACATGGATTTTGTAAATCTTGTTGGCAAATGCATATAGAAACACAATTACAGAATGGTTTTTTCTTTAATTTTTTTAAACAAATATTTCCAAGTCTAGAGTAACATTCTAGAGACTGAATTCGAGGATCGGCCAAGATCTCCAAGATCTCGATACCTCGAAAACTTCAATCTTGATAACCGAGTATTATATTTAAAAATTAATTTAAAAATTAACTCGAATTTAAAATCGAAATTTTTCAAGAAATTTCGTCTCGGTCCGATTTCTAATATGAGACTTTTTTTGGAAACATATTTTAATATTTGGATTTTCTAAAGGACCACAGCGCCAATAAAATTAGTGCATTATTTAAAGTTTATATTTGAAGGGGGGAAAATATGCCAAATTTTGGGATTTTGGAAGGCCATATCTTGGCCAGATCAAAAAACGGGCAAAAACGGCAAAAAATCCTTGCTAGAAAGGGCACATTCCTATCGAATGAGCCCGGTCTCGACCGTTTTTAGCTCGGACACCTCCCAAACTCTCCTTGTGAGTATAAATTAATCTGACGGATCTATTAATTTTTTTTATTTTTAAAAAGGTGTTTCTTCTCATATTACTTGTATGAACACTAATTGTTCACTTATTTGCCAAAAAGATTTTGTACTTGATCTACTTAAAAATCAATCTTGTGAAATTATTTCTAAATATGAACAGACGGTTTTATTTTATTTTTTTTAACTTTGAATTTTTTTTTGAAAAAAAATCCTAAAAAATTCTATTTCAGCTTTTTCGTGATTTTGTCTCTTCCCACCCTTACTTACGCCTTTGCCTTGGTTCTGATTGTGACAAAATTATTTTTTGTAATACCTCAAAAGCACATAGAGTTATTTGCTCAAATTGTAATATTAAATTTTGGTAAGAAAATAAAATTTATTTTTTATTTTTTAATTAAATTTTCTTTTTAAAGTTTTAAATGTGGAAGTGATTATCATGCACCCGCAAGTTGTGAAATAATTAAAAAATGGTTGGTTAAATGTGCGGATGACAGTGAGACTGCAAATTATATAAGGTTTATAATTTGAGAGAGGGTTGTGTGTTCGAATTCGGACAGGGAATTGAAAAATTTTTTGGAAGTTTTATCCGCAAATTATACTTTTTTATAAAAATGCGGATTTTGAATCTTCTCCTTATAACTACTAAATTGAATTCTATAAAAATTTTAAATTTAGTGCCCATACAAAAGATTGCCCAAATTGTAATAGCTGTATTGAAAAGAACGGAGGATGTTTGTAATTTCTTTAAAAAATTTTCTAAAAAAATTATTTAAGGTAATCATATGCAATGCTCAAAATGTAGACATCATTTTTGTTGGATGTGTTTTAGAGGTTTTTTTTAATTTTAAAATTTCTTAAACCAATTTTTTGAAAGATTGGAAGACACATGGAAGTGAATATTACGAATGTTCTCGTTATAAAGAAAATCCACAAATTGCTCAAGAGGCTAACCATCTTAAAGGTTTTTTTTTAATTTTTTGTTAGTTAGGAAAAATTATTTTTGAAAAAATTGAAGTTTGTTTCGATTTGATTATAATTTTGGGGTCATGGGTTCGGACCCGGTCGGGGAAATAAATTATTTCTGGTCCCAAACCAATCTCTTTTTTTAATTAAGCACGCCGCGCATTGGAACGTTATCTACACTATTATGAACGATTTGAAAATCATCAAAAATCTTTAAAAATGGAAGAGGAATTACGTTTAAGAATAAAAACAAAAATTGATGAAAAAGTGCATAATCATGAAGGTACTTGGATTGATTGGCAATATTTACACGATGCTGCAACTCTTTTAACAAAGTGTCGCTATACTTTGCAGTATACTTATCCGTTTGCTTATTATATGGAAAGCTCTTCTAGAAAGGAACTTTTTGGTTGGTTTTGGACATTTTGAGATTTGGGGGTTTTTAAACAGACCTTTTGAAATTTTGACGTTTCTTAACTGGCATTTTTAAATAACCCCCAAATAATTTTCCCAGAATACCAGCAAGCCCAACTAGAAAAGGAAATTGAAGAACTTTCTTGGAAAGTCGAAAGGGCAGAGCATACAGACCGGGCTGAACTCGAAAATCAAATGCATGTTGCAGAATTAAAAAGGCGAACATTGCTACAAGATTTTTTCAATTAAAGGTGACGGAAAAACTTGAAAAACCTCTCTCAGCATTTTTTATTTTGCTTTCTACTTTCAAAATAATTTTTTTAAGGTTTATATAAATCGAAAAATATTAAAATCGTTTTATTTGTAAACTGGTAATTTTATTGTGATAAATGTCCAAAAATTGTAAAAGATAATTTACTTAAAAATTTTTTTGAGCGTTGAATTTTTAAATAAGTTTACAAAAAGAATACCAACAAATAAATATAAATTCTCCTTTATTTAATCGACTTATCTCGTTGCCCAGTTTTGTATTTAATTCCAAGCTGCTTCAATTCTTGAACGACTATCTTTGGGAGGGTACCAGATACAGAAATTGCGTACACTCCTGGACACTTTTTGTTAATTTTCTGAAAAGAAATTTAAATTTTTTCGATTAATCTCAAATTCTGATTCTTATCCTTCATACTCTAATAAATCCGCAAATTTTATCCGCAATCTAATTGCGGATAAAACGTACAGATTTATAGGAGCAAAAGGAAAGGAACCGTTTTGATAAAACAAAATCTTTCAAACCTGCCACTTGCTAACCCAAGAATCGTTATGGTCACAAACGGCAATCATTCCATCAAAATTGGCACTAAAAATAATTTTTAAAAAATAAAAAAAATTTAAAAGAAAAAACCTTGTACATTCAACACATTTTTCAATATCTCCTTTTATTCCCAAAAATCTGTCACAATTATCACACCCATCCATTTCAAATTGATGAAGAGTTTTTACCTTAAAAATTAAATTTTTTAAATTTTTCTCCTTATAAAAATCATACAAGTGAACAGACTAAACAAGCACGGAGGTTGCGCAAATCAGTTGGAACTGTTTCAATTGACATTATTTCTTTAAACAAATGTTAAAATTAATTAAAAATGATTTTAAAAATATTTTAAAATATTTCAAAATTTTCTAAAAAATTTTCAAAAATTTTCAAAAAATTTTTTTTCTAATCTTTTATTCCTTTATTTCTCATTATTCTCAAAATTGAAGAAATTTCTGACATTTTTTCTCTCGTTTTGCCTAATATGGCACCCATTCGTCTTTCACATTCATCTATATACTTCCAATCATCCCTTAAATTAATAAAAATTTTAAAAAAATTGTTTAAAAAGAAGTAGGTCCTAGGCGGATTCGAACCGCCGCTGCTGGATTACTACTGCACTCTTCAAAGTCCAGAGTGCTAACCGCTACACTATAGGACCATCTGATAGACTGAACTTTTATTTTAACTAGAAGTTTATTATAATTTTAATTTATTTACCAATTAATGAATTCTACGCCTCTAGAGCAAAGTTTCTGTTCAATTTGGGTTCTAGCAGACATTTTTTCGATAGAATTTTTTGTAGAATTTATTTTATTTAAATCTTCAAAGATTTGGTCAGCCACAGAATATGCCTGTTGTTGACTATCAGCAATTAGGCCTCTAGCGGCGTGGGAACACCAACCGGTTGCATAAACCTGTAAAAATGGGGATAGCAGGATCAACTGTCTCAAAAAAATTTTTTTCAAATAATTTGGAAAACTAAAAGATGAAAGAAAGGTCATTTTCCTAGTCTATTTGACCCTCAAAAATAAAAAACTGCAAAAAAATATAAATTAGCCAAGCTTATGAGAAAATAGCCTAAGGGCAAACAACAAAAATTTGGGGAAAAGGACAAGAGGAGAAAGGCTAATTGTTCAATATGACTTAAAAAAATTTTCTTAGGAGTTGAAAATTTTATTTAAAAATTTTCGAAACCTAAAATTGAAGAGAGAGGCTTTTTCAGAATATTTTAAAAATTTTGCCTGAGGGCAAATAGCCAAAAAAGTTCCAAAAAAATTTTTAAACTAACCAAAGAATTTTCATTAGGTACTCTACACCAATCAATCATTTTTAATTGTCCATTTTCATTTTTAGGTAATCCATTTAATAAAATATTTTCAAATCCAATAGCTACAATTAACAGAGAACATTCAATTTTTTCTATTAAATTATCCAAATTGTTTTGAATATATAAAGCATTTATTGAGTCATTTTTGTTATTTAATTCAACTTTTGTTGGACGAGAATTAAATAGCAATTTTAATGATTTTTGATTTGGAGTGGGCCTAAAAATTGTGAAATTAAAGAAAATGGACATTTTTAAATTTGGACATTTCGAGCCTTTAAATAGAAATTTCAGAAATACGTATTTTTAACCCTGACCGCCCCCTAAAATTCCAAAAATTAACACTATGTCAAAAAAACTTTAGTATAATATTTACCACATATCCCAGGCTCTCAGTTGTCCGATTTTTTTATAAAAATCCGAAAGTTTACCCAAAAATTTTCCCCAAGCCTTAAAATAAAAAATAAAAAAACCTTTTTTCTTCAGCAAAATTCAGCATTAATTCAACAATTCTTCTTCTAGGTCTTTCCATTAAATTTAATTCTTGTTCCAATTTTTCTTTTAAATTTGAATCTATTAAACAATGAGAATTGACACCTTCTAAATTTAATAATTCTCTCAATTCTTTTATTGTAAAGGAAATCTGAAAAAAAATTTTTTATAGAGAAGGAACTCTCAGGGGACAACAAATTCAATTAAATAAAAATTTTCACGTGGCCCAGATTCGGTCATTTTTGTGCTTTCTGAGTTTTCTCGGGCTTGGAATGATTTGGCCCTATCTATCTCCCCCTCCCCAATCTCTAAGAAAAATGTTTAGAAAGAACTATTACACTCCAAGCTTTTTTACTGAATTAACCTCTTCCGGTCCTCCCTATCAACGCTTAACAAAATACCCAATTTTTATTTCAAAAAAACCTCTTTAGGCCCTCTCCTTCCAATAATATAAACATTTTTAATTTTTGACTTTCTCAAAGCATTCAAAGCATTTTCTGTTATATCTGTTTGTTTTAATCTTTCTGGAGAAGAAAGCAAAATTCGAGAACAATCAATTGCTACATTTCCATTTCCTATAACTACTGCATTACTTCCTGTATCCAATCTTGGTATATTTTTTATGTATTGTTGGGACATTCCATTGTACCTTTAGAAAAAAGAAAAATTGAGAAAATTAAATATTTTTAAAATTTGAGACAAAATGTCCTATTTTTGCCTTAAACGACCAAATGTCATTTTTTGCCCCAAACGACCAAATGTCTTATTTTGTCCTAAACGACCAAGTGTTCATTTTTGGCCTAATTGGCTAAATGGTTATTTTTGCCATAAACGACCAAATGTGCATTCTTACCCTAATTGACAAAATGTCTCCTCAACAAAATTTTAATAACTAAAATTTAAAAAAAACCAAGAAACAAATTCTCCCCCAGAAAAGCAATTATTTCCATATTCATTTTCCAATCCCAATTTTCTCGGTTTATTAGCTCCATAGGCTAAAACAACAGCATCATAAGTAGAACATAATTCCTTTAAAATTAATTTTTTTAAATTCTTTTTAAATTCAAAAAAAACCTCAAAATTAACATCTTTATTAGCATCCACATTACAAAAAAGTTCCAATCTTTCCCTATTTTCTTCAAACATTTTTTCAAATCCAGTCATACTTTTTTTCATATCAAAGTGGTCTGGAGCTACCTTTAAAATTTTAATTTTTAATATTTTTTGATTAAATATGGGATTAGTCTTTGGAGGAAAAATAACAAAAATGGGAGTCAAAGACGAGATTAGAACACGTGTACCCCAATTGCGATAGGACCGACTCGAAATATCGATCCAAATTTTAATACGGCCAAACCAGTCCGGTCTCTAACCTTAACTAGGACGTACCCGTTAGATCAAAAATTTTTATAAGATTGGCCCTATGAAATATCTGAAACACGGGCTCCTCAACTGTGGGTTTGAGATAGCGGTCCTGGAAAATCTCCGAATCCAATATTCGAAATAAACATTTCCGAATTCGGCATCCCTACTTGGCAAATGAGAGGAAAACTTTTTTGAGACGCCCATTAACTACAAATTTTTATATAATTTCTTTTAAATCTGACCAAGAAAAATTTACAAAAAAACCTTACTCCATAATATATCAATCCAAAAGGTGCCTGTGCTTTGTCAAAAATATCAATAAAACAATTTTCAAATCTTTGAAGTAATCTAGAACAAACATAAAGGCCTGAAGGTCCAGAGCCAATAATTGCTATTTGTGGGGCTGGGGAGGTTGAAAAGGTGGATTTTGTTCTTGTAAAATGTTGAAGAGAAAGGCGGATAAATGACCTAAAAATTTTTTAAGAGCTAAAAAATGTCCAATTAAATCTACAACTTAAAAACAAAGAGGATACTTTTGAATTACCCAGCGGGGTTCGAACCATGACCCTCCTTCATTAAAAACCCAAAAATTTACCCACTACACCAAAATATAAAAAATACTTTTGGTCAATAAACCGTCCCCCTTTAGCCCATTTAATTAGGAAAAATATAAAAATAAACCCGTTGTTATAGTTGAGCAATTGGCGAATTAAGAACATCAATCACAGGAAAAGTGCCAAAATTTGTTTAAAAATGTTGTCTTCTTAACAATTTTGTTTTGAAATTAGAAAAAATATTAAAATAAAAATTAAATTAAAAAAGAATTTTAAATGTAAATTTTAACAAAAAAAATAAAACTAATTTAAATTATCCCCAACAGAAATTTTATTTTTAAAAATATATAAATTAGAAAATTTTTGGAAAAAATCACTCAAAGACGAGTTAACAAAATTTTAACAGCAGAAACTTGACGTTGTTTAATATTCATATCATCCGCATCCAACAAAGAAATTAAATCGTCTGTTACCTTTTTTAATGAAAAAATAATTTATTTTTACTTAAAATGCATCCCTCTTCTTAAAAAACAATAGGAACGAGTTTTACTGGGAGAGGGGATAAAATGTCTATTTTTGAGATAAGATGTCCATAAAAAATAAAATAACGAGAAATATACCGAAACACTTAAATTTAAAGCTAAACTAAAAATTGGGACCCAATAAAAATCTTTTTCACGTAGTGGGGTTCGAACCTGGAACACCTCTAACTATGAATCTAAAATTTACCCACTACACCAAACCATACAAAAACTCAGTTTGGTCTCTTAATTCACAGAAATCACTGGGAGAACTTAGGACCCCTCTTACTAATCAAAAAGTTGCGCAATGCACCAAAAATTAACCCCAATTAGGTTCTCTTAATCAACGAATTAATTTTAAAAAATAATGAAAAACCTCAACAGTCCCAGTCAAAATGTTAACACTAATTGAATTATGCATTTCTTCCTCGATTTTTAGAGCTAAACATAATGCTTGGTTGATCGCTTTGCCCAATGCATGAATTTTTACAAAATCGAATTTTCTGTCCAATAGATGTTTGCATTTTTTTAATTGAGCGATTAAATGGGTTTTTCTAAAAAGAAATTAGCTTTCGAAAATATTTTTCCCTGAGCGGGTTCGAACCTTCGACCCCCTCCACCTCTCAATCAAAAATTTACCCAGAAAACCAAACTTACAAAACCCAAAATCGGTTAAATTTAAAAATGACTCCAACAAAAATTAATTTCCCTGAGCGAATCCGAACCTTCGACCCCTAAAATTAATAACCAAAAATTAACCCACTACACCAAAGTAAATAAATTGTCAAACCTAGTCACACAAACATCATTTGCGGCCCAAATTGGATGTGGAGGCACTCTTTTACAAATTTCTACATTTTCTTTTTTATTTTCACAAATTTTCAGCTTTTTCGTTTCCTCTTCAATTTCTGTTTGATTTTTACGTTTATTTCCCATTTTTAAAAGAAAAGAAGAAATGCAGCCATACAAAAACAACCAAAAGAAACCCAAAGACTTAAACGTTCACCAATTCGAGCACACTTCCAAAATAGGCCAGGAATGCTTTAAAAGGGAGGATTTAATGAAATGAGAAAATTTTGAAAATTTTTAAGGGCTGTGAAAAAATAAAAGAAAAATTTTGTTAGTAAAAAACCTTAAATTTAAGGCTTAACTAAATTAATAACTCAAATAAAGATTAATACACTATAGTGGGATTCGAACCTTGGACCCTTTAGGTCAAAAACCAAAAATTTACCCACTTAACTAAAGTAGACAAAACACAAAATCTGATCAGTTTTAGTTTCCTATGATTCTGTAAATATTTACAAATTAAAATAACAAACCCTTGCTTATTTCTATCAATCAATGCTGGCAATATAGCTCTCAAATAAGTGCAGGCACAAATTAAAAGCAACAAAACAGTAATTAAACTTTGCAAATTAAATATGGCCGACTGGAAAATTAAAAAATTAAAATTAAAAGCTTAATTGTAAAACATACCAGTTTGAATTGATTTTAAGATTGTTAAATCTGAAAAATTGAGAAAAATCAAAAGAAATTTTAATTTTACAAAACTTTAATCAAAGGTAGGGGACGTTTCAGTATGTCTGTTCAGTCTCGAGGCCATATTTTGGGACATAACTTTTTAGATTCTTAACTGATTTAAATGATTATTATAACATTCGAAAGCCCTGGATGTGAGGATCATTTTAGCTAACCGGATTGTTTTGGTCAGATCATTCTACAAAAAGTTACATCTGGATAAGTGCACGCAATCGTGATTTTCAATCTTTATTCGTCTATAACTTTTTGTTGTATCATCTGATCAAATTAATCTGATTAGTTAGAATAATCCTCACATCCAGAGCTTTCGATTGATATAAAATTTATTTAAATTGGTTAAGGATACAGAAAGTTATGGCCTGAAATATTGCCAATGCAATTATGTTACTTTAAAAACATAAATAAATTAATTGTTTGGCGAAACGTTTTTAAAAATGACAGTTTGTCCCATTCACTCTTTATCTTTTTCTTTAACTTGTCTCTCTTTATTTTACAAAGTCTTTGTTTTCTCATAAATTATTTTTGATTAAATTTCTATTTTTTAAATATCTTTTATCAATTTTTAGATAATTAATCTCTATTTTCTACAAATTTTTTTCAATAATGATTCGAAAACAAGTCAGAGAACGTCGAGAATATCTTTACCGAAAAAATTTGGAAGCAAAACAACGGGCTACTCAACAACGTAGAGATGTGCTTAAACACGCTCTGGATACCAGCACAATGATTCCAACAGATTTGCGAAAGGACGCGGCAGAAATGGTTGGGGATTTGGCTTGGGGCGGGCAAGTGGATTTGGTGGATGATGAATATAGATGGGCTGGTTGTGAAGATCCTAATCTGGTTGTGACTACAAGTCGGGATCCTTCTAGTCGACTTAAAATGTTTGCAAAGGTTTTCTTTTAATATTAAAAGTGAATTATGAACTTCGGGAGACCAATTTTTCTTTTTTATTCACTATTCCCCTTTTTTACTGGCTACTAACTCAATTAAATGTGAGTAGGTTTGTATAGGTACTCAACCAGATATTTGTTCCCCTTCCGAATTTATAATAGGTCCGATGTCAAATTCAGCATTCGCTATAAAAATTTTCGTAGGAAGGGGAATCATTTTTGAAAATATGAGTTTTCTTTGCTATTTGCCTGGTACATTCCCATCATGCCATTCATTGATGTACCCAAATCCCTCTCCCTTTTGATTGAGTTAGTTGTCAGAAGTAAAACAAGGGAAACTAGGAATGATGAAAGTGGGGCCTTTCAAAAACCCCTAAAAATATTTTTTCTAATCCTCAACCTTTTTAGGAGATTAAATTGCTTCTTCCAAATTCTCGCCGTATTAACAGAGGAGGACATGATATGAAAAGTATTGTGCAGGCTTGTACAGCTCATGGAGTAACCGATTTAATTTTGTTGAGTGAAACACGAGGAGTGCCCGATTCAATGATTGTTTCACATTTTCCGCATGGGCCAACAGCTTATTTTAGGTTTGATTTGCGGAGTTTTTTTTAGGAAAATTGCTTTACTAAATAGCCATGGTTTTTGTGTTTTCCTTATTTACAAGTTCCTCTGTAAAATAAGTAGCAAATAAAAGTCTATGATTAAGGTTGTCGTTGGTGTAATGGGTTAGCCTCTAGCTTGCTTATTTAATGGTCTAGGTTCGAATCCTCTTGTGTGGTATCATTTTTATTTTTTCAAAAAATTAATTTATTAATTCTAAGCATTATTTAAAAATTTAAAATGTTTTTAAAATTAATTTCTGTCATTTTTTAATCTAAAAAACATAGATTGGATTATTAATATTAAAATAAACTCTTATTTTTTTATTTTTTTAAGCTTGTCAAACGTTGTTATGCGACATGATATTCCAAACATGCCACATATGTCAGAGCAATATCCACATCTTATCTTCCACAATATTACTTCTCCGCTCGGGAATAGGGTATTTTTTTAAATTTATTTGAATAGGGAGGAATTTAGAAAAATTTTTGGTTATTCCACTTCTTTTTTAAATATTTTTTTTCGCCTCTTCAAAAAATTTTTTCAATAATGTTATTCAGTCGATAATGATCTCCATACTCTTAAACAAAAATTTCAGAGGTTTAATTTGGGTGAAAGACTTCATTTTTTAAATTTGCTCATCGTATTTCTTCGGTCCTTAACTTGTTCTTAATTTTCAATTTGGAGTAAGTGTTGTTGTGATAGATTTTCAAGAATAGCTTCCTAGGTATTCTTTTTTAGTCTTTATTCTCATATAATTTCCCCTTTCCTCTCCATTCTTTTTTCAAATTTTCTAACAAAAAAAACTTCATTTTTCAGTTAACAAATATATTAAAATATTTATTTCCTGTGCCCAAGAAAGATTCAAATCGCGTTGTTACTTTTGCTAATGAAGAAGATTTTATTTCCTTTCGTCAACATACATTCAAAAAAGATGAACATGGAGACATTGAATTGACTGAATTGGGGCCGAGATTTGAAATGAGACGTTTGTTTTATAATTTTTGATAATTTTCAAATTTTTTAAAGCTTATTGCTTAATTCTTGGCACAATAGACAATGCTGACTCTAGCGAAACTGAATGGGCTCTTCGCAGCCATATAAATCGAAAACGAAGAATTTTGACAGACGAGAGGGAGTAAAAAGTTGTTTTTGAGGTTTTTTATTGTTATTATTTAGTTTAAATAAAATTGTTACAATTTTAAAAATCGGTACATTGATTTTAGGTTTCATTTTTCATTCTCACGTTGTTCTTAACTTGCAGCCACGCGAAAATCATTTACAAAAATAAAACTCGTCAAAAATTTATTCTTAAAAAATATATTTATTTTGTACTAAAATTGTGTGTATATAATTGTAAAGCTTCCCATTCTGCTTTAAACGCTGCTTTCGGATCCTGTCCTTGAGACATTTGTGGTTGTCCCATCATTGCTTGTTCGTCTATTTGATCTGCCGCGTTTTCACCTCCCAAGACTAGAGCATAAACCGAACGAAGACCAAAAACATTTAAAAAATACCAAGAAGCTGAAGAAACCCAAGCAGCATCTAACGACATTAAATCAACTCCTCTTTGCAACATTGGCTTGAAACGAAGGGTTAGGGGGAAGGGGACCTGCAAAAATAAGGGGGAAAATAACATTGATTTTTTTGGAATTTTTGACACTCAAAAGAATTTAATCGTGTCTAAGAGAATGAGTTTATAGAATTTTTCTTAGTCTTCTCTTAATCCCTTGTGGAATTTTTTGTTAGGATGATCAAGAATAGTCAAAGATAGACATGTTGGTTTCTGAAAAATCAGTTGACATCCGGAACCTCGAAAAATCCTCGGGTCCCCGGTTGGGTTCCTAACCGACAACCCTCCTCAAAGGAATTTAAAAAATGAAGAGAATTTTACAAAAAAAACCCCAAGTGTCCCCGTTTTAAAAATTAATTCAAATTAAGAAACCTTTGTTGTAACAAATCCAGAAAATGTCCAATTAATCCAACCACCAATAAAACTGAAAAAAATTATATTTCAAGTCCAAATAAAATAAAAAAATACATCATAGGGATCATATTCAACATATTGCCTTTTAACATTTCCTAAAAAATATAAATTGTTAAAAAATTGAGTTTAAATTTAAAAAAATATACCGTCATCATGGAAGGATCGAATGCCTGAAAAATTTTTAGGTAATAAAAAAATTATTTCAAAAAATAATTTAGGGTAATATTCTTGAATATAAGTGTGGGATAAAATTTTAAAATAATTTATAAAATCGAAAAATAGTTTAAAACAGAAAAAACTCCAAGAAAATAGGAAAAATAGAGTGATTTCCCCCGTGAGGATTCGAACCTTAATGGGAGCTATCGGAAGTCTAAAGCAGTACCAACTACACCACCGTACTGACAAAACAAATTTTTTAGTTCCTTAATTTATATTCTAGGGGAATACCAGATAAATTTCAAATCTGAGGAGGTAGTCCACAAAACCTCCACAAAAACCCCAAATTAAATTTAAAAAACCTCCTCTTACAGGATTAGGCTGTGACGATTGTTTTTCAACACGTTTAAGTAACTGTCCATTCTGTTCATCAGCTAGCCAATGTTTTCTCATTCCAAAAGAATTTGAAGGCAAAAAGCGCCCATTTTCTCTCAAAAGTCTAGCTTTCATCAATAAATGTCTAAAAATAAAAAATTTGAAAAAAATTCTTTTAAAAATAAAAAAATACCCATCCTTCACAGATTGTAAATCTCCCTTCTTTTTACCCAAAAAAAGCAAAAATATATAATGACGCAATATTCCAACCAAAAAAGTTATGATGACAATAGGCACAAATACCCAAGTTCGGATAGAAGGGTCTAACAATAATTCGGTCATTTTTTCTTTTCTAAAAAATCTTTAAGAAATTTGATTAAAATAAATTGAAAAATATAACAAATGCGTAGATAAAACGCTAAAAATCAAAAAAAAATTTCTAAAAATTTAATTTTTTAAATTTAATACAAAAAATATCAAAACGTCAACTTTTACAACAGGGATGAGACGGGTTGCCCAAAACCCGGACTATTTTTTCGACCCGAAACCCGATCCGAAGAAAATTTTAAAAACCCGACTTTTTTTCAACCCATCCCATCCCTGTTTTACAAATAGAAATCGCGCATTAATTTCGGCTGGACCTTGTTATTCTTCCTGGATTCAGATTAAAAATCAAGACATTTTTCAGTGCTCCTTGATTTTTCCTCGAGTCAAGGTCAAAAATCTGGTCAAGGTTCTCAACCAAAAATCAAAAATTTAAGGTCAAAGTTTTTTTGATGTTCCGATGTCTATTTACAAAAATAGTGACAATTTTTAAAAAATTATTTCTGAAATTTCTGAATTTTTCAAAATTTTAAAAATTTAAAAAAATTGTCAGTATTTTTTAAAAATTTATTTGCACCTAAAAAATATATTTTATTTTTTGAGATTAATTTAATTAATGTCAACTAAATTGATTACAGCATCGATTCCATCTGCTAGTTAAATTTGTAGTGTCAGGATATCGAAGCCGAAAAGTGTCGGAAAGGCTAGTGTCCAAATTGTTGCTGTCATATTGGGATTTTAATTGACGTGCCAATTCGAAGAAAACTTTAAAAAAAATTTCAAAAATTTTGAAAAATTCTTCAAAAAATTTTCGAAAAAAATAAGAAAAAAATCGCAGAAAATTTTTCAAAAAAATTTCTTAGAAAATCTTCAAAAGGAAAAAAATCACAAAAATTTTTAGAAAATTTTTTAGAAATTTTCGAAAAAAATTCTAAATAAAATAGAAAAAAAATTCCGAAAATGTTTGAAAAATTTCAGAAATTTCTTAGAAAATTTCTCAAAAAAAATCAAAATTAAAAAAATTTTAGAAACAAACTTGTGTCAATATTCACATTTGTTTTTGACGAAACTTCCAAATTTTGTAACATATTGTGTGCTCTACTCAATTGTTCTGCTTCCTCTATTTCTACTTTTCTTTGTTCTTCTGCCAAATCTGCTTTTGTACCTGAAAATTTTTTGATTAAAAATTAATAACAAATTAAAAATACCAACCAACAAGAATTTTGGCAACATTTGGAACTGCAAATTTAGCAACATCATCAATCCATTTTTGTAGAGATTGAAAAGATTCTGAACTAGTCAAATCCTAAAAATGAAATAAAAAATTTTTTTGAAAGAAATTAAGCCATGAAAAAAATTCTAAAATATTCTAAAAAATAAGCCAATCGTTTATAAACTAATGGGGACAGACGGGGAATCGAACCTTTCCCCCACGAAACTAAAAAACTCAAAACTCTACCACCTAACCATACGACTGCTAAAATCTTAAAATAAAAAAGCACCCAAGTTATCTTTAAGAGATCAGAAATAATCTTTAACAAGCCACAGAAAAAAAAAAAATTTTTTTTTAATTTAAAATTTACATACATAGCAAAGAATGATTCCATTAGCCGAACGATAATATGATTGTGTTATAGTTCGAAAACGTTCTTGCCCACCAGTGTCCCTTAAAAAGTAAAAAAAATTTCTTGAAGACATTAATGATTTTCTATTATTGGGCAAGAAAATGAATTTTTTGGCCTGCGGCCTTCCAAAATTTTCAAAATTTTTCGCCTGCAGCGCCAAAAAAAGAAATCTGGCTCCAAAGCCTTCAAACTTTACTTTTTTGGCCTATGGCCTTCTAAAATTCTCAAAACCCCCTTGGCCCTCCCGGAAAAAATCCTGGCTACGGGCTTGGACCCCACTAATGTGAGAAGCTGAAAAATACAGCCCCAAAGGCTTTTATTTTAGGAAATAAGGTAATTAACAAAAAAAATTTTTCCCAAAATATTCCCCAAAAAAATTTAAAAACAAACCAAATTTGCAATTTAATTCGTTTTCCATCCATCACAACAGTTTTCATTGTAAAATCAACTCCAATTGTAGTCCCTTGTTTTTCTATATAAGTTCCGTTTTTAAAGCGTTGCACAATACTACAAATAAAAATTGAAAAAAAATATTTTAAAAATTAAAAAAATAAACCAAGTCTTTCCAATGCCCATGTCACCAATCAACACAATCTAAAAAAATTTTAAAGATAAAAATTCAAAAAATCCAAAAAACCTTAAACAAATAATCGAATGTATCTTCGGTATCCATATCCTCAGGACAGAACAGAAAAACAATCTGGATATTCAACCAAATCCAAATCAAACTTCTCGATAAACGTGATTTTCTCTAACCGTCTTGCATCACCATTCCTGTTTTTTTAGATTTACATGAAACTAGGTTAATCTTAAGAAAATTAAAAAAATATTTAAAAAACTAGTCGTGAACCAGTCGTTAAAAAAATGAAAAAATTTTTTTTAATATTTATAAGTGTTAAAATAAAAAATAAATTAATAAAAGTTGATAAAACCAGTAATATTTTGTAAATACTCTGATTTTTTTTCAATTAATATTTCCATAAAATCATCTAAAAATGTCTCCAATTAATACACGTCTTCGAATAGTTTGAGATGTTCCAGCAGAATAACGAAAAATAAAAGGAATTGTGGTATTCAATAATTTTTGTTGAGTTTTTAAGACTAAAAAAATATAAAAAGTTTTTTAATAGTAAGAGAAAGATAAAAGTATGATCCCGAGGAGGCATCGATCTAGGCTCGCTTTTGCTCTCTCCTATAAAGGTGCTCTACCGATCAGGGCTGGCTAGACTAACACTAAAGAAAAGTCAAAAAAGCACAAGGGTTGGATTTGGAGTAACCCGGCTATCCTTGCTACAGAACAGGGATGTCAACAGGTTGAGGAAACAGTTGGACGGGTCTTTAAAATTCACTTAGGGGGTCGGGTTTCTGTTAAATCGGGTTCTGGGTTAAAAAAGTCCAGGAAAACTGACTTATTGCTGCTACAGACTGAGCTATCGGGGCGCTGCTTTTTCCTTGTCTTTTTAATGAAAATTCAACCCCCGCTTAAGTAAGTGTTTTTAAATTCTAGCCAAATGGATCTTCCCCTTTTCCTTAGAAAATCCCCTAAAAATTCAATAAACCTGGCAAATTATTTGGTTTAATTTTAACAATTTGAGAAGTTTGTTGAATTTTTGGTTCAACTTTAGGCAAAACAAAATTATTAAATAATTGAGTATTCATATCAAATTTGAGACGTCTTGAAACATGCATTGCACAAATAAAATGAATTGAAATTAATGCATAAGGTAAGTAACGAAAAAGAAAATAATTCTGATTTTGTTGAATATGGGATTGAAGCAAATCCATTGAAATAAATATTTTTGATATTTTTGTTGACTGAAAAATTATAAAAAAATTTTAATTTAAAAAAAATTTTGCGGATTTTTATGAATTTTAAACATAAGCAAACAGCAAAGAAACGGCAGCCTTTTCCTTAACAAATGTTCACTTGTAAGCGCCGCAGGTGAAAATTTTGAGAATTTTAGAAGGCCGCAGGCCAAAAAAATTCATTTCTTTTTTGCCCAATCCCCTCTCCAAATTTTTCATTTTCCCCATTTCAGGGGGGGGGGGAATCCCCTCCTGGCTACAGGTCTTCACCCAATACAAGATCCACAATTGCCCCTATTAATCCAGTCCTATTGTAAAATTAAAATTTTAGCTTCTCCAAAATTGTGATTCAAGCCACGATTTTTAATCTTACACATCTACTCCTCTAAAAGACCCCAGAAATTTTCAAAAAATTAAAAACCTGTTCATGTCCCAATTTAAAAACACTCGCAACATTAACAAAAATTAATTGTTGAATTCTTGTAAATTCTTCAAAAGCCAAACGATTAATTAAATAAAGAATTGTGTTTGCTCTTTGTTCGGGTGATTGAACAATTCCTCGACTAAAATTAAAAAAAATTTTTTTAAGCAAAAAATTTTCAAAAATCCTACGAATCTTTGTGAAAATCCAAAGTAAAAATTGAATATAAAACATCAATAAATGAAACGGATAATGCTGTATTGAGTTTTTGAGGTTGTTCTAGATCGTCAGAAGGTGTGGAATTCTAGAAAAAAAAAATTAAAAATAATTTTTAAAATTAAAAAAAAAATTTTTTTTTGCAGAAATCCGCAAGTTTTGTCCGCAAAATTTTTTTTATTAAAAAATTTATAAAATCGATTACATTAAGAAAACACAACATGAAGAATTTTAAAACCTCTACCCGAGCAAGTCTTAATGCCAAAACGCCAAAAAACTAACCCCTCCCTAAAATTGTCAAAATGCCAAACAGCCGAAATGCATCGAAATACCAAAAAAAATAAAAATTTTTCCCTTACCTTTTTGGAAAAAGCAGTTCCAACAGCATTAGCAGTCATAAATTGAAGAGTATTTAAACACAAACGAATATCTGTTCCATGAGTTAATATCATCTCATTTAATTGATTTTGGTCAATTAAAATTCCTTCGAGACGACAAATCTGTGAAAAAAATTTTTTTTTAATTCAAAAAATTAAAAAAAAACCTCGAGTAGTCGAGCTTTAAGCCTTTTTTGATTACACGGCTGAACTTGTAATGCTAGTGAAGAAATCCGAAGTTGTTTTAAATTAGGAGAATTCCAAATATTTGAACATATACAAATTACAGGACGAAGAATTGAACCATTAGAAGAAGAACGTTTAGTCCAGCTACACAAAAATTGAATCTAAAAAATGAAAAGTAAAAAAAATTAAAAAACAGAGAGGAATCAGAATTATGGAAGCCCAGTTTACGTAACTGCACAGCTACCACGATCTAATCGTAAAAATGAGAAAGCTGGTCAATTTTCGGACCAAGCTCGACGAGATACGTCGCCCTATACAATCCCAGTTCTAACCTCTGCGGTAGATGGTAGGAATGTCACGGGTTGGGAAAAAGTCAGGCCGGGATTCAGGCTGAAAGAAGTTTCACGTTAAGAAAACTTTTTGAAAAAAGTTTCACGTTGAAAAAAGTCACATGTGACATTCCTTGTAGATAGGGTGTACCTTCTGAATCCTAATCGCAAAAATGGACAAACTTAAAATCTAACCAATTTAAATTAAAATCCTTATTTTAGGGCAGAAATATCACTCCCGAATAAAATGAAAATTCTAACCATGTCCGAAGTAGCCAACTCCAATCCTTCAATTATAAAACAAACAGGTTTATCTTCTTCTGTTTTAGGTGTCTGTTGCTGTTTTTGCATTAAAAATAGACTTGAAATTTCTATTGAATTTATAGCATTCTCCATTCTATTTCGAAGTTCGGCAACATTTTGAATTTCACTTTAGAAAAAATTTTTTTTAAATAAAATAAAAATTAAAAAAAACCTTATTTGAATAGAAAGAGGGCGATAACCCAATTGTCTGGCAACAACAACTGCAAGGGAAGATTTTCCAGCACCAGAAGATCCATGAAGAACGAGGATCTTAAAAAAACATAAAAAAAATTACTAAAGAAAAATGTCCGCAAAAATTGTCCGCATGAAAAAAATATATTTGCGGACAACTTTTGCGGACAAATTTTCAAAAAATATTTTGAAACCAAAAATTTCCCCAATTTCTTCTCGAAGCATTTAGAAAATAAAAAATCCAAACCCTTTGTTTGGGCAACACAAAACCTCCGCGCAAATGATCAATTTCAACCAGCTTTTTATCCTTTTCTTCCAAAGATCCCCAAAAGACAACTCCTCCCTTCTTTTTAAAAGCAAGACCATCCCAAAGGCGTAACCAGAGCAATACCAAACGATTAGTTTCCTTGAAAATTTAATTTTATTTAAATTGGTAAATGTCCGCAAATTTTGTCCGCAAATATAAAAATAAAATTTGCGGACAAATTTTGCGGACAAACTTTTTGCGGACACCCCCTTTAAAAAATACCCTCACAAATTTATAAATTTAATTTCTTAAAGTAACGTTCGCAAAGATTGTCCACAAATATAAAAATAAAATTTGCGGACAAATTTTTGCGGACACCCTCCTAAAAATAAAAAATTCCTTACATCATCCGACAAAAGATCCAAAAAATTGTTGGGAGCATATTTTTCAGTCCACAGAGTTCTCGAACTATTTTTAACTTCCAAAATTTCATCATCTTCCATATTAACATCCCCAAAATTATTAAATAACCTCTCCCTTTTTTGATTTTCCATTCTTTCAAATAAATTGTAATAATCATCCAAATCTTTAATTCGATCTTCTGTTGAATCAATTTTGTTAATTTCTCGCCTCTTTTTGGTATTTTTTGGTTTTATTAAAATATAACGTCGAAAAACTCCATCGGGCGAATTTATTCCATACCAGCCACTTCCATCCATCGGTGGCATTTTTAATAATTTTGTTGAATTTTGAGTGACTCTTGATTGAATAATGCTAATGCCTTCGTTTAAAGATGTTGTTTTTGAATTTTCTTGTCTAGCTTTAAGTATTCGCTGCGCTACACGTTCCAATACATTTTCAATTTCTATTTTACGACGTTTGGTACGGACTTCGTCTTCTCCAACGTTGAGATGCCAATCTTTAAAAAAATTTTAATGAGGACTTCAAGGAAGAGACCTAAGTTTCAACCCTAGTTTAGTGGAACGAGTTTAAAGCTCAACAACGTTAAATTCCCAAAAAAATTTTGTGCTAGTTTGAAACCCAAAAAACAAAAGGTGGCAGTCTTAAGAGTTAAAGAATTCCAAGTCATTGTTAGTTCAATATTATCGCCCTGACGCCCTAATTTCGCTAAAATTGAAAAAGTCGTGGTTAGATACCACTATCAGGGTGGGTTGTTTCCAAACCAGACCGATTGAGTCTCTTCGGCCCAAAATTCTATGCACGACTCAATCTCCCAACTCTAACCATTACATCTTCAAAACCACTTCTTTTTCGATCCCCTCCCATCACAAAAAACCCACCCAAAATATAAAAATTAAAACAAACCTAGAGGCGATTCACTCGTAAAAATAGACTCCTTTTTCCTTTCATAATCTCTCAATAAATCACTTAAATCATCATCTGTCCTCTTACAATTTTCATGAATTTTTAAATTTTCTGGATTATTTTGTTGAGTTTTTGTTCCTTTTTTATTCCTCTTGTATTTCTTCTTTTTCCCTTTACTAGGCAAATTATCTTCAAAATTATTATTTTCTAGTACATTTTGATTGTCCTCTTGATAAGGCAAATTATCGTCATAGGCCAATTCACCAAATCCAAAAGCTTCATCGTCCATTTGATTGAAGGAAAATAAAATTTAAAAGAAAAGTCTCTGAATATAAGCAAAAAAATTTTTTATCGATGAAGCAAATTAAAATTAAAAAAATGAAAATTTCAGCCAAATTGAAGGGAAAAATTAGATGTCCTGTATTACGAGAAATTTAAGGGAAAAAAATTAAAAAAATTAAGGGAAATTTAAGGGAAAAAAAATTTGAAAAAAATTAAAAAATCCCAAATTGAAAAACAAGACGTTTCAACGCCGAAAATTAAAAAAGCCAGTTCATCACCAACTGGTCGCTACCGTTGTCACAGGACATTTGGTCACTAGCCATTTTACCATTACAAGTTCATCATCAAAAAACGCCATTTGGTCGCTAGCCAATTGGTCACAGTTCGCTTATTACAAAAACCCCTAGGGGTAAAAACACGAAAATCATGGGAAATTTCACCCTTAACCACAAAACAAAACAAAATTTTAAACAAAATTTATTCAACACACACAATTTACAACACAAAACACACACAAGTTTTATATAAAATAGGAAATAGTAACAATAGCGGGTACAACAATGAAACCTGCAATAAATACAGTAAGGGGTATATACACAGAATGAAGGATATATTTATTTACATTGAATCTCTTATATAGAATACACAATATTTTATCTATATTCATCATCTCAAGGTTTTTTTATTCCGCAATTAATGGCACATCGATAGAGAATTCTGGAACTTCTCCAGTAGTGAATGCTTCACGAGCATCTTTGCAATCGGCGTCGACAAGCATGAAGAGAACTTCTAGGCGATCGTCACTTTTTGGAGGGCCATCCTGTAAAAAAAAGAGAACGTTTTTTTAGGTTACTAATTAGACCCGAGACTCACCAAGCGAGTCACTTCAACTTGTGGTGCTTCCATCGGCTCGACGAATCCATAGACGGCGCTCACACGGTAGTGGACGTTGTTAGTGGATTTGACCTTGAAGCAATAGCGTCGCTAAAAGGAAAAGGACATTTTTAAAGGCCCTCAAAATTGAAAAAAAAAACTTGCCTCAGGGCAGTCGTTCATCATGCGAAACGAAGAAGTGCCACCAGACGCTGCCAATTTGATCATCTCAGGATCTACGGAAATCGGCACTGGCCTCATTGAGAAACTGCTCGGAGCGCGAAGATGTTGTTGTCGTTGTTGTTGACGAGCCTTTTTCACTCTTCTCTCTGGGCCCTATTTCAATTGTCCACAGATTCTGCGGTCTGCGTTCTGTGCACAGACCACAGAACCACAGAAATTCTGTTTCAATTATTCCACAGATTCTGCGGAAAAAGAAGTCCGCAGATTCTGTGGAAACATGCACAGAATCTGTGGAAACATCCACAGATTCTGCAAAACATCCAAAAACATGCAAAAACCACAGAATTCTATTTCAATTATTTTTCTGTGCACAGAAAAAAATCCACAGATCTGTGGCTTTTTTAGTCGATTCTGTGCATTTCTGTTTCAATTATTTCTGTGGTCTGCGGAAAATACACAGAATTCTTTAAAAAATCCACCCTAAAATTTTTTCTGCGAACTTTCTGTGGAAAAACTTTAACAATTTTTTTCTAGGCCTAGGCTTAACCAAATTTCAAAATTTTTAAAGATTATTAAAGTTTGAATCATTCTCTATTTTTTGATATAAAAATTATAATTTTATTACCTAAAATTATTGCTTAAAATTAATTTTGAAAAAGGTACATCTTTTTTACGCAGTTTTTGTTATATTCAAGCAATAAAAAAATAAAAAACGTGAGAGATTCTGAAATTTAGAGCTATGATGTTCTAATCATCATGGATATCTCTAATGAGGGGATGTTTACCAGGATCTATAGAAGATATCTGTATAGCGTATACTGGGATATCTCCCATGATCTCTCATTGATATCCGTCATAATCTCTCCTCCTATTTAATGATAGATTTCCTCCTTAATCACTCCAATATATTAAACCTCAAAATCAATGGATATCCCACTTAATCACTCCTCTACGATTTTAAAGTTCCGATTTGACTATAATTTTGGATTCCAGGCATTTTCGATTTCCAGGAACCTCAATTTCTGACTAAACAATCCCCAGTTTTGTAACATTTCCCTCCCTTGCAACAACTTCTATCGTAGTTTGAAAAAGCCACATGTCGGATCGACATCTCCTGATTTTTCCGATCCGAACCCTGCTTTAGGACATTAATTTAATTGGAGATTTAAGGATATTGGATGAACAAGAAAATTAAGCGGTATATCAGCGGTTTTAAAGTGATATCAAAGAGATTTAAAGGGATGTTATGTGATTTGGAGGGAAAATTTTTAAATCTTTACAATATTTTTCAGTTTAATTTAAGAATTTTTAAAGTTTTACTTCAAAAAATCAGGTACCATTAATACTGCGGTAGTACCGAACTGTCCAAACCATTTTTCGTTTCAATAAAACTGTTATTTTCAAAAACGCGGAAATAAAAAATTTGAATTTAGAAGAAAAAATACACAGAACCACAGAAAAATAATTGAAATACAAATTCTGTGGATCAGTGGAAAAAATCCACAGATTTTTATATTTTCCACAGAAATTTTCATCCACAGAATCTGCGGAATGTTTCCACAGAATCATTGGATGTTTCCGCAGAATCTGCGGGCACCACAGATTCTGTGCACACAGAATTTAATTGAAACAGAATTTCCACAGAATCTGTGTTCTGTGCACAGAATGCAGAATCTGTGGACAATTGAAATAGGCCCCTGGACGAGTTGCTACGAGTTGTGAAGAGCGGGAGGGTGAAGATTTTTGATGTAAACTCAGTGCTTTTATACTCCCTTAGATTCTCAAGGGTTTACGGGTTTCTATAAAAGCCCAACACTTTTTCCTCCTAAAATCAAGCTCCAATCACAACCATTCACACAAAGCCTGCCAGCGTGCATTGTTGTTGCTGTTGCTCTCATCTTCTCACACAAGCGGTTCAGTTCAACTATGGCTGCAACTCCTGTGACAGTGAACCCTCCTTCAATCGAGGTGCCTGCTGCTGCTGGGAATGCTACACTTGAGCTGACGAATTCGGCTGCTGAGGTGCGTTGTTTTTCTTTATTTCTTACTTTGTCACCTCTTAATCCCATTTTCTATTCTTCAGGTTCGCTACTGCTTCAAAGTCAAATCGACCGACAACGCCCACTATCGTGTGAAGCCCGTCTTTGGGTTTGTTGAAGCTGGCGGTGCAGGCCAACTTGAAGTGACTCGACTGGTAAGCTAGCGCTTCCCTTAAAAATGCCCCAAAAATTTTTTTTTCTTTTTCCTTTCCAGGCTGGTCCACCGAGCAACGACGATCGACTGGAAATCCTCTTCTTGCCTGTTGATGCTGACACTCCTGATCCAAAGGCGCCATTCTCTGCGGGAACTTCACCTGCCTTCGTTCTTGATGTGCCCTTGATTGCTCAGTAGTAAAGCGGCGACAACAACAGCAACATGAAGGATGAAGAAGGGAAAGGATGATTAGTTAGTTAGTCTCTCTCTCTCTAAAAATGTTGATTCTTCTGTATATATAATCCATATATTTGTTTGTGTATATTTGTTGGCCATATAATCAACCCAAATTCATATTGTATATATTTTTTGTTGTTGATATTTTTTCCCTCAAAAACCTTCAAATTGTTGTATATATATGTGTAGATAAATGTTGATTTTTGTAGTTGAGAGTTTGTTCATAAAGGTAAGATGTTAGGCCAAAGACTTGGAAAAAAATTTTATTTTATTGCCTCTTCCACCTTTCGCGGTGAGCCTATTAGAGATCGAGCTGGGCGTGGACCAAGGCCTCGGTTTCTCCTGTACCCAGATTCCAGGAACAGGCATTAACCTTCCTGGGTTTTTCCTGGGCTGGGTTTTTCTTGGACTAGAGGCTATGGATCTGGCCAGGGCAATAAATCAAACACCAGAGTCCAGGCTCAGACCCAGGCTTTTCAAAAATCTCTATCTCCAGAGCCTATCTCTGATATTTGCAAGAAATCCTATCAAAATCGCAAAAAAATTTCCTCCGATATTTCCTTCCAAAATGTAAAAAATATAAATTTCCAAATCAAATCAACCAACCTTTCTTTTCGTATCAGAAAAAAATAATTTAAATAAATTAATATTAAGTAAATTTTAATATTCTCACATTTGGCCTTTTCCCAATTCTATGGAACCAGAGAAGCCACGGCGCATTTTACCCTCCAACGGATGCTTTTTTAGGACAATTTTTATGTCCACACCGTGAATTCATTTGGTGCCATTGAACAGAAAAATGAACCAAGAAAAATTTTTATGATAAAAATTTCATTGGGAGAATTATTTGAGGAAAGTAAAATTCAAATAAAAAAAGTTTGTAAAAAAATGAAATTTGGGACCAAATGTCATCATCATTTTAAATTTAAATGAAAACAAATTTCATAATAAATTTTTCCACAAACTCCCCTACTTTTAAATCAAAAACTGATTAAATATTTTGCACAAAAATACCATGGATACACTTGCTTGCTAAACATAGTTTAACTATTTTATGAACTTTTTGAAGGACACTAAATAGGGGAATTTTGAAGAAAAATAAAAAAAAAGAGAAAGTTTGTCGAAAATATTTTTCTAAAATTAATTCATTTAACGGGAGATTCAGGTTCGATGTCTGACACCAAAAAAATTTTTTTTATTCTGGCAGGTTCTTGATTGGGAGGCTGGGAAAAAAGGAAATCAGGTATGCTTGTATTTCATCTCAAAATTCCCTATATTTATGCCTTCTTTAAAAAAAATTCCCCTCAACTATAAAAAGCCTAAAAATAGCCTTTTGGTGGTTGATTTAATCACACCAACAAAAAATAAATTTTTTTAATGGTTATAAAAATATTTTCTGAATTAAAATACTAATAATAACTAGATGGCAGTTGGAGAAGAGGGGAGATTTTCACAATGCGCGATTTTTGAGGATTTTGAAAAGAGTGAAAAATAAAAATTTTCGGATATATTTATTCTTCAAAAGAGAGAAAAGAGATTTAAATAAAAGAGAGAAGAGATTTTGGTGTATTTTTGTAGTGGCAAGGCGATTTGCGTGATGCTGCTGCCCTCAATTCTCTTTTTCACAATGAGGTGAGGAAAAAAAGGTATTATTAGTGGTTGAGGGAGAGAATGTGCGCAAAAAGAAAACGCAAAAAAATTTTCTCCCCAAAAATTTCCCAAATATAATCTTTTCCTCTAAAATCATCGTTTAAATAGACCACAGAAGGGTCTTTTTTCTACAATCTAAACTCTCTCTATTATACACCCCCAATACAAGATACCCCTTCATCTAATGTACGTTTTCAAAAACTTGATTGGCCATGGGTAGAAAAACTGTCCAAACTCAATACCCTCTATTTAAGGTACAACCCTTTATAAGAGCATTAAAATCGGTCCAGCGGGTGTCTTATAGTGAGCGACCTCTATTTAACATACTTTTTAAAAATTGGTTGGCCCTTGGGTGGGGAGAAACTGTCTATAGCGATACCCTCTATTTAAAATACTCTCACTATAAGAGACAAATTTTTTTCAACCCAAAGGGTGTGCCTTATAACGGGCTCCGACTCAAATCTACGCAAAATCTAAATTTAAAAGAAAAAATTTTTTGGAGGATTTGCGCTAAATTTTTGCGCACATTAAAGACTGGTCAGACAAATTTAAGGGGAAAAATGTGAAAGAATTATTGGGAAAGAAGAAGCGGATGTAGATAATAAGCTAGTATATTTTAAGTAAAAAAAGGTGTGAGCGAAGTGAGGAAAGAGTAAGTAAGTAGGTAGGGGTAGTAGACTTATTTTAAGACCAATTTAGAAGGTGAGAAAAGAAATAAAAAGGAAGGTGTTGAGAAAATGAGGGTATTTTTAAGTAAAAAGAGGAGGGGGGTGTTTTTTTATTTTTTAGTTACCGCGCTGAGCTGACGACCATTGCGCTCTCTCTGGACAATAAAAAAAATAGGAAAAATAGAAAGAAAAAAATCCAGAAAATAACCAACAGGCCAGTCGACTTTTATTTATTTATTTATTTTCATGAGAAAACACACAAGAGAAAAGCGCGAAAATTAAGAAAAAGTGTTGTTGTCCTTTACTTTTTTTACCTTAAAAAATTTTTCCCCTTTTACTGACTTTTTTCTAGTTAAAATGACAAATTTTCCCATTCAATTTTTATTGTTATCCAAAAATTAATAAAAAAAACAAAAAATTAGAATAAGAGCTTTTTTATCCGTTAGCTACCCAAAAAATTTTTAAAAAATTCCAAAAAAAAATCTTTTAGACAACACACGATTTTTCTGAAAACAATGTAGAGCAATTAAAGCCCAAATAAAAAGATTAGAACCTAAAAGGAATCGAACCTTCAACCCATACCGACAAATTTGGATTGCTAACACAACACGCTACCACTAGGCTAGAGATACATTCAAAATATTTAGACTTAAAAAAGATTTTAATTAAATGTAATAGAACTTTAATTATAAAAAATACAAAATAAAAATTTAAAAAATCGAAAAAAGTTAGAAAGAATTTTTCTAAAATCTAAAAGGTTTTCTAAAAATCAAAAAATTCCGGCGCCAAAATTTTCCCTAAAAACGCCAAAACACCAAAAAGCGCTAACTTAAAAATTCCACTAAAAATATGAGGGGCCTGGACTAAAAAATAAAATAAAAATATATTTTAGTACACAAAATTAAGGACACAAAAATAAAAATATTAATCGGATATACAAAAGAGAGAGAGGAAATGCTCTCACAAAAAATTATTTATTTTTCTCTCTCCCTCCCAAACAAAATTTTTTACCTCACCAACCAAAAATGCTCTTAAATATTTTATTTATTATTATTTCCACCCCTTAATAGTTGTCATGATTTAATAAAAAAATTTTTTTGAGGAAAAATGAAAAGAATTATTGGGTGACAATAAAAAAAAAATAAAAATAATAATTTTATTTTTCTATTAAAAATAAGGGATGTGCGCCAAAACCTTTGGCGTTTTCATTTTTTTGTGTTTTTTAAAAATTTTTAGCCCTCCCCTTCCCAAAAAATTTTTTTGAAGGGTTTGCGATAGAAATGAAGAAAAGGAAAAATTAAAAAAATTTTTTGGAAAAATTTGGCGTTCTATTAAAAATTGGGAATCTGCGCCAAAACCGTTGGCGTTTCCATTTTTTGTATTTTTTTTTGATTTTTTGGCCCTCCCCTCACTAAAAAATTTTTTTGAAGGGCCTAGAATAAAAATGAAGAGAAAAAATTTAAAAAAATTTTCTTGAAAAAATTTGGCGTTCTATTAAAAATTGGGAATCTGCGCCAAAACCGTTGGCGTTTCCATTTTTTGTATTTTTTTTTGATTTTTTGGCCCTCCCCTCACTAAAAAATTTTTTTGAAGGGCCTAGAATAAAAATGAAGAGAAAAAATTTAAAAAAATTTTCTTGAAAAAATTTGGCGTTTGGCCCTCCCCTCATCAAAAAAATTTTTTTGGCGCACAGTCCTGATTAAAATACATATCTTCTCCCCTATCTCGAAAAAAATTTTTTTATTCAGACGATAGAAAAATAAAATCAAAATTTATTTTAGAGGCTTTAGAAGAGTAGAGTAAGAGAATAAAATAAATAAAATATTATTTTTGTAAAAATGAAAAAAAATTTTTTTTGTTTTCACAGCAGCTCACGCTCTCTCCGAGAGAGTTTTACCAAAAATAATAAAAAAAAGGTTGGTGAATGGATTATATTGAAAATTTTTGTGAATGAAGAGAAATTGGGGAAGGGAGAGGAGGACAAAACGAAAAATAAAATGATGAGGCTTTTAAAGAGAAAATCGATAATTTTAATGATTTTGAAATTTAAAAAAGATTTTTTTGCTTGGTTAAAACATGAAAAAAAGTGGGCCTAGAGATTGAACCGTGATATGATTTAGAATTTGATTCTGTACGACACTTAAAAAGTTTGGTCTCTAGTCGGACTTTAATATAAAATACTAGAGATGTTCAAGACCGAAAATTTTTTAAAGTTTAAAGACTCGAGACCAAGACTGAAGACCGAAAAAATACCCAAGAAAAGTCGGCTCTACTCCAGTTTATGCGTCCAATCGACTTTTATGCGTCCAATTCAAGTTTATGCGTCCAATCAAACTTTATGAGTCCAATCGAAAAATAAGTGGATTTTTCTTGGTATTGCCAGGTTGGGGTATGGTTCCAAAGCATTTCTTCATGTTTGGGACCTAAGCCCCCTGGGGTTGGGACCGTTCCTTACCCTATCTCTCGAAATTTCGAAAAGTTATAGCCAATTTTTAAACCCAACCTGGCAATACCAAGAAAAATCCACTTATTTTTCGATTGGACGCATAAACTTTCATTGGACGCATAAAAGTCGATTGGACGCATAAACTGGAGTAGAGCCGAAAAGTCTTGAGTCAAGAATAGAGACCAAGAGTCGTGGACATCTCTATAAAATATCTCCTTAATGAGGCACATTTTAAATAGGAGGTATCACTTATTTGTTAAAGGTAGCTCTTCTCACCCACTACCCTGTGGGTGAAGAAAGCTACAATGGGCCCGGCTAAATCTGAGGGAGAGAGAATTGCTGGATCTGCCTAGTATTGGTGGGTATTTGAAAATTCGAAGTATCCGATTGTATTAGAAAGATTTAAAGATTTTTAATGAAATAAGTAAAAATATTTTTTAAAAAATAGGAGAAGATTTAAGCAGATAAAAAGAGATATTTAAAATAAAAAATTTTTTTTTTGCAACTACGGGACTAAAAAAATATAAAAAAAATTTTTTAAGAGGTGAAAGACCAAAAAATTTTGAAGAATATAAAATTTTTTAAATATTCAACAAAAATTGTTTTTGTTTGTTTGTAAATTTAATAAAAGAAAATAAGAGAAAATTGTGTTGTTGTTGGTTGTTGAGTACGCAATTTTCTACTAAAAAAAGAAAATTTTTTTTCTGAAGGACAACCATAAAATAACCCCAACACAAAAGGTAAAATACAATAAAATAGAAAATAAAAAAATTTTTTTAGAAAATTGAAGAGGGAAAAATGAGTGGAGAAAAATTGAGAAAAATAAAAATATAAAAGTTGCCAACAAATAAAAATTTAAATAAATAAAAAAATTTTTTTGGGAGGTGTCCCAAAAGCTTATGACTAGAGAATGGACTGAGGAGTGTCATACGAGAATCAAAATTGACATTTCAAAAAATAAAAATTTCGATAAAGGAGATTTCTGTTCGAGAGAAAAAAAATTTTAAGAGGTCTGGGTCCGATCTCTACTCATGACTTGGTTTATTTAAAAATAAATTTAAAATTTTTTTACAAAATTGAAGAGGGAAAAATGAGTGGAGAGAAAAATTGAGAAAAATATAAATAAATAAAAGTTGCCAACAAATAAAAATTTAAATAAAAAAAAATTTTTTTAGGAGGGTGTATTTAAAAAAGCTTATGACATGGAAAAATAATTTAAAAAAATTTTTTTTGGTAGAGAGAAAGAAAATAGAAATTAAAAATTAAAATGAAAAAGGTTTTTACATAAATTAAAAAAATTTTTTAAAAACTTGGGAAAGAAACGTTAAACAAAAATTATTTGGTTAACGTGTCAACGAAGATGGAGCAAAAAATATTTTCAGCAAAGTTTTCCTGGAAATATTTCTGGGAAAACAGTTCTCCGTGAAAAAGACAAGGCAATTAATCAGTTTCTTTCCCAATTCTAATAAATCGAAAAATCAAAAAAGTTCAACTCACAGTAAATGATGGTCCCTGTCCCGGAACCGAAAAAGCAGTGGGGAAAAATTCCTAAACTTAATTCCGGAAAAGCTTAATTAAAAACCTATTTACCAAATCTTTTAAAAAATAATTCATTTTCAATTCGAAAAAATTTAAAAAATTTAAAATTAGACCAAGTTTTTTTTTAAATTTTTTTGAAGGACGCACAAAATCGGCAACATTTTTATTTTTTATTTTTTCTAGTCAAATAATTGCCCACTATTTTTAGGAGACGAAAAAAAATAAGTGCAAAATTAAAAAAAAAATTCGCTCTAAAACAAAAAATAATTGGGGAAAATCTACTGGAAAAGAAGAAAAAAAAGAGGATTTTTGTGTGCGCGAAAAAAATGCAAGTGGAGGAAAGGATTAGAGAGAAGACTGAAAAAAATGTTTTTAGGTGGAGGGTTGGTTGTATTTTTAAAAAGAGAAACAAAAAAAAACTTTTTTTATTTATTTGTCATTTTATTGTTGCTGTTGGAGTGGAAAATAAGAGAGAAGGGAGAAAATGGTAGAAAAAAAAGTTGGGTGAATTTTTAAAAATATTTTGGGGGAGGTAAAGTAAAGAGGAGGAAAAATAGCAGGAAGAAGACGAAGGGGAGGAGGGAGGATCTTTAAATTTTTATGAAATTCAACGAAATTTTTTTTTTTGAAAATTTAGGAAGCCTAAAAATTTCGAAAAAATAAAAGATAAAAATAAATAGTGATGAGCTAACACGGAGAGGTTGCGAGGTGACCGATCTAAAAACGGTCGAGACCGGGCTCATTCGATAGAGAATGTGCCCTTTCTAGCAAGGATTTTTTCAAGTTTATTGTCAGAAGTTTGCACGAAAAAAATGAGTGGGGTAGAAAAATTGGAAAAGAAATTTTTTGAAAAAAAATTTGAAAGAAAAAGAACCTTCTGGGAAGAATTTTGATTTTTATAAAATTATACAAATTTCAAAAATTTCCAAAACTCCAAAAAATACTTAAAAAAAGCAATTTAAAAAGAAAAAGCTGACTGACTCATCATCGAAAATTGAATCATCCAAAAATCAATTTTTAATTTAAATACAAACTTCCCCCCAAATTTTCTCTTCTATTCATGTTTTCGCGCAACAGAAAGAAAAAAAATGATGATTGATTAGGACGATGATTGATGGTTTTTACTACTTTTAATTTAAAAATACAAGAAAGAGAAGAGTGAATTAGCGCAATAAATAGAAGGTTTGAAAGATTTTTTGAAAGGAAAAAATTTTTTTTGAAATAACCGTGCCGGGCTAACAAAGGACAATTCATGGATCGACAAAGTCACGGAATGACCCAAAACACGAAATATTTTTAAAATTGAGATTTTTTGAAAAATCGGAATTTTTTTTAACAAATTAGAATATTCTTAAAAAAACAAAATTGTCGTTCCGTGACCTGTCTGTTCTGCGATTTGGAATTTCTTGAGTTAGCCTCCCCACCCAAAACAACAACAAAAAAATCAACCGAATCCTACACAAAGTATCCAGAAAAATTTCCTAGGAAATCTAAAGCCTATAAAATACCTTTAAAAATAAAGAAATCACTCAAATCCTACACAAAAAAATCCAAAAAATTCCTAAAAACAGTTTACTAACGACCAAAATTTAAACAAAACCCAAAAAACTATAAGGACAAAACCAAATAAAATTAGGTATATATTTTTAAAAAAACCTCTTTTCAGCAAATTTTTCAAATTTATTTTTCAACACCAACAACTTCTTCTCCAGTATCCGACGTTTCACATTCATCATCTGTATAAGTTCCACCAGTTTTCGAAGTCCATTCAGCAAGAACAACCACCTTCTCTTCTGATTTGCCTTCTTCTCCCTCTTTCTTTAAAAGTTAATTTTTTGATAATTTGACTCTTTTTTGAATAAAAATAAACCTCAGTTTGTTGTACAGTGGTCACCGTCTCCCGACGATACGAAGTTGAAGTTCCACGCAAACCCCCAGCAAAAAGACAAGCCTTCGCCTTTAAAGGAAAAAGAAGGCATGCTCACAGATACGGATAAAATCTGAGGATACCCACGGATAGGTAATGTCAAAAAGTATAGCGGTTAGAAAAAGGGATAATTGACCAAAAATTTTTATCAGGACATTAAAATTTGTAACCGTGAGCATGCTCTTAAAAAATCAAAATTGTGTTAATTCTAGCCAATGCACCGCGAGCCCAATTAACGAAGGGCTATAACTCCTTTCTAACAATAAGTGGTCCGATACGGGACGCCTTGGTGGTCCGACAAGGGACACCACTTTGATCTGCTGTACATTGGGGTGTGCCCATTTTAAGGCTAGGAGATATTCGGAACCAGTGTCAGACTAGAAAAGTAATTTGGAAATAACGAAGAGGAATAGCTTATTGATAGACCCCCCTTCATAATAAAAATAAGTTGAAAAATACCACATGCCCGCGTTTACCACAATGATAACATAGAGGACTGAATTCAGCCGTTTTTGAGTTCCAACCAAGTCTCTTCTTTGAATAAGCAAATTTGCCGTCCTCGCGATTCGTTATGAGGCGGTCAATCTAAATTTTTTAGTCAAAAACTAGTAAAAAATCAAAACCTTTTCCTCAATCAGCATTAACTGATTCTCCTTTTGCTGATAATATTTGTCAATTTTTGCAAGCTTCACGGCGCTATTTTGACGAATTTCATGTTTGAGCTTCTAAAAAAAGATTTAAATAAATTAAATAATTTAAAAAAATCATACAAGTTCAAGATCAAGAATAGCACGAGCCAGAAGTTGTTCGTCTATTATAGATTTGTCAGGCATTGTTTTAAAAAATGTTAAATAAGACTATATAAATTACTGAAAAAAATAAAGCCAAGGGAAAAAGTAAAAAATCATAACTCAGATTTAAAATGAAAGAAAACAGAAAAAGGATTACAGTAGGAAAAACTACAAAATTCAAATTGTAAAATTCAAATGGTAAACTAGTCGAAACGTCAAATTGCCAAATGGATATAAAGATAAAAACGAACAGGCAACAAAACGCCAATAAGGGAAAACTTGACAAAATGTCAATAAAGGACAATATGACAAAATGCAAACTTAGAAAAGATTAACATATTGTCAACAAGGAAAAAATTAATCCCTATGAAAAAATAATTAAAAAATATTTCAACAAATTAAAAATTGTGTTTTCAAAAAATAAAAAAATTTAACAATAATTTATGCAAAAATCACCAAAAAAATTTAATTTTCATGTCGAGGCGTACTAACTCCAGGGGTCAATTCCAAAAATCATCATTAACATCAACTGGCCCCCGCAGCGGCTAATCCTGACGAGTTCGTGCCATAGCACAATCTCCAGCAGAATATCGTGGCTTGGGGCAAAAGTTGGCCTGATGTCCCTAAAATATTATCGGTAGAATAGTAAAAATATAAAACAAACCGTAACTCCACAATTCCAGCACCTATTATGGTGTCCTGGCCCCCGCGCGTCAGGATGCGTCTTCGGGCAATTCTCAGTAGTATGAGTTGACGTTTGTAATCCGCAGCTGAAGCAGCGTAGAGAGTGGCCAACGATGGCAGTCGACCCATCATCTCTACGCCGCCCAGTGCCCCCGCTAGGGCACTCGCTGGTCTGTTAATTTAAAAATAAATTTTATAAAAAGTTAAAAAAATAACCTTATGGCCTCCACCACAACGTGCGCAACCCGGGCCCTGTGCACGCTGATTCGGATTGCCGTATCGGTTGATCGCCTCGGCGAGGCTTTCCATTCCACTGTTATTCTTCCGCTTTGTTATGAGACGGTCAATCTAAATTTTCAAGTCAAAAACTATAAAAAATCAAAACCTTTTCCTCAATCGACATTAATTGATTCTCCTCTTGCTTATAATACTTGGCCATTTTTGCAAGCTTCACGGCGCTATTTTGACGAATTTCTTGTTTAAGGTTCTAAAAATAAAACATTAAAAGAATTAAATAATAAAAAACAAACAAGTTCAAGATCAAGAAATACACGAGCCAGAAGTTGTTCGTCTGTAGATTTGTCAGACATTATTTAAAAAATGTTAAATAGGACTATCTAAATTACTGAAAAAAGCAAATTAAATGGAGAAAAACTAAAAATCACAACTCATTGTCAGATTTAAAATGAAAAAAAACAGAAAAAGGATTACAGCAAGAAAAACTACAAAAATAAAATCGGTACACCTCAATTGAGTCCGCACGATTGAGTCCCCACGATTGAGTCCGCACGATTGAGTCCCCACGATTGAGTCCCGGCACGATTGAGTCCCCACGATTGAGTCCGCACGATTGAGTCCCCGTTGTATATACCTCAATTGAGTCCCCTAGATTTAATTATATTAAAAAAGATTAAGAGGGATATTTGGGGATTTGGAGGGATTAATGTTAATATCAGGGGACTTGTATGCGACATCGAGGTATCAAGATGGATATTGGTGAATATCAAGGGATATAAGTAGATTTAAGCGGGGATATCGGTTGAATTAAGGCAGATATCAACAAATTCGGAGAGATTAAGATGGATATTGTGGGTTTGGGGATTAGGAGGGATATCGAGAGATTTTTTGAATGATAGCTCATTCGAAAGTAGTGAGTCGAATGACACCAAAATCAACATTGTTGAACAAGTTCTCGCCGAGATATGGGGCTCGAAATGGTGGATTTTTTGGTGGAATTCCATGGGGAATTTTTGTTGCGAAACATTCGAATAAACAAAAAATAGCTCATTCGAAAGGGATCGACGAGATGAGTTGAATAAGACCAAAATCAAGTTGATTGAATGATTCTGAACAAATTTTGACCAACAGAATCTTCGCTGGAAAAACTTTTTGTGCTGCTATGGAGGGTAGGGGAAACTATCTAAATTACGAACGTAAAAACTCCTTCCTAATTTCCGGACTCCGGCAGAATTTACCTGGATACGGGAGAAAATCAAAATGTGAAAAAAAAATAAAAAAATATTTTTTAAAAATTTTATCAAAAAAATTAAAAAAAACCAAAGTCTAGCTTCAATTATTGTGCCAAAGAAGGGCCTTTCTTTCGTTTTTTGTTCTCCTAAGTTCACCACCTTCGTTCCTTCAGAAACTGTGAACTTGAAAATCGCCAGTCAGAAACTGACGAAAATCAACTAAAAAATTTTAAAAATAAAAACGAAAAACAAAATAAAAATTCCAAACCTTTTCAAATTTCCCATCGTTGCAGCCGTGGGATGAAGTCCGACACGTGATGAGCAAAGTTAGACCAACCTGAAATATAAAATCTAAAATTAAAAAATAAAAATTAAACTTTTACCTACACAAGATTCTCGTCCTCCCTCTCGTCCTCATTGAGAAAATTCAGTGCTCGGATGGACTTGAGTGGATGCTCGGTCAACTAATTAACAAAATTAGTTGCAAACCCCAAAAGAAAAACAAAAAAATAAAAAAAAACAATAAAAAAATCTAGGAAAATAAAAATTCCTACCGGGAATTTTTAACGGGGACTCAATTGAGGTATATACAACGGGGACTCAATCGTGCGGACTCAATCGTGGGGACTCAATCGTGCCGGGACTCAATCGTGGGGACTCAATCGTGCGGACTCAATCGTGGGGACTCAATCGTGCGGACTCAATTGAACTGCTCCGAAATAAAATTGTAAAGTTCAAATGGTAAACTAGCCAAAACTTCAACCGACAGTTGGGCAAAATGCCAAAATTAAAAAATGGTCAAACGTCAAAAGAGCGACAGAACGCCAACAAGGGAAAACTAGACAAAATGCCACCAAGGGAGATAGGACAAAATGCCAGCTTAAAGAAAATTAACATATTGTCAACGAGGAAAAAAGTCGTTGGGCAAGTCTCGTTAATTAATCCCCATCAAAAATAACAATTAAAAAATATTTCAACAAATTAAAAATTGTTTTCAAAAAGTAAATGAAAATTTAAAAATATTTTATGCAAAAATCACCAAAAAAATTTTTTTTTAATTTTTATGTCGAGGTGTACTGACTCCCGGAGTATATTTTGGAGTATAAATCCCCATCTTCTCCTTTTCTTTTTCAATATCTCCACCAAGTCCATAACGCTCCTTAACTTCTTCTAATTTTTGTCTAGCCTTGTCTGTGTCCATACGTTTCCAAGCCTTTAAATAAAAAAATTTTTAACACAAAATTTGAAGCGAAAAAATGCCAACCTAAAGAGATTCACAATGGGAAAGCCCGATACTTATATTGGGGAAAGCCCGCCCCCAAATCCGTAGAAAACGACCCCTCCTTAATAGCTCTTAATAACCCAAACTGTTCGCGCCCGTTTTCTTTTTATGTCAACGAACAAAACAGGGCCGGGGAGCAGGAATCTCCGGAAACAGGGATATTCTAAATCCTATCCCGGAAATTTTTCCAACTCGAAATCCGAAACTCAATCCCCCGACCCATCTCTGGAACAGAAGTGTCAGTGAATAAAGAAAATAGGCATGTCAGGGATGTTAATTGGGCAAAGCTCCTTTTTTTAGTTCTATTCCATCCTATCTTATGCGAGGATGGATAAAAGCAAAAACCAGACCAAAAAAGATAAACTCGAGTTTATGTAAAAAAATAAAAAAAACCTTTGTAGCCTGATAATAAAGAACAACAAGATAGCGATTTGAAACATTAAAACCACTCAAGTGTTCACAAGCATTTTTGGCGTCGAAAATATCTTCATAAACTACGAATGCAGTCCCTCTAGTTTCGGGTAAATTGCCACTATTAAAAAAAAATAAAAAATCATTGAAAAATATGTAATAGTTTTAGAGAAATTTTTACAAATTGCACTCCTACCTACACCTTTTCCTTATAATTTTTTTGTTTTATAAAATTACAAATTAGAGATCGGACTGGGTTGTCGTACCAAAATCGAGTTCTTGAAAAATGCTCGATCTCGATAACCGAGATTTTCCATCGAGATCTCGTCTCGGTCTCCATTAAAAACTACTGAAGGGGCCTTTGGGTTGTCTATTTTACAAGATTGTGTTCTAGCCACTTCCCCACCTTAATATGGGTTCTCGGTCATCTGAAAATACCAAAAGATTACCAGTACAGCCTAAAAAAATTTAGAAGGTTCACATGTTTTTGTCGGGGAAAGCCCGATCCCAGATCCCTAGAAAAGCCCCCAAACTCAAAAAATTAAACCTGTCTTTTTAGAAAATAAAAATTACATTCTAATTTGTCTTATCGCACCAAATTTTCCAAAAATGTCGTACATCTCCTCTGCAGTTATTTTATAGGGCAAATTTTTGATGAACAAAATGCGATTGACCTTTAAAAATTAAAATAATTAATAAAAAATAGAAAATTAAATTTAAAAAAGACCTCCGGGGGAATCCGACCCCCTCGACCACCAACTCTAGCTGCCATTGCCATTTTTAATAAAAGCTTTTAAATTTTACTAAAAGGAAAAAATTTTATAAAATTAAAAATATAAAATATAGAAAAGTTTTAAACTCGAAAAAGAAAAAATAAATAAAATTTATTTAACAATTTATTTAAAAATAAAATTTTAACAAGAAAAATAATTTTTTCTTTAAGAGAATTTAATTCATTACCTTAAAAATAAAAAACCCAAAAGTTAAATTAAAAATTTTTTAAAAATCCTAACCCAAGTAAAAATTCGAAATTAAAATTTTAGTTGTTTTAGAACCAGCAATTTTATTTTTAGGTTTTCCCCCACCATGACCAGCTTTCACTTCTATTCTTCCTAGGATTGGTTTAGTCTGTCATTCAGAAGCTTCAGTGCGAAGAGCGTGCGACCACGGCAACTTAACATCTTCCATATAATAAACAAGCAATTTATTTCCATCTACCACCATAGCCCAATCTAATTTTCTTTTTGGATCTTCCTCAATAATCACGTCCCAAGTAAAAGTTATAAAAAGAAATTTTCCATCGTCAGAAACCCAAGCATTAATAAAATAACCAGGATCATCTCGACGTTCATAAACCAAAACATCTTTTGAATCGGTTCCAAGGTGATGGAAACATAATGAATGGAATTCGTGTTTTTCAGTTGAACTGCCTTCAGTAGTTACCGAATAAAATACACCAGAGTTGTCGTGCAACATTCCATCTTCCGACCAAGTGTTTGGATCCATAAATCCAAACACTTCCTAGGAAGTGTTTGGATCCAATCCTAGGAAGAATAGAAGTGAAAGCTGGTCATGGTGGGGGAAAACCTAAAAATAAAATTGTTGGTTTAAAATAAATTTCCAAAAATTTTTAATTTCGAATCAATACTTGGGTTGGAATTTAAAAAAAATTTAATTTAACTTTTGAACCTAATTCTAAACTTAATCCCCCGCCCACCCACCCACAACAGAATCCACTTAGATCACCTAGAACATTCCCAGGCCTCTCTTAAAGAAAACCAAATTTCCATATATACAAATAATTAAAAATAACGAAAATGAGCATTTAATCAATCCATTTCAAATCAAGGACCCGTTGCAAAAATGAATACATATCCACAAGTTCATCAATCTAAAAAGATTTTTTAAATAAATGTAAATTGAAATTTAAAACAAACTATTTTGGCTGTTGGCTTTCCAGCGCCATGGCCGGCTTTGACTTCGATTCGTCCAAGGACTGGTTTGGTTTGCCAATCACAAGCCTCAGTACGAAGAGTATAATAAAGTCGAGCCAAATATTTGAGTGTATGAAGAGGCACAACACGGTCGTCATGATCGGCACTTGTAATTAACATCGCTGGCCATTGTACATTTGGTTGAACTGAGATCTGGTGGAGAGGCGAATATCTAAAATAAAGGACTAAATCTTTGATTTGAATAAAAAGGCATACTTATATATAAAGTCAAAGTCTTCAGCGACATCAGGATTTCCAAATTCAGGTATCCAGGCTTCACCAATTGTAAATTTGTGAAACCTCAGCATGTCAAGAACACTAAAAATTAAATTAAAACCACCAAAAAATATTGAAAATACCCGACTCCAACAACCACGGCACCAAAAAGATCAGGCCGTTGTTGTGCACATACAGCAGTCAAAAGTCCTCCATTTGAATGTCCATGAATGGCTAATCTAAATTTTAATATTAATCACAAAAGGTAAAAATTAGTAAAAATACTTTTCCGGTTTAGTGTATTTAAGCCTAACAAGTTCTTCTCCAGCACATATAAAGTCGTCGAAAACATTTTGCTTTTTGTCACGCATTCCTCCTTCGTGCCATTTTTCGCCGTATTCACTAAAAATTAAAAAAAAATCAATTTTGTTATTTCCAAAATTAAAAAACCCTCCGCCACGAATATTTGCGATAACATAAACTCCTCCAAAATGTTTAAGGAAAAGTAGACGGGAAATGGAAAAATCAGGCTGTCTTGCTATGTTATAGCCACCATAGCCATATAATATTGCCCCATTGTTTCCATCAAAGTTTAAAGACTTGTTGTAAAGTACAAACATAGGGATCTTAATTAAAAGAAAAATTTAAAAAATAAATATTAAAAAGGGAAGGGCAGGAAGGAGCAAGAAATACCAGCAAATGGCAAATTCTGCAAAGATTGTAACCCTTTACCAAGGTCCGGATTTTCCACGAGTCAAAAAAGTTTTCCGAGTCCCAGAACTGATCTTAATTTTTTAACATAGAAACCTTAGTTCCATCCTTGCTTGTATAAAATATCTGTTCTGCTTTGAAGTCCTCTGATTTAATTCCTTTAATTTGAGTTCGGCGCATTTCAGTTAATTTAATTGGTGTTGAGATTGAAGAACAATTAGCAAAATCCCCTTTGTATATAATTGAAGGTGTGAAGAACGAGGTAAAATAAATGAAGATTTCTGATTTATTTTTGCGTCCAGAAACCCCAGCAATTGTTCCAATATCAAAAGGAATTTGATAAAGCAATTTCCCATCAGTTAAATCATGAACGTAAAGGGTGTTCTGAAAAAAAACTTGTTTGGTCTATAATGGGGAATTATGAAAGTTAGATTCTCCGAAAGTTACCCACAATTTCTTCCCCTCCTCAAAAATTATCTTTTCCCTAGCCCATAGAAAACAACACTACCAGTCTTTAAACTCAAAAAAGTAAAATAATAACCTTAACATCTTCCATATAACAAACAAGCAATTTATTTCCATCTACCACCATAGCCCAATCCAATTTTCTTTTTGGATCTTCATCAATAATCACGTCCCAATTATCGTTTTGATTAGATGTTGCTCCATGGCCAACTTTTACACGCACTATTTTGAACATTGGGGCATTGAAATTGGTCATTATTAAAGCAGAATTATCGTCAGAATCAATTTCCTAAATTAAAAATTTTGAAATAATTTGAAAACAAAATATTTACAGAATAAGTAGCATCAGATTTATTAAATAAAGGAATTAATTCCAATTTTTCATCAATTTTTGGATGAGTTGTTAAATCAAAATAATACAGTTGATTTTTTGGGTCACATCCCTTACCAAGGGACACAAAAAGAAATTTTCCATCGTCAGAAACACCAGCACCAATAAAATAACTAGGATCATCTCGACGTTCATAAACCAAAACGTCTTCTTTTGAATCGGTTCCAAGGCGATGGAAATATAGAGAATGGTACTCATATTTTTCCGTTGAACTGCCTTCGGCCGTAGTTTTAACTTCAGGATATTTCTGGGAATTATGAAAATATTTTTTTTGCTGCTGTATGTGTTATAGGCAGGCACATCCAGCAAGTCGGCGGGGCCCATCTTCCCTCGCCTAAAGCCTTTAAAAATCCCCAATTCTTCTATGTGCAAGTATGGAAAAAGAAAACCAAAGTAACTAAGCTTAGAGCATTTTCCGACTTATTAAAAGATTACTATACCGAATAAAATACACCAGAGTTGTCGTGCAACCAAGACAAACCAGAAAATTTAACACCAGGAATCACATCAGCCAATTCTTCTCCCGTACATTTTCTGAACTAAAATTTTTTATAAAATTCTTTAAATAAAAAATAATACTTTAATGGTTTTCCAATCACTTCCTTTTTCACTAACACCATAGGCGAGTAGTGTTCCGTCTTCAGTCCAAGAAGTGAGAGATAGAGAAGTTGTACCATCCTCTGACCATGTGTTTGGATCCATAAAGACTTTTCCTTTTTCATCCAAAGTTTTTTGTTGATACAAAACACTGCAAAGTTTAAAAATAAAATTAAAAAATAAATTTGCATACTAATGATTTTGAAGACCAGAATTGTAAAAGTAATAATAATAATCGCCATGAATCGATGGGCAACCAAACTTTTCATAGTCCCAAGTTGAAGTCAAACTGAAAAGATGGAAAAATTTAAATAAGTCTCTTTTGTAGATAGAGGCTCATGAGGGGTTACGTATTTTGTGAGTGTATAGAAAAGCAAGTTTTGGTGTAGTGGGAAAATGCTAGGTTCACTGGGGGGTGCGGGTGAAGGTTCGATCCCCGCTGGGGCAAAATATTTTTTCGACTTGATTTTCATCATTTCAAGAATAAATACGAATTTCTAAATACCCCCCCTCCCAAAAAACTATTTTCGTTTATATAAAAATAAAAAACCGTTCTCTGAAAACTTCTCTGCAAGAACACGCTTGAAAGAAAGGCTCTGATATTGAATTAATCTTCTGAACAAAATCTTTTGTGATTTCAGCGTCCGGCTCTTCTAGCGCTCTATACGGATCCGGAATCTAACAAACAAAATTTAAATTAAGTTTAAAAAATCTTTAAAAAACCTTCTTTCCATGGTAATCATCAACAACATTTCCTCTTTCAACCAAAGGGTAACATTTTGGATTGATATCAATAGAAGAAGACGACATTTGTGGAAATTTTGAAGAAGAGAATAAAGCTAATTGTTGTTTGATTGGAAGTAAAAATCTTCTTTTATTACTAGATTTTGAAACGAAAAAACGACAATTTAGCAAAACGTGTTTAACAATCATTGAAAGACTAAAAAGCAACAAAAAAACAAATGGTTAAAGTGTTACAAACAAAAAAATGATGTTAAAAAGCGCTATGCATCTCGACATTAAACGATTATCTTACAAATTGCTACGAAAGTGACCAACAATAAACCCCCCAAGAGAAACATAAAATCCCGTTGTCTCCCCATATTTTGCCAATTACACATTTTGCCAATAAGGCTAAAAATCGACAGTTTGTCACTAAAACAGCACAATTAGCAAAACGACATTTGCCAACGACACATTTCGCCAATAAGGCTAAAAAAGGACATTACGATACACTAAAATCGCCCCAAGACGACATTTAGCAAGACGACATTTTGCCAATAGGGGCAAATTCCACCATTTCGTCAACCCAATAATTTGCCAAGCAAAAAAATTAAAATAATATTGTTTGTTATCTTCAAACAAATAAAAAAAATAAAAACACAAAATCAAAACCCAAATTTTTATTCAAAATATTTAAAAAATGTGTATTATTATAAGACAATGTTTTAATCACGAGGAAAAAAGTCCTTTTTAAAGTTAGTCACAATTAAAAAATTGAAAATTTTTTTCTTTGATTATTATTTGTGAAGTGGTAAAGAGGCGATATAAAATTAAATTTTTTTGGAGTTTATTAGTTCGATAAATGATTTTAAAAATTTATAGAGCAGTTCAATTGAATCCCCCGGTTCAGCTAAGTCACAACCCCTATAACTCGTGAAGTGCTGAACACTTCTTAATTATCTTAGTATCACTGGATAGAGAATTAAATACACTAGAAAGAAACCAAAAAATCAAAATTTTCCGTTGGTCAGTCGATCAATCCGTCACAATTTTGATTCTTTTTTGGTACCTTGTAATGTATTTAATTCTCTGTCCAGTGGTACCAAGAATTTTAAAAAGCATCCATCTTTTCATAAGTTAAGGGAGCTGAGTCAGAACCCTGTTGAGGTGCCCCGTCCTGCCTCGCTTTAGGTCAACCTATCAACCTACTCGAAAACCCTCCATTTTATTTTATATCGCCTCAAAAATATTTTTTAAATAAAAAAACTCGTTAATCTAAAAATTAAAAAGAAGTAAAAGGCCTTGACAGAGGTAAAGAAAAATTTATTTTTATGGGCAAAGATTACTCTCTAATAAGAATCTTGCACTTATATTAAAATATATCCCCTGTAGTTCCCGTTGAGTGATATAAATGAGAGAAAGTGATAGAAGCGCCCAGAATTTAATTGTAAAGTGTTGCTACAACTATTACAAATTAAAAAAAAAAGTAGAGAAATTATAAATGACCATTAGAGTCTGAAAAATAGGCAGGAAGGTATACAAGCTAGAGATCGAGCTGAACCTGGACCAAGGCCTGGATTTTCCCTGTACCCAGAGTCCAGGTCCAGGCATTTTTTGACCTTTCTGGATTTTTCATGGGCCTGGCTTCTTCCTGGATTACAGAACCAGGATCCAGTCCAGGTCAAAAAATCAAACTGCAGAGTCCAGGAACAGGTACAGGCTTTTCAAAAATCTCGATCTCTAATACAAGCACCCACAAATCTGAGACTCTAATGGACATTTAGGAGAATCACAAAAATAATGAATTTTAAAAATCAAAAAATATTGAGAGTATAAAAAATTGGGAGTCAATCAAAATTGTCGATGATTGCCATATTTTTTGAAGGTTTTTTTGTAGATTAATATTTGACAAAAAAATTTTTTCTTTAAAAATTTCTAAAAAAAATTTTAAAAAAATTCTCAGGCATCCCATACCTGAGGCTCTATTTTCGCACATAGTTTTTTTAATTCTTAACCGATTTAAATAATTTAAGTACCAATCAGAAGCTCAAAATGTGGGGATTATTTTATCTAGCAGGACTGAACTGATAAATAGATCTTTAAAAAAATTGGAGCCGGTTAAAAAGCTCTTAATGACCTTTGGTCATGATTGTTAGGGTACATGACTAGATTTTTATAGGATAACCACACAGATCAGACTTTTTAAGTAACACAGTTAGAGCTTTAAATTGGTACAAAAATTGTTCAGATAGGCCAAGAATTAAAAAAAAGTTTTGGTTGAAAATAGGTATATGTATTTTAAGGACGACGAGACGTTTTCGTTAATAACTAAAAGTGTAAAGGTTTTCTCCTAGAAATATTAATCTACAAAATTAACTTCCTTTTTAGTTGAAAGAGAGGATAGATTTTTTTGGGTTTTTAAGGTTAAAAAATTTTTTTTATATATCAAAAAATATAAGCTGATTTTTTTTGTCTTTTGATGATGTTTAAACAATGTATAAAAATAATGCTTATAATGAGAGAAATTGGTTTGGGTGTGTAAACTTATATTTCATTTGAGATTGGAAAAAAAAACAAATAAATCATAGGGGGAATGAGAGAGAGCTATTAATTATCCACCCATTGCTAAAAAAAAATACTCTTGGAAAGAGTCAAAACACAACTTTTGCAGCTTAGAACACAACAGAGAATATGAGTGATATCTCTAGCAGAGGTCGATTGGAAATGGCGAAAGTGCCGAAAATCGGAACTGTTGGAAATCGGAAATAGTTGATAAGTAGGAACTCGGAAATCAGCCCAAATTTTCGGGAATCGGAAGGAAAAAAACGTTGGAAATCGGAATTCCGATCGACCTCTGATCTCTTGTGACTCCATTTCCCATAAAATAAAATTTTTTGGCTAATGGGTGAATTTTTACACGAGTGGAATGAAAGAGAAAAATTTTTTTTTATTTTGTTGTTTTCTCTTCTTGGAGAACAAACAAACATTTATTTTTTTGGACACACCCGTACATGGCACACACACAAAAAAATTTTTTAAATTTTTATAAAAATGAAAAGGGTGAGCTTATTGTTTTTTTTGTTTTGATTAAATGAATGACTTTTAATTTATGGACCAGCAAGAAAAGTGGAAAGGAGGTGAAAATTGACAAAATGGTCAATACACAAATGGGCTCAAAAGGTCAAAATTAGCTTGAATCAGAAATTTTATCTAAAAATTACGGACTACTTGAATATCGACCACATTTGTCAGACAAAAATAGCGTGATAAGAGGTTTTTTACATTCAAAAATATTAAAAAAAGAAAGGGAAGAGATTTTTAGCTCAACAAAAGAATTTTGATTTTTTTGGTGTAGTGGGATAGCTTTAGGTTTTATCGAAAAAATGACGGAGGTTCGAATCCCACACATGGAAAATAATTTTTTACAAACTTTATAACCTCAAAAATCTCTCTCCCTTTTAAAATTCATAAAAAATAAATATTTAAACGCATCAAAATATTTTTTATATGTGTTATTTGTTTAATTTGCCTGATTTTATTTTTATTTTTAAATTTATTTAGTGGATTTTTTTTTGTAATTTTTTTTGAATTTTTTTAAATCTGGGGAGTAAATTTTAAATAAAATATATAGTCAAAATATTTTTGTTGGGAATGTATATGAGAGAGAAGGAAAGAAAAAAAAATATCGAAACAATAAAATTAGTAGTAAAAGAAAGGCCAAAATTTATATTTAAATAAGAACACAAAGTTGATTTTAGAATAAATGTTGATATATTTTAGAGAGATAAAATTGAGATATATATTTTGTTTAAAATAATAATAATTATTTAAATTTTTAAAATAATATTTCTATTTGGAAAAAAAATTTTTTTTTCGAAAAAAAATTTTTTCGGAAAAATTTAAAAAAATTTTCAAAAATTTTTCAAAAAATTTCAAAAAAAATTTTTTTTCGAAATTTTGAGAAAAATTTCGAAAAATTTTTTCAAAAAATTTTTTGGAATTTTTTTATTTTTCAAAAATTTCCTGAATAATATTTTCTAGAAAATTTCGGAAATTTCGAAAATTTTTTTCAAAATTTCAAGTCATCATTAAAATAGAAATATTAATATATTTTTTAAATATTATTATTAAATTACAATTTTAAAAAATTAAAAAATTGCCGGGATATATAAATAAACAAGAAAATAAATATAATATTTTTTAAATTGATGGCTGCATACACTTTTGAGATAATTTTTAAAAAAATTGGAAAAAAATAATTTTTATGAGAGTTTTGATGTGTGTCTTTAAAAATATGTGTCGGTATTTAAATTTAATTTTCTAGGTTTATTGATCTTTTTAAAAATGTGACTCAGAAAATTATATAAACTAAAAAAGAGGGTCCCACAGACCAACTAGCATAGGTTCCAAAAAATTTTTCTCAAAAATTTTTTTTTGAGAAATGCAACCCTTTGATTAAAAAAGCCAAAAATCTAACCGAAAAATAATTTAAAAAATCCATTTAAAGACCCAAAAAACTAATTTTTAGGTTTTGGATGTTCAAATATTTTTTTTTTCGATGAAAAAAAATTTTTTGATTATCCAAACCTTTTGAGACCCCAAAAAATCTGATCTTTAAAAAATTAAATTTTAGATACCGACACATACTTTAAATATAGTTTGGGCAGAGTAAAATTATACATATATAAAGAACAAAATAATTTAGAAAATAAACAAGTGCAAAATATCCAAAGAATTTTTTAAAAGGGGAATATATAGATGCACTTTTAAAAAATTAAAAAATAAAAACCAAAAATCTAACCGAATATTTTTTTTTGTTTTTAGGAAAGGAAGAGATTCTCAAAAAGAAGAAGAAGAAAAAAACCTTTATGAAGAGTTTGACGCTTTTTTTTGCCATAAAAAATGGAAGAATTGCCTTCCTTGATGTGTTGGTTTTCAGTCTCCTCTCGGTTCCATTTATTCAATTCTTTCATCCTTACCATTTTTTATTTATTTGCAAATTTTTTGTGCACAGCTTGAACAGATACTGAAAAATTTTTTTTAGTTTAGCCAAAACCCTTTGGACGAGTAGGCACGCAAAAGCGGATACAGTAGTTGACAGGGTACCCGAGTGTTGACAGGGTACCGAGTAAACGCATATTTTGATTGGACACAAAAATCATTGGACTCGTAAAGGCTAGAGAGATAGTTGGTTCTGAAACTAGGCCTGGGATTTTACTGTACCCAGGAATCCAGGCATGGGCCCAGTTCAATTAATCAAACCCAGAACCCAAACTTTTTATAAATCTCGATCTCTAAAACCGACAACCCAAATCATGAGGTGTTTCAGGATTTATTATTAAATGTTACCCAAGTTCTCTATCAAGAATATCTAACCATATAAGATCCTATACCTAAGATCCCTATCAAAGTATCTAACCATATAAGATCCTATACCTAAGATCCCTATCAAAGTATCTAACCATATAAGATCCTATACCTAAGATCCCTATCAAAGTATCTAACCATATAAGATCCTATACCTAAGATCCCTATCAAAGTATCTAACCATATAAGATCCCCAATTTTTAAAAATAAAATCAACAAAACAAACCTTCCTCCTCCAGTAAACAAACTTTCGTCAGTTTGAATTTCCTTCTCAACAAATTGTTTACGAGTTGGAGAAGTTTTTTGTTCCTGTCCAATGCTAAGATTTCCAAAATCTTTTGAAAAAACTTCAGAAATTTTGGAAGGGCCAAAAAAGTCCATATCTAAAAATTTTTTAAAAATTTCCATCAAAAAAATTTCAAAAAAACCATAAGTCCAAATATTTGAAGTTGTGGCAATTGAAGAAGTTGTAACGTTAACTAATGAATTAGCAGCACCATTTGAAGCTGTAACATTACCACCACCACAAATAATTCCGGAAACATCTCCTCCATTTTGCATATTTGAATTAGACAAAATTGGATCATCTTAAAAAGAAAATTTTTAAAAAATTATGAAAAAATTTTGAAAAGTTAAAAGGCCAAGGATGGATTCTGCCGTCTTTTAAAAAATGCAAAAAATCAAAAAAAAAAACAAAATTCAATAAAAAAAAATTTATTCATTCAATCCCTGGCATGGACACAAAATTACTTAAAAATAAGCGGTGACAAGATTTTCTTTTTCAAAATCTTTTCTGTCGCAGGAAGGACTTATAAGAGACAAAAAACTTAACAACTTTCTTAAAAATCCCCGTCCCAATGTCGTCTTAAAATTTCTCGAGCCCTACCCCCCCCCCCTAAACAAGGAAACTCAACACAAGTTAGGATCCAAAACCCCCCAAATATCCCATAAAAAATCAAAATTCTATACCAAACAAAGAAAACAAAGGTTTCTGTGTTGTTGTAGGAGTTGTTATACTTGGTTGATTATGCAAAAAAGAAGGTTGTTGTCCCATTCCAACACCAATTCCACCTCCAATCCCTCCATTACCACCACCAATAATTCCTCCACCAATATTATTGTGATGTCGATGAATTCCTCCACCTCCACCAACCCCTCCACCATTTGGCGCCGTAAAACCATTAGACAAACCAACATTTGGAGCAGTTCCCCAAGCATTCATCGTTAATTGTTGTCCAATACCCAAAGAATCAACAGGTCCAACCATTTGTTGATTTCCTCCATCAAAACTGTCAGCAGACAAAAGTGGACGTGAAAGTGAACGAGGTTGAAAATTGGCATTGGAAAAAGCATTGAAAGAAATTCCTCCTCCTCCACCTACACCATTTGGTAATAATTTCTTTTCTGAAGCATTTGCTGAAGTTATACGACGAATAAATGCAGAATATTCAAAAAATGGCAAATTGCGACGAACGCCAACAAAATATTGAGAAGGAAATGGTGCAAAAGCAAATGGATGGCGAGATAAAAATTGCATAAAAAGTGGGCGACCTTGAAAAAAAAAATAAAAATTTTAGATTAACGAGGAGGAAAAGGAGTCGGACGGGTCCACAAAAAATTTTTCTGAAGACGGATACAGTCAGAGTTCTGGATAACCCGCCCCAAACCTTTTAAGGTGAAGGACAGGCTTTAGGTCTAGAAAAATCATCTCCGGACCGGTTTGAAGTCCGAGTTTCGGATAATCCGTCCAATAGCAAAAAAAATGAACAAGGTCTGGATAAGGTTTTCGAAAACCTTCCCTATGAGTTCAAGTTGTAAGTTTCGAAAAATCGCTCTAACACACATGTACTGAAAAGACTTACGATTTTGAATGCTTTCTTTAATTGAAATTGGAATATTTACGCATTTGTTGAAGAAAGAAAAGAGAAGATCAGAACTAAAAATAAAAAATATATAAAAATTATTTGAGTTATAAAGAAACCTTGTAACACCACCATGTTTTAACAGAAAATCAGCAAGCAGAGTGACTGTTTGATAAATTTCTGGTGCTAAAAATAATTAGGGAAAAATTGAAAAGTACTAAGAAAAGTGTTAAATAGAGACTGGACCAAAACGAGAGCTCAATCGAAAATCTCGGTTATCGAGGTTGAGAATTCTTCTAGATCTCGATAACGTACGCCCTAACAGCCCCGATCTCTAGTGTCACTTTCCCTAATCGATATACTTAACATAATAGGAAAGGACTGTCTGAAAGAACAGTGAATTCGGGAATAAGTTATGTCAAACCAAAATGATGTTTTTAAGATCGAAAATCAACAAAGTGGAAGTTGTGTGAAATTAATAAAATTTCCCCCGAAAAGGGTTGCCGTCCTGGTCCGGTCAGAACGCTCGAGTCGGGCATCGCATTTTGGTCCGAAAAAGCCTTGGTCGGCCGGTCGATAAAAACGACTTGGTCGGCCGCCCCGACTCGAAAACGGCAACACTACTCCCAAACACAAGAAAATAATAAAAACCTTGCAAATAAACAACATCATTATCTGCCAACATAAAAATATAGGAACGATCCTCAACAAATTGTCGGCGTTTTAATGAACTAGAGCCAATATAACGTGACAATTCTGCATCACCAGAGTTGCTAATACGACTATGTAAACTTCAAAAAAGTTTAAAATTTAACAAAAATAAAAATTCACAAACTTTGAAAGAGGAATGTAAAGTTGACCATTTTTTTGAAAAATTCCAAGTAAAAAAGAAAGTGCCCGCATTTCTTTTTCTAAAGAATAAGTGTCTTTGCCGTTCTTTCCTGTTGGCATATTATTACTTTCAAATGATTCAATATTTAATTCTTGATCATCATTTGTTACACCGTTAGCCAAGTCCTTCAAGAAAATTGAATTTTAGGTTTTAAGAATTTTTAAAAAGAGGCAAACCTGTTCACTAATAGGACTAACATAATTTGCAATCCACTCACTACTGCTATTTGGAATGGCATGAAAAGCTAAGCGAAAGCCCACTCTAAGATATTGAGTCAAATCGGTGACACCCGAATCACAAAAATCCTGGAAAACGAAAAATGTTAAAAGTTAAAAAGATGAAATTGGAATGGGGAAATTCGTAAAAATGATTAGGAGAAGGACGTAAACTAGTCTAAAAAATATGGGGAAAATCAAGGGAAAACCTAGCACACTCAAAAACTGTCTAATATAATACAGGAAAACTCCAGACTTTAACCTAAACCAAGTTCGGTCTCTGTTATATTCATTCAGCGAAAAGAATGCCAAAACGAGTAAAAAGGGTCCTAGAAAACGAAAATTCAAAAAACAAAGCGGAATCGTATGTTCGTAAAATAGGGAAAACCACAGCCGTGGCATAGACCCCTCTCGGTTTCTACTATAACACACATAACGAAAAACAAGAGAAAGGTTAGTGGTACTTATTTCACGTTAATTTTTTCGGTAAACATAAAAAAAAATTATTCATCTCGGGCCAAAGTTAAGACCGGGGGTTGATTTTGGTGTCATTTGACACAGTTGAACGAGTTCTATTGACTGACCATTTTTTACGTATTTACCGAAAAAATTGACCAGAGGAGTAAATAAGTACCAAAGTTAGCACCCCGAACCCAGCCAATTTTTAAAAAAATTCAAACAAACTTTGATCTGGAAGGAAACAGTTGCATGAACTGGCTTTGAGCAATTAATAAGACCCGCTTTTGATGAGAGCCAGTAGAGAATACCTGACCCACTAAAAATGCGAAAAAAAATATTAAAAAATTATTTAAAAAAATAAACCGAAGCATGCTATTCGTTGTAGGGAAAATACCAGGAAGAAGTGAAGGCAAAGGCACGTCCATTATTTTATGTGAATATTTGCTCTGATTATGAACAATTAAATGAATAAAAAATTGACAAAGTAGAAAACAATATATTTAACTAGCTTTTCTAAAAAAATGAAAAAAATATTTTTGCGGACAAATTTTGCGGACAAAAAATAAATTTGCGGACAAACTTTTTTAAGGTTGCGCGAACATTTTGCGGACAATTCTGTAACTATAAATGTGGTTTGAAGTTAAATTGATACATTTAGAGAGAGAAAAAGTGAAGAGATTGCTCGCAGAAACTTTCCCATGTCAGTCTTCGAACCAAAATCAAAAGTTACATTTCCTATTGTTTTTTTATTTGGGAAAGTTAATGCAGATTGCTATTGGCAATAAAACAAAACAATAAAAATTAAAATCAAAAGAAAAGAAAATTATTTGGTTAAAGATCAATTTTAAAACGAAATTAAATTGAGTGTTTAATTTTCGGAAGGAAAAAGGATGGAAAACAAAGAAATCGACGTCCTTTATTTTAATAGTAAACGGAAATAGAAATTCCCATTTTCAACGTTAAAAATCAAAATTAACAAAAATGTGGACGAGGTCTCGAAAAAAAATAAAAAATCAACCGGAAGGATTCGAACCCCCGTCTCATCTCCATCTTCCACCCCCAAGTCAGACTACTAACCAACTAAGCCACGTTCACCGCACCGAAACTAGGGTAGAACTCACTACCTATTTTAGGCTAAAATAAAGAAAGCCTTAATAAAAACGACTAAAATACACAACAAAGCTAATAAAAATAAAGTTTTTGTTTCTTCTAGAAAAAGGAATAATCTTGTCATTATTTTCAAACAAAATAAATTATTTTCCTGAAAAGTAAAAGAAAATAAATATTTGACTATGAAAATGTTTGGTTGTTTGATTGCTTTGCTATGATATTTATTGAGTGATTTCTATTATGGATGAAAATGTGGTGGATGGAAGAAAGGGAAGAGGAGAAAATGAGAAAAGGAGGAGGAGCTTTGGTTGTTTGGTGTTGGGGGAAAAAAGTAAAAAGAAAAAATTAAAATGTAGTAAAAGAGAAAAAGGGCAGCGCTTATTTTCGCTAGTAATGGGGAGGCGTTATTGGGATTGACGTTTTGTAGGAAGAGGAGAGAAAGAGCAAACCATAACTGGAAATTTAGCTGGAAATATGACATTTGGTCAGTCAATTAAAAATTGAGGTTTTGTCACAATTGGAAATTGACGTTTTTAATGTTTCCAAAATGATATTTTCTACAATAATCGATATTTTTCTAAAAATATCATTTTGCAAAACTACATTTAGCCAATGGACATTTTGCCAACTGATATTTTGTCAGCAGACGTTTGGTTAATTTTAATCAAATTTGAGATTTTGAAAATACAGTAATTTTACATTTTGTAATTTCCAAAATGACATTTAATATTTTGATTTATAAGAGCATAAAAATGTTATTTTGTATCCTGAAGAAAAGGTAAAAAATTTTTTTTGGTAATTTGGAGGTTTCGCAAAACGTCATCCCTTATTCAACTGGAAAGATAAAGTCTGACCACTCATTGAAAAACAAATACAATCCGATAAAAGTGTAATTATTTGTCTATTTTTTCAGATAATTTTTATATTTTATTTTTCTACACTTATTTTCTTTATAAAATTCAACCGGGAGAAAAATGGCCGATCGTCTAACTCAAATTCAAGATTTAGTAAATGACTTGGCAAATCATATATGTAATTCAATTGGTGTTTTACAAGCTGATCCAACTCTGTCTTGTGATTTTGGTTCTGTTTCTAAGGTTTTTTTGAACGAATAAAAAGAGATTTTATTTCTCTCAAAATTTAAAACAATTTTTTAAAAGCTTTTAAAAAAATAAAACAGAAACGCTAGAATAAAACAGAAACGCTAACCAAAATACTCCCAATAACCTCCTTTTATATCCACAAATTTAATCAAAGAAAAAAAATTTCCTGTTATCTGAAAATCAAGTTCCAAGTTTGAAAGCTAACTGACAATTTTTCAAACAAAAGTAGACGGGGCTAGATTCCTAATCAGAAGACAGAATTTGTAGATATATTAAGGAGCTCTATATTCGTCAAAGTTTATGGCTTTGAATTAAAAATTGAAGAGGTCTCGTCTCACCCTCTTACCCTACTCTATTTTTTAATGTTAAAGTGATTTTTAGAAACCAGGAAACTCTCTCATTTTTTCATTTTTTTTGACTAAATAAATTCAAAAACTCCTCTCTTAAAATATTTTTTTCTTGGGTGCACCAAAAATTCAAATATTTTTTAAAACAAAACATAAATTTAAAAAATATTCTTTTCCTTTTAAAGGAGGTTGAGGACGAAAAGAATTGTCAATTATTTGCCCAACATATAGCACATACTTCCAAAGATATTGAAGTTTTGGTTGAATCCTTACCTCCAGCAGAACAATCACTCGAATTACATGAAAAAGAGCTTTTAGAATTGGATGATCAACGTGCACAAGCTGCAAAAGAATTAGAATTAGCTGTTGAAAAAGCTGAAAAACTTACTGAAAGAACGAGGGAATTACTTTCAAAAATTGCTTATGCACAAATGATGTCGAGACCAAATGCTTAAAATTTTTTTAATTATTTTTTAAAGGTTGTTCCTTTTTGGTAAATATTTTTCTTTGTATGAGTAAATATTTTTAAGATTTTCATTTTTATTTAATAAGCTTTTGTGTGAGTAATTTAGGTTTGGGCACTAATTTAAAAAATTTTCCTAAATTAAAATTAATTTTACTTTTTTTTTCTAATGAAATTCTGGAAAATTAGAACTGAAGGTTTCCTAATTAGTTTCTAGATAAGCTGTTAATAAACAACTAACTGGGAGTTTGGAACTAAATTTAAAAATCTTGGATTTATGCCCTAATCTTGAAAATTTTGTAAATCCTAATAGTCGATTAGAGGATCAGTTTGGAACTAAATTTAGAAATCCTGAGGTCATGTCCTAATTCTTGAAAATTTGTGTCTTGTAAATCCTAACTATAAATCTATCGATGTATGTAAATCCTAATAGTCGGTTAGAGGGTCGATCGAGATTTGAGGATCGATCTTTGAGATCAAAAATATTTACTCGACCCAACCTATAGTGTCTATAATCATCTAACAAATTTTCCCAAAATTTATTCTCAAAATAAAAAATAAAACCTTTAATCATTTCTGTTCATCCTCTTTAGTTTCATCATCTCCTCCTCCAAATTCTTCCATTTTCATATATTCACTTTTAGAAGCAAAAATAGCTTGGCGTTTTTCCAAAATTTCATTTAAACAATTTGTGTCCATTGCTGTAGAATTTATACCAAAAGCTCCTCGACTTTTAGGAACAATTTTTTCTTCCTCATCCTTAACTGTCTTGCCTTTAAAAAAAATTTTTAAAAATTTCAAAAAAATTTTTTCTTCTTACAAAAATTAAAAGGTTTTCTATCAAGTTCTTCTTTCTCAATTTCTTCAGGTAAAACACCTCGTAATTTTGCCAAAGCTTTACATTCCCTTTTTAGACAAAATTCTTTTCTTTCATTCAAAACATTTTTTAATTCATTTGTTATAGCTTTATGAGAACCAAAAGGTAAAGAAGAATTTGATGAAGACTAAAAATATAAAAATTTTAAAATTAAAGGAATTTGTTGAATATTCAACTCATGTCAATTAAGGTCGGATAATTCCAAAAAAAAATTTCGGAGACACAGAAAAGGGCTTGAGAAACTCATTTTTCCAAAAAACACTTTCCTAAACATAGACACCTTTCTATTCCTCAAAAAAATTTTTTGGAAAGACATACTCGATTAAATTCGAATATTTTTTGTTTAAATAATTTCGGTCAATTTTATTTTTAGCTTAAAAATTACCTTAAAATTCACATCAATCACCAATATTTTTTAGAGAAGGGCTGAACCTCAGATTTCAATATACACATTGTAGGCAAAAACCAAAATTCAAAAACCAAATTTTGACAAAAAACCCAAAATTTCGGATTTCGAGAAATCGAGACGGCAGGATCCCTGACATCTACCCAATTTTATTTAGACCTCTTTATAACCAGTAAAAAAAATTTTTTACGGAACAATAAAAATTATTTTTAAAAAAATTTACAAACCTGTTCAATATTTTGGTCCTCAAATTCAAATCCTTCAGAATCAATTTTAGTAAATTTTGGATTTAATTCGAATATCTAAATTTTAAAGAAATTCAAAAATTCAAAAAAATTCCAAAATAATTTTCTCCCAAAAAACCTGAAAATCCTCTTCTTTTTCACCATCATCTTCTTCATTTTTAGTCTCACAACTTAAAGTAACTGTTTCTTGTTCATTTAAAGCTTCTTCAATTTTATTTTCTAATTTTTTATCATTCTCTTTTGGTGCTTTTTCTATATTTTGTTTAAGCAAATTGATAATTAATTGAAGATTAGAAATTGTATTTAAAGCAAATTGTTCTGATATTTGTTCAGTTTCTTGTTCGTTGTTGAAACTAAAAAAAACGATTTTAAAAAAATTTTTTAAGAAAACAAAATTCTCAAAAATCGCCAAAAATCGACCCGATACTCAAAATCGGGAATCCCAATACTTGACATGGGCGTCGCCATGGGATCGATTTTAGGAGGGCTAACATTGGGTGTGCACAAAAATTTCGGCATTTACTTTGGCACTCAGAATGCAAATTTTATTGTCCACATTTTTATTTTTTCTTATGTCGACAGATTCTTTAATAACGTGTCGACCAGACAAGAAAAAAAGTTGCAAGCGAATTTCTGTTTCAATATGAAGCTCGCCTTTCATGAAGGGTTGTTCCCCAACAGGGGAAGGGAGCACGGGGAACAATTTTCGAGGAGCTACTATTACGTAAAGGAGGAGCTACTATTAAGAGCTACTATTACCTAGACATTTAAAAATTAAAAAAATAAAAACCTTTCAAGTATAAATTCCAATTGTGCTTTACAAATAGCAAAATTACTCAAACTTTTCCATTTTCCAATTTTTTCTTTCAAAATTTTTTCTTCTTTAGGTTTCACTTCAGTTGATTTAAAAATTAATTCTTCTCTTTGATTAAATAAATCCAAATAATTAAATGTTTTCCAAAAAGTTTTAAAGAGGATAAATATATTTTTAAAAAATTCAAAGGGTTGAAATAACAAAATATTTTGGTGAATAGCAAGTAAAAAAAGACGTAAAAATTCACTTCTGACCAAAAACATGCATTGCCATAAACTCTGAAAAAAATATAAAATTTTTCAACAGAAAATATTTTCTGGATTATTGGCAACCGGTAAGTTTTCCATGTGGAGAAAATTCAATATTCAGAGCCACAAAGAAAATTAATCGGTCGCCAACAAACATAAACTTCACCAAAGTGACAGCGTGGTTAAGTGGGAAAATTAAAAATTTTCTTACAGAAAATGAGCAGGGTTCGAATTCTAATGATGGATTCGAAAATTTTTTGGATAAAACAAATAAATTGGAAAAAATTTTTGAGAGAATTTTCCTCGACTCAAAAAAAAAATAAAAATTTCAAACCTTTAAAGCTGTTATACTCAAAAATGTTTGTTCTTCACTCTCACACCCATCATATTCCCCATAAAGAAGGGAACGCATCTCTGGGCCAATAAAATTAACAAAGAGTTTATTGACATCATCCCTTAATTTTTTTTCAATTTAAAAAAATAATTTTCAAAAAAATACTTTGTGGAACAAATTGATTGTGAGGCCGAATGGTATGTTTCGATATAATTGCGAAGGCATTTGAGATAATTTAGGCGAGATTGACGAAATGGTAATGTAGATGACGAACTGTTACGACGGTTAGAAGGTTGAAGACTTTAAAAGAAAAATTTCAGAAAAATTAATGTGATGAAAAATGTCCGCAAGTTTTGACCGCAAAAAATTTTTTCGTTATTTTTCGTAAACATTCCATTATAATAGGTTTAATCATTCTATGCAGTGAAAGTTCTCTTATAAAGGCCTCCTTCAGATCGAGCTAACATAAGAAAAATAAGAGGGTCAAAAATTAACCGAAATGCCCTCATGGAGGGAAGAACATAAGAAGGGAAATTACGTGGGAGAGTGGTAGTAACGGGGAAATAAAAATTTTATAATTATTAAAAAAAAATTTGAAAATAACCTGAATAAACATATTTCCTTCTCTCGCAATAATGAAAGATATGAATTGAATTTGTTATCAAAATTGATCCAATATTTTGCAAAAAGTATCGGAATTTGGCAAAAAATAGGCCAAATAATTATTTCAAAAGTTAACATACAGAGAAAGGGAACAACAGCAAACCAGAAAACTAAAAAAATATTTTTTTAAAGTTAAAGGGGGTAGAAGGTTCAGGGTGGAGGACAATATTTTTCAAAATTTAAAAATGTCTAACATAAGAAAAATATGCACAAATAAAACTAGTGAATTGGTGCAGTGCAGTTTCCCCCCACTATCCATTTCAATTGTAGGCAGCGGTACCCTGACCTGCGGGTTGGACCTTGAATAGAATCAAGGAACGTGACAACAGTAGTACCCCAGAAGCATAAGTGAGATGTCACAGGTTATACGGAATACTTTAAATTTCGAAATTATCCAAAATTTCGAAGCTAGTGTAGTTTCCAACCGCCCCCCTTCCCACGATTCGAAATCCCTGCCCACTTTTTCTCTACCCATCATATCCCCGTTATAACCCCCTCTCCCTATTCCCCAAAAAACAAAATTTACAAGGTCTGTAGATTATAGTACCAATCAAAAGAATAAGCGAAAATCCAATATTAAATAATCCTTGAATTTGATTTCTTTCAAGAACACCTTCACAGCAGTCTCTCAATAATTCAATATCTCCATCATCTAATAATCCATTTTTCTTCCAAGAGTCCCACAGATTGATTAAAAGGGTACCAAAGAAAGCCACCATTCTTGTAAAAAATTGAAAAAAAATATTTGAAGAGAATTTTAGTACTAGTGCAGTTTCCCCCCACTGCCCACTTCCATTGGAGGAGCGATACCCGGATCCGCACGTAAGACCAACGGTTCGGGGATGTGTATAAGTACCATAACTCTAGTCAAGTAGAGCTTTCTATTCCAAAAAAAGATTTTGTAAGAATAGAGTGAACTCTTTAGAAATAAAGTCACAATGGGAGGGAAACTACACTAGTACCGAAAAATTAAAAAAATATTTTCTCATTTCGATCAGCAAAACGTTTTTAAAATTAAAATGATATAATCCTTTCTTTACTAACATATTTAATGAAACACAAAATATACACGCAATATATAATAATTGTGGATGGTCAAGACAAGAAATCAGCCAACAATTTAGAAAAAAAAATTTTTTTACGAACGGGAGGAAAAAATAAAATCACCACAAAAAAATTTTTTTTTGAATATCCTATAGAAAGTCATCATTATACACATAACCTTGAGACATCAACCACCACGAATTAGACACATTCTGCAGTCGCAGCAGCAATCCTTGGACTCTTACGAATTTGTTGCTTTATTTGTTGTTGATTAGTTTGTCGACGACGATACACCCTAGAAAATTTTTCAAAAAATTCTTTCAAAGAATTTTCAAAAACATACAACATATATGCTTCCTTCGATACAATAGAGTCGCCGGGCGGTGTATTGAGGGCATAAGCGGATGAGTCGTTAAATTCACACCATGTATTGTTGTTTAATGCCCGCGCTGTATAATGGCCGGAACCGAGACCTTCAAAAAAAATTATCAAATTGATTGACCCAAAAGTCAAAAAAATCCACAAACCTCCAGAATGATTTGAAATACCAATCAAGTCATATTTCTCATCTTTTTGAGAAGGATCGCGCACTTTTTCCCCAATATCCAAACCCTTCACCGGGATATCAATTTCAGTATCAATTTTCTCACGAGAGTAGCGTGTGTACAAAAACCTTTTGAGGTGAATAATCAAAATTTGGGGAAGCGACCAGAGATCCAATTTTTTGAAAGCGCGTTGATGAGTTTTGCAGTTTGGACAAAACCTGGAAAAGACAAAATAATCCCCTCAAAATAAAAAAACGAAACCATGAATCCTCCTCGCTCAATTGCTCTTTAGTTGTATAGGCATCGATACACTCCTTGATCGTATAAGCCTTCTTAACTTGAGTAATGTTGACTTCTCGCTCCACTAGCGACTAAAAAAGAAAAGGAAAATTTAATGTATTAATGAGAAAAATACCCCCAAGTTAACCACTTCACTCACGTCTGGATTGACGCTGCTAAATTGCTTATTCTCTTCCCATGTGAGCATAATTTTTGGAACAGGGCCATCAACATATGGAAGAGAAAATGGCACTTCCTTCAAAATATTATTTTTAGACATTCAGAAAATCCTTAAAAAACCTCATCTGGATCATCAGGAAATTCTTGAAGCATTAAATTTGGTTCTTGCAAAGCAATCTCATCAGGATTCACTTGAGAATATTGCGGTTTAATGCCATCTTCAATAGGCTCTTCACCTTGTTTTGGACTGTCTTTAACATTAGTATCCATTGCAGACGTTCCGGCATCTGTGCGCCAAAAGTAGTCTCGACAAAGCGGCAAAATGGAGTCAAAAACAAATTGTTTAGTCAATTTTTCTGGTCGTCGAACGGGAAAAACATTTCCGAGTAACGAACTGTTAGGTTTTCGATTTTCAACAAGTAAAAGAGGTCCACATCCATCAAGAGCATAAGCATAAAATTGTTTGCCAATATTGTTGTAGGATGTGCCAACTAATTTGTCATCTTCTAAAATATCGCTGCTGAAGTATGTAAGCATGACAATCTTAAAATGAAAGTTTTTTACAGATAATTAATTAGGGCTAGGATCCCGACCCTTTGGAGTTGAAAAATTTGGGGTGTGTAAAGCCTTTGGAGTTCAGGTCGAAATTTTTGACAAAAAAATCGTCGGGGTTTCAGAAGACTACAATCATAAATTCCAACCCTACAATAAATTAGCTAGATCCAGACCTTTGGAGTTGAAAAGTTTCAGCCCCACAATAAATTAGTTAGACCCAGACCCTTTGGAGTTGAAAAGTTCGGGGGTCGGAGATAAGAGTATGGGGTTAAGGTCGAAATTTTTGACAAAAAAATCGTCGGGCTCTCAGAAGACTACAAAAAATAAATTCCAACCCAACAAAAAATTTATTTAAAAGTGTAACCTCCATATGATCAGGTATTTTGAGATGTTGACGAAGAACGTCTTTCAATTGAAGAATTGTCGTCTTGTTTGTATGCGTCAACAAAAACTTGGCCCATTTGTCTTTGCGAACAAAATTTATTGTAGATTTAACTTGGCGTTCTTTTGCAGGAATGGGCAATGACAGATAGCAGAATGGATCAAACTTGATGCTAATTTTGCTGCAGACATTGCAAGTCAAGGTGGACTTGAGTTGACCATGTAGAAGATCCACGATAATGCTGTCATTGCGCTTTTTGTAGTCTTGCCAGGCTTCTCTTGCTGCCTAAATTTGGTTCATTTAAAGAATAAAGACCTTTAGAATATAAAACCTGAGCCTCATCTCTGCCTTCCATTTCCTTCTCCTCCACATATGGCTTATTCTTTATCCGGTTTAGATCCTCGTGAAGCCCATCGAGCAAGAAGGCAGTCAATTCCTGAGAGTCCTGTTGAGCATAGCCGTTGAAACGAGGAGCAAATTCGCCAATTACGCACTGAAAATGGTGTAAGAATCGAAAAAAATTAAAAAACCTTAAGATGACAAGGCCTAACTGAACTAGAACACCCAGACCACATATCCTTAAGAAGTTCAGCATATGCTTTGACTAAACGTCCATGAGTGCCCAGTGGATTGGTAGTGTTAATTTCATCATAGTACTCGTCATTGATAAAATACTCGGTTAGCTCAGGAACGTTGCTCAAACATTGAATGGCGCTAAAAACATGTCTAGAACTCGGGGAAAAAAATTAACCTGTTCATAAAGCAAGTATTTCCAAGATTTTGAAGTCCGCACAAGCCTTTTTGATAAGTTGCAACTCTAAAAAATCACGAATTTAAAAGAAAGAAAATGAAGGTAATACTGACACGGAGAGGTTGCGAGGTGTCCAACTTAAAAACAGTCGAGACCGGGCTCATTCCTTGCTAGAAAGAACACATTCTCTATCGAATGAGCCCGGTCTCGACCGTTTTTAGGTCAGACAACTCGCAACCTCTCCGTGTGAGTTTCGTGCCCACTCCCTTTATTTTTCATACAATTAGAATGCCGTGCTGGGGGGAGGGACACTATGAGGGAAATTCAGAATAAGTTCACTGTTACGCATATTCTGATTGTAAGAAAAAATATGGTGGGGCACGAAATTCAATATCAACACCAAAATGAATCTTTACCTTTCAGAAAATCGTCCACCCCGAGTTGTTCCATTTTGAGCCGCTACCAACTCCTCAGAAGTTGCTCCAGAAGCATCCACATAAACAATAGCTCCAGAATGCAGAATAGCGCTAAGCTTGGCGTACGAAACAGTGTCGGGCAAACAATCATATCTACCCTTTTCTTCAATAAGAAAATGGGCGCCGTTCCTGTATTGTTCTTCAATTTTGAGTTGGTCAAAAACGATTTCTCTAATCTTGTCGATCGTAGCAGCCTGGCTCACTTCAATAGTGAAAACGACTTCTTTGTTGTTGTAGTTGGCAATCTGGGGAAATTTCAATAAAACTCCACTAGCCTTATAAAATAAACCTTTATCTGGAGTGGATAGACCTCAATAAAGGTCTCATCTCTCAGCATCCCTTTCACAACCTTTCTAGAGATTACATCCCGTTCTTCATCCTCGATTCCAAATACACTCCGGAGATTAGCAAAGACTGCGTCACTAACAAAGCCCAAGCTTCCACTGAGATTTGGCTTTAGAACGTATTGGTCCTCGCTGTCTAAATTTGAAAAAGGTAAATGAACTTTAAGTTGTTCTTACTTTTCTCAACGACGTCCTTATTGGAAATAGGAGGCATCTCAATGACAGCATCACCATCTGCGAGTTCGGCATTGCTCAAAAATTCCTTCCACCACGTGTTGCTAATGACATACCTGAAATTTAAGTAAAATCAAATGATTCTGAAGGCATATGCTACGTAGAGATCGGACTAGACCGTACTACTGAGGGTATTTTTGAGCACTCCGTATCGGGGGATTTTGCGGGGTCACGCTCCCGCAATCCCGCACTTTTTTCGATTTGCGGGATTTATCACGCGGGATATAAAAAAATCCCGCATGCGGGATCCCGCAAACACGATTTTGCCGGTCACTAGTACGAATACAGACCGATAAGATTCTCAAGTTCACTGATTTTCTGGTAGTACATTATAAAATTTTGATCCCTACTTAAATTTGAAGTCATTAAAGGACCGAACTCAGTTAAAGGTAAAGTTCAACCCGTAAAGTCGCCAAAAAATTAAAAGAACAAACCAAATTTGCCCTTCATGCAAACGAAGAACACGATCCATTTCGAGTAGTTGTTTAGCATCTTGCACTTTTAATTTCTTAGGTGACGTCATTTGCAATGATTTTGAATGACTTTGAAGAAAACGTTTAGAAACTGAAATTATTGGGTTTTATATATAGCGGCGCGGCTTAAGCACCTGCCGTGTCCGGTTAACTCATCTATTCGTTAACTCATCTACACGGCCAAAAACGTTCAACTCATCTAAACGGCTAAAATTCCTTAACTCATCTACACGTCCAAAAAGGGTCAACTCATCTAATCGTTAACTCATCTATTCGTTAACTCATCTACACGGCCAAAAAGGGTCAACTCATCCAATCATCAACTCATCTAATCCTAACTCATCTACACGGCCAAAAACGCTCAACTCATCCAATACTTTGGAACGAGACTATTGAGTACCAGTCGTTTGAGTCTCTCGCCGTTTGAGTCTCTGGTAAGTAGGGTCCATGGCCAGTTGAGTCCATGACCAGTTGAGTCCATGACCAGTTGAGTCCATGGCCAGTTGAGTCCATGACCAGTTGAGTCCATGACCAGTTGAGTCCATGGCCAGTTGAGTCTCTAGCCGGTTAAGTCCCTGGTCAGTTGAGTCCCGGCCGTTTGAGTGGTTGATTACCGCCGGTTGAGTCTTGGGCCGGTTGAGACTCAACTGACCAGGGACTCAACCGTTTCAAGACTCAACAATTTCAAGGATTGGATGAGTTGAGCGTTTTTGGCCGTGTAGATGAGTTAAGGATTAGATGAGTTAACGATTGGATGAGTTGACCCTTTTTGGCCGTGTAGATGAGTTAACGAATAGATGAGTTAACGATTAGATGAGTTGACCCTTTTTGGACGTGTAGATGAGTTAACGATTAGATGAGTTAACGATTAGATGAGTTGTATAGGAGCCGCACCTGCCCCCTTTTCTTCTCTTTTTAACAATTCATCACACTATTTCTGGCTAATCCTTTTAGGACAAAATGACGTCAAAAAGCAAAACGCCAAAATATGCTGATTTTAAGTTAATACCCAAAACGGCGCAGGCCAAACCGGCGCAACCGTAATGAAGCGCTTTTTCAGGCGCGCCGTTTAAGGCCTGCGCCGATTTGGTTGTTTTAATTTTTAATTAATTTGCTTCTCTGTCCACTCTCTTTTATTTCTCAACTATTTCTCAAAATTTCTTAAAATTTTTATTTTTTGATTTTTCAATTTTATTTTTAGTGATTTTTCTACTAAATGTCGATCAATTTTCTACGTGATTTTTCTCAACCAGAAGACTATTTCTTATGCAAATATGATGAAATTGAGGGGGCAAAACCTATTTGTAGTTACGAACTTTATAACCAAACAAAACATATTCCTTTACCTTTTTATAATGAAGAGAGGTGGAAACGAATTAAAGGTTTTATTTTTGATTGAATAAATAAATTTTGAATTTTCAGAAGCACTTGAGTGGATAGCCAATGTCGGGGAAGCTTTGACTTTTTTTGATTTCAAGGTTTTTTTGAAGAAAATTTTGGAGAAGGGTTTTAGCTAGGCTCTTGGGCGGCTTGTTCCTTTACTGGTTAGTAGTGATCGGCTTGGATCTGGTCCCATATTTTGATTTTTTCGGAATTCAGAGTTCAGATCAAAGCATTTTTCAGCGTTCCGTGATTTTTCCTTGTCTCAAGGGAAAATCTTGATCTGGTCAAGATCCTCACTTAAAATCAAGAATAACGGGTTTTTAAAATTCCCTTTTTCCTCCTCATTTTTCCCATGGATGTGCGGAATGGGCAGACTTTCCTTCCAAAACAAAATAAAAATTAATCTACCTTAATTGTTTGTTGGAATAAAAAAGAGGGGGAAGATAAACGAAAATAATTAGAAGATAAACGACAATTTTACTTTTTATTTTGCAGACCAAATTTCTTTCGTATCTCAATTTTTCTGCCGAACCCGATCTCAGCGTTATTGCTTCTTTATTTAACCAAGATTCCTCTGCTTACTTTAACAAACGTATTTTATCATCAATTGCTCGGCTAGCACTTGAATTACCCAAACAAATAAAACAACCAATACGAGCTCTTAGAAGGGAGGAAAACGGCTCTTTAACTTTAAGTCAACTTCAGATTGCTTCACTTTTAGCGAATGCTTTTTATTCAACTTTTACTGCTCGAAATTTTGGAGAATTTAATAGAATTAATTTTATCAGGTATTTTTTAATGTTTTTGGGGTTCAAAAATTTTTTTGAGACTAAAAAATTAAGAGAGACTCAAAAAATTTTTAAAATACAAAATTTGAAAAATTAAAATATTTTCCCCCCAGTGGGGGTTCGAACCCCAGTGGAAAAGTTAAAAAAATGCGAGAATGTTACCACTGCACCATAAACTATTTTTATTCAAAGATGTTTTTGTGGTGTGGTGGTAGTGTTTTTGCACCATGACTTTTACATTAAGGTTCGAACCCGACCGCTGGGAAATTTTTTCAAATATTTTGCTACATAGTTTGACAACTTTAAGAGGTCATGGGTTCAACCCCGTTCAGCGCCCTTTAATTTTTTAAAATTATTTTTAAGGCTATTTACTCGCAAAACTCCCAAGGCAGCAGAAAAATTAAAATGTATTCTGCACTATTTTTCTCAATTTTTTAAAAATCCTCCAAATGGGACAGTTTCAATTATTCGTCAAAAACTTAATTGTGAATTGGAACCAAAATGGGATGAAATTGAACTTAATTTAGTTAATTTAAATGCTTTACCCAATGGAAGAATAGAAAATGAGGGAGAAAAGATGACTCAAGTAGATTTTGCAAATGAATATATTGGTGGGGGTGTACTTGGATATGGACTTGTACAGGTATTGTTTTTTTTGTTTTTTGAATTATAGGAAAGGAATGCTAGGCTGGTTAAGGTTTAAAACGTTTGGGCAGGGAGTTTAGGATCATTTTATAGAATAAAAGGGGCAATAGTTAATCGCTCACTAACTCAGACAGGCATCTAAACTGGACATGTTGAGCGAAACGCCTCCCAAATCCCAATCTACAGCCATAAGGTTCATGCCCGTTGGATAGATTTTTGGATTTTTACTTAACTCTTGCCCTATTTTTAATTTATTTTTTTCCTTTCCTGGTAAAAAAGATTCACTAATTTTTATTTAACAAAATTTAATTTTATAACGTGAAATTAAAAATTTAATTTTTTTAACATTTTAAGGAAGAAATTCGTTTCCTAATATGCCCAGAATTAATTATTTCTTGCCTTGTATGTGAAAAGGTTTTTTTGTTTTTGGATATTAATTTTAAAATTTAAATGTTAGATGGAAAAGAATGAAGCAATATTAATTATTGGAGCAGAAAGATACTCAGATTATCAAGGTTATGGAAGTACTTTTTGTTGGAAATATCGTCAAAGAGATGCTTCTTTGCAAAGGTTAGTCTACTGCGAAGCAGGAGTGGGTCTGGTTATCCAAAAACCGATACCCGGACCTTTTCTTGACTATAAGCATGATCAGAGAAATTTTAAAATCCGACCCGTTTTTTCCCGACCCGTCCAATCCATGTTGCAAACATAGTCTACCGCGGAATCATAGCTATAATCCATCCATTTTTCTCTCCTTTTTTGCTATTATTTTGCACATTAAAAACGATTAATAAGCCGATTAGGATGGCCCGGATTGAGATTGGACTCTTATAAGCCTAGTTATAAGGGCGGTAGATCGTTGGTCCTTTAAAACATTTCCAAAATAATTTTTTTCTTTTTTGATTTTTAGAGATGCCATGGGAAGAGTAATGTCAGAATTATTAGCAATTGATGCACTCAACTTTACCCATCCTTTGGATCAGTTTTTTGAAGGATATATTCGTCGTGAACTTCGCAAAGCATTTATAGGATTTGCGATACGTACAGCTTGGAGTTTTGATCAAATAGCTACAGGCAATTGGGGATGTGGAGTTTTTGGAGGAGATTTGCATTTAAAAAGTTTGTGGAATTTTTTTTTAAAGCGGGGACCTCTCATTATAAGATTAGGGCTGAAAAATTGTAACTTATAGTGAGGTCTTATAATGGGGTATCTTAAATAGAGGTGTATCTTGTATTGATTGTATCATTATAATGAAGTTATATTGGGGTTATCCTGAATCGAGAGGGTGTCTTGTATTGGGTGTATCATATACTGAAGGTATCCTTGAGGTCTCTTATCGGGGGTATCTTATATTGAGTGTATTTTAAATAGAGGGATATCTTATATTGAGAGTATTTTAAATAGAGGGGTATCTTATATTGAGGGTATTTTAAATAGAGGGGTATCTTATATTGAGGGTATTTTAAATAGAGGGATATCTTATATTGAGGGTATTTTAAATAGAGGGGTATCTTATATTGAGGGTATTTTAAATAGAGAGGTATCAGGGGTATCTTATATTGAGGGTATTTTAAATAGAGTGGTATCTTATATTGAGGGTATTCTAAATAGAGGGGTATCATATAATGAGGTTTTGTATTGTGGGTATCTTAAACTAAGGTGTATCTTATATCGAGGGTGTCTTATAATACGGTCAGACCAATTTTTAAAATTTTCTTTAAAGGCCTTATTCAACTAATGGCGGCTTCCCTTGCATGCCGTCCCCTCGTCTTTTTCACATTTGGAAAAAAATTGTTTGCACAAGAATTGGAAGAAACTGTAAAATTATTGCAAGCAGAAGGGTTCACTATTGGTTAATTTAATTTTAAATTAAATTAAAAAATTAAAATTTAAGGCAAGCTTTACCGATTAATCATTAAATATTGTAAATTTGGAATTGCTCGGCCAAAAAGTCTTTTTGGATGGATAAAGGAGAATTATCGAGATTTTGTATAATTTATTTTGATGATTAATTTATTTTTAAAGAGGTTTATTACTTTTATTTTTCGTTTTAGGATTTTTAGAGATAAAGGTTAAAATATACCATCAATCTAAATCTGTGCCCAAATTTTATTTTCGGGTAGTGTTAGATGCCAAAAAAGCTGTGTTTTTATTTTCAGGCCTAGATAAGCCATGGCTTCGGTCCATTTAACTGTATAATTGTAATAGCACCTAGTGGTAGGCGAATGAATTTTCCCAACCCGGACGAGGATAAAAATTTTTAAAATATTATCGGTACTCTCAATAGTACCGAATCGTGCCTATCACTAGTAGTGACTTGATACTTTAGATTTCTGACTCCTAATAAGAAAAGCTGGGAACCAAGCTGGGAATCCTTCTTGTAGTCGCAACACGCTTTCTATAACATATCCCAGACAAGTAGAAAAAAATTTTTTTGGGAGTGGGGTTGGGGAATACTTTTCAAAAGAATTAGAGGAGTCACTCGGCTTTCTGGTACGAGTATCCTAATAAAAAAAGCAGGAGACCTTCTTGTCTTTCACAGAGTCTAAAATAATTTTAAGAATTATATAACTTTTTTTTAATTAGTAACAACAAAGAGACAATAATTAAACATCAAATTATTTTTAAATATAAAAAAGATCATTACCAGATGAAAACAAAAATAAGCGTTGAAAAAATTTTTTTTTGAAAAAATTATAACGCCAACAAAGGAACATAGATAAACAAAAAATTGATAAATAAAATAACAATTTTTATATGTTTTTAAATTATAAAAAAATTAACCGATAGATGAGCAACAACACTTTTCGAATTTTTTTGCTTTTTTGAAGGGCAGTGGTCGTCGGCGATTAAAAAACTTTTTTTTGTTTTCCTCTTTACGAAATCTTTGAAATTTGTGCATTTAAAAGTTCAAGTCGCTCAGTTATACTTCTTTGGGTTGTTGAAGCAACGCCAAAACTCATTCGATCTTGGACATTTAATTGTAATGATGACAGAAATTCCAAACATGTATTCTTGAGTACTTTTCTATAAAAATTAAAAATTTAAACTTGACAGGTTTTCGGAACCCAAATCAACAATTTTACTGTCCCGGAATCCACACAATTTTTGAGACCGCCCAGAACTGCCAGGAACCATTTAACGTTTTTTGGGATGAGTTGCCACTAGCAATGTTTCCCCCAAAGTTTCGGAACAGTCTCACGGAATCGAAAAAAAATTTTTGAGACCGGCAGGAAGCCATTTGACATTTTTTTGGAGTTGGGGGAACATTGATTAGAAACCACTCCACATTCAAAAAGGAAAGGAGAAAAATTTAGAAAATAAAAAAAAATTCCCCAAACCTGTCTGAACTTCCCAAAGCTTTAGCTTCCTCCAACGACCGTTCCGTTGTCAAAACTGCCAAGTCCAACATAAAATTAAAAGCACGTTGATTTTGTTTCCAGAAGGGGTCAAAAATTCTGTCAGAAAAAATTAGAAAAAAATTAATTTTATTTAAACCTGTATTGTTCAGAAGCAACAGCAAGCAATTTGCCATATTTTATATCCGCTCCCCGGCAAATTTCTAAAACCCAATTAATTGGCGGGGAATTTTTAAATGAGAAAACAATTAATTCGCGAAGAATGTAATCTTTAGGAGAAGAAAAAAATTTTTTAATAAAAAAAGAAAAAAACCTAATGGAACAAATTGGGGAGAGGAAGCATAACGTTTACGCAAACGCAAAAGAATTGAAGAAATGTTGTTTTGAATTTTGTCAAGAGTTAAACGATTGAGTTGGAAATTGCGAAGTTCTGGAAAAATAAATTTTTATAGAGATTAAAAAATATATTTTGTCTGGGAAAGCCTCTGTCCATAAAAGATTTTTCAAGCCTTGCAAGGGCGTATCCAGGGGGGGGCTGGGGGGGGCTAGAGCCCCCCCCCCCCCCGAAATGGGGGAAAAAGGGAAAAAATTAGGAGAAGGATGGTCGAAAAAGTGAAATTTTTTCGCCTACGGCCCTCCAAATTCAAAAAATTTTCGCCTGCGGCGCAAAAAATGGAAGAAATCTGGCTGCTTGGGCTCAAAATTCCAAAAAATTTTCGCCTGCGGCGCTGAAAAAGTGTAATTTTTTGGCCTACGGCCTTCGAATTTTAAAAAATTTTCGCCTGCGGCGCAAAAAACGGAATTTTTTTGGCCTACGGCCATCTAGAATTAAAAAAATTTTCGCCTGCGGCGCTTAAAATATAAAAAGTTATGTACAAAAAAATTTGCCGTAGGAACGCCAAGGTAAACGCCAAAAATTTTTGCGCCCACCCAGTGTTAGCCCCCCCCCCCCCGAAACCGACCCCCTGGATACGCCCTTGAAGCCTTGTGGAACTTGAAAAAGCCTTTTGTCAATTTTCCAACATGACTAGACCACCTTTCTATAGTGCTTTTTTTACAATGACCTTAAGGCTAACTAACAGGCCCGTACTATAAAAACGAGTAGCATGTTTAGTACCCTAATAGGTTCTGTATTTTTTCTTCTTGCTTCTCACAAATAACATTTTCTCATAATTAAAGATGGCTAATGACCAGGCCAATCTTGACCATTTAATCCGTTTCTTGTGGTATAAACCAAGTATGGGATGAGTTACACGAAACTTGATACCTAGAATCTTTTCGAGACGAACTCCGATCCGAAAAATTTTTTGAAAACCCAATCTTAAACGCTACATTTCTAAGCCCGTCCAATCCTTGATATGGGCCCAAGTGTGGTTAAGCCATTATTAAAAAAACCTTTATCCAAAATATCTCTCCAAACATTTTCCACAATTTCAGTATCAAATTGACTCGCACAATGCAAAACTGCCAATTTAATTTCATGCAAATTGTAAGTCTTTGCATAAGAATAAAGTTGAGTTAAACCACATAGTTGATAATTTAATGCTTCAATCGCTTCCTTTCCTCTAGCTGCAATTTCTGGGTTAGTTTCAGATTCTAATAAGGTCCTAAAAATTTTTTTAATTATTTTTTATTCTAATATTAATCGGACCTCGTTTTTAGATACCCCCCGTAAATTGGGTACTTACCAATTTAAGAGACGTTTTCTAAAAAAATCAAGATAGCCAATGGGTGGGAGAATCTGCATAAGCATACCCTATATATGGTCACTATAAGACAAGGGCGCGGCCAGGGGGTCGATTTCAAGGGGGAGGGAGTGTGCGCCAAAATCTTGCCGTTTTCTTCATTTTGGGGGAGGACTTTAGCCTCGGAAGCCCCCCTGGCTACGCCCTTGCTATAAGGTACGAGTTAATCAACCCCAAGGGTGATCCCGTAATGCCAAAAGCTAAATCCCTAAAGATTCGAAATTCCAAACAGTCGAAGGCTTTTGGGTCTTTGACATTTAGACATCAATTCAGCTTGACATTCATGTGGTTTTGAGAGTTTTTTTTTGTTTTTTGGCTTGCCTTTAGGGGTCAGGAAAATTAAAAAAAACCAACTTTGCTCTCATTTGAATCTGCGCAACGTCAAGTTTGTCTTGAATCTCTTGTTTTAATTCCATATTAGATTTTGTTTCAGGCGCCGATTGAACACACATTAGAGCATTGGATAAATGAGTAATTCTATTAGAAATGCTTGTACGACTTTAAAAATTAAAAAAAAATTTTTTTCAAAAATTCCCAAAAAAAACCTTGTAGTTTTCGAAGCCATCCCAGCCAAGACTTTTGCTGCTTCCAAATAATTATGACTTTTTTCATAATATTTCCACAACAATTCCAAATAAATATTCCCCTTTCCATCTTCTATTTCGTGGAATAAAAATGCCTCGAAATATTTGAATTTGTTCTAAACAATATATAATTTAGTTTTAATTATTTTAATTAATTTTTGGGGGTCAATAAAGTAAAAGTATGTAGGTTATTGTGTTCGAATATTCTAATGCTTAAATCAAGCGGTCGACTTATTTCCATTATAACCCCATTTGCTCTCATCCCACGAGGGTAGCACACCGACCCTTCGGGGGTGGGCGTCGAGGTTTTTGCCAAAAAAAATAGTCAGGGTCGTGGTTTCTTGGGGCAGGGTTTTGCCCGCACAGGGGGAAGGCGCAGAGGATAGGGGTTTGTCGGGGTAGAGCCTCCGGGTTTCAAGTCGGGGGTTTTTGCCTGAAAATTCGTAGGGTTTAGGGGTGCTACCCTAATTTAGACCCGTAAAAAATGTTTAATTTTTGACTATTTTTGATACTGACAATTTTAAAAAATATTCAAATAAGAGAAATACTGTGTCATAAATTCAACCCCCTATCCCTTCTTTTCCTATGAATAATTAAAAGTAAAAATTTACAGCAATAAGTTGATCTGCCAAATTATTTCCCAACATCCAATTAAAAACTTTAACACAAGCCAATTCATCATCAGATTCCAAAACTCTTCTCAAAAGTTTATCCCTTTCTTCTTGGGCACGTGAAGATGATAATTGTTGTTTAACAGAATCGGCCGATTGGAAAAAATTGTTTAAATTTAGAGAGGCTAATTGGCTTTCTTTTGAAGTTGCCAAAATTTGAAGAAGACGAAGTACTTCCAAAATACAATTATAAGCTTCATTTCTTTTTTCCATTGCTTCCTGGACTGTGACGTCTGTTGATGTTAAATGTTTTTTGTAAACTATTAAAGCCAAATCGTTTGGATCATCGCGACGGGCACGCATCAAAGATAAATCAACAATGCCGTCAAAATAGAGAACTGAAAATGAATGTGTAAAAAATATAAATGTCAGGGCTGGTTGAGGAAAAAGTCGCTGGGTATGGTTGAGGAAAAAAAGTCGAGCTGGGTTTCGGATCGGGTTTCAAAATTTTTTTTTCGGATCGGGTTTTGAGTAGCCCACCCCATTCCTAAGGTATAACTAAGATAAATGGAGAGGAATGCCAAAGCAAACGCCATTGGTGTAGCCCACACCAAATTATAGCCACCTTGGAATCCGAACACCTGGATACGCTTTTATGTTCATTCCGACATGCCTATGTCCCATCTATTTTTTTCATTGTCCCATCTATTTTTTCATTTCTTTTTTCCATCCCTAGTGTCCTATGGTGCCTGTGTCCATGTTCAAATTTAGTCGATCAAATTCAATTCATTTTCCAATGATAAATTAAAATCTGTGACTATGCGTTATCTTATTCATATAAATTTTGGATAGCCATAAAGTAAAATGGATTTATGGAAAATGAATTGAATTTTCAAATTTGGATTCCAAAAGAGACTTAATATTAAAAAATTCAAAACCTTGCAACAAAAGATCACAGGTTTGGACAAGATTTAATTTTTGAATTGATTTTCTAAACTGAGCTACAGCCTCTTTAATCATCTCCAATTGTGGCTGAGTTGTCGTTTTTGCTCTATAAATATTTTCTGTCGCCTTAACAACTGAAGCATCATCAACGGTGAAGAGTGTTGGGCAAAGGGCACGTAAACGTTCACTTATAGCAGCCGTAGAAGCATCATCTCCGATATAATGGCGAATAAGAGCGCTAATTAAATCGGCGCAGACCTAGGAAATTTTTTTTTGAAAAAAATTTTTTTGAAAAAAATTTTTTTAATTCCAAAGAATTTCTAAAAAATTTTTTTTGAAAATTCCAAAAAATTTCTAAAAATTTTTAAGTCTTTCAGAAAATTTTTACGTCATTCCTGTTGCGAACCAAATCATCTAAAGACCAATTTAACAAACATTTTTGAACATCTGGAGCCAAAGCTACAAAAATTACACGCAATTCGTGTTCCAACAAAACACTCCATAGAGCAACAACTTCACATGTTACACCAACTAAAGTTCTCAATTTTTGAAGTGATTGTTTTTCCTGGTCAACTACTAGAAAAAATTTTTGAATTTTTCAAAAAATTTGAAAAATAAAAAATAATACGAGAAGATTCTTCAGAAGATGTTCGTCGTTGTTGTTGCTGCTGTTGTAAAGTTCTACTCGGAAAATGATGAATTTGTGGAGAAGTGATGAGTGAACATTCGTCAATTGCTTGCCGAAGAGAATTTAAATAATAACCGACTTCATCCAAAATATTTTTTGTTAGCTGACTTTCAACCTAAAAAAAATTTCTTAAAATTTTTAAAATTAGGGTTCGACCCCAGTCTCTGGGAAGGGAAAATTTTTCTTAAAATTGGGAGTTTAAGAAAAAATGGGGGAACCAGGGCAAGTGGGGGAACTAAAGTGAGGGAACTCGGGCAAGCCCTGGGAAACTAGGGCAAACCACTCCAGAACCTCAGTTATTCTCCCCGAATTCCATGCATCTTCCGTTCTCCATAAAATCTATCCCCTCCCCGTAAAGCCCCTCCCCTACTTAAATTTCAAAGAAAAACCTCGTTTATCTGTTTCACCAAACATAAATTTCTTCGCCAAATTCCTTTAATTATTCGTGAAAAATAAATAAACAAAGCTTCATGACGTGGAGAATTTTGCACTCTAGCACCAGCAATTATAGATTGGTCGCTATCTAAACCTCCTCCAGGTGTATGTAAAACATGTTGAGGTGTAAAACCATTTGTATAATTTGCAGATGGAGTTGAGTTATTTTGTGGTGTTGATGTTCGAAGAGGTGCTGAAATTTAGGGTAAAAATTAATTGCAATATAGAATCAAAATCTGAGCTGCACGGAATTGAAAAAATATTCCGCAACTCGTAATTTCTTTTTAAAAATCCGCAACTCGCAATCCGCAATTGCGTGCAGTCCTGATCAAAAGCCAATTATAAATTCATAAAATGCTCTGAATACTCGCAAAATAAAAATGAACAGATGCCGTTTTGCCCAATATGTAAATCAAGGAAGTCATAGGCTGATAGAAGAGGCTGGACAGGATTATAAATTTTATTAGGATCGGGGTTCGAACCAAAAAAGACACGGATTCTAGTATTGGGTCGGGGCAGCTCCGTTCGTCTGGGCACAAATAGGCTTGGCTCCAGGAAAAAACCAGATCAACGAATGGCAAAAAATGTTAGAATTTTGGTTATAGATTCAGAAAAAACCCTGCCCTAATTCAAGCTCTTCATAAAAACCCCCAGACTTTTTCAGAAAAACCCCCCAGACTTCAGAAGGGAAATTCATTAAAAAATTCCATAGACCTTGTCCTAATTCCAGCTCTAATCTCTAAATATATAAATATTCTTTTCATACTTTTAGGTGTAAAAACACTTGAAGAAAGTGTTCCATTCATATAACCATCACTGCTTGTACTTGCCCTCGGTCCATAATCCATAAAATGATCTCCACTTCCATACATTAATCTAGGCTCTCCAGCACACTGGAAAAATACACGTAATGCCATATCTTTAATTGTTGCATCCGAAGCATTTTCACTACAAATTACTTGTAAAGCCATTACACACAATTCTGTTTGGTTTACAACAGCTTCAAATCCTTGGAATTGTTTTGAATCGTTGCCGTATTGAGTGAGTATATGTCGAAATAGTTCAAGAGGAGAACAGTGTTCAAATACATAAATGCCCTGAAAATGGGGAGAATTGAAAATTTTTTTGGAAAAATGAACAAATTTTTCATATGGACAAAATGTCCATCCAAAAAATTTGGATAAATGGCCACCTTTAGGGAGCAAGTTCAAAAGAAATCTACTAAAATAAAGAGTCTTAGGTCCTCTAATTTGTCAAAATGACAAAGACAACCTAATCCCTCTCAAATTACAAAATAATGTCGTGAAATGAAAAATAATGCCTGAATGCACTAAAAATAGAAAAAATTGAAAAAAATTTTTGGAAAAATGAATAAAATTTTGTAGGACAAAATGTCCATCCAAAAAATTTGGATAAATCGACAACTTCAAGGAGCAAGCTCTCAAATGAAAAAAAATCTTTAAAAAATTTAACCTTAGACGAAATAACAAAAAATTTCTCAATAGGACACAAATGTTGCTCCACTGAAAGAGGAAATTCATCTGATTGTTTAACAATATCATTCTCTTTTCTACTTTTACGTAGAGATTTCTAAAAAAAATATTTTTGAAATTAAAAAATAAAAAAATACTTGTCTTGAATGAGCAATACTCCAAACACTGCCATGAATTCGATTAAAACATGTAAATTCAATAAGTTGAGAATTATGTGAAAAACAGGAAGTGGAATGTGCCAAAATGATGCTTGAATTTGAATCGGGTCCAGGAGTTGCCATAAGAGTACAATCTTAAATTTAAGAAATTTAAAGTCTAGTTCGTTTCTTCTATGATATCAAAAATTCGCTAATTTTAGGGCCAATAATCCAAAAAAAGCAATACTATCAATTAGAGTTCTATTTTCAAATTGTCAGGCCGGGTATCTGAACCTCTTCTTCTAAAATGACCCGGTCCAGATTTTTCAGAATAAAACCTCGCCTCGAATTTTATCAAAATGCCTAACTGGTTTCCGAGGTATTTAACACGGAAAACACGGTCCTGGACCAAAGTCGAAAACTAAAATCCATATTAAACAAATTGTATTAATTTTAAAAACTACAAATTTAACAAAACGAAATTACCATGTGTCTGATATGTTGTGTAAATACTCAAATTGTGAGGTGAAGTCAATGGAATATCTGGAGGAAAGCGGATGTGTAAAATGCGAAGAGCGCTAGGTCGAAGTGTTTTTTGTGAGACCTAAAAAATTTTTTAAAATCAAACAAAATTTTTTTAAATTTAAAAAACCTCGTTTAAATGGAGATTTGTAGCCAAACAACTAATATAGATACGAACACCTTTTGACGTTGTAGCAACCTTAAAAACAACTTTTTAAAAATTTTCCAAAAGTTCATTACCAAGTTAACATTAATTGACTGCGATAAAGGAATTGGACTAATATTATCAATTTCAGAAAAAAGTTCAGGGTTAACATTGCACGATTCTTTAGCCAAATGTTCAATTTGTTCGCGATATAAAGCTCCGAATTTTTGTATTGAACGGCCGTCAAAACCCAAATCGAAGACCTTAAAAATTAAATTAGGGTAAAATAGGGCATATTTTGTTCATATCACGCCCCTCTCTATTTTAGTCTCAAATTAATTTTCCTTTCTATTGTCAATTATTTATTTCTTAAGCAGTAAATTTTGAAGCCCTATAACTTTTCGAATTGGAAGTCGGTACCAAAAAAGCCGGAAACTACATAGGTGTCTCGACTATGCTCTACACGATGGTATAACTTTTATGAAAAAATTTTTACTCAAAGCTCGAATGTTCCCTTGTAAGTTAAATAAACAATTAGGAAGGAAGAATAATGATAAAAACCAATATTTTAAAAAATGACCCTTCCGAGGCCGAAAAGCTTGAAAGGTAAATTAATCCGAAACTCAAATAGGAAGGAAGGCAGGATATGAACAAAATACCAAGTAATAAACATTCGAAAAAATATTTTTCTAAGGAGAACCCCTAACCTGAATACAACCACTTTTCATGAGTAAATAAAGCAAATGTCTGCTGTCATCAACAACAAGTTGAAAAACGGATTCTTAAAGAAATTCAAAGTTTAAAAATCAAACTTATAAATAAAACCTTTTGAATAAAAAATTTGTAACACAGGTACCAAATAGTTTATAAGCCTTTTTGAATGATTTGTCTTCTTACAAGTCCCTCCAATGCCAAACCAGCCTTTTTCCTTTAAGAAAAAAATTTTTGCAGATAAATTTTGCGGATAAAAACATACAAAATATTCCAATTCATAAAGAGAATCATCCGCAGAAAAGAAAATTCGTCCATCAAGAGTTGGGCAAATATCAGTAACTATAAGTCCATCAAGTGGCAGCCTGTAGAGAGGTGAATTCCCAACCATCGAAATTAAGGCATTTCTCAAGTCATCAGTATTTGGAGGTAAAACATTGCCAGAACTTAATTTTAATTTAAAAAAAATTTTAAAATAAAAACAAACTTGTCTTCAAATCTAATTGCTAGCAATACAATATCGACAGTGGTGGCAACAATAAGAATAGAATGGAGAGAAGGCTAAAAAAAATTTTAAAAAATAAGTTTTAAATTGTTGCGGATTTAAATTTAATTATTTTTGCGGACAAAAATAATTAAACAAAAATGACATTTTATACTAATTATAAAACTAAAATTCTGAAAACTAGCAACTTAAGATTAATGTCACTGTATTTTTGCGGACAAAAATTTGCGGAGTGAAATACTTGTCCGCAAGTGGAATTTGTGGATAGCAAATTTATGCAAAAAATGGGGCTCTACTGCAGATTATGATTCCGATCAAACTTTATGAGTCCAATAAAAAGTTTATGAGTCCAATAGGTTAACGCTGACCATTTTGAGCCTTTCGTCTAAAATCTGATTGGATTCATAAACTGCAGTAGAGCCAAAAATAGTTAAAAAATGAAACCAACTACTGAAAATCCAGGCCTTGGAGGAGCTATATCAACACGTAGAATTGTGTTATTTATTAAATCGTAATATGTAAGATCTCGACTAAAATAAATTTTAAAAAATTAACTTTAATAAAAAAACAAACTTATTATCAAAATTCCATAAATATAAATCAGAGTCTATAGACATCCACGCCCGCATAATTGAAGGCAATAATCCCGTTGAAAAATTGCTACGCATATCTAAAGGATTTTTAAGGTTAAATAAAGATTAAAAAAATACGTTTAAATTGATCAAGTAATTCCTGAGGGAAAGAATGATGCCAACTTTGGTAGAAGAAAGGTACACCTAAATGCTCGTGTTGAGAATAATCTCTTTCTGCTAGGCCAGAAAATGCGGTAGAGCCTGAAAAATGTTAAAATGAAAAAAATGAAGGGATTAAGAGTACAAGAAATTTCAGAGGAATTTAGGGAATATTTTCAAAAAAATTCGTATCTACCCGAGATGGAACCACTAAAACAAGGATTAGAAAAAGTTGAAAATAAAAATGGCCGATAACTTTGACATTTTTTCTTAACAACCAAAACTTTTGAAACTTTGACCAGCCGTATCTTTTCAATTTAGAGATAGGGCTAGATAAGCAAAAAATTGGCAATAGGTTATCGACCATGTTCTACACAATGGTATACTTTTTATTTAAAAATTTCTTGGTCAAAGTTCCCGGTAATATTGAACCGGACAGACCCCCTTTTTCCTTTCAAATTTTCCCCCTATATTTCTTCTACATTTACTTGTTTTTGGCATGTACTTGCACTTGTGTAAAATTAAATACTTTTTGTTTGATTGTAGGTAAAAATTAAAAAGGCAATTTAGATTGAAGAAAGGAAAATGTCTGACCATTTTGCAAAAATATAAAGGAAAAATTGAGGGAAAATGGGGTCTGTCCGTTTCAATATTACCAAGCCCCTTTGTCAGAATAAAACCAAAAATTAATTTAATAGACAAAAATACCCGAATAAATTTAAAAAGGTCACCCTCACGATAATAAACACAAAATTAAATTATTTTAATTCAAACACAAACCTTTAGTTCTATAGGGATCATCCACTTTAAGTTTGTGATATAAATCAACAACCAAACGATCATTTCTTTGATAACGCTCAACTTGTTGTTGGACGTCCATTAGTCAGCTCCTTTATTAATTAAATAAATAAAAATTTAACAAAAAAGAATCTAAAAAATTTTTAAAAATTTTTTAAAAAATTAAAAAAAAATTAGAAAAAATAAAATTTAAAAAAGCGTCAGTTTTCAAAAATTTGTATAACTGTCTCTCCTATGCTCTCTAATTTTCCATGAATTTCACTTTTGAGTCTGACCTTTAGAGTCTGAGAGTTTTTTTTGTTTACTTTTCTTGGGAAATGCACAAACCGGCGCACGGCCATAACGGCGCAAAGCTATAACTTGCTTCAAGCTTTCCTAGTCTTACCAAATTTAGTATTAAACGATTCCTCTCATCGAGCTAAGGAGATTGGTACCAAAATTGACAAGGACAAGCCATTTTCCACCAACTTATGGCTTTGCGCCGTAATGGCCCGCGCCGTTTTGGGTTATACCCAGCTTTTATTCTTCTTTCCTCCGATGACAATTTTTGAACAGAGATCACTCTAAAATTCTTTCAATTATCATTTTTGTGTTAATTTAGTGCGAAGATGAGCGAACTTCTTTTGCTTCCTTTGCTTTTATTTCGCAATATTCCCATAAAGTCTTACTAATGTTAAATTGATTTAAGTTGCCAATTTTGCTATATTATTTCGTTTTTTAAAGTTTGAGAATAATTAGAGCCCGGGCGGGACCTTACTATCGGCGTTTTCGTTATTTATCGTTTTCCGATTCGTAGTACGGTGCGGAATACGGTTCGGAAGTAATTTTAAAATTCCGTATCGTACTTCAAACCGATGAAAATTTCTGGGTATTTATGGTCTTACGGTAGGTAGTACGGTACGGAATACGATTCGGCACCGAATTCCGGGCTTTAAACATAATTAACTTGATTTTAGATTCAGTTTTGTCTGCAAATCTTATATTAACACAAATTTTGCAATGCTAAACCGTGTCTCAACGAGGACGTTTTCTCTCTCTGTAAAATGGTTACAAACACCACATTCTCGTGTAGCTGCTGAGCCATTCATGAATGGAAGTTCTGGAATATATATTGAGCAAATGTATGAAAGTTGGTTGCATGATAAGAATTCTGTTCATAAAAGTTGGGATGCTTACTTCAGGTTTTTTTTATTAATTTAAGGAAAACCTGGGCCTGTTCACGGGCTCTGGGTTTGATTTATTGACCTGGGCCGAATCCTGGGCCTATACTCCAGGAAAAATCCAGGAAGCTCAAAAAATGCCGGGGCTCTGGGTACTGGAAAACCCCAGGCTTTGGTCCTGACCCAGCTCGATCTCTGATAGGTTGTAAGAGAATGGAACCTAATGAAATTAGAGTTCGAAATTTTCGAGCCATGATTCGGATTTTTTGTGCCAGGGGCAGATTCTAGGACTAAACTCAGAAACCCTAATTTCTCCCAGGGGCAGAAACATGATTATTTTGCTCAATTTCAGTCAGAAGGGTAATTGCCATGAAAACCCTAGTTAACTCTGTTTTACATATAAAACATTTAATTTATGCCTTCTCATTTTAGCAATGTCCATGCTGGTGCTGAACCTGGTCAAGCTTTTCAGTCGCCTTCAATCTTCTCCCAAGGCGTGCCAACTCCACATGCAACTCTTGCGATGAGAGATTTTAAGGAAGTTCAGCCATCGACCGCTACATCTGTAATTCCTGCAGACGATCTTACTCGAGCTATCAATGACCATCTGAAAATTCAGCTGTTAATTCGAAGTTTTCAGGTTTCAAATTTTCCAAAAAATTTTTTTTGACTTTTTGGATTTTAAGACTCGAGGCCATAACATTGCTGATCTCGATCCTTTGGGAATTAATAGCGCTGATTTGGACGATACTATACCTAGAGAGCTCGAGCTGGACTTTTATGGTTTTAGTGAGCAAGATTTGGATCGAGAATTTCTTTTGCCGCCTACAACGTTTATAGGAGGTGATAAGGCAACTCTTCCGCTTCGAGACATTTTTGAACGTCTTAAGGTTTCGTTTTTTTTCTACTTGATTTTCTTGGACTCCTTTTTGGGGATGACTTTTAGGGCAACTGTCCTCGTGTTAGATAACTTTCTGGGAGCTGACCTTATTGGGTGGATCTATTGTGATATTTGTTAGGGAGTTAGATTGAAGTTTTCATCCTCAAAATAGTTCGGGGCTAATTTTTGACTGAATCAAGTTTTTCATTGATTTGGTTATTGTATCAATACTTTAGCTACCGGAAAGAATCGAAATTTTGACATTAAATTTTTCCAAAAGTTCGACGTCCGAGGTAACCTGGATGTCCGGCTCCCTTTTAACCACATCTCACACCTTTTTATTTTTTTTCCAGAAAATTTATTGTCATCGTACCGGAATTGAATATATGCATTTGACCAATTATGAACAACAAGATTGGGTTAGAAAACATTTTGAAGCTCCTCGAGTCACAGAATTAACACCTGCTCAAAAGAAAGTTTTGTTCAAACGTCTAATTCGTTCTACAAAATTTGAAGATTTTCTCGCCAAAAAATGGCCCAGTGAAAAACGTTTTGGTTTGGAAGGTTGTGAAGTATTGATTCCTGCAATCAAACAAGTTATTGATCAATCTTCAGCTATGGGCGTTGATTCCGTCGTGTAAAAAATTTTTTTTTATTTTTAATGTTTTACTTTTTTAATTTTTTAAAGTATTGGAATGCCACATAGGGGACGTCTAAATGTTTTGTCAAATGTTTGCCGTCAACCGCTCAGCACAATCCTTTCTCAATTCAGTACTCTTGAACCAACAGATGAAGGTTCTGGTGACGTTAAATATCATCTTGGTGTTTGTATTGAACGCTTAAATCGCCAATCTCAACGAAATATAAAAATTGCGGTAGTGGCAAATCCTTCCCATTTGGAAGGTTTGTTGAATTTTATGAGGAAAATAAAATAATTTTTTTGTTTATTTCCAGCTGTTGATCCTGTTGTACAAGGCAAAGTTCATGCGGAAGCTTATTACAGCAATGATCCTACATGTGATCGACATTTGGTAAACATTTTATAGTAGAGATTTGAAATTTAAAAATTGCCAATTTTTTTTTGAGTGAAAGATCCTTGACATTGAGTCAATGAAAAATCGAGGATGGGTCCGATCCAAGGCGATCTCTAAGAAATGGGTATGAGCCAAGGGTGCATCCCTTTGTATTTTTTCCTCAGCTATACCATCCTCGGTATGAGGTGAGGAAAAGTTTGGCGTTGTACAGGCATCGGATCAGCCTTGGCTTTTATTTCTAGCTCCTTCGCTCACCAGCAAGAATTTTCTAAGAATTTTTTCATGTATTTTTCTCATTTTTAACCTTTACAGGCTTTGGTATTGCATGGAGATGCTTCTTTCTCTGGACAAGGCGTTGTTATGGAAACTTTCAACCTAAACGATTTGCGTGATTATACAATTCATGGAGCCATTCATATCGTAGTAAATAACCAAATTGGATTTACTACCGATCCGCGTTCTTCTCGTTCCTCTCCTTATTGTACAGATGCTGGACGAGTTATGGGCGCGCCTATATTTCATGTAAATGCTGATGATCCTGAGGCTGTTATGCATGTTTGTTTTTGATTTATTATTCTTTTTAGGGAGGTTGAGATTGGCTAATTTTTTTGTGGGGATTATATTAGATTGTCTGACTGTGAGATATGTATGTATGAGATTTTAAACGACTTCAAAGAACATTTTAAAAATTTAAATGAAAGGCAATAGAACTTTTAAAACCTTTGTTTTTGGTTGTTCTACATCCGACAAATTATATTACATAATAAAAAATTATATTACATAATACCATTTACCAAAACTTGTAGTGCGTCGTAATATGAAAACGGCGAAATATCAAAAACCTCAAAATCCGCCGAATTACCAAACTAGAAAAACCTATCAAATTCATTTCGATACTGAAATTTTTAAAAAAAATTTTAATTTAAAGGTCTGTAATGTCGCTTCCGAATGGAGAAAAGAATTTAGAAAAGATGTCATTATTGATCTTGTATGTTATCGTCGTTATGGACATAACGAATTAGACGAACCAATGTTTACACAACCATTAATGTATCAACGTATCAAACAAACAAAACCAGTTTTGGAGCAATATCAAAAGAAAATTTTGGCTGAAGGAGTAGCTGATCAAGAATATGTTGATGATGAATTCAGTAAATACGGATCTATTTTGGAAGAAGCTTATGAAAGCGCAAAGAAGATAACAACAGTTAGAAATCGTGATTGGCTAGATTCGCCATGGGATGATTTCTTCAGAGATAAAAATCCGTTTTATGTGCCACCGACAGGAATTGATAAAGAAAATTTGGAACAAATTGTGATGAAATTTTCTCAAATTCCTGAAGGATTCAATTTACATAGAGGATTGGAAAGAACGTTGAAAGGTTTTTTTTTTAAGATTTTTTAGGGATGTTCCTCGTCTCCCCGTTCCCGCCCGGCAATAATTTTTAGGTCGCTTCCCCGACCCAAATTCCCGTTCCCCGGAGAATTTTATTCCGACGGGTCAGGGACTTACTTCAATTTTTTTAAATAATACATTAATATTTTTTTGGTTTGTAGGTCGTCGTGATATGTTTCATGAAGATAGCCTTGATTGGTCTATTGGTGAGGCATTGGCTTTTGGTTCTCTACTTAAAGAAGGTTTCTTGCTTCTAAATTTTTTTATTTTTTGAACTAAAAAATTAGGAATTCATGTTCGTCTTTCTGGTCAAGATGTGGAACGTGGAACCTTTTCTCATCGTCATCATGTTTTACACGACCAAAAAATTGACCAAAAAACATATAATCCTTTGAATGATTTGTCTGAGGTTTTTTTTGTTTTTGGGATTTTTTATATTTATTTTTTAATTTTTTTCATTAGACTCAAGCCGAGTACGTTGTTTGCAACTCTTCTTTGAGTGAATATGCCGTTTTAGGATTTGAACTTGGCTATTCTCTTGTAAACCCAAACTCATTAATCATTTGGGAGGCTCAATTTGGTGATTTTGCTAATACTGCCCAATGTGTTATTGATCAATTTATTTCTTCTGGACAGTCTAAATGGATTAGACAAAGCGGTCTAACTTTGTTACTTCCTCATGGTTATGAAGGAATGGGTCCAGAACATAGCAGTGCTCGGCCAGGTTTTTACTCTTTGAAAATAGTTTTTAAATTTTTATTCAGAACGTTTTTTGCAAATGTGTAATGAAGATGATGGAGTTCGTTTTGATGAGGTTTTTGTCTATTTTGATTTTTCAAAGAAAGTTTTTTAAGGATATGACGTTTGATGATGCTTTTGTAGCTCGTCAATTGAATGATACTAATTGGATCGTAGCAAATCCGACAACCCCGGCAAACTTTTTCCATTTGCTAAGACGTCAAATTTATGTGCCGTTCCGTAAACCGTTGATTGTATTTACTCCTAAAGTATTTTTTTAATTTTTGAATGTTTTTTACTTCTTGAAAATTAAAAGTATCTTCTTCGTCATCCGTTGGCTCGTTCTTCTGTTGAAAGTTTTTTGACTGGAACATCATTTCAACGTGTTGGCGTTGAAGAGGGGAAGGCAAGTGAAAATCCGGCCAATGTGAAACGTGTTGTTTTTTGTTCAGGTTTTTTTATATTTTTTGAATTCTATTAAAGTTTTGGTGTTGGGCAATCCGCCTTTTGACTAAAAATACTTTTTGGAAATTGTTGTTGAAAATACCCCCCCCCCCTCTCAAACAGTAATGCGACAAACGTGCTAAATATTCATTGGTGTTCCTTCAGTATTTTTGTCTTATGTCTAATGTTGGGGTTTTGAATCGGTTTTCCGAATCAAAATTCGATGACCAATTCAATTTTTCAAAACGAACCGTGCCCCCAGCTCTACTTATGTCGAATTTTTGCCTTTTTTTGGGGGTTTTATTTTCCGCTTTTTAAATTATTTTGGCTACGCTTTAGGTCCTAGGTCACCGCTAGTAAATTTGTTTAACTTTAGTTTTTGGAGGTGTAGCATATTTTATTTTGCAGGGAAGGTATATTATGACATTTTGTTGGAACGCAAAAAGAGAGGACTTGAAGCAGATGTTTGTTTTTAAATTTTTTTTATCAAAAAATAATTTTCAAAATTTTTATTGTTAGGTTGCTCTTGCTCGTGTAGAACAAATTAGTCCATTTCCTTATGATTTGCTCATTCAAGAGTGCAATAAATATTCTAATGCGGATATTATTTGGGCGCAGGAGGAGCATAAGGTTTTTCTTTTTTTAATTTTATTTCTATTTTAATATTATTTTTTAGAATATGGGTGCTTGGACATTCATTCAACCGCGTTTTCTGTCATTCTTGAAGAAGTAGGTTTTATCTAAAAAAATTTTTTTTGACTTTGGGTTTTGATTTTTAAAATATCAAAACAAGTATCCATCAAAGGCGTATAGCCCCCCTTCCCCGAAACCGACCCCTTGGATACGCCCTTGTGCTCCTACCCCCTCGGCTTCTTGGATACGCTTATGGTTTTCTTTGCTATCTTTGGTAGTTTTCATCCAAGTGACATATTTTTTTGTCGGTTCTAAAAAAATTTGATATATCCGTAACCGGATAGTACTATAACCTATTGGTTCGAACCAAAAAATCCTCATGGTTTCTATTACTGTTATAATAGAAAATAATCCTAATGGTTTTTCCGGGGTTCGAACCGTCTCTAATGGTCTGGTTACTTTTTTAATTCTCTTCTATTATTAAATTTTTAAAAAAAATTACAGATCCAATCGCGGTATCATTTATGCCGGTCGAAAACCCAGTGCTTCACCTGCTACCGGTAATAAATTTATTCATCAAAAGGAGCAGGCTGAAATGTTAGAAGCTATCCTTGTCAAACCGGTTAATTGAGAGAAGAAATTTTAAAAAATATATTAAAAATAATAGAATCGATCCTCGTTGAATTTTAAGCACAATTACTAGGAAAAAATATAAATTCAAAATTAATTATAAAATATTTTTTTATTCTTTCTAAAGGCGCTTCTTTTAACTAAAAAAATTTTTTTCTCAAAAAATGGGCGCTATTTTAGAAAGAATATTTTCTAAAAAATATTAGACATATTAAAAAACCTCTCATTAAAAAAAGCTTTATTTTTTGTAGAATATTAGGTTTAAAAATCATATAATTAAAAAAATTAATATCTCATATATGTTTTTGTGTGTTTTAATTCTCGATTATATTTTCTCTTTTGGCATTATTTTTTTCTAACTTCATAATCATCTATTATTTTTTGCCCCCCCCCCCCCTAGTCTTTGAAAAATGTTATGTGCTTTTTTCAGAGTAAAAATTAAAAAAAAAATTTTTTTATTTTTATTTTTTAGAGTTTTTTAAGCTTTTGGATATCTAAAGGAATTTATTATTAAAATTAAATGAAGTCAAGCTAAGAAATTATAGATGTGTCAGAGGCTAGAAAAAATAAAGAAAATGATCAAGGATTGGATGAATTTTTGAGGATCGATGGATTGTAATTTTCTTCAATTGTCCCATCATTTGTTAAGGTAGATTTAATATTTAAAATACAGTCGGACCTTACTTTAAGATATATCCATTCAATAATAGATAACTTTCATTTAAGTTATGATCAAATTTGTTGGCTATAGGTTGTTGAATTGTCTAATCTCCCCCTTTTTTAATTCGCCATTATAGGATACTCGCCAGCAATTACCTTATTTTACCGGCCCTTATGGGAGGCTACTATAAGATCTTATGGTTTATCTCAAAGTGAGGTCTGATCTTCATTTAAATGGGGGTTTATCAGTCCAAAAGTGGGAGTTAATACTTATACTTAAGCCTTTGATTAGGCTAATATAATTTAACTATATGAATCATTTTTCACAAATAATATTTTGATTTTTAAAATGTTATTTTTTTTATTTTTCACAAGGGGACTGAGTAATTCTTTTATATTTTTTTCGTTTTTATAAAAAATTATTTTTTTCTATTATTTTTAACTACCTATTTTTACTTTTGTCCATTTTATTTTTTTCTATTTTTATTTTTAAAGGTTTAACTAAATAGATTTTTGGCTGTACTTTAGCCGGTGGCCCACTCAGAAACGGGACAAATTATATACCATTCGATTCGTCTCGGCGAGCTGAGTCGAATGGTACTATTCTTTTTTTGCGGAAATGCCTACGAGCCGAGATATAGGTCCTTGAAAACCGAAAAACCATAGGGGGGAGTAAGCACAATTTTGGGGTGAAAAATTCAAATATGGAAATGATAGCTCATTCGAAAGAGCTCCTCGAGCTGAGTCGAATGACACTAAAATCAGCGAAATCCGACTTGATTTGACAAAGTTATGAGCATTAGTTTTAGCTCCTTACCTTTGGTATACGTGCAGGTTTTTGTTGCTCGGGAGGAAGCCAGACATGCCGACCGCAGCTAAAATAGGCATAAGTTTATGTTACGAGCCCAGACCCAGCGCCCGTAGACTCCCCGCGAGGCGCGTGCCGCAAAACCCCGCGCGAAGCGCGGGGTTTTGCACAAGCGCCTCGCCGACGCCCCATAGGTTTATGTTGCTTGTATTTTGTGTTGTAACTTTGTATAAATTTGTTCAATCACTGTGATTTTGGTGTCATTCGACTCAACTCGTCGAGCTCTTTCAAATGAGTTATAATATGGTTAAAAAATTTTCAATTCCAATAATCGCCCCTTTGGATCTTCGGTTTTTAGGGGTCTATATCTCGGTCCAATCAAGTCGGATTTCGTTGATTTTGGTGTCATTCGACTCAGCTCGAGGAGCTCTTTCGAATGAGCTATCATTTCCATATTTGAATTTTTCACCCCAAAATTGTGCTTACTCCCCCCTATGGTTTTTCGGTTTTCAAGGACCTATATCTCGGCTCGTAGGCATTTCCGCAAAAAAAGAATAGCACCATTCGACTCAGCTCGCCGAGACGAATCGAATGGTATATAATTTGTCCCGTTTCTGAGTGGGCCACCGGCTAAAGTATATCCAGATTTTTCTCTCCTATTCATTTATTTTGACCCTTCTATTTGATTTATCATATTAGCTTAGTAAAACTCTTTTGCTAAAGAAATAATTGTTAAAAGGGGATTTGGGCTATTAACAACAACAATAATATACCTACTCGACAATTGACTTTAAGTAAGGTGGAAAGCATCTTCTTTGGAGGGGCTATTTTTGTTTGATTCGATGTTTTCCATTCTTTCTCCTGATTTTATTTTTATTAATTAATTTATATTTTGATGTAATGTTATTTGAAAATCTTTTAAGGCTTTAGTCTAGTTTATGAGTCAATTTTTATTGGACCCATGAACTTGAACAGGGAAAACTGGAATATTCTTTTTTCTATTCATGATCTTTAAGGATATCTTTAACTTTAGCTTCTTACTTAAATTTTAATTTTTTTTTAATTTTTTCTTTAAATTCGTTTGACAAATTTATTTAAAATCCATCAATTACATTGCCAACCAGAAACGTCCAAATATCAATTAAAGAACATTCTTTTCAGTAAGCACACACTAACCTGATCTCTTTTAAATTCTTTACATTCTTTTATCTCTCTATAATAAATTTTTTAAAGGAATATCCTGACAGATATCTTGACAAAAAAATTTTCTTTTATCTTTTCTTAAAAATTCATTGATCTACTTTTTTATCTTTTTTAACTCTTTAAAATACTTTTCCTTCTTTTTCTTTTTCAAATCATTTTACAATTTTTACTTCTCCTTCCCTCAGTTTCCCTAAATTTTCCCTCAATTTTTCCCTCAATTTTTCTGCTTTGAGAGAAAAAAAAATAAATAAAAGCATTATGAGTGTCGATATTTTTTAAAAAGAGTTAAAGTGATTCTAGGACAAGGTGGGCGGATGAAAATGTAAGGAAAGAAAGAAAAATGAGGGAAAAAAGGTAAAATGACTGTTTTTTTGTTAGGCTTTTCCTTTTCCTCTAAAATTTTCCGTCTTTCAACTACTTTCAATATATATAACTTTGTATTGGCACTGGGGTGGAAGTAAAAGAAAAATCTCTTTTTTACTCTCATTCAATCACATCAATCGCTTATTTTAAACACTTAAATATATCTAACAAACAATCTTTCTTTTTTCATTCCAAAGTAACTTCAAAGGATCAACTTTGAATTGATCAACACAAGGTAAGAGTTGATCAACGTACTTTTTTCACAGTTGATCTATTGAATCAAGGGTTGATCAGCGCGCCCTTGTAGAATCTGTATTTATGGGTTTTGCTACCTTTACGACCTTTACGTAGAGATCGGACTTGAGGCCATATCTAGAGACCGGATCGACAGAGTAAAAGTTGATCAACATCCCCTTAACACCTATGATCTGTGGGTGTTGGTTTTTAGTTTTAGAGGCTGGACCGAGATTTTTCAATATATCTCGCCTGGGTCTAGTCCTATCTGAGATCTGGTCCTATTTCTCGTTGGAGTTGATCAACGTACCTTTTCCACAGTTGATCAAGGGTTGATCAGCACTCCCTTGTGGCACTTCCTTCTTTTCTCTAATTCCTTTAGATATACTAACAGCACAAGGAACTGAGCAGACTTTAAGATCAGCATTGATCAAGTCCCATTATTAGTCCTATTTATAAATTATCCTTCTCTTCCATCTGCCATCATTGACCTATAGGGTCTTTGATCTCATGGGTATTTGTTGATTTATCCCATTTGCTCTGTCCGCTTTTCTTTTCACAACGTGATTTAAGTGTTTAAACATACCCTTTTTCTCTTTTCCAACTGCCATCATCATCAACCAGCTAGCTATCCTTCCCCCAACAACGATTCTTCTTCTACTTCTTCCCCCTAAAAAAATATTTTTATCGCTCATCCTTTTATATATTCCTTCCAATTTTCCTTTCTTCTTTTCCGCTATTTTTATTCCCTAACTAAATGCCCCCGCAAAATCAATGTTTTGTTACTATTATAATGACGGCCGCTCGCTTTGGGGGGTTTTTTTCTAGCTTAATACTTTACCTAAAAAATTATTGCCCTATTACCCCCTTTAAATTTGGCACACATGCCACCTTTTTTTTAAAAAAATTAGCGGACGTAATAACCCCTCACAGCTTTCACTCCTTCCAAGTCGTTAGTTGATTTAGAGGAATCCTCAAAATTCTTTAAAAAAACACACAACACACACCTATCAAACTCTGACCGAATAAATTGATGACACGGTCAGAGAGAGTTTTTGATCTCTAAAAAATCTTTTTTTTGCTTAAACCTTTTTTTAGTTTAATCATTACATTTTTTAAGAGTGGAGTAGGTTGACTATTCCTGGGAAATCTTCGGATATCCGGAAAATTTTATTAGAGTATTGAAAGTAGTCCGGCTAGTCTATGAGTCTAATTAAGGGTTGTTATCTTTAGGGGTATTTTTTGTAAATTTTTTGTAATTGGACTAATAAACTAGACTGTTGTTCTTTTTTCTAATTTCAATAATCTCCCATACTCTACCAAAAACATTTTGACGGGTGGAATACTTTTTTAAATTCTTTATTCATATAAAAATTTAATTAATTATTTAAATAGAGAACCTTAATCTCGACTTTAAAAAATCAATTTTTAAAGTAAAATCCACAACTAGAAAAATTTTTTAATTATATGAATTTTATTAACAATTTGATTGTTTAATATGTATATTGTCTACTCATTTATTTTCTTAGTTTTGACTTTTATCATTTTATCTTTTCAATTAATATTTTCCTTTTTTAAGGTGCAATTATTAGGTACTAATAAAAAAAACAATAGCCATATTAATAGATAACTACACAAATATTTTTTCTTTATTTTTTTTTCGACACCAATTGGTCATCATTTCTTAAATAAAAACACAAAAAAAATTTATTTTTATTAACTGCCATTTTATTATTTTTTATCTCTTCTTTTCATCAATTTTTAATTAGAAAAATTAGGAAAAAACAACACAATTAAAAATTAACAACAAAAATAATTAAAAAATGCCAGTATTCCATACAAAAGTTATTGAGTCAATTTTAGAGCCGGTAGCTCAACAGGTTGGGGAAAAAATATATTTTAAAAATGATTTTTAAACAATCTTTTGCTCTCTTTTTTTAATGCTTATTGGAAAATTTGAATTTTGTTGTACTTCTCTTCCTGACTTTTCCTTTCTAAGTTGCATAATGGTCAGATTTGCTTACCCAATTATTATTCTATTTCTTTATAGTATATATCAGTCAAGGTCCTTTTTAATGTTTATCAATTGAATAGGGAAGTAGGAAATTGTGGAATTTGAGGAAGGAAAGGGGAGGGAACAAAATTTAAAATTACCGGCCTATTTAATAATTGTCATTTTCGGCTTTTTTTTTGCATTTGCTTCTTTTCTTTTTCATTCATGTTATTTTTTATGTAGGGACTATCTTTATGAATTCTTTAACTCTTCCAAAGTGTTTCGAAATATAAAAACACCTCCTTAAAAACCTAAGGATCTCCTAAAAATTAATTTAATAAAAATTGAAAATTTTTATTAAAAATTTATTTTTGGCAAAATGTATTTTTCTGCTTTTTAAATTTAAGTTTTTGTCTTACTGTAATCGTTAATATTTTTGTACTCGTTTTTAATTTTTACGTTTTTTAAACTAATTTTTACAGCTACATCTAGCGCTTTCATTGGCCCATCAGCATTGCCGTCCCTCATCTTCTTCCTCTTCCTTTCACCATCAAAATGGAGTAATTGGAGGAGGAGAAGATGTAGCATCTACCTCGTCTGGCACAAAACGTTGTTTTGGTGCTCCATATTGGAGGGATGGTGGGGAACAAAGCCCCTTATCTCAGAGTTCTTCAAGGTATTCAATACCTCTAACAATGTCTCCGTCTTCTGATTGTGCTGTTTGTAAAATGCTTTTGCCTAAAGGCGGACCTGTACGTTTTTTTGCTTTGCTTTTTTTGTGTGTGTTTTTTTGTTTCCCTCTTATTTTATATTAGTAGAATCTTAATTAGAGATCGGACTGGGATTGTCGTGCGAAAATCGAGATTAGAGTTTCACCTTTAGCTTCCCCAGAGGTTCCAGTTCTGGAAAGTCCCGACCAGACCTGGGCGAAACTCCAAATTTTTTTCGGACGAAACGAAACGAAACAAAAATTTTTAAAAATCGTTTCGTTAACAAAACGAAACGAAACAGTCAAAATTTAACGAAACGAAACGAAACAAAACGAAACATTTTAATTTCGAAAAAAATCTCAAAAATCTGGATTATTTTATTAACTACACACTTTTAAGCATGTTAATTGGCCAATTATGACATATAAGTGATCGTAAAATTATGTGGACCATAAATTGTGGTCACATTAGCCAATTTTTCTCTTAATCTCACCTAAAATAGAGTTCAGCGGTATCGGGATTTATAGAAAAACCGGGATCTGGATTTTGGAATGGTGATACCGATCCCGACACAGGCTCGGGATTGGTCGAAATTGTCGCATTACCGAATGAGTAATTGATTATTAAGCCTAGGTCCTTCCCTCCAAAATATGCAAAAAGATTAATCTGCGGATACTCCCAGTACGGGCTCTAAAGATAATTAAAAAGGGGGTCAACTCTGTACCCCTCATTAGCTCCGTTAATCCCACAGATCGACTGATTAAACTTGTAAAGAGATAAAAGTAAAAAATGGTGTTGATCAAAAGTTTGTAAGCCTTCAGGGTCAATAGGTCATCAGTGAGTAGGTTTACGAGGGGGGGGGGTGTTCTTTCTCATCGCCGCAGGCGAAAATATGTCCTTAAGCCAGATTTCTTCCATTTTCTGCGCCGCAGGCGAAAATTTTGAGAAGTTTGAAGGCTAAGAAGCCAGATTTCTTCCATTTTCTGCGCCGCAGGCGAAAATTTTGAGAAGTTTGAAGGCTAAGAAGCCAGATTTCTTCCATTTTTCGCGCTGCAGTCGAAAATTTTGAGAAGTTTGAAGGCCAAGAAGCCAGATTTCTTCCTTTTTCAGCGCCGCAGGCGAAAATTTTTTGAATTTTTATTACCAAAGGGGAAATTTTTTTAGTTTTTGGGGTATATTTTGGCTTAAAAATAGGTAATGTTTCGTTAACGAAACACAGGTGTTTCGTTAACAAAACGAAACGAAACAAATTAAAAAGTGTTTCGTCACGAAACGAGACGAAACAGGAAAAAACATAACGAAACTAACGAAACAACGAAACGAAACGAAACGTTTCGCCCACGTCTGGTCCCGACGTTTTTTGGTTGAGGTTCCGGGATCCGGAATTCAAAATGGATCCGGTTCCGGTGAAACACTATTAGAGATCGTTCAACAAGAAGTCAGTTAGGTCCTTCATGGCTTTGGATTTTCATGTTCGTACCTTTCGAAATTTTATGGGGCATTTATTTCAGATTGACGAGCTCTTTTGAATGAGCCCCAAGGACCCTGTTTATTATTCCAAATTTATTTGCTAGATTTTTGCTTGTGATCTCGTCTCGGTCCGAACTCTAAATGTTAATTCTTTCGAATGATCAACTCTCTCATGATTTTTTAAAATTTTTTTAAATTGTTCCTTTCATTTTCCTCCATTTTTTTTTCGTTTGCCCTTTTGTTAAGAGAGCTGATCCTTTGAAAGTTGATGATTTAATAAAGCTTTTGTTTACCTAACTATCTTACAGGATTCATTTTCTTACCGTTCTCTAACAAATTTTTAACATGCTTTTTGTGCTTGCTTTAATCGATTACACACACATTGATTAATTAACATGTAAGCCGCTTTAAAAAAATGATTTTTAATGACGGATTCTCAAAAATAATTTTTAAAAATTTTAGGTTTCTCGATTGGTCATCCTCCATGAGGAAGCTGAAGATGGAAGTGCTATGCCTGACTTGACAAAACCTGTTAGTGCAGTATCTAGAGCTGTTGATAATTTAATAAAGGTTCGTTTGGAAATTTTCGTTTTGTAGGGGCCATGCTAACAAAAGTCCGCAAAAGGTGTCCGCAAATTTAGAAAAATTTTTGTCCGCAAAAAATTATTTCTGTCCGCAATTCTCGGAAAAAATTTTTTTTCCCCAATCTGCGGATTTTTGTGTTTCTAAAGGAAAAAATTAAATAATGAATCCTTTTTAGGTTGGCTATGAAACCTGCAATTCATCAGATGACAAAATTCTCAAACAGGAAATGCCTCCCGCATTACAACGTTAATTTTAATTTTTACAAAATAAAAAAATTAAAAAAAATTTTTTTAGGTGTGGAAGTTAGTTCTAGACTTTTAGAGGAAGCTTGTTATTTACTTAAGGTTTCTTAAAAATTTTTTCTAAAATTTTTCTAAAATTTCAACAAAATTTCCAGTCTGATCCATATTCAAGTGCAGCACGTAAAAAATTGATTGATGGAGCTAGAGGGATTTTACAAGGTTTTTTGGTGACTTTTAAAATTTATTTTAAAACAATTTCTACAGGAACCTCACAACTTTTGCTTTGTTTTGACGAATCTGAAGTCCGAAAAATTGTCCGAATTTGCCGCAAAGTTCTCGATTATCTGGCTGTCGCCGAAGTAATCGAATCTATGGACGATTTGAATCAATTTGTAAAGGTAGGTGGAAAAGTTATAAAATGGTCAGGTTGCAAAATGGTCAGAAAATTTATTAGAAATTTTTTTAAAATTTATTTTTTTTCTATTCCTTTTATGGATTCTTATTTTTTATTCTTAGTTAGAAATTTTATAAAAATTTTTTTTCTTAAGGATATAACCCCTTGGCTTACTCGTATGGCAAAGGATGTCGATGCACGTTCAGCTGAATTAACACACCAAGTACACAGAGAAATTCTGGTTCGATGCACTGATTCTGTTAAAATTCTTTCACCAATTTTGATATGTGCAATGAAGGTTAGAAAATATTTTTAAGAAAAATTTTAGGGGTTGAGAACTTCGTCTAACAAAAAGTCGTCCCTTCTATTTTTATTCAAAGTTCAAATATTTAAATAAGGTTTAGTTGATAAAATTGATGTTTTTATTATTGTGACTTGTGGCTTAGTCGGTAGTGTGGGTGACTTTTCTTTGAAGGGTATGAGGGTTCGATTCCGCTGATCTCCAACTTTTTATATGTGACGTTTATTTTCTTTATTTTTTGTTTTAACTTTCTTTAAAATTAAAAAAAAATTATTTTTCTTCAGATCTACATTCAAATAAGCGAAGAAAGTCAAAAAGGACTTGGAGAAGCCGCCAGCAACCGTAATTATCTTGGACAACGAATGACTGATGAAGTTAATGAAATTATTCGAGTCCTCCAATTGACAGCTTATGATGAAGATGAATGGGACCAAGACAATGTTACAGTTATGAGAAAGGCACTATCAGCAGCACAATCTTTGTTATCTGCTGCTTGTGAATGGTTGTCGGATCCAAATGGACGTCCTGGAGCTGTTGGAGAAAAAGCTATTAGACGTATTTGTGAATATGCAGGTTTTGAATTTTTTTAAAATTTTTATAGGAAAATATTTTTGGTACTGTTCCTATCCTATGGGAAAAAGTTTACTTACCAGGGATAATGAAAAAATATAGTCTACCATTCATAAAAGCTTGACGAGTTGACAAGAGAACATTCCGAACTGTATGCAAAAATCACGAAAAATTTTTTGCACCATCGTGTAAAGCAGGGTCGAATAACACCAAAATCATGAGATGCCTGCAACTTTAGGTTGAGATATGGGGCTCTAAATAGTTCAAAAATATAGAGCTCGAAACGGTCAAATACTAAAAATTTTGGACAAAATACACGTTTTTCGAATTATGGCATTAATATTAACACTGGTATAGGGAGGGGAATGATGATGAAAGAATGTATCCCCCCAGAAAAGAAGGAAAAAAAGTTTACAAAAAGCCTGTAGGGATAATGGAAAAGTACCATATTTTTATAGAAAAATATATTTTTAAAATTATTTTTTAAGAAAAAATTGCTGCTCGTTCCCTCCCAGAAGACCAATTTACTATTCGCCAATTAGTTAAGGAAATAACTAATCTTACCGATTCAATTTGTGAAATGCGACATCAAGGAAGAGACAACCAAGTATTTTTTTGAAATTTAATTTGAATTTTTCTTAAAAAAATTTAAGTCATATGCCCAAAGCTGTGCTCAAAAATTGCGTGATTTGGTTGGCACAAAAGAAAGTCAAGGAATGTTGCCTCATGCAGTCTTTGGAGCCCAACGAACAGACACACATCCAGCCCATACAACAGGAGGAAAATTGGAACAGGCACAACGTTGGCTTGATAACCCGGGAATTAATGATGGTGGAGCTGGTCTACAAGCGGTTAGGAAAATTTTTTTGTTGTTTTTTTGACGAGCCTTCACTTTAAAGATTCGAAGTTTACTTGATGAAGCACGCCGACTTGCAAATAAACTTCCTCCAGTTGACCGTGATCGTCTTCTCAATGTTTGCGCTGATGTGGATAAAATGTCCAATCAATTATCTGGTTAATTTCTTTTTCGTTTTTTGTAAGGAAGAAGGGAGATGTAGCTGGCTAGAGTTTAAAACGTTTACTAGGCGTGGGTTTAAGTTCTATTAAAAATGAAGCCGAAGAGCAAATCTGTACGTTGGATCCTAGACCCGCGACCTCTGTACCCTAGTCCAAGACTGAAAAACCTCAAAACTGAAAAAACCTCAAAAAAGTTCTTGAGTCAAGGCCAAGAGTCTTGGATAGTTCTACTGTACGTGCGAGCAAAGACCTTGCATTAACCTGCATGAGGTTGCAGGATCCCTGCCTGCTTGGGGCTAGACTTTTTTCTCTTACTTGTTTTTAAATTGAATTTTTTTAAAGATTTGGAACGTCGTGGTCTAGGAAATACTCCTGAAGCTAATAATCTTCGTCAACAATTGCGTGAAAAACTTCGTGAATTGGGCGATTTAATGAAACGAGTGTTGACTGATAAAGTTGTGGAAGATTTTGCAGATATTACAACACCATTAAAAGCTTTTGTTGAAGCTGTTTATGCTCCGTATGA